CTACAAACTGTCTCAGCTTACTTGCCTGTTTTAAGGATAGAATTACTACACATTCATGGACTTTCTTTCAGTAGTTTCTGGAGCAAGGCTAGTCTTTAGCTTACATTTTCTTAAATGTGTTGGTCCTGATGGCAGTCTCGCAGTTGTTTTGTTTCACATACTGATAAGGGAGGTGTGTGATTAGCTGATTAGTGGACAGTTCTACCATGTCTACATGTTCATGAAACTTTTTAATTTTTATTTCTAAAAATTAAATTTACTTTACATATTCTTGGGGAGTTTTGAAAAGTGATCTAGCGCACTTATAAATACTTTATTAATTTATCGTTTCACATTCACAGTAAGCTACACATTGCAGGCAAAGACAGGATGCCTGGCCCAAGATAATGTTTTCCCCAGGAAATATGTTGTTTACTGATAAGGAATCATAGTATTGTTGTACACCTCGCAGTGGAAGGTGGTGACACACGCTATCTGTAGGGAAGGGACTTCATACAAACTCATGAATACATCGTCAAACATGAAACCAAAGTCAATGTTTTAAGAACCATTGATGAGAATATTGTATTTTGTTCACGTACACCTTAAAACACACTGCATATCAATCTATACTATTCAAAAGAAGTTAAGGACTGTTGTTAATTTGTCATGCCATAACAGATTAACTATAGTAATATGAAAGAATCAAAGTTACATGCTATCTTTGACAGATAAACTATAATAATATGAAGATGAAAGAATCGAGTGGTCCTTAACTTCTTTTGAGTAGTATATGAACATCATATACATGATACATTTCATTCAGTAAGCACGTTTACTTGTGTGTCGACTTAATATCAAAAGTTACATTTCATTCCAGACACTTAGTCATAAATGAATTGTTGTGGACATGGTGAAGTCGACAGTACGTAAAAGATTGCTTGTATCTCTTCTGTGAATGATTCACAAATGAATCCACAAATATTTTCCTTTGTTATCAATACTACATTTCAGCATGTTGACAATCAGGCCTTGGTGAAGAGACTGCAGCAGGGGTGTGTTCTAGATACCACACAACTACTGGAATAAGTGCAGTGCATGCTTGCATCAATGCAACTAGTCCCATATTATCCACCACCTGCATCTGCAGTGACGCAACACTAATAGCCAACCTATTCATAGTATTGTTCAAACGCCATTCAACATGTAATGGTGTTTTTGTGGAGGGTGTACAGCTAATGGTTGTGGAATGCACTGGGTACACAATGGGAGAAGTCACTATCACTATCAACTGAATCTTGATTCATTGTGTCGTCCTTAAGTGCCTTCTTATGTGTAGATCAGGAGCTCAGAGATGATGTTTAACTTTATCTTAATTGAGGGACAAATTGAAATATCTTAATAACTAGGCCATCGCTGGAGTAAGACCCGCTTCTACCAGGATAAGCTGAGTAAATATACCACACCTCATGCATTCATTTCATAGGTGTTCCACTGTTGTAAAACCTGACATTCCATAGCAGGATAAAGCTGGATATTTATGACATACCAGGGTTCGAAAATAGTCAGCTAAGTCAACTTCAGGAAGAAACTACCACTTTTACTTTTAAGGCAGTTTGCAACTCTGCAAATAGAAATTAATTTCTAACCCAGATAACCAGCTCCATCGTACTTTGTGCCATTAGGGACGAGTGCCATGGCCACTGTTCATGTAGGCCCAGAAGTGAAGGGGTCCTTGCCATACTTGGAGTTCAAGACTTTGAGGTCGCTAGCTGGAAGAGCCATGTGGGGATTCCGGGTTAGAATTGGTCCCCGACTACCAATGCTGGTCATAAGAGGCATCCAAATGGATCGTCTGGTCAGATTCAGTGACTTGGTTGAGTGAGAGTCGTCATACCCTAACAGTTGACTGTTGGTCAAAATATCAATCACTGGATTGTCTGGTCCTGACTTAATTACTTACAGGTCACCCTCATATACCGTGTACAGGGGGGTCGTCTTATACGTGGGGTCGCCTTATACACAGCGATATACGGTAGCTGGAATACTGCTGAGTGCGGCGGTAACCAACCAACAAAGAAACATAAGGAAAGGACCTGAAGCACCCCAGGACTCCCCTTCATTTTGAACACTGATTGTGGTGGAATATATCCATACAAAATGATTCCGTAGGGCCAGCATGTTACATAACCTGGATGAGTGAGTGAGTTGGGTTTACCGCCGCTTTTAACAGTATTCCAGTTATGTCGCAGATAACATGGATGAAAGTGTGCTGGTATAATCTATCTTTAGCTCGTGCAAAGCATTTGCCTGTTTTGTTTGTTTGTTTGTGTGTTGTTTAATACCGCACTCAGCAATATTCCAGCTATATGACAGCGGTCTGTAAATAAGTGAGTCTGGATCAGACAATCCAGTGATTGACATCATTAGCATCGGTCCACGCAATTGGGATACGATGACATGCATCAACCAAGTCAGCGAGCCTGACCACCCAATTCTGTTAGTGTACATTGTGTTTGCCCTGTGGCCTATGAAATGGTCTTTCTCTTTTTTTGTCTTTGTTGTATGTAAAGTATCGAGAACTCTATAATGCTTTGACAATGTATGGATGTATATGGATTTGCCTGGTCGTCCTCAGTCCCTCAACTATAAACATTTTGATTGAACAAATATTATTAATAAGGTGTTGTTGTTGATCGTCAGTTTGAAGCTCTGTTGTTTGAACGTTTGATCATGGGAAGGATAGCACTGTCAGAGTACAGTAACTATACAATTTATGAGCTCAACCCTCACCACTGACTCACTTTGCTATGAGAAAACCCAATAGACTCAACTCCCAGGTATGAACATAATGAATATCATGGTTGTATCATTGTCAGGATGGTTATATCATGGTTGTTGTCGTGTTGAGCAGGGGCTAATGTAGTTTGAAAGCCTCCACTCTGTGGTCTCAATATGTTCAGGGGGAACTAGTGATATGTAAAGTGGGCACGCCTAGTGTTGACAATCTGTGCTGACAAGGGGGTCAGTGTCATTGACGGCCAGGTAATATCTCTAGTGCAATGTTCATGTGTATTATTAGGATCTTACTCAGAGATAGTCTACCAGTTGAACAGGAATATTGTAGTAAATATAGCCGTTAGTTTCAGTGGAAGAACATTGAGTGATTGAGTTTGGTTTGATGTCCCTTTGAACAACATTTCGGTTGTATCACACTTTGTCAGTTAGCATTTAAGAGAGACGGATCGTGTCAGCTTAATGTGAGAGGAAAGCATGATGAGATGCGGGTCTAGATGGTTGCCACCTTGGTGTGAAGCCCACTGAACATGCTGAGAAAACAAAAGTCTTTATCACTGGATCATTAACCAACCATTATGGGATCCTGGTGCACCTAAGGGATGCAACTCCTAACAACTGGCCACCTGTTCACTGAAGGACAGAAATATGTTATTCAGTAAATCCTTAAATCCCGTAGGTGTGTAATTTGAAGGTTTGTTTGTGATGATCCATGATTTTCGTTCCTTTCAACATATGTTCAATGGTGAAGTCATGTGATGGTTTTCCTCTGGACAGGACTTCCTGAACGTCTTGTCTCCTGTGTAGGTTGTCTGAATCATATCTGGATAACATCTGTCAGACATGTGTCAGTAGGATGTTTTGTTGTTTGTTTTGTTGTTTGTTATTTGCTGCACTCAGAAAAATTCCTGCAGTGTGACATCAGTCTGTTAATAATCCACTGATTGACATTGTGGGGATCAATCCCAACAATTGGGATACGTTGCCTAAGTCGACCAAGTAACCGAGCCTGACCACCCAATACATTTAGTTGCCACAGGCATTGGTTGCTGGGGACCTCTATCTTTACCCAGAATCCCCTACAGGCTAGCAGTGTCCGAGGTCACAAGCAAATAATGGTGTCTATAGCAGGTGACATCTTCTTAACCCCAAATGTTGTGACATATGTTTTTGTGTGTGTCTTTGGAAATGATATCCTAGGATCAGGTAGTCAGGCTCGCTGACGTTATTGATGCATGCGATCGATGTTCATGATGTCAATTACTGGATTGTCTGGTCCAGACTCGTTTATTTACAGACCGCCGTCATATAGCTGAAATATTGCTGAGTGCGGCGTTAAACAACAAACAAACACACAAGCATGATGGTGGAAATGAAATAGAAAGACAAATTGACAAACAAAATAATGGAGCCAGGTGAGAGGTGTTCAGCATCTTAAAAGTCACCACCTCTTTGTAAATAAAACAGTCAGGCAGTTGTCCTCAGCTTCAGTTTTAGAATACAATGGGTCAACTGACTCAATGGCCTTGAAACTGATGGGCCTCACAGATGTAAAAACTGTATGGCTAGGGGCCCCATATTGCCCAGAAATAAGGGGTATAGTCATTGGTGTAAAGCCCCTGGCAAATTGAAGCACTGCTCCTCAGCGTTTATGATCTGCACTAACCTCCTGAAGGGTGGAACTGGAGGAACAAGGCAACCAGATTATTTGTGGACATGATACACACTACGAATACAGATTGAGCAGATAATAGCTGGCAGCTAGACACATCACGTGATATTCCAATTTATATTCATGGTGTTCCCTGTCCTGATACCCTTGAAGCATGTGAAGTGAAATTATGTCTCATTTTGTAATTCCAAATGATGTCAAGCTCTGTGGAAATGTCCCCAGACTGCTGACTCGGTCTGATGACCTGGTTCCGGCATACCCTGATAAGATGGCCACTTGAATGTAGCATTGTGACAGACAGGTGGGACTTAACTATGGCAGGTTGTGGCAAATTGTCAAACTTGTGACGTCTTCATAAGGATTATGGCTGGACCATAAAGTACTGATTTTTGGCCCTTGATAGCGACAGTAAATGATCTGTGTTTTTTAACATTTGACTCATTTTTCTGGTTGGTGGAATGAAAAAAACATTGACTATCATTTTTCTTTTTTTTAGAGTAAAAAACATGTCTGGCCCTAGCTTCCTTCCCTCATTTCATGTTGTGTGTTGCAGGGTAGAGGAGGAACCATCGACCCAGAGGAACGGTTTACGAAGCTAGAGAAGATTGGCAAAGGTTCATTTGGTGAAGTGTTCAAAGGAATTGACAATGAGACTAATCAGGTTGTGGCCATCAAAATAATTGACTTGGAAGAAGCAGAAGATGAAATTGAGGACATTCAGCAGGAGATTATGGTGCTGTCCCAGTGCGACAGCCTGTTTGTTACCAAATACTATGGCTCCTATCTCAAGGTAGGTACCCCTTGCTGTTGTGTGGTGGGCAGGGTTCTGTACAACTGAAGCTGTGGGGAGCAAGTGGGAGATGTATTGGATATGGGACTCGCGACATTATTTGCTTGGGATGTAAACATACAGGTGAGAGGGTGACGCACAAGTGGGAGATGTATTGGATATTGGACTCGGGACATTACTTGCTTGGGATGTAAACGTACAGCTGAGAGGGTGACGCACAAACCTGTGTTGTAGTCCTCGTCACTTGAAATAGAATCCCGATATATCGCTGTTAATAATCAAGAACATAGCTGCACATCTGCTAATACTTACCAAGTGAAAGCAAGCCAACACAATACTAGACTTTATCTAATAAGAGGAGACTTGCTCCGTCGTGTGGTGGATAGAGTGTCTGCCTGGAGACAAAGGTCTCGCCTGGTTTGATTGCCTGGACGCTTCATTCCAAAAGACTTTAGAGAGATGGGACTTGTTGTTGCCCTGGTCGGCCACCACTAATGACTTCACTTCTATTTCAGGGCTCAAAGTTGTGGATCCTTATGGAATACTTGGGCGGTGGATCTGCCTTGGACCTGATGAAGGCTGGACCTTTCACAGAAAATGACATAGCAATCATCATTAGGGAAATTCTTAAAGGATTAGATTACCTTCACTCAGAGAGGAAATTACATAGAGATATTAAAGGTAACAAGTTCCTGACTTTTTAACGTGTTGAAATTGTGTGGGACATTCATCTCTCCACAATTGTCAAATAAAAGAAGAAGATTTTGTTCTGTCATGGTTGATACCAAGAAATCACACAAGTATCTAGATATTCAGTAATTCCAAGTATCAAATGAATTGTTGTTAAACAGTTCCTGCAGTGGTCCATGTATGTTGGAAACTGAAGTGTTTGGATTATTGAGGTTCTACTGTATAATGTAAAATAGTTCACTGTAGTGGTCCATGTATGTTGGAAACTGAAGTGTTTGGATTATTGAGGTTCTACTGTATAAGGTAAAATAGTTCACTGTATTGGTTCATGTGTGTTGGAAACTGAAGTGTTTGGATTATTGAGGTTCTGCTGTATACATATGTAAAGGTAATCAATTCCCTGCAGTGGTCCATGTATGTTGGAAACTGAAGTGTTTGGATTATTGAGGTTCTACTGTATAAGGTTAAATAGTTCACTGTAGTGGTCCATGTATGTTGGAAACTGAAGTGTTTGAATTATTGAGGTTCTGCTGTATATGTAATTGTGTGGGACATTCATCTCTCCACAATTGTCAAATAAAAGAAGAAGATTTTGTTCTGTCATGGTTGATACCAAGAAATCACAAAAGTATCTAGATATTCAGTAATTCCAAGTATCAAATGAATTGTTGTTAAACAGTTCCTGCAGTGGTCCATGTATGTTGGAAACTGAAGTGTTTGGATTATTGAGGTTCTACTGTATAAGGTAAAATAGTTCACTGTAGTGGTTCATGTGTGTTGGAAACTGAAGTGTTTGGATTATTGAGGTTCACCTGTATACATATGTAAAGGTAATCAATTCCCTGCAGTGGTCCATGTATGTTGGAAACTGAAATGTTTGGATTATTGAGGTTCTACTGTATAAGGTTAAATAGTTCACTGTAGTGGTCCATGTATGTTGGAAACTGAAGTGTTTGAATTATTGAGGTTCTGCTGTATATGTAATTGTGTGGGACATTCATCTCTCCACAATTGTCAAATAAAAGAAGAAGATTTTGTTCTGTCATGGTTGATACCAAGAACTCACAAAAGTATCTAGATATTCAGTAATTCTAAGTATCAAATGAATTGTTGTTACCCAGAACAGAATTTTAGCCCAACTGAAGTGTTTGGATTACTGAGGTTCTGCTGTATATGTAAAAATAATCAATTCCCTGCAGTGGCTCATGTGTGTTGGAAACTGAAGTGTTTGGATGACTGAGGTTTTACTGTATAAGGTAAAATAGTTCACTGCAGTGGTTCATGTGTGTTGGAAACTGAAGTGTTTGGATTTGTGAGGTTCTACTGTATAGGTAAACAGTTCTCTGCAGTGGTCCATGTGTGTTGGAAACTGAAGTGTTTGGATGACTGAGGTTGTACTGTATAAGGTAAAATAGTTCACTGGAGTGGTTCATATGTGTTGGAAACTGAAGTGTTTGGATTATTGAGGTTCTGCTGTATAGGTAAACAGTTCTCTGCAGTGGTCCATGTGTGTTGATGCCTGTCTGGTCTGTTTCAGCTGCTAATGTGTTGTTATCGGAAAACGGAGATGTGAAGCTTGCAGACTTCGGTGTAGCGGGTCAGTTAACAAATACAACCAATAAACGGCAAACGTTTGTGGGCACGCCATTCTGGATGGCACCAGAAGTCATTAAACAGTCCGCCTATGATACGAAGGTAAGTCGTCAGTGAGTCTCCAACACAAACATTGGACATTTTTTTGTCCTACACTATTCTTTCATAAACAGTTGTCTGAGTGGCTGCATTTGGCTATGCAGAGTTGTGTCCCTTTGGCTTAACAGGAACCTAGTATCATGGGTTCAAATCCCAGATTCTTCCTGATTGTTTCTATGGTTGTCGGCACCATGCCTGTGTTTGTGGGTTTCACCAAAGTGATAAACGTTTAAGACCTGCATCACTTCATCACTTCAGACTTGCCATACACATTAAGCTGACATGCTGTAAACTGAAATGCTGTCCAAAGCGTTGTTAGACCTATCTCACTTATTTTGTAGTTACTGTGCATTTGCTTCTTTTCCAGGCTGACATATGGAGTTTAGGCATTACAGCAATCGAGTTGGCCAAGGGGGAACCCCCCAACTCAGACCTCCATCCTATGAGGGTCCTCTTCCTCATCCCCAAGAACAATCCGCCTCAGTTAGTGGGCAACTATAGTAGACAATTTAAAGAATTTGTGGAGCTTTGTCTGAACAAAGATCCAAACAATGTAAGTATTTGATCAGTTACTTTACTTGTATGTTTATTACTCCCACCACCTAAAAGGGCAGGGGGGGGGGCAGTCATATAAGGCGCCACGATTCGCTGTGCAGAGTTGCGTCCCTTGGGCACGCCAGAAAACTATGTGGGTTCGAATCCCGGTTTGCCCCGATTATGTTTCTAGGTAGGGCTTTTCATCCACATTAAGCGAACACGCCATGATATAACTGGAATACTGTTAAAAGCGGCGTTAAACCCAACTCACTCTCTCAATCCAAGTGCACAGGACCAAGCTCTGTCTTGATGTTGACGTCACTTTTCAATGAGTTAATACCAATGTTTTCAACTAGAAATAATCCAGCATGTTACTAGCTGAAATTTAACAGTCATTAAACAGGAAGTGCATGTTACATTCTTCCTCTTGAGGTAACTAAGGGTCAGGACTTTCTGTTTTTTAGTTACCTTGCACATGACTGTCTTTTCCCCCAACAGGAACTAGTATTCTTCAACTAGAATGGGTATGACTTTCTGATAAGGTAGCTATGGGGAAACTTGCTGTTTCCTGAACCACCAGAAGTGATGTCATTAAACTGAAAGTGTATACGCAGTTTCTTGACAAGCTACCATATATTGGCATCTAAAATGCGACCACCCTGTAGAAATCTTCCATATCAATGCTAATTTATACCCCTTGTCTGCAATGAGATCCCGTTGAAGCACATAAGCAGAGCATACAGTCTGCATACAGGCAGACTCCTGAACGCTGTGAAGTCACGCCGTGTATAAATAACTCTTGAAGCCAGCATTAAAGCCAATATCGTCACTGCCGTGTTGCAGAGACCGTCCGCGAAGGAGTTGTTGCGGCATCAGTACATGAGAAGAGCCAGGAAGACGGGCTACCTGGTGGAGTTGATAGACCGCCACAAGCGATGGAAGGCAGAACGGGCCAATGAAAGCGACAGCGACGATGACAGTGATGAGTGAGTTAGGCCTTGAACTGTTGTTTTTCCATAACTGTGATTTAATCATTTGAATGTAGGCAGTTAAATCTTTTATAATGGGAATCTGATAATGGGAATTAAAATGTGTCCGATAATGAGACACAGGGCTTGATCTTGCGACGGTCAGACTAGTTTAGCTTCAGTAACGTGATCATGTGACTGTTGTAGTTCTGATAATGGCAGCGATGAAGAAGTCATGAAGGAGGGATGGATCATGACTGTGAAGGAAGCTGACAGGACATTGATGATGAATGGCTTGAATGAACAAGTAAGTGCAGATTGGGAAGATGTACACACCTCATGCTGCAGGGGAGGATGTTGCAGTGCCAACATCGTCCCCAGAGGAGGACGATGTAGTTGTGCCAGCATTGTGCCCCGGGGAGGACGATGTTGTGCAAACATTGTCCCCTGGGGAGGATGTTGTCGTGCCAACATTGTCCCCCGGGAGGACGATATGCTGATGTTGTCACTCTGGTGAGGATGTTGTAGTGCAAACATTGTCCCTCAGGGATTATGTTATGTGCAGACGAGGTCACCCAGGGAGGACAGTATACAAACATTGTTACTCAAAGGACGATGTAGTTGTGCAAACATTGTCACTCTGGGAACAATGTAGTTGTGCAAACATTGTCACTCTGGGAACAATGTAGTTGTGCAAACATTGTCACTCTGGGAACAATGTAGTTGTGCAAACATTGTCACTCTGGGAACAATGTAGTTATGCAAACATTGTCACTCTGGGAACAATGTAGTTGTGCAAACATTGTCACTCTGGGAACAATGTAGTTGTGCAAACATTGTCACTCTGGGAACAATGTAGTTGTGCAAACATTGTCACTCTGGGAACAATGTAGTTGTGCAAACATTGTCACTCTGGGGACGATGTAGTTGTGCAAACATTGTCACTCTGGGGACGATGTAGTTGTGCAAACATTGTCACTCTGGGGAGGATGTTGTACATGGCTTAACAGGCAGAGGCGGTAATGTTGTACACTCACAAGGCAGGGTTGATGTTGTGCACTGCTCACATGGGAAGGAGGAGGATAACCAAGATTACACCTGGTCTGAAAGTGAAGTGCATGAAATATGGCTGTGGGATTTACTTGCTTATCTCAAGTCCAATAAGGACAATTCAAGACGTGGGAAAGAAAGAAGCATCCGTGCAGTAGATAGGAAAATATAGATAGCCAGAGAAAGCATGAATATCTACAAGCGCTGGTGTTCCGATTAATCATGATCCTTGGCCAAATGTTTACATTTAAATGTTAACAATTAAGGAAGTCCTTAGATTCAATTACTGTAGAGAAAGCCACAAGTATCCCTGTTAGTTTTGAATTTGCAAACACAACACATGCACGAGAGGGTTTGGATTACGTAACAATGACTTGTGCACATTCTAACAGCGAGTGTGTGGGTGAAAGGTCCAACAGAACTTGTGTCAGACTAGATAAGCTGTGACACAGGTTGCTGTGTGAGAGAATACTTGTGTTGAAGCTTGCACAGCAAAGATTAACCACCACAATATATTGCAGCCCACGAGAAGACAGTAATTAACAAGAGCTTGCTTCTCTTCACAGCATCAATGCTAATTGGGTTTTACTATGGTAAAATTGATCTGTAATATCCGATGTTTGGTGATGAGGTGGTTAAAGCATTGCCTCGTCATGCCCCCAAACTGGGTTCGATTTACAAATGAGTGCAATGTGTCAAGCCCATTTTGGTGTCACCCACTGCGATGTTGCTGGAATATTGCTCAAAGCGGTGTAAAACCATTCTCACTCACTGTCATAAGACCACTGGGTGATGATGTAACCTAGTGGTTAAAGTGTTGGCTTGTCACACCAGAAACTCAGGTTCGATTCCCCGCATGGGTGCAATGTGTGAAGCCCATTCTGGGTCTCTTCTGCTGGTACAGCTGGAATAATGCTACGACCGGTGAGAAACCAAACTCACTCACTCACATGCTCACAACACTACTAAAACTTGGCATCACAATGACCTCATTTTATTACTAGTACTTGGGGAAGCACCAATTGAACAGCTAGTTGTGATTGGCTCATAGGGCAGGTTTGACAGCTATGCTGTTCTTCAAGGCAAACACCAGTCAGACTGAATCAGAACCAGTACCTGACCGACTGTTTTGTCAAAAAAAATTCAACTTGTCCAGAGTTAGAAGTCAGTTTTTATTTTTCACTGGTAAATGAAAATGTACCTTATTATGAAAGTGGGAGTCCAAAAGGAAAAGTCCCTAGTCCTTCCTAAATTGAAATAGTTTCGGATTTTACCGGGAGGAACATGCAATGCCACCAACCTTACATCACGCATCAGTGGTACAGTAGACATGTATGTAGATATTGCCAACAGGTGCTTGGAGATTCCCAGTATATCAACATCAACATGAGCAATGGCTAGTTAGTTTCTAGGGGTAGAGATAGCAGACCTCCATGTTTACGTTACCAGAAAATTGGACACAAAGAAAATAGAGGAATAAGAATTAATATAAAACTGTGCTGAACATGTGGGATTATGATATCCACTACAATCTTTCTGGAAGTTGTTGTTAGATTCTTATTTTAAATTATCATTTTCATTCATATTTAAGACAGAAATATCCAACAGCATTGCAAAAGAAATCTGATTTAGGACTAATTCTGAAATGCGATCTTCTTCTGCACGACTCCTGGAGAATGTCTGAGTGTTGTGATCTATGTGTTCCTTGGCTCAACTGGCCATTTTGTTTGACTGCATGCATGCCTTGTGTTGTAGATGGCTCGTGTAAATAACCCAGTGCCTAAACGCCAGGCACCCCCTGTGCCACCCCCACAGAGTGACAATTCACTTCTCATTGAGGTATCCGACTTGACACCGAAGCGGTGACTCACTCACTCACTAACTCACTCTCTAAGTGCTCCCTCACTCACTCTAGCTGTTCACTTGCACTCCAACCTTGCTTCTTCTTGTTGAGTTTTACACTGGATATCATCTTTGTTTCTCTCACAAATATCTGTTGTTTTTTGTTGTCGTTATTTGTATGTTTGATTTTTACTTCTTCTTTTTTATTCTTTTCATATTACTTATTTGATACTGAAAGTAATATTCACCTGTTAACAGAATCAAAGTCTATTTCTTTCTTATATTTGACATATTTCTTTTGAATATTTCAAGTTTGTATTCTCGATAGCGAGATGTTCCTAGATAGGCTGTACGTATTCACCTTCACAAACTCTCTTTTACTAAGAGTTAATTCATTTGGAAATTAATATTGTCTCTTTGTCATTTAGGGAGAAAATTTAAGCCAAAGATATATTTGAAACCAAAGACCAATCCTTTTCAAATGTTGTTGTTTGGACACGAATGATGGAAAGAAAGTAATATGACCCGTGAGATTCAGTGTTAGAATTGTGTCAATGTACCCCAATGGTGTGTCAACATACCCCGATGGCGTGTCAAGGTCCCCCGATGGCGTGTCAACATACCCTGATGGCGTGTCAATGTACCCCGATAGTGTGGATCGTTGATCACAATATCAATCACTGGATTGTCGGGTCGATATTGTTATTTACAGACCGCCCTCATATAGCGGGAATACTGATGAACAACCATCAACAACAAAATCTGACACAAATGTTTTAGACCCGACTAATGACTTTCATCAATACCTGCCAGATGAAGGGATTCAATGTATATAATATAGATGCTGTCATTTTGAGTAGGATAAAAGTGAAGTATAATTCTGTGTGAAAAATAGATTTGCAAACCCACTAAAGAAGCTCTGAAATACAAGGTAGGATATTGTCAAGGAGGTTCTGATTGCTGTTGTAAAATGATATCGCTCAGATAACCACGTTCAAAGTGAATAGGAATCCTAAAAGTACTTCTAAATGATTTCTCAATTAAAGGCAAAGAAATCCCTATTTTTCAACTCTACTTCCAATCAGTAAATTGTAATAGATAGAGGAAGAGTGCCAGTTCTTTATCCGGCTATAAACATACTTTGTTTTTGCACAGTATGTCCCGATAAAGTGCTGGCACAAGTTCTCTATGTTAAAGCACTGGCAAATCCTCGAGTTCCAAGAACAGCAGATTGTGCAAACTCACCATGCACATTTAAAGCAGATTACACGATTTCATATGAGCTGTATGGTTTCTGCAGTCAAGTGTTTGTTGTTTGAGGCCTGTTATGCTAAAATATTCAAGTTTCACGAAGCACGAGAGTTTCACACCTCCATAAACTGTATACCTTTTGGTACTTTATCAGCATATGAATGTACTCCTCTTGGCCAAAATAGTGACCACCCATTGGACGAAAGTATTGGCCTGTGCTCTTATTCTGATTCCTAATCCAAGACCTGATGCTGTAGCCAGCTGGGGATATAAAACATTTGAATGGCTAATTGTGGTTGTTTTGAGTGCTGTGATTGATTCGAACGAGTTTTTTGCGGTTTTCTCTATTTACTCCAAACCAATATTTGCAGGTTTTGACTTGATCCAAAACCATAAGATTTGATGACATTTTGTACTTTTTATCCCATAAATTGTCTTTTTGAAACGTTTTCACTTTTATCTGAAAATTATGACTTAATGACTGTTTCAGCACTGATATTGTTAAAAAATATGTATTATTATAGATTTGTGGTAGTATAGCATACAAGCCTTAAAGGTGCTATAATATAATATTTTTGACATACTGAACAGTTTTATTTTGGCTAGAGAGTTTGTGAAGGATGAAGTGTGTACTAGCAGAATGATGCTTGTTTTCCTACAAGATCTGTTGTAGTTTATTTTTAGTCTTCACCGTATCATATTTCACTTCATTTACCATCACACTCAAATCACAAGATGAACAAACTAAACATTTAACTTTTATAGTCTCATTTATGATTTTCAAATTCCTAATATTCAGTAAATTTACAGTTGTTGGTTGACATGTGAGTGAAGGATTTCATTTTGAAAGAGTGAGAATTTTCTTTGAGACGTTTCAATTGGAGTTAAGTAAGCTAAGACAACAAAATATACACAGTTGAAAACAACATGTTAAAACACTGGGGAAAAGGAAGACTTCTTTCTGCTGCTTGTGTTTTAAAGATAAGGTGTGTGAACAGGTGTGTGCACTTGGCGTAAATCTGCTATGAGGATTTACATCGTGTGCACACCTGTTATGACGTTTGTACATACATGTAAACAATGTTGAAGTCGGTTCTTAAGTAAGTTGACAACCATTTCTTTTAGATTTGTTGGTGTCATTGAGTATCTGATACCTTGAAATTTCGTTTGAACTGAGTGTTCAAACCAGATAACACATTTTTGAAAGACTTATCCTATCTCATACTGTGCATTTCATCCTCCTTCTCCGGTCCTTGTGTCGAAATGATCCTAACACAAGTTTCCAGCTTAGAAACAAACACCACGTCTGTTGTGAGAAAGACACTTTACATCACTGTAGAACTACGTTATGAGACAGACACTTTACATCACTGTAGAACTACGTTATGAGACAGACACTTTACATCACTGTAGAACTACGTTATGAGACAGACACTTTACATCACTGTAGAACTACGTTATGAGACAGACACTTTACATCACTGTAGAAGTCTGTTGTGAGATAGACACTTTACATCACTGTAGAACTACGTTATGAGACCGACACTTTACATCACTGTAGAACTACGTTATGAGACAGACACTTTACATCACTGTAGAACTACGTTATGAGACAGACACTTTACATCACTGTAGAACTACGTTATAAGACAGACACTTTACATCACTGTAGAACTACGTTATGAGACAGACACTTTACATCACTGTAGAAGTCTGTTGTGAGATAGACACTTTACATCACTGTAGAACTACGTTATGAGACCGACACTTTACATCACTGTAGAACTACGTTATGAGACAGACACTTTACATCACTGTAGAACTACGTTATGAGACAGACACTTTACATCACTGTAGAACTACGTTATGAGACAGACACTTTACATCACTGTAGAAGTCTGTTGTGAGATAGACACTTTACATCACTGTAGAACTACGTTATGAGACAGACACTTTACATCACTGTAGAACTACGTTATGAGACAGACACTTTACATCACTGTAGAAGTCTGTTGTGAGATAGACACTTTACATCACTGTAGAACTACGTTATGAGACCGACACTTTACATCACTGTAGAACTACGTTATGAGACCGACACTTTACATCACTGTAGAACTACGTTATGAGACAGACACTTTACATCACTGTAGAACTACGTTATGAGACAGACACTTTACATCACTGTAGAAGTCTGTTGTGAGATAGACACTTTACATCACTGTAGAACTACGTTATGAGACCGACACTTTACATCACTGTAGAACTACGTTATGAGACAGACACTTTACATCACTGTAGAACTACGTTATGAGACAGACACTTTACATCACGGTAGAACTACGTTATGAGACAGACACTTTACATCACTGTAGAACTACGTTATGAGACAGACACTTTACATCACTGTAGAAGTCTGTTGTGAGATAGACACTTTACATCACTGTAGAACTACGTTATGAGACAGACACTTTACATCACTGTAGAACTACGTTATGAGACAGACACTTTACATCACTGTAGAAGTCTGTTGTGAGATAGACACTTTACATCACTGTAGAACTACGTTATGAGACAGACACTTTACATCACTGTAGAACTACGTTATGAGACAGACACTTTACATCACTGTAGAAGTCTGTTGTGAGATAGACACTTTACATCACTGTAGAACTACGTTATGAGACAGACACTTTACATCACTGTAGAACTACGTTATGAGACAGACACTTTACATCACTGTAGAAGTCTGTTGTGAGATAGACACTTTACGTCACTGTAGAACTACGTTATGAGACAGACACTTTACATCACTGTAGAACTCTGTTGTGAGATAGACTCAGATATCGTAAGTTCAGATATCAGTGTGTTGCATTAAGCTTAACCCTATATGTTCTGATGTTGGTGTGATTGTTGGATTTAGCTTAACCTCGTAAGCTCAGATGTTAGTGAGAGTTGAATTTAGCTTAACCCTGTAAGTTCAGATGTTAGTGAGTGTCGGATTTATCTTAACCTCGCAAGTTCAGATGTTAGTGAGTGTCGGATTTATCTTAACCCTATAAGTTCAGATGTTAGTGAGTTTTGGATTTATCTTAACCCTATAAGTTCAGATGTTAGTGTGAGTGTCGGATTTAGCTTAACCCTGTAAGTTCAGATGTTAGTGTGGGTGTCGGATTTATCTTAACCCTGTAAGTTCAGATGTTAGTGAGTGTTGAATTTAGCTTAACCCTGTAAGTTCAGATGTTAGTGAGTGTTGTTGAATTTAGCTTAACCCTATAAGTTCAGATGTTAGTGAGTGTCGGATTTATCTTAACCCTGTAAGTTCAGATGTTAGTGAGTGTCGGATTTAGCTTAACCCTGTAAGTTCAGATGTTAGTGAGTGTTGAATTTAGCTTAACCCTGTAAGTTCAGATGTTAGTGTGAGTGTTGGATTTAGCTTAACCCTGTAAGTTCAGATGTTAGTGTGAGTGTCGGATTTATCTTAACCCTGTAAGTTCAGATGTTAGTGAGTGTTGAATTTAGCTTAACCCTGTAAGTTCAGATGTTAGTGAGTGTTGTTGAATTTAGCTTAACCCTATAAGTTCAGATGTTAGTGAGTGTCGGATTTATCTTAACCCTGTAAGTTCAGATGTTAGTGAGTGTCGGATTTAGCTTAACCCTGTAAGTTCAGATGTTAGTGAGTGTTGAATTTAGCTTAACCCTGTAAGTTCAGATGTTAGTGTGAGTGTTGGATTTAGCTTAACCCTGTAAGTTCAGATGTTAGTGTGAGTGTCGGATTTATCTTAACCCCGGTAAGTTCAGATGTTAGTGAGTGTTGAATTTAGCTTAACCCTGTAAGTTCAGATGTTAGTGAGTGTTGTTGAATTTAGCTTAACCCTATAAGTTCAGATGTTAGTGAGTGTCGGATTTATCTTAACCCTGTAAGTTCAGATGTTAGTGAGTGTCGGATTTATCTTAACCCTATAAGTTCAGATGTTAGTGAGTTTTGGATTTATCTTAACCCTATAAGTTCAGATGTTAGTGTGAGTGTCGGATTTAGCTTAACCCTATAAGTTCAGATGTTAGTGTGAGTGTCGGATTTAGCTTAACCCTATAAGTTCAGATGTTAGTGTGAGTGTCGGATTTAGCTTAACCCCGTAAGTTTAGATGTTAGTGTGAGTGTCGGATTTAGCTTAACCCCTGAAGTTCAGATATCAGGAACCATGGCTCAGCTCCAGCTTCTAAAGTTTCTTCTACAGAGGAATTTCCCAGTAGATGAACAGTCTGCAGAAATTGCTTCCATGGAAGAAAGATTATTTATTCCCTCTGAACAGAATAACTTCAGGACAGCATATGTTCCATATGCTCAAAACAAATGCAGTCTACAATTAACCAGAATCTTTATATCCAACTTACCCTTCATGTCATATATTGTTTGATTTTGTTCTGTATATTTTGTTAGTGTATCTCCTCATACTTCCTCTGTTATATTTCCCTCTTGAAATGACATCCGCTTGCAACACCTTACTTTGTTGTGTCTATTTACTGTTATAAAGGTTATGTTGTCTGTGTTTGTTTCCTAATGGCCTTCATAATGATCATTATGTTTAACCCAATGACAAATCTCTTCAAAATGATGGTCTCTATGAATAGCCGCAAAATTGCATCCTAAAGGAATATTCAGTAATTGCTCTTTGAAACTACAAAAGCTAATATTGATTTGAATTTGAAAATTCAAAACAATGTAAGTTGAGCTACCCTTTTTGGAAAAGTGTTCCAATCTTTCAACTGGATCCATTGATGCAATTGGTTATGGACAAAGTTGAGAGTGATCTCCCTTAGTTGAATTAACCTTGACCTTGTGTGTTTCTGTTTCTCCCTTGCGTTTGTTTGCTGTGAACATGTGTGATACTGCCTATGTATCCCTATAACATATCACAAAGTTGATTAACAGTAAAAGGACTATTTATATAATATATAAGCACCATAATTTTTATAACTTATTTCATGCTGTTAAAAATTAAGTTGAAAACCAACTCTTCCTAACTTTGAATCAACTGTCTTGTTGTCTGCTGTGTAGAATAAGATGTATGTAACATAAGTGTGTATGTGAGAAACTTGTATATTGTTGAGCCACATTTTTCCAGAACAATCGTGGTCGGGGGTTTAAGCAAGATATGCCTCCTCCTCCATACCCCAAACCTTATGGTATGGGCGTAGGGCAAAAACCGCACTCTGCCCATAACCTGTATCCAGGCCCAGTACAAGTAAGTTGCGTGCTCATATATGCTCGTATTCCCTGTCAAGGTGATACGAGTAGTAACCCTTATATAACCTCTACTATTGGTTCATTAATCACCACTCAATGACATATACTGTTTAATGGTTGCAAAGTAACACTCACATTTCTTATATATGTTTATATTTACATTTGAAAAATAATGAAAATCAGAGCAAAATGTTTGCAATTTTCGAGTTGGCTCATTCCTTAATGTTGAGCCAGATTATTTCTTGGTGAATATATTTTTATTTTGGGGTCATTTGAGAGTTGCTTGCAGCATCAGTTATGTACACACAACATTCATACTGACTGCACCACAAAACACTTGCCCAACACTGATGTTCACAATAGTGTCACAGTAAAGACTTCTATTAACCCTCAGTGTAGCCCAACATCATGAACCCTTTAACCACACTACCCAGCCTTTCCTGTTGTGGTTGGAGGGTTAACATTCAGTTGAGTGAATGGCCACTAGGTGTCCCTACGTAGTAACACTTCATTTGACAGAGGGGAAAATGGGTTTGGATGTAAAATAACGTATGTCCTCTTTAGTGCATAACCCACATCCATCGATTGGAATATCGCGTAGCTGAATCAGAGACTCTTCCATCGCCATCACTACATACTGCACCTGTAGAAACACATAGACTGCACTGATTTGTAGTTTTGCACGATGCACGCTTACGAGAAAAGGCCACAACAGATGAAGAACTTGTTCTTTGTCAGAGCCCGATGTTTTTGTGTTGGTATTTTTATGTTTTTTGTGGCAGCGATATTGAACTATTAACTAAATCTTTGATTAAAAAAATGTCACTGTGAAAGAAAAATAAAAATAAATCGGAACAAGTGATGAATTTATTGTGGCCTAAAAATTATGATTTTCAATTTCATGGTTTGTATAAAGTGTTTGATGTACTTTAACCCTCGAAACCCTGAAATATAACTTGGATGCATTGAGATAGCTGCTTATAATACCATGCATTACGGTGAAGGGATTAGTTTTAAGGAAGTGTATTTTAACAGGCAGCAATCACATCCCTCTCACTGGACTACTGACAGAAAGTACATCAATATTTTATATAAGGAACCTATAAGTATTGAAAACCATAGTTGATGTATACCTTTATTGAATAGAGTTAATATGATGTGTATATTCCCTATTTTAACTTTCTGGTAGCACTAGATATTGTACGTAGTAGACTGAACCCAGCTAAGTCATTAATCCCCATCTCCATGCATGCTTCATATGTAATAGACTGAAGAAAACAGGTGAGGGTTCATGAATATTGGGGGGACATATTTGTTGGAGTCAAATATCCCCTAAATAGCCATGATCCCTACCTTGTTTGGTTCAGAATATATTGTTTAGTGTTTGAATTTTGTTGGTTTCTTTTCATGATGCTAAGATAATTTTGTTTTTATTAAGAATATTAAATGACAGGTGTTTTAAACTGAACTGTGATTATTTATTATTTGTTTCAAATATCATACATATGCATGTGCATGAATTTAATCTTTCATACCTTTCCTTGATTTATTTCTGATTGTTTCTTATAATATGTTTGTTTTTTCTGGTTTAATCATTATTGTTTCCTTTGATTAACCTCCTGTTGCCCCCATCAGCCCCTTTGCTAACAAGCATAATGAGAGGGCAGACATGCACAAGTTAAACTGTTTGAACGTAACAATGCACTGTTGTCATGGTTATGAAAACTGATGAATACAGTTATACAAGTACCATACAAGATAGTTTTGCTGCTCAGCCCATGTGCAGTACTGTAAATATGCACTTTGTACTGCTGCAGGCTCCGTCCCACAAAGCATCTCAGTACATGACTGGCGTAGGTATATGTTAAGGCATTGGAGTTACCATCACCTTAGTGGTAAGATGCCTTAGCGGAATGAGGCCAGGGTGCTTATGATGGCAAGATCTCAATGTGACACAGGGTAATGAGAACTGGACACTTGTGAAGTGAAAGAGTCCAGACACAGTCTCCTGTTCTTCAAAGCCGTCTACTTAGTGCTACGACTGTCTGAAGTCTATGGTAAAGTTCCGATCACCTTAGCACTAAGATGTTGTTGTGGAATAAGGCTCAAGTCCGTTCCACAATGCAAACCTAGCACTAGGGCTATTGTAAGTATTTGAGTTGACCTTCATAGCGTCATGCTTTTGTGGAACAAAGTCAAGGTCAAGGCTGTAATATTGCTACCAGCGATAGAGCCTTTACAGACTTTACACGTCGATTATGTTTCTAGGTTCTTCAGAGCCATACCCGTGGGTTTCACCAAAGTGGTATCTGTCTGAGACCTGCATCACTTCAGTCTTTAACCCACTGCAAGCTGACATGCCGTGATATAACTGGAATACTGTTTAAAGCGTCATTAACACAAACGCACTCACTCACTCCCATGTTTCACTGCATTATTTTGGGGGAATAATGCTTTTCCTTTGATAATTTTTATATCGTGATGTTTTGGTTTGTTAATGTGTTCTGATTGAATATTGTTTTTCTTCCAAATGTCACCATAGCAATATGTGTTTTATTGCCCTCTCATTATGCCTACTGTGTGTTTTCTCTTTCTCTCCCTCCCTATTCCCTCTACCCCGCCCCTCCCTGCCCCTCCCTCCCCCTCCCTCAGGCATGTGCTAGTGTTGACCATATCTTGCTGCTCTCTTCTAGCATGTCAGTGGTGGTCAAGTTAATCATGGTCGAAGTGAGTCTGCCCCTGTTTTGACAGAGTCCCAAAATGATTTCGTAAGTTAAACAAATTTTACCCTTGCCACACTGTGGCACAACATTTTGCATCTATTTGTGTTGACATTTTGTGTTCAATTGTTTTTTCACAGATCGAGTTTTGTTGCATAGCAGTGATTTCAAATTGCCAGCCTAATTTGCTTTTAAAGTATTTATGCTAAGATCGATGTCACTACATCTTTTATGCCATTGCTTGATTGTAATGACCTTTTTATCTAAGATGGCAATAAAAGCTTGTTTTCACTGTGCCTTTTCCAACGCTTCCATCCTTGCAATGTGAAATGATTTACAATTTTGCCTTAATACTTCTTTCTTCCTACTCACTGTGACTGTAACCCTCTTGTCTGTATGGCACCATGTATGTTGTACATCGTTGTACTTTCATGGCTGCCGTCAGATGGTTCCAGATGTTTTATAACATTAAACCACTTATAGAACCTCTTTCTGGAATGCATCATCAAGTTCACAGGTTTGTTTACACTACGGCACCCTTGAATATATACAGCCAATATGTAGTCAAGTTGTCACATACATCTATTTTCTCAAACCCTACCATTGCCTTTGGGTTTAAGTAGAAACTATTGCTGAGTGTGCTAATATAGTTTTTGAAGAGAAGACCTACCTATCTTTAGCTCGTTCAAGCATTTGCTTGTTTTGTTTGTTTGTTTGATGTTTAACGCCGCACTCAGCAATATTCCAGCTATATGACGGTGGTCTGTAAATAATCAAGTCCAGTGATTGATATCATAAGCATTGATCCACGCAATTAGGATACAATGACACACATCAACCAAGTCAGCGAGCCTGACCACCGGATCCTGTTAGTCGCCTCTAACGACAAGAATAGTCGTCTTTTACGGCAAGCATGGGTTGCTGAAGACCTATTCTACCCCGGATCTTCTCAAAGCATTTGCATAAGTGACTTTACAAAAATGTTTTGGAACCCAAAGGTCTTTACCACCATGTTTGTATTCTTTCCGATGTAACCTGAGAGGTCATTGGTCAGAACACTCGCTAGTTTCTCTCTCACTTGAACCAGGCTGTGATTTGATTCATGGGTTAAAAAGCAACTTCATCGCATACTGGCCGTATGTGTTCGCCTGTGATGGTGGAACATAGTGTAGAGAAAGTCTGTGAAGTATTGACAATGCTTTCCGGAATCCTCCTCATGAATTTTAGCTGCCGTGTTGCTGGAATAATTCATTTTACTTGTATGAAAAAACACCCATTTTAAGGCTCGGGTTCATATTGCTAATGTGTGGAAAAGTTGGGTTTTTTATATTCAATCCTACCAGCACAATATTGTATGTCATAACAATCTGTTGTTCTCTAACCATTGCCTAACTGTTCATTTTGTTCTTCATCACTGATACCAATGTTATGTAGTGTATTAACAGTGTGTCACTTGTATATACAGATATTCATAGCATCAGTAATCTGTAATCATCTACAAACCAAGTATTATACATAGTATAGGATAATCATTGTTAACATCCACATACTCAATATTATACATTGTAAAGGATAATCAGTGTTATCATCCACATACCCAGTGCTATACATTGTACAGGATAATCAGTGTTATCATCCATATACCCAATATTATAAATTGTACAGGATAATCAGTGTTATCATCCACATACCCAGTATTATACATTGTACAGGATAATCAGTGTTATCATCCATATACCCAGTATTATAAATTGTACAGGATAATCAGTGTTATCATCCACATACCCAGTATTATACATTGTACAGGATAATAAGTGTTATCATCCATATACCCAGTATTATACATTGTACAGGATAATCAGTGTTATCATCCATATACCCAGTGCTATACATTGTACAGGATAATCAGTGTTATCATCCACATACCCAGTATTATACATTGTACAGGATAATACGTGTTATCATCCACGTACCCAGTATTATACATTGTACAGGATAATCAGTGTTATCATCCACATACCCAGTATTATACCTTATACAGGATAATCAGTGTTATCATCCACATACCCAGTATTATACCTTGTACAGGATAATCAGTGTTATCATCCACATACCCAGTATTATACATTGTACAGGATAATAAGTGTTATCATCCACATACCCAGTATTATACCTTGTACAGGATAATCAGTGTTATCATCCACATACCCAGTATTATACATTGTACAGGATAATCAGTGTTATCATCCACATACCCAGTATTATACCTTATACAGGATAATCAGTGTTATCATCCACATACCCAGTATTATACATTGTACAGGATAATCAGTGTTATCATCCATATACCCAGTGCTATACATTGTACAGGATAATCAGTGTTATCATCCACATACCCAGTATTATACCTTATACAGGATAATCAGTGTTATCATCCACATACCCAGTATTATACCTTGTACAGGATAATCAGTGTTATCATCCACATACCCAGTATTATACCTTGTACAGGATAATCAGTGTTATCATCCACATACCCAGTATTATACCTTATACAGGATAATCAGTGTTATCATCCACGTACCCAGTATTATACATTGTACAGGATAATCAGTGTTATCATCCACATACCCAGTGTTATACATTGTACAGGATAATCAGTGTTATCATCCACATACCCAGTATTATACCTTATACAGGATAATCAGTGTTATCATCCACGTACCCAGTATTATACATTGTACAGGATAATCAGTGTTATCATCCACATACCCAGTGTTATACATTGTACAGGATAATAAGTGTTATCATCCACGTACCCAGTGTTGTACATCCTATCATCAGCGACAGGCTAGGCTTGGAATACATACTCACACCTACCTCTAGTTAAAGTAGATAGCGAGGCGGTCGGGTAGCCTAGTGGTTAAAGCGTTCACTCGTCACGCCGAAGACCCGGGTTTGGTTCCTGACATGGGAACAATGCGTGAAGCCCATTTCTGGTGTCCCCCGCCGTGATATTGCTGGAATATTGCTAAAAGCGGCGTAAAAGCAAACTCACTCACTCACTCAAGTAGATAGCTGAATGGTGGCTTGCTATTTAAAAATAAAAAGGACGCAGCTCTTCTGTTCTTTGTCAAAGCCAATGTCTGCTTAGAAGTTGCTTTCTATCACCAGTATTTGGTCACCTTCTCTCAGTAAACTAGGGAGGAGGCCATATTAAGTCGCTATTCGCCAACTAGAAGTCAATCTCTATGTTAATTTGCTCTCTTATTTTTAGATAATTTATTTGTTAAGTGTTTAGAATTGATTCCTTCTGAAACTCCAAGTGTTTTTTTTATTGATGCAATGTATGTGCACTGATATTGTGTGGCATGACCTGTGCGATGTTGTCTTATTCAGTGTCGTAGCTTTGTATATGCCAATGTAACACTATTGTCATTAACCAATCACATCATGGTAGAGCAGTAACCTCGCAGTACTGTGTCAGACTGTTAGCTCAATACCTGGGGAGTCATCCTGGTTGTGGTGTTTTTTTGCATTTTGACCGGTTCATCTTCTTCCAGTCCCAAGGCTCTAAACATCTCCGTAGTCGGTCGGACATTGCTCAGCCCGTCACACCACCCAAATATAATACACCCCCTCAACAGGAAGTAAGTTATAGGGGAGACCACTCCTGTTGTATAGCTCTTGTAAACAGTTACCTTTGTTATAGATAAAGTGAACAAAACTTTGTAAATTCCTCATCAATCGAATTGATGAAAGATACCTTTGGAAGTTCACCTTGTGCCATTGTTTTAGATTAAGTGTACAGTACTTTGTAAATTCCTCCATCAAATAAATTCATTTACATCATAACAGAAACTACTTCTGATGGTGAAATTCTCAGAGCATTAAGTATTCGGAACGAAATGCAAACAATAGTGCCCGGTTTCCTGGCTAACAACTGTTCAATTTGCCTTCAGCGTTACGCCATGAGGCCTAAATCTCAATACGATATGCCAAACAATAGCCATTCCAATCCCCGGCCTACCCCGCCACCTCAGTATGGCCGTCCACCACATGGGTATTCCAATGTAAGTTGTTTTCTTGTCCGCATGTACATGTATCCTGCTGTAGCCAACCAACTTGAGTTCCTGCTTCCATCCTCGTACATCCAGAATGTTGGCACTTGGCCATCCACTGTCTGCCTGGTTGCAGCACTGCATGCTTACCCCTTGTATATACTCACATCACTGCCAACTGTCCCAAACATTTCGTATTTGTTATGAAATTCATGCAAACAATAGGCCAAGCTATGAGAACAAAAGTCACAAGGACATGGTAAGCTTGGAGGGGACGCTGGTGTCATGTTTTAGCCTTACGTCTGCTACAGACACATCTTGTTTATCGACTGATACGAAGTCTATTTATGGTGTTGCATTCTTCCAATCAAGACACTCCACTTTTGTTATAGAGAGTTGCTGTTGTCGAAATAGAAACTTAGTGATTAAATTTTCAACAGAGTTTTTGAATCACATGGCTGTATTGGACTGTAGCAGCATGGTCGGGCTATAGAGTCCCACCAGAAGATCATAACAAACTACTATATGTTATTGAGGAAAGTTGGCAGCTATGTATTCACAAACCCACATAACTACATGATATTTCTTCTACAAATGTCCTCGTAAAAATGTAGATACACAACACTAACACAAATATTGGCAGGTATATATTGGCCTGTGATATGAACCTTAGAGTACTGGTATCAGTTAATATTATCTAGTCATTATAAGTGTGGTGGTCAAGTGAGAGTGGCCTCCCTTGTTGGCCAGTATCTATAGTGTCATTTCTCCTAGGAAGTAACAGGGGGGTGTCACGCAACCTTGTTTACACCCAGGCTGATACAGCGTCACAATCAACAATCTCACACACAGTTTTCTATCTTCTCTTTCAACTGTTTCTCACAGTTAAGAATATTGACAAGATCATTTCCTGGCTGCTATTTGTGTGTAACAAGTGTCTTGCCCTGTTGAAAAATATGTATTTCTTGGGTCACCTTAATTTGTTGATAACAAGTGCGCTAACAGTGAATGCACTGACAAGATAGATGTTGTGTAGAGTATTGTGTTATTTTTTGTTAAAATTATTCTGTTCGACTCCCTTTACAAAGATTGGTCACCAGTAAGTAACATATGTAGAATATAATTTGCGAGTTTTTGAAAAGATTCTGTGTTGTAAGTGAAATGCTGGGTTGGTCTGGTCCCTGGAAACAGTAGTTTATTATTTTGCCTCGTTGTCCCGAACGGACTGGCAGGCTGGTTCTGTTTCAAGCTCTGGCTTTAGAACGGAGGTTCGTACATATATCCATGCTTCCGAAACACGTACTCCTTGTACTAACACCTTACAACCTATCTACTCTTCCGTCAGCTGATTAACATACTAAACCCCTATACCCACTCAACACAAATACACAGACCATCATAGGTCCTGGTGTACAGGCGGTGTTCACACACTGGGCAAGTGATCGATCCATGAAGCGGAATACATTCAGTTGGGGCTGGGTGTGGTAGCATTAAGCTCCTCTATTGACTTGAGTTCAATTCAGGGAAGTATGCCTTGAAAATCTTTGTCAGTGTGCTAATGCGATTGTCATTGATGGTAGAAGTTAACCGTTGTGTAAAAGTACATTTGAAGTCTATTTGTGGAGGGAGGGGTTTGATCATTCTTTTTAAGTTCTTTTGTTCAGTGTCGCAGACCTTTTGACAATACAAACTAAGAGTATGTTGTTGGGTACAATGCTGAGATTAATGTTCGACAAATATGTTGATTTCTTAGTATTTGGGTATGGTATTCTGTATGTTTGTCTGGATGGGTGGGTCAGACTTTGTTAACATATGGTAAATTAATAGCTTTTGACCTTTCTAGTCATAGGTGTTTTTTATATGAATATGTAATGTGTATGTGAAAAATAGATACATGTGCCAGCAATTGAAGATGGGATGGGTAGATGTCAAGATGGGATGGGTAGATGTCAAGATTGGATGGGTAGATGTCAAGATGGGATGAGAACATTGGAAGATGGGATGGGTAGATGTCAAGATGGGATGGGTAGATGTCAAGATGGGATGGTTAGATGTCAAGATGGGATGGTTAGATGTCAAGATGGGATGGTTAGATGTCAAGATGGCATGGGTACATGTCAAGATGGGATGGTTAGATGTCAAGATGGGATGGGTAGATGTCAAGATGGCATGGGTACATGTCAAGATGGGATGGGTAGATGTGAAGATGGGATGGTTAGATGTCAAGATGGGATGGGTAGATGTCAAGATGGCTAGATGTCAAGATGGCTAGATGTCAAGATGGCATGGGTAGATGTCAAGATGGGATGAGAACACTGGAAGATGGGATGGGTAGATGTCAAGATTGGATGGGGGAACATGATTGGGTGAATACATGATGTGAGGATGGGATGGGAGTGTTTTGTGCTTGAAGAGAACTGGTAAGATACTACAGAATATGCATGTTTTTTTTCTGATAATAAAAATTGTATATAATATAGTCTGCTAGGTATTGGTGAAAGGCAAGGCAACATATTATGCACCCATCACTCATGTCGATATTGAATGCTTGACTGTTACCAAAAGGAAGGTAATGGATGCTGTGAGTCTTCTCTTGCTCTAAAACCTCAGGATGTCTTTGAATACGAGAGGTTTCTACATAAATACATGTATAGTTATGCAAACATCAGTCTGTTCTCAAGTATGTACAAATATTTATTTTCAGAATACATCAAATGAAATGTTAACATCAACATTATTTGAGGAGAGATAATATTTCTACCATGTTAATTGCTTGTATCAGAGATGCGTACTGACTGAGGTTTGTTGTCAGTGATGCTAACAGGAAGTCCTCTAACTTCCAGCAAGCCAAGCAGCATGCACCTCAGCCGCCCAGACAGAAGGAGAATGACATCCAGCCTTCACCGTCGGCTACTCTCACCTGTGCGATACACCCCACACTCTCTCAGGTGAGACACCCCACACTCTCTCAGGTGAGACACCCCACACTCTCTCAGGTGAGACACCTCAGTGTTCTCTGCTCCGCATCTCTTAGAACTGGAATCTGTGCTGACCAGATGTGTATCGGTTGGACAAAATGGCTGTTCACAATGTATTAGATTAATCCTTCGTTTTTCATCCCCCTCCTGCTTCACTACAAAAGCCCTGCTTCATTTCTATTTCTTGTCCCCAAGTTAGAAACGGGTGGGCGAGTCAGAGGTTTAATGATTGACAGTCCTTAACTAAAGACAAAGTCATACGGAGGTTTGGCTATTAAAGACCTAATAAATAATGCAGAGTGACCATAAGGTAGGTTACTAGTTGGCCTGATCAGGACCCTGTTCAACAAAGCGATCGTAGGGTTAAGATGATCGTAACTCTCATACTTTAACATTGACACACGACAGTCGTAGCACTAAGATGATCGTAACTCTCATACTTTAACATCGACACGCGACAGTCGTAGCACTAAGATGATCGTAACTCTCCTACTTTTACATTGACACACGGCAGTCGTAGCACTAAGATGATCGTAACTCTCATACTTTAACATTGACACACGACAGTCGTAGCACTAAGATGATCGTAACTCTCCTACTTTAACATTGACACACGACAGTCGTAGCACTAAGATGATCGTAACTCTCATACTTTAACATTGACACACGACAGTCGTAGAACTAAGATGATCGTAACTCTCATACTTTAACATCACACGACAGTCGTAGCACTAAGATGATCGTAACTCTCCTACTTTAACATCACACGACAGTCGTAGCACTAAGATGATCGTAACTCTCCTACTTTAACATTGACACACGACAGTCGTAGCAATAAGATGATCGTAACTCTCCTACTTTAACATTGACACACGACAGTCGTAGCACTAAGATGATCGTAACTCTCATACTTTAACATTGACACACGACAGTCGTAGCACTAAGATGATCGTAACTCTCCTACTTTAACATCAACTCACGACAGTCGTAGCACTAAGATGATCGTAACTCTCATACTTTAACATTGACACACGACAGTCGTAGCACTAAGATGATCGTAACTCTCCTACTTTAACATCGACACACGACAGTCCTAGCACTAAGATGATCGTAACTCTCCTACTTTAACATCGACAAACGACAGTCGTAGCACTAAGATGTTCGTAACTCTCATACTTTAACATCGACTCACGACAGTTGTAGCACTAAGATGATCGTAACTCTCCTACTTTAACATCGACAAACGACAGTCGTAGCACTAAGATGACCATATCTCTCCTACTTTAACATCGACACACGACAGTCGTAGCACTAAGATCCCTTTGTGAAACAGGGCTGTGGTGTGTTCATGAATCATGTCAGTGTGATATATATCTGAGATGACATTCTTTTAATTTTTTTGTGATACTTTGCAGTAATTATACCTAAAAGTTAAAATGTAAGTGTCACCCCAGCCACATGGATGTTTTATTTTCAATATCCCTACATTTATTCCCTCATCTGACCCTGACAGCTGAAAGACGACTATCGCGATGAGTACAGGCGCCTGGGACGTCCCGTCCAGAAAACGGAGGCCATTGATGAGTTGCAGAATGCATTTGATCTGGCTGAGAAGTCCTGTCCCGGGCTGGCTGATGACCTCATCTCTGGGATACTCAATCGTTTAGGGACACCATCTTTGAGTGAAATGGACATTAGACGGGCAGTGGACAAAGTCAAAAGGTGAGAGCACGGACATTTGTAGCAGCCTCAAGTTTCTTGTAAGCTACAAAGGTGAGTTCATTTCTTCAAGCCCAGTGATGATCTGGGTTAGAATTGGTCTTCAGGAACTCTTGCTTGTCATAAGCAGCGAACACCTGGATCAAGTAGTCAGGCTCAGTGACTTGGTTGATGCATGTCATCAAATTCCAAATGCTCATGATGTCAATCACTGGATTGTCTGGTCCAGACTTGATTAGTTACTGGATGCCGTCATACAGCTGGAATATCGCTGAGAGAGGCATTAATCAGCAATCAATCAATCATTTCTTCAAGGTTGACACTTCTGTGGATGTGTTTTGTTTCAAGTAGCCATCCAAATCTAAACTTCAGACACATTTTGTTCTCTGACAAGAAGCGTGCAAAAAATACATTTTCACAAGTGACTATTTCCCTTGCAGACCTTCCTAGGACCAACTTGAGTGAGCGACTGTAACAACTCCTACTGCACTGTTGTTACACTGTATATAGACAATTCCAAGATAACTACTACGCCAATTACTGACTTGATGCCGATGTGGACTGACGGAGCTCATGAACGTTACATGAACAGTCTGCATCTACCGACACCATTCCTAAACTTAGTAGCTGCAGATGTCATCGTCGCTCCGGGATAACCAGAGATCCTGAAACAGGTTCCTGGATTTTGTTCTGCATTGCCAGCGGTTTCATCTTCATCAGCTTGTTGGTGGTGAGGAGTTGTATAGGAGGAGTTATGTCCCCTGTATAGGAAGAGTTATGTCCCCTGTGTAGGAAGCGATGTCCCCTACAACAGCAGAAAGAGCAATACCATGGAAACAGTTGAGTTCAAAGTTGGATAGTGCTCGTTTTTGTGTTTCATACAGGTTTTGTTGGAGCAGTACTCCTTGAACTGTTGCTTGGGAAGAAAAGGTGTCTATGAAGGTTTTCTCTCAAATATTCACAAGATGTATTTGTGCTTGATCATGTGGAATTGTGCCATGATGTGAGCGTTGACCAAACATGAGCTTGAGATCTTCCAATGTAGATTATTTCATTGATTCCATTTGTTGTTGCACTTTATGAGAAGCGGGATGGATCAGACGCTGATGCCATGCTTTCGAGATGGTTATTGTCACCTGGTGGATCAGACGCTGATGCCGTGCTTATGAGATCGTTATTGTCACCTGGTGGATCAGACGCTGATGCCGTGCTTACGAGATCATCATTCTGACCTGATGGATCAGACTCTGATGTCATGCTTACGAGATCGTTATTGCCACCTGTTTGATCAGACGCTGATGCCGTGCTTACAAGATCTTCATTGTCACCTGGTGGATCAGACGCTGATGCCATGCTTACGAGATCATCATTGTCACCTGGTGGATCAGACGCTGATGCTGTGCTGACAGATCGCCATGTGACCTGACAGATCAGATCGTCCTCGACAATCACAGTTGAACACAAAGCCTACTACGGCTTGTATTTGCAAATGTTTGTGTTAGATGTTCCTTTGTCATGCAGGAGGATGGAGACGTAAACGTTGATCGCAGTGAACGATTCATCAACCTTCTGTAGGAACTAGGCGTACACGAGCCAGTGTGTGATCACATTCAGGTTCCTGTCAACGAGGGAAACAATGCAGCCAATTTAATTACTAACACCACTTGTTCCATTGGGGAAGAGTGTATGTTGTATTCCATACTAACATATAGGTATCCTCAAAGTAAACTCCATTGTTAACCTGACTGCAATCTATTGTATGCAACAGCAGTATGTATACTTCATGCACATGTGTATTCCAATGAATCAGTGATATCGTAGTGTAGCCGATCATGTAATGATATGTACCGGTAGTCCGTGATGACCCAGAGTTAAGTGGATGTATGTAAGGGGGGTAACTCTCACACATCTGTATTGGCAGTGCATTCCAGTATTACCATATTGAGATACCTCTTTCTCAGTCCGTCACTTAAATCCACTGTGTAGATTTGCCTCGCATGTGTCAAGGTTTGGACAGTAAAATTTCCTACCTGAAATACTCGTTTCTAAGATCCTGCGTTACGAAGTGACCCCACTGGCCAGCACTTCACGGTACTGTACTCCAGTATTTATAACGGAACAGCCTCCATGGTGCATGTTCAAAGTCATAGGGAAGTGACTATGATAGGGGTAGAAATTCCGGTAACAGATTTTACAGGTGTCATCTTTGCCGTGCTATTGCTGTATATGTGAGACCTGCAGGTCTGATGCATCTGTGTCATAGGAATCATTCTGTATCTACTGGTTTATTTATGAAACGTATTTAGCCACCTTGTGCCAATAGCTGCAGCTATTTCTTAGTATATGTCTGGGGGTTGGGAAAATATCTTCTTTCTTTACTGTTTCAACTGATGGATCAGGTGTCTGTTTGGCTATTCACATCGGTGGCAGCTGTCGCTATGGTTACTCAGTTGGTATCGGGTGGTATCCAAGTGGCTTTGGGACCTCAACTCAACCAATGTGACTGGTAACACAGCGCCAGTTGTCACTGTGGTTACATTGGTGGTACTATGGTTACACACATTTTGGTTGATTACACACAATGGTGGAAGTTGTCACTATGGTTACATACAGTGGTGGAAGCTGTCACCATGGTTGCACAAATTGGTGGCTGCTGTCACTATGGTTACACAGTGGTGGCTGCTGTCACTATGGTTACACACAGTTGGTGGAAGTTGTCAATATGGTTACACACAGTGGTGGAAGCTGTCACCATGGTTGCACAAATTGGTGGCAGCTGTCACTATGGATACACACAGTGGTGGCTGCTGTCACTATGGTTACACACAGTGGTGGCTGCTGTCACTGTGGTTACACACAGTGGTGGAAGTTGTCACTATGGTTACACAAATTGGTGGCTGCTGTCACTATGGTTACACACAGTGGTGGAAGCTGTCACCATGGTTGCACAAATTGGTGGCTGCTGTCACTATGGTTACACACAGTGGTGGAAGCTGTCACCATGGCTACATTTTTCGTATGTTGTACAAGTGCAGGACACTCAGGCTTATGGCTCTTCTTGTATATGGTTATATTTTGTTGGCAATGTTCAATTTTGAGTTTGATTTACCAAGTTAAGTTCAATCCACTGTTTATTTAGAAATGCAAGTTATGAAACACTTTCAAAGTTGTGTGTGTACAGAACCTCTTAAAGCTTAAACATATGAAGCCAAGTACCATACACTGTATGTGAACAGAATATGACATGTTGTTGCAAGTCTAGAAACTTGTGTGAACCAGTAATGGAGACCTCATCCATACACCCTTTCTACTCGCTGATATGGAACAAATTAGTAGCCTGTCTGACATGATACCAAGTAGGACTTCAGTGGACCTTTGTATGGTTCTGTAGAATGCCCACTGTCGGTGCCAGGGTGGTATGTATAGGTAGGGGGTGCCAGGGTGGTATGTATAGGTAGGGGGTGCCAGGGTGGTATGTATAGGTAGGGGGGGGGCCAGGGTGGTACGTATAGGTAGGGGGGTGCCAGGGTGGTGTGGTATAGGTAGGGGGGTGCCAGGGTGGTATGTATAGGTAGGGGGGTGCCAGGGTGGTGTGGTATAGGTAGGGGGGTGCCAGGGTGGTATGTATAGGTAGGGGGGGCCAGTGTGGTATGTATAGGTAGGGGGGTGCCAGGGTGGTGTGGTATAGGTAGGGGGGTGCCAGGGTGGTGTGTATAGGTAGGGGGGTGCCAGGGTGGTATGTATAGGTAGGGGGGTGTCCTGGCCGGCGTGGTATGTATAGGTAGGGGGGTGCCAGGGTGGTATGTATAGGTAGGGGGGTGCCAGGGTGGTATGTATAGTTAGGGGGGGGCCAGGGTGGTGTGGTATAGGTAGGGGGAGCCAGGGTGGTATGTATAGGTAGGGGGGTGCCGGGGTGGTATGTATAGGTAGGGGGGTGCCGGGGTGGTATGTATAGATAGGGGGGGCTGGGGTGGTACGTATAGGTAGGGGGGTGCCAGTGTGGTATGTATAGGTAGGGGGGTGCCAGTGTGGTATGTATAGGTAGGGGGGTGCCAGTGTGGTATGTATAGGTAGGGGGGTGCCAGTGTGGTATGTATAGGTAGGGGGGGCTGGGGTGGTGTGTATAGGTAGGGGGGTGCCGGGGTGGTATGTATAGATAGGGGGGGCTGGGGTGGTACGTATAGGTAGGGGGGTGCCAGGGTGGTGTGGTATAGGTAGGGGGGTGCCAGTGTGGTATGTATAGGTAGGGGGGTGCCAGTGTGGTATGTATAGGTAGGGGGGTGCCAGTGTGGTATGTATAGGTAGGGGGGTGCCAGTGTGGTATGTATAGGTAGGGGGGGGCTGGGGTGGTATGTATAGGTAGGGGGGTGCCAGGGTGGTATGTATAGGTAGGGGGGTGCCAGCAGGGGTGGTATGAAACAGGGATGAACTGCGGTGGTGTAGGCAAAGACCAATGACATTCTGTACTTTGACACAAAGAAATGGAGATGGCCACATGAAGATCCACTCATGTAACAGTCCAGACTTATGAAATATGCTGTCTTTACCTGAATACATACCACAAACATATGTTACCTAGGAAACAAATTTGTATTTCTTAAGTGATGTATTTTGTGCTGTTGTCATATGTATTAGGGTCGGGAAGATTCACAGTACATCTTATTTCACTATGACAATTTAATCAGGTCGCTGTATCGATACGAGATGATACAAAGTCTTCAGTATGGAACCAAATTTTGACTGGGCACAGTAAATTTCAGTTCATCGTAGCATTTTTCAGAGTTTGGCTTGTTTTCATCTATAAAATATAAACTCAGAGACAATGTTCTTGGATAAACTTTACGATCTTGTGTATCGTGATACTTATTGTATAGTGACTTTGTGTATCGTATCGTATCGTATCGTGATACTTATTGTATAGTGACTTTGTGTGTCGTATCGTATCATATCGTGACTTTGTTTCGCCCCGACTTTGTGTGTATCCAATGGTTACAGAGGGCAGGAAAGATGTATGGATGAGGTAAAGAGGTGTGGTAATGTGAAACATTGAAACATATCATATGTGTCAGATCTTATTTATGTATATACCAAACTAGAGAGATATATATTGTGTAGCTGTCACTCCAAGCTATACTATGTGATGCACAGTGTGTAAACATCTGTTGTGTTAATAATTGGAGCAAATTATGTCTGCCACAGTCCTGTGCTACACATATATTTTATTTTTGATTTAATAATGTATATATGGAGACAATTCATAAATGTGTACAGTATATCTAACAATGTATGATAGAAATAATTTTGTATTGTGTGCAAAATTCTACATTTTTGGCTGTATATTTCTTTCTTGTTTTTATATGTGTTCATTTTAATCACTGAACCTGTTGTACTTTTCATGTAGTGTCAGTAACCACTTAGTATTGTTTCAAATCCATCCATCTTATGGAGGTGGTCTTGTGCACCGTCAGTGACAGGTGTAACGCTAGGTAGAGTTATGTCCCTTAGATGCAAGGATCTGCTGCTTGGTTTGAATTCCCGATCTGCCCTGATTAAGATCCTTGGTTTGTTAGCATCATAGCCCTACTGGATTTCAATGATGTGGTAAACATGTAAGACCTGCGTCACTTTGGGCTTTCCTCCCACCTGCTGCAAATGTAAGACTGGGTACCGCTCTAAGTGGTGGTAAGTTTTGACGGCAATAGTAGAATTGTCACTCCCATGACAGGAAGATGGGATAGCCTAGTGGGGAGAGCGTTCACTTGAAGAAGGTTATGGGTTCGATCCCCACTTCATTAAGCCCATTCTCGATATCCATCATTCTGCTAATGATGTGTTTAGAGCAGCCAAAGACCATTCTGAATCTACCCCCCCACCCCCCATAATGCAGCTATAGACAGAATGGTTAGTGAGTCATTGTTTGAAATATTGCTTTTAAAGAAGTATTGATTTTTTGATGAATGAATTTGAAACGATCTATTTATTGTTAGTGGAAACAAACCACCTATCAGTCGAGGAATTACAGTTATATGAACTTTTGCTGGGCAAATTGTAAATAGGAATGTGTATACTTTGTAGTAAGCAGATGATGTAGGCTGTACATAGCTACTGACTGAGGGTTATCATGTTAACATAGGAAATAACAGTGGATGACATTTGAAATAAGGCTTAGAAAATATTCTTGCTTCTCAGACCCTGCATGTATTACCTGCATGAAATCTGCTTTAAAAAAGCATCCAAACCAAGGTAACACTCTTTTTTCACACCAAAAAAGAGGCCACCCCAGACTCCTCCTCTTATTAGTAATGGCTAGAGAACAAACTGTTTCTGTTTTCCAGCCAAATGCCCCGACTGTATGCTCCATATATAATGATAGTCTGTATAAGGGGAATGTTAGTTTGGATAGTATCCTCACACACGGTCTCATCCTTCTAACTAGATCACCTGTCAATACTTGACCGATTTGTATACACCGGTTCCTCCATCACCCGTGAATACATATGGCCGCTGTGCAGTGTAATAGTGTCTGTTTTAGTCCTTGAAATGAGGGTGTGTATGACACCTAGAAGTCCGATGACCCGTCCTGTGCGTGATCTGTGTGTGGTCCCTACGTTGCCTGATACTGAAGCAGTGTGTAGAGCAGGTGGACGCAAGGCTGTGACATGCTCTGGTCTCCATCTTCCTGGGACCAGGCCTTGATGCTGTGGGTAAAAGTAGCAGCTACATATCGGACAGATGTATTCACACATGGAGTAGAGCAGGTGGACGCAAGGCTGTGACATGCTCTGGTCTCCATCTTCCTGGGACCAGGCCTTGATGCTGTGGGTAAAAGTAGCAGCTACATATCGGACAGATGTATTCACACATGGAGTAGAGCAGGTGGACGCAAGGCTGGGACATGCTCTGGTCTCCATCTTCCTGGGACCAGGCCTTGATGCTGTGGGTAAAAGTAGCAGCTACATATCAGACAGATGTATTCACACATGGAGTAGAGCAGGTGGACGCAAGGCTGGGACATGCTCTGGTCTCCATCTTCCTGGGACCAGGCCTTGATGCTGTGGGTAAAAGTAGCAGCTACATATCGGACAGATGTATTCACACATGGAGTAGAGCAGGTGGACGCAAGGCTGGGACATGCTCTGGTCTCCATCTTCCTGGGACCAGGCCTTGATGCTGTGGGTAAAAGTAGCAGCTACATATCAGACAGATGTATTCACACATGGATTAGAGCAGGTGGACGCAAGGCTGGGACATGCTCTGGTCTCCATCTTCCTGGGACCAGGCCTTGATGCTGTGGGTAAAAGTAGCAGCTACATATCGGACAGATGTATTCACACATGGAGTAGAGCAGGTGGACGCAAGGCTGTGACATGCTCTGGTCTCCATCTTCCTGGGACCAGGCCTTGATGCTGTGGGTAAAAGTAGCAGCTACATATCGGACAGATGTATTCACACATGGAGTAGAGCAGGTGGACGCAAGGCTGTGACATGCTCTGGTCTCCATCTTCCTGGGACCAGGCCTTGATGCTGTGGGTAAAAGTAGCAGCTACATATCAGACAGATGTATTCACACATGGAGTAGAGCAGGTGGACGCAAGGCTGTGACATGCTCTGGTCTCCATCTTCCTGGGACCAGGCCTTGATGCTGTGGGTAAAAGTAGCAGCTACATATCAGACAGATGTATTCACACATGGAGTAGAGCAGGTGGACGCAAGGCTGTGACATGCTCTGGTCTCCATCTTCCTGGGACCAGGCCTTGATGCTGTGGGTAAAAGTAGCAGCTACGTATCAGACAGATGTATTCACACATGGAGTAGAGCAGGTGGACGCAAGGCTGTGACATGCTCTGGTCTCCATCTTCCTGGGACCAGGCCTTGATGCTGTGGGTAAAAGTAGCAGCTACATATCGGACAGATGTATTCACACATGGAGTAGAGCAGGTGGACGCAAGGCTGTGACATGCTCTGGTCTCCATCTTCCTGGGACCAGGCCTTGATGCTGTGGGTAAAAGTAGCAGCTACATATCAGACAGATGTATTCACACATGGAGTAGAGCAGGTGGACGCAAGGCTGTGACATGCTCTGGTCTCCATCTTCCTGGGACCAGGCCTTGATGCTGTGGGTAAAAGTAGCAGCTACATATCAGACAGATGTATTCACACATGGAGTAGAGCAGGTGGACGCAAGGCTGTGCCATGCTCTGGTCTCCGTCTTCCTGGGACCAGGCCTTGATGCTGTGGGTAAAAGTAGCAGCTACATATCGGACAGATGTATTCACACATGGAGTAGAGCAGGTGGACGCAAGGCTGTGCCATGCTCTGGCCTCCATCTTCCTGGGACCAGGCCTTGATGCTGTGGGTAAAAGTAGCAGCTACATATCAGACAGATGTATTCACACATGGAGTAGAGCAGGTGGACGCAAGGCTGTGACATGCTCTGGTCTCCATCTTCCTGGGACCAGGCCTTGATGCTGTGGGTAAAAGTAGCAGCTACATATCGGACAGATGTATTCACACATGGAGTAGAGCAGGTGGACGCAAGGCTGGGACATGCTCTGGTCTCCATCTTCCTGGGACCAGGCCTTGATGCTGTGGGTAAAAGTAGCAGCTACATATCAGACAGATGTATTCACACATGGAGTAGAGCAGGTGGACGCAAGGCTGGGACATGCTCTGGTCTCCATCTTCCTGGGACCAGGCCTTGATGCTGTGGGTAAAAGTAGCAGCTACATATCGGACAGATGTATTCACACATGGAGTAGAGCAGGTGGACGCAAGGCTGTGACATGCTCTGGTCTCCATCTTCCTGGGACCAGGCCTTGATGCTGTGGGTAAAAGTAGCAGCTACATATCGGACAGATGTATTCACACATGGATTAGAGCAGGTGGACGCAAGGCTGTGACATGCTCTGGTCTCCATCTTCCTGGGACCAGGCCTTGATGCTGTGGGTAAAAGTAGCAGCTACATATCGGACAGATGTATTCACACATGGAGTAGAGCAGGTGGACGCAAGGCTGTGACATGCTCTGGTCTCCATCTTCCTGGGACCAGGCCTTGATGCTGTGGGTAAAAGTAGCAGCTACATATCGGACAGATGTATTCACACATGCAGTAGAGCAGGTGGACGCAAGGCTGTGACATGCTCTGGTCTCCATCTTCCTGGGACCAGGCCTTGATGCTGTGGGTAAAAGTAGCAACTACATATCGGACAGATGTATTCACACATGGAGTAGAGCAGGTGGACGCAAGGCTGTGACATGCTCTGGTCTCCATCTTCCTGGAACCAGGCCTTGATGCTGTGGGTAAAAGTAGCAGCTACATATCAGACAGATGTATTCACACATGGAGTAGAGCAGGTGGACGCAAGGCTGGGACATGCTCTGGTCTCCATCTTCCTGGGACCAGGCCTTGATGCTGTGGGTAAAAGTAGCAGCTACATATCGGACAGATGTATTCACACATGGAGTAGAGCAGGTGGACGCAAGGCTGTGCCATGCTCTGGTCTCCATCTTCCTGGGACCAGGCCTTGATGCTGTGGGTAAAAGTAGCAGCTACATATCGGACAGATGTATTCACACATGGAGTAGAGCAGGTGGACGCAAGGCTGTGCCATGCTCTGGTCTCCATCTTCCTGGGACCAGGCCTTGATGCTGTGGGTAAAAGTAGCAGCTACATATCAGACAGATGTATTCACACATGGAGTAGAGCAGGTGGACGCAAGGCTGTGACATGCTCTGGTCTCCATCTTCCTGGGACCAGGCCTTGATGCTGTGGGTAAAAGTAGCAGCTACATATCAGACAGATGTATTCACACATGGAGTAGAGCAGGTGGACGCAAGGCTGTGCCATGCTCTGGTCTCCATCTTCCTGGGACCAGGCCTTGATGCTGTGGGTAAAAGTAGCAACTACATATCGGACAGATGTATTCACACATGGAGTAGAGCAGGTGGACGCAAGGCTGTGACGTGCTCTGGTCTCCATCTTCCTGGGACCAGGCCTTGATGCTGTGGGTAAAAGTAGCAGCTACATATCGGACAGATGTATTCACACATGGAGTAGAGCAGGTGGACGCAAGGCTGGGACATGCTCTGGCCTCCATCTTCCTGGGACCAGGCCTTGATGCTGTGGGTAAAAGTAGCAGCTACATATCGGACAGATGTATTCACACATGGAGTAGAGCAGGTGGACGCAAGGCTGTGCCATGCTCTGGTCTCCATCTTCCTGGGACCAGGCCTTGATGCTGTGGGTAAAAGTAGCAGCTACATATCGGACAGATGTATTCACACATGGAGTAGAGCAGGTGGACGCAAGGCTGGGACATGCTCTGGTCTCCATCTTCCTGGGACCAGGCCTTGATGCTGTGGGTAAAAGTAGCAGCTACATATCGGACAGATGTATTCACTCATGGAGTAGAGCAGGTGGACGCAAGGCTGTGACGTGCTCTGGTCTCCATCTTCCTGGGACCAGGGGTTGATGCTGTGGGTAAAAGTAGCAACTACATATCGGACAGATGTATTCACACATGGAGTAGAGCAGGTGGATGCAAGGCTGTGACGTGCTCTGGTCTCCATCTTCCTGGGACCAGGCCTTGATGCTGTGGGTAAAAGTAGCAACTACATATCGGACAGATGTATTCACACATGGAGTAGAGCAGGTGGACGCAAGGCTGTGACGTGCTCTGGTCTCCATCTTCCTGGGACCAGGCCTTGATGCTGTGGGTAAAAGTAGCAACTACATATCAGACAGATGTATTCACACATGGAGTAGAGCAGGTGGACGCAAGGCTGGGACATGCTCTGGTCTCCATCTTCCTGGGACCAGGCCTTGATGCTGTGGGTAAAAGTAGCAACTACATATCGGACAGATGTATTCACACATGGAGGATGTGGTGTATTCAATCCTGTGAAGTATTCTTGATGCCTAGATCACTAATCCTAAGTATATACAATGTTTAACTGAATAACCCACAAATAACCCTATTCATAGCATCATTGGAAATAGTAAGGCTGTTTATCAGCTTTAGATACAGAGAAATATATATATGTATGCACGATACGAACAAAGTGTCTTGCTGTGTTTGCGATGGCATTAGATGATGAGAGTTAATGTTAAGCATGTGGTACATGCAACAACTACGATGAAAGTTATCTTCATATATCATGCTTGGCATAAATATGGTGTTTAATTTATTTTTCTATATCTGTAATAGATATATGCTCTGATAGGGCCTGATCATCTCATTCCCTCCCCCACCATGTATACAGCAGCATCGTCACCCACAGCAGCATCGTCTCCCACAACACCAGGAACATTTCACCTCACAGAGATCGACTTGTTGATCCTTGACAGATATCTCCCTTCCATATTGCAGTCTCAATCTTACATCACTGCTGTTAATTGACAAACTAATTTCTTAATAGATTTACATGTGTAATTATTCCCATTGAGCTGTGCTGTGTAGTACGGTTAAAGCTTACAGAGTAATGTTCCTATCTGCTTGTTTCAGGGCTGATGAAGTAATGCTGGAGAAATTCAAGCAACTCTTTTGTTATAAATCAGCCCTAAAGATGAAGTTGTTTAGCTGATGTGCCAAGAAATATGTTGATTTGCATGTTGTCGATTTGAAATTCTAATCGTTAATTAGTTTCTATTGTGTATAAGCTCTAAGGACTGTTGAATTTTTCTTTCTTCCCATGAGAACAGTTTTGGATTTATTAGGTACATTGGTTTAATCCAAACAGGTTTAAATACACTTTACTTTCTTTCTGGGTAGAAAGATATTCATGAATATGAGTGAAGTCCAAGTTTCCAACGACAGAGGACTTGAAGAGCCAGTGTCGGGTTCCATATTCCTATATGAGACCAACGGTTATATTTTATTAACTCACTTAATATATCTGTAGTGGAATATAGTTACTTGTATTATAAACATTCTTACAACATTGGGTAATGGGTTGCCGTACATTTGAACTGAAAGAGGGGAGACACCAGGCCGCCTAGCTATGTATACTGTGGTCACTGGGAATCTTTGCTGTCAATGAGAAGATTTTGGTAGGCGGTAATCCGTCTCGTCCCCTTCTTCCATTTTGAAACCAGTGATCTGTCTCGGTTGTGTAATAGCGTCGGTCTGCTGTTGGCAGCCATGTTGATTGGTATGATAAAACTGATGTAGGACACTTCTTCTTTCTGACACACTACTAATCTCTACATCTGATTGATATTAATCCAGTCCATTTCTTGTAAAATATAATGATATTCAAATAAACATGATGAAAACTGATCCATGTTGGTCGTCAATGGTGAAGACTATATGTCCAGGTACTGTGGCGTTTGAAGGGTTCATCCTAGCCATGGTCTGCTGACTGAGATGAGTGAAGGTTGTAACACGTGGGCCAAAATACTGTACCACGACCCATGGGGAGTCCAGGTTAGAATAGGCCCCCAACACCCTGTGCTGGTCCTCACAGCCAACCCAATGGATCAGGTAGTCAGGCTTGATGTCTCGACTGATGGCATGTACCCCAACTCTGTGGATCGTTGCTCACAATATCGATCACTGGATCGTCCGGTCCTGATGTTTTACAGACCACTGTCATACAGCTAGATTATTGCTGTTTGAGGCGTTGATTAACAGAAAACATGGACATACAGTTTGAATACTATTGTTGTTGTTTATCACCACACAAACTCCAGCTATAATGAAGAATTGAGCCTGGGCCAAACAATCCAGTGATTGATATGAGCAATATTCCATGCACCCAGACAGGTTGGATGACCTGATCCATTGTCCCCGTTTACGACCTTCTGTGGGGCAATTCTAACCTGGAAACACTGTGGACTAGTTGGAATTTGCAGATGTCGACCCGTCCATCTCTGCATGAATGAGTGAGTGAACTGTGTTTAATATAAGCAAAGTTCTAACTATATCACTGTAGCTGGCAAATAATCCTGTCTGGACGAGGCAAACTAGTGGCTGACAGCATGAGTAACATCAGGTCATTCTGAAACAGTGACACACAATCAGTCGGGGGCACAGTCTGACCATGACACACAGTTGTTACAGCTCAGCTATATCACTGTAGCTGGCAAATAATCCTGTCTGGACAAGGCAAACTAGTGGCTGACAGCATGAGTAACATCAGGTCATTCTGGAGTAGTGACACACAATCAGTCACCGCACAGTCTGACCATGACACACAGTTGTTACAGCTCAGCTATATCACTGTAGCTGGCAAATAATCCTGTCTGGACGAGGCAAACTAGTGGCTGACAGCATGAGTAACATCAGGTCATAGTTCAACGGTGACACACAATCAGTCGGGGGCACAGTCTGACCATGACACACAGTTGTTACAGCTCAGCTATATCACTGTTGCTGGCAAATAATCCTGTCTGGACGAGGCAAACTAGTGGCTGACAGCATGAGTAACATCAGGTCATAGTTCAACGGTGACACACAATCAGTCGGGGGCACAGTCTGACCATGACACACAGTTGTTACAGCTCAGCTATATCACTGTAGCTGGCAAATAATCCTGTCTGGACGAGGCAAACTAGTGGCTGACAGCATGAGTAACATCAGGTCATTCTGAAACAGTGACACACAATCAGTCAAGACAAAGTCTGACCATGACACACAGTTGTTACGGCTCAGCTATATCACTGTAGCTGGCAAATAATCCTGTCTGGAAGAGGCAAACTAGTGGCTGACAGCATGAGTAACATCAAGACATTCTGAAACAGTGACACACAATCAGTTGGGGGCACAGTCCGATCATGACACACAGTTGTTATGGCTCTGCTATATCATTGTAGCTGGCAAATAATCCTGTCTGGACGAGGCAAACTAGTGGTTGACAGCATGAGTAACATCAGGTCATTCTGGAACAGTGACACACAATCAGTCAACCCACTGTCTGACCACTTGATACTGATTTATTTATCATCCCAGTATTGTTACTGGTACTTGCAGCCAATTTGATGACCACGTGAGATATATGGGAATGTACCTCTGTCTCAGTCAATGGATGGAGAACATTGGAGGGACTTTCAAAAAATGATATCAGCAAATGCCAAGTTGCAAATATTGAAAGTGTTTGGCAATATTTTTTAGGCAAAAACAATGCTCAACCATGTCTGCCAATTATCCTCTTCAGTTTGGTCTGGTGATCTCATCTAATGGTAGTCCATACAGACAGACAATTTATTTCAGTAACAGTGACATTGAATAAGATTTAATGCAAAGTTATGATTTTTACCAAATCTGAAACAATTTCGGTTTGCAACAGATAAAAGACTCCTGTAAGTGTTCAAATGGTTTAATTTGCCATACTGACCAGAAAATGCGTGATTTCTTAAAGAAAAATATGAACATGCCAAAATGTCAATTTGCAAATCAATAGCGTGTGTGTCCACCTCTGGTTGCGATGCAAGCAACACATCTTCGTCTCATGGAATGACCAGGCGTCGCAAGTCCCAAGTCCTGTGGGATATCTGTCCATATCTGCTGGAGCATGTTTCGAAGTTCCTGGAGTGTCTGCGGAACACGTGGTTGACGTCGAAGGCGCCGATCCATCTCATCCCACATGTGCTCGATTGGTGATAGATCAGGGGAGCGAGCCGGCCAGGGGATGACATTCACATTGTTTTGTTGAAGAGAATCCTGAAGAAACGAGCAATATGAGGCCGGGCGTTGCCATGTTGAAAGGTATCCTCTGTCTTGCTGTAATCCCACCCCATAACATAACGCTGCCGCCCCCGAACCGATCTTCTTCCATGACACAATGATTGACGTAACGTTCACCTCGACGTCAGTACACTCGAATCCGTCCATCGCCGTGGCTAAGGTGAAAACAAGACGCGTCAGTGAATAGAACTTGTCCCCACTGCATGGCTGTCCAGCGTAGATGCTGTCTGAACCACTGTAGACGTGCTTGACGGTGGTTTCCTGTCAAAATGGGACGTCTGGCGGGTCTTCTGGCGACAATCCCTGCACATCTGAGGCGACGACGTACGGTTTGTGAAGATATTCGTCGAAGGCCAGGGATGCCTCTTGCAGTCACTGTTGCTGGCAGGAATCGATTTCGTGGGTGTGTTGTTCGAATCCAGTTGTCTTGCCGATTATTGGTTACGCGTGGCCTACCACTTTGAGGATGGTCTCTGACTGCATTCGACTGTTGCCTGCGTTGCCATAAACACCAAATGGTGTTTCTGTGGACGTTAAATTGTCTTGCAACATCACGTTGACTCGATCCTGCTTGAAGCATACCAATGGCTCGCAGACGCTCATTTTCGGACAGGCGTGGTTTTTCGTAAAGTTGAATAATTGCGTAATTTTGTTGTTTTCTGAGTGGTTGTTGTCAGCACGATGCTAAACAGTGCATATGGAATCCCGTTAACGCACATGTTTTTATACCCATTCTTGGGTAGTGAAATTTCCTTGGGCTTGCATAAAAGTCAACTTTTGCATGGAATGCATGCTTTCCTGTAGCAGTTGCGTTTTTGTGACTTGATTCCATATATGTACTACAATATTGAAAACCAAACTTTACTTTTTTGAAAAATACACTAAAATATTTGTGTCACGGGAACTTTTGTTGTTGAGTTTATTTCAAGTTTTTTGGGGGGTACGGGTGGCCAAGTCGTCTAAGGCGCCGCGATTCGCTGTGCAGAGTTGCGTCCCTTGGGCACGCCAGAAACCTATGATTGTGGGTTCGAATCCCGGTTCGCCCCGATTCTGTTCCTAGGTTTGTCAGCACCATACCCGTGCTCGTGGGTTTCACCGAAGTGGTAAACGTCTGAGACCTGCATCACTTCGGGCTTTCCTCCCACATTAAGCTGACACGCCGCGATATAACTGGACTACTGTTAAAAGCGGCGTTAAACCCAACTCACTCACTCACTCAAGTTTTTGGACAAACTGAAGTTGCAAAATCGTTCATTATAGGACATGAACTGTGTCTTCCAAGTTCCACATTTAAACGAAAATTATTACATCTAAACTCTGAAACTCTCTTAATGTCATTTATTACATACGTTCTGTGTTCAACATATATTTGTACTGAACATAGTAATTACATTTCGAGGATAATTCCATTGAAGAATGTCAGTTTTGATACAGCTTATCTTATAGTCCTTGCTGAAATTCATTTAGGAATACATTGTAAATGTTATATCGCCGATTTCTTGTAACCAGACCAGCCCACAAACTAAGGTGAACAAAATGTTTTAATTGATGTTGCCCATGTCCCTCGTCCCACCTCATCAAGTGATTTTAGCATTAAGTTGACGAGGTTATCTGTGAGTGTCAAAATGAAGAAGTCGGCACCAGTATGTTACTGCAAATAGATGGCAGAGGGAGTCTGCCCCACGCCCCGAGTACCATATAATTAGTGTATTCTAAGAGTGAGTGAGTGAGTATGGTTTTACGCCGCTTTTAGCAATATTCCAGCAATATCACGGCGGGGGACACCAGAAATGGGCTTCACACATTGTACCCATGTCGGGAATCGAACCCGGGTCTTCGGCGTGGCGAGCGAACGCTTTAACCACTAGGCTACCCGACCGCCCCTGTATTCTATGAGGCAAAGATACCGTTTACAGAAGGATATTTGGTCATTTATTTTCTTGTTCCCCAAACTTCAGCTCTGTAAAATAATATTGGAACAACAGCACTGTAAAATATTTTAAAGTCATCTTGAAAAGACAGGTATCCATTTTTTCTTTTTGTAGTGAATCTGATTGATTTGTTTGCTTGAGCTGTTTGGCCACTGAAGGTGAAAACTCTTTCTAAATATCTTTAAAAATTCACATTTTTCGTAAATTTTCAATATTCCATCCCGTCAAAACACACCAAATTTAGTTTTGTTTGAATTTATTTCCATTTCAGTAGACACACAGATATTTTCAAGAACATTTATTGTAGCTGTAAAGCACTGTCCGCAACTGACGATACATCGTTTGCGTACAATAATGCAAATGGAGTGGTATCTCACTATTAATAAATATGCTTTGACCACCATTTTTTCAAACATCACTGAGAGTTCATTTTAAAAAGATAATAAAAAGTTTTGGGCTCAAAACACAACCCTAAGGGTGCCGACATTAAAGGTGAAATAATCAGAAAGACACACGATGATAAGTTAGAGTACATTGATGCTAGTGATCGTAGAAAGTTCCCATTTATTCCCACTCCATTCACGCTTTTCAAAAGAATGTTCTCGTTTAGTCGCAATCCTTCGAAAAGTCAGTAAAGATGCAGTAAAAAGTACCCTTGGTCTTTGTACAGGTGCTTGAAGAGTAAATATTTGTAACAAATGTGATATTTGGGATAACGTAAAGTTATCAGTAAAGTACAGACGGGACTCAACCCAAAAAAGTGCGAGAATCTGTACTTTACTCAGAAAGTTTTATCCCAAACATAACATTTGTTACATTTGGCCACTTTGTAAATGTCATTGTGTGTTCAGTGAATATTTGGTCTGTGGTGGAATATCCTGGTCTAAAAGCTGCCTGTGTTTCACTTAAGATATTGTTATTGTCACACCAGGACTGGAGGCGTCTGTCTAGAATGGACGTCAATACCTTACATAAAGTATCCTTGAGAGATATTCCCCAGTAACTATCTGTCCCATACTTATTACCTCCCTTGAATATGGATAGAATATGCTCTTTTCCTACTCCTCTAGAAAAACTGCAGTGTGAAGGATTCTGTTAAACCATTTCTTTAAAATAGGTGCAATATAATGTCTTGTTGGTTTTATAAGCTCACTTACAAAACTGTTAGGCCCTGCAGATATATTATTTTTTATATTGTGCAAACTCATCAGGACTTAATCATCAGTGATAGGCATGTAATGATCACCACATATTTCTGTGTTAGACAAAGCTGGGCCCTCATCATGTGTATCTTATCAGAGTGTGATAATCACAATCAACGAATTTCTCAATTCGGAGAAGATTTTCAAAAAGCTCAAGCCACTGGTCTGGGGTTACAATTTCGATATTCCTAAATCTACATTTTTTTAAAAAGTTTTTCAAAATAATTTGGGGTTGTTCCCAGCAATTCCTTTGTTTCTCACAATAATTTTCTTTTTTGGTAGAGAATAAAGTCTTAAGCAATCTACTAAAGTTCACTAAAATCACCGTGAAATAAGGTGAAATAAGTATGGCTGCCGGAGTCGTTACAACAGACACACAGCACAGTTCACATTTCATTAATGTCGTACACACTAGTAAGGTCCACAATGACTGGCAAACTCAGTATCTGGTGTAACCGCCTCGCACTTGGATAACATGTTCTACACGCCGTCTCATGTTGGTCACCAGACGTCTGAATCTCTGTTGGGGGATCTGCTGCCACTCATCATGCAATGCATAGGTCAATTCCTGAAGGTTCTGAGCTGGAGGATCCCTTGCTCTCACCCTACGTCCCAAAATGTCCCACAAATGCACAATAGGATTAATATCTGGACTTCTGGCAGGCCAGGGTAATGTCTCAATGGCGTTGTGTTGGAGATGCTGAACAACAGCTCGAGCACGATGTGGTCTGGCATAATCGTCCATGAAGACTGGACGTGTGGCGAGAGCATGGTTATCGAAATGAGGCACAACAGCACCGTCCAGGATCAAGTTCTGGTATCTCTGTCCATTCAGTGTTCCAGGAACTGTGATCAGGTCAAGTTTACTATCGTAAGCAACAACCCCACACCATGACAGACCCACCCCCAAATGGAACATCAATGTTCCTCTGATCATATGCTGTGCCTCTCTGCCTCCAAACTCCTGCCCTCCCGTCTGTATGATGCAGCAAAAATCTGCTTTCATCGGACCAGTGGATCCTTTTCCATGTCCTCAGGTTCCAGCGAGCACGTGCTTGGCACCAGGCTAAACGGGCATGGTGGTGCTGATTTGTGAGGAGTGGACCTCTGATTGGTCGTCTTGCTCTCAATCCGGCAGGATTTAGGCGTCGTCTGATGGTGATGATGGACACTCTGTTGCATGGATGCCATCCATGTCGCAGCTGTGTACAAGTAGACTTTGGGCCTCGTCTGGCTTGGCGTACGAGAGCACGATCTTCCCTGTCATTGGTTTTTCTGGGACGTCCAGACCTTGGTGCATCCTTCACTTCACCGGAAGCAGTATGCTTACGTATTAGCCTGCTTGCTGATGACAGTGTGATTAATGTTCAGTTGTGCTCCAATAGCACGACATGACATACCCGTCTGGTGCATACTTATAATTTGCCATCTTTGGTTCAGAGGCACTGGAAGCTTGGGCATTTCACTGGTTGGTCAAAATATAGCTTAATTTACGCCTAAAACCAAATTTTAGCTGTGTCTGCCAACATAACATACGCCAAAAGAGGTCATGTGCATACTGCATGTTTAGCAAACCGACCCCCGGTACAAGCATGCTCAACGCAAGCATGGACGTGCAGCTCGGACAAGGGTGTGTTTGTGATATTATGTTCACAGATAGTGTAGTATATGAAATATGTGCTTGTAGTTTAAAAAAAACGAAAATTATATTTTCTACTTTTACTTTAAAATGTGTGGTGCAATATTTATGACGAGGTGTATATATATACGACATAAAATATCTCTTGTGATCAAAACTTCTCTAGATACTGTGATTCCTCCGCTGTATTGACTCCTTTTGTTGCGTACTCTGTTGAAGGCTTGAAATCCAAACTGAAAATCCATGAAATCACCTTGTTTCTGGACAAAGTTTTACAAAGACCTACAATGTCATGCTCACTGAGAAAATCATTAAATTGCAGATCAGATGTGTAGTTATATAATCCTTCTATGTTCCATGACAGTATGCTGAGCTGTGATTGCCCTTGGCCGTCTTCTCATGAGTCGTCGTTGTTAGTCGCTGTAGTGGTTGGAATGATCTCCCTTGTCTTCTCACTACCAAAGCTCCTTCCCAGCGCGTGACACCTTCGTGACACTCTCGGTAACATAATATAGAGAGCTCCGTGAACGGGCTATTGCTGTGAGGAGTTTTCTCACTTCCGGGTCCAAATGGTAATCATGTGGGTTCGCTGCTTGCGGGTTCTCTTCGTTGTGTAGCCGAAAACGCTCAGTTTTGTCCCAGTTTTCTCTTAGTTCACCGTTTAGCCAATGAAACACAAGATTATTTCTCCTTGACCTAGACTGTAAATCCTCAAGCTGATCTTCCACGGTGTGCAGGCTGTCATAGACCTGAGTTTTCCTCCTGTAGCGTAGCCATGTTATGACTGAACTCGTTCGCCATTTTGGTGACCTTGTTATCAATTTTGTGAAATTGTCACTAAAAGTTTGAATCTGACTTTGAAGTTTCATTACTGCTTTCATGATATCATCATTACTGCACTCACTGGGATTTGTTATTACTATTATGCCTGAATCAGACTGTGATAATATTTGCTGACGTGTCGTCAGACTGAGGTTTGACTCGACCAAGCCACTCATAACAAGTAGTGTAAATAAGAGCAAAATCAGTCTCAAAGTTAATGATACACTACTTTTTTTAACGATAATACATGTAGGCACTTTCTGGATTTGTCTGGTTGTTGAAAAGTTCCTATAGGCCCTGTGTTGTTCAATACTGATTCCCATTGTGAGAATTCAAATTCACACTTCTACACGGTAGGATTACACAGGATGCATATAATAACAGTATAATCCACTGAAAATAATGCTCAGAGCCAAGGTTGTATGAAAGTATTTATTTGTAAGAGGCAACCATGAAAACAGTAAGTCTAAGCTTGGATACAAGCATTGTATACACAGAAAGTCACTTAGCGGTTATCACAGATCAGTATCACATTAATTAGGACGGAATTGTGAACCAAATTTACAGTCATTACAATTCATTATTAACTATTCTCCCAAAGGAAGATAATGACACAGAGAAGCATTTTAATTAACATGAAAAGAAGCTAAAACAATCTAAAACAAACAAAAATCTACACTAAAACAACCACAAATACATACATGAACGATCAATAATTTGATTAACTCAATTGGAAATGACACAACAGGTCTTGACTTCAAAACTCAGAAGGATGGACACTTCTATGACTGATAGGAACTGATTTGTCTGGTGAGGAACAGAACTGACAGACTTGGAACGGACTTCAACAGCAGCATGTTGTGACCACAACACAATACACTGGAGGGACGTCAGGACAGACTGGAGATGTTGAGCTGTTGCCTGTTCAGGTCCAGTCACTCGCACACCTTCACCCCCTTCTTCTTGAGGGAGGTGATGTGTTTGTTGGCCTTCCCCACTTCATCGGCGGCCCCCTGCATGTGCTTCCTTGCCTCTCGGGCCTCCTTCATGGAGCTCACACGGACGACGTTGTAGCGACGCTGGATCTACAAGTCACAAACCATCTGTCAATCAGGGTGCTGGGATTAATGTAAAACAAATAACAGTTTCTAGGAATCAATTCAAATAATACTGAAAATAAGCACTTGTGATTCGTCTTGTCACCTGACCTAGAAGATATGATTTCCTTACAACATTGGCCTCGACACAACTGCTGCACTGAGAGAGTGCTACAGACTGTAGTATAGCAACAAACATTGACCTCAACCCAACCCTGGCCACCTGCATTGAGAGAGTGCTACAGACTGTAGTATAGCAACAAACATTGGCCTCAACACAACCGCTGTACTGAGAGAGTGCTACAGACTGTAGTATAGCAACAAACATTGGCCTCAACACAACCGCTGCACTGAGAGAGTGCTACAGACTGTAGTATAGCAATAAACATTGACCTCAACACAACCGCTTGCCACCTGCACTGAGAGAGTTCTACAGACTGTAGTATAGCAACAAACATTGGCCTCAACACAATCGCTAGTCACCTGCATTGCGAGAGTGCTACAGACTGTAGTATAGCAACAAACATTGGCCTCAACACAACCGCTAGTCACCTGCACTGAGAGAGTGCTACAGACTGTAGTATAGCAACAAACATTGGCCTCAACACAACCGCTAGTCACCAGCATTGAGAGAGTTCTACAGACCGTAGTATAGCAACAAACATTGGCCTCAACACAATCGCTAGTCACCAGCATTGAGAGAGTGCTACAGAACAACACTTGCACCTCACGCTTGAGGAAAGGTCCAAAGGTTTTTTTCCAAAAGGGCCTTCTATTGGATTTACAATGTTACCTGCTGGAGGAGAGATTGGGCTTCAGGGAACTGCTTCTTATATTGCTTCTTGTGGCTCAGCACATCCACCAGGCTTGCCTCATCCACTGTGCTTCGAGTTCGCAGGTTCTCAAGCACCTCATCAACTTTCTCTGCTTGGGTCTTGGGTTTAGGAGGCGGCACTGGCACCTACAGAACAATCAGAGAACTTAGCACTAAGCCGCAACCCAGACCAATTTTATAGGTATACATAGGGCTGACAGAATTTCAAACATTTTGGGGGTAATGTTATGTGATCACTTATCACTAGCCTTATTCAGGCTGGTAGACTTTATTGGTTAATTTCTACCCCTGACTTTACAAGAATTTGAGTACCAAATATGTTCACAATCACCAGAACATATTGAGTGAGTGAGTGAGTGAGTATGGTTTTATGCCACTTTTAGCAATATTCCAGCAATATCACGGCCGGGACACTAGAAATGGGCTTCACACATTGTACCCATGTTAGGAATCGAACCCGGGTCTTCGGCGTGACGAGCGAACGCTTTAACCACTAGGCTACCTGACATATTGAATATTGAATGATTATTTACAATTCTCTCCACAATCCATGGAACTCTAAATGGATCAACAGCCATCGGAAGTAGTATATATTTGCCCACAAAGATTGACATAATTTCACAGATAGTTCACATCACAACGTTTGAATATTTAGCAGTAAGTGAAACTGACCCTTCTGTACTCTGGGACTGGCCGTGTGACCTTGTCCAGGTGGACGGAGGGGTCCCGATACACCAGCTGGTGGGTCAGAGCATACTTCAGGGCTCGGACGTTGCCTTGGATATCTGAAACACGACATGGTGTTGCATCCGGTCAGCTGGTATGTTGTCATGTTCAGTACATACTGTATACATGACATTAATGTGAATTTCATGCCCTGGGCTAAAAGGTGGCATGAAATTAATGCGTAATGCAAGTATCCCTGCCTTTGAACTATAACAAGTAATCAGCAAACAATAACACCCAGACTGTAGACTTGTATTGCCATGATACAGTAAGGGGGGATAGCAGTTCGACTGCAAACTTAACTTCAACTGCTTGACATGGGATCTAACTTCCATCAAAAGCAGAACATTCCATATAACCTATATTCAAATGAGAAAGTGAGTGAGTGAGTGAGTTGGGTTTAACGCCGCTTTTAACATTATTACAGTTATATCACGGCGTGTCAGCTTAATGTGGGAGGAAAGCCCGAAGTGATGCAGGTCTCAGACGTTTACCACTTCGGTGAAACCCATAAGCACGGGTATGGTGCTGACAAACCTAGTAACATAATCGGGGCGAACCGGGATTCGAACCCACAATCGTAGGTTTCTGGCGTGCCCAAGGGACGCAACTCTGCACAGCAAATTGCGGCGCCCAGAAACTGAGAGTTCAAGAGGCCTTAACCCAGGGCAGCTCTGAACAGCCGAAATATGTTTATATGTCATGTGATGTGTCATGTGACTCAATAACAAGCACCTGTTCAGAAACTGAGAGTTACACAGGGCAGCTCTGAACAGCCAAAATATGTTACCTTTGGGAATCTCCCCATCCTCCTCATCTGAATCTACGTCCAGCAACTCCTCGTATCCACAATATCTATCGCTGATCTTCCCAGATTTCCTTCGCTCTCTCTTCTCCGTCTTCTCTTCTGAAGCAGCATTCTTTTCTTCCTCCTGGTCGTCCACCTGTAGCAAAAATCTATTTAGTTACCATGGTAACCATCACATTTGTTGTGCTCTGTAACATCATACCACCCGAGGAATAATGACTTAAATTGTTACCATAGATCCCAGGCTCCCATGTTACAAATCTAACTCCAGCTGTTTACCAAACAGCCACATCATGACGAGCATACCTCAACAGGTGCTCACGCTTTCAACCACTAGGTAACTAGTTCAGTCTGAATTCTGGAGTGAGTGAAGACATGATAGAGTAACTATGGTAAAGTGAAAGGATTGGGTGGTCCTTTACCTTTGTGAGTAGAATACTACAATCAGCAATATCATGGCAGTAAGTAAATATCTTGGAGACCAGACAAACCTGTGATTAATACAATGAGCTCAGATCCACACTGGCAATTCTAAACCCATCTTCCCGAGGCAAGAGAGTTAACTGACTATAAAAGTCCACTTTCCACCCTTGCCGAACTAGGCTGGTATTATGGAGTTACATTTTGGCTGGACTCACGAGTCGATGCATAGTCCAATCAAAATCGCGCACCAAAATCGAAATCTGGTTCGTAAACTGTCATGCAGAGTTTGGTGGATTGCAGGATTTGCAAAGCATGTGCACCGCTAACACGTTGTCAGTAGATATTTTCCAAATCTTTTCAAGGTTTTTAAATAAGGTGCTCATGTGATTTGATGCATTTCGCAATGTAAGACCTGTTTTATCACAATATAGATCTTAATTATTGATCAGAACCTCCTGACTGGGCGCCGCCATTTTGTTTGAAGCAAATGCAAGTGATACGAGAGGTGGAATCTGATTGGTCAATAGGAGAGGCTTAGAAGGGACATAACTGGTAACAGCCACTGGTGGCGCTACGATCGAGCCCAGGAATTCCAACCTAGTTCGGCAAGGGTGGAAACAGGACTATTAAAGTCAGTTAACTCTCTTGCCTCGGGAAGATGATCTCAACCTGGGGAGACCCACACAAGAGAGTGAACATTGTTTCTAAAAATACTCCGAAGTCTATCCAACTATTCCATCACAGAAGCATGTCTATAATCGTGAGGTGAAATTGGCTTTAATGTTGCATTGAAGATTATTATCCGTTATTTAGTTCTATAAACCCGTCAGTAGTCCAGACTAATGCTGGTTTTACAGTGCTACTGCACTGCAATATCATACTGCACTAGTAACTGGATAGCCGACTCAGATTTACCATGCTGACTTCTAGCCAACCAGTCCTTGTTTTATCCCCTTTATGCCAAGCACCAGGCAGGGAAACAACAAGTATAATTTTTTAACATATTTTGGTATGCCACGGCCCGGAATCAAACCACCAACTTTCTGCTCTCCCGGCAGACGCTCTATCAACTAGGCCATGGAGGTGGTTCTGTTAATAATAATGATCAAGTCTTTGACAGGAACACTGGTGGCTGACAGACAATCAATTAGGTAACACTACATTTCGAGCACCCGAAAATCAGGTCTTATGAGTGAGTGACATGGGTTTAAAGACGCTTTTAACAGTATTCCAGTCATATCGCGGCGTGTCAGCTTAATGTGGGTGGAAAGCCTGAAGTGATGCAGGTCTCAGACGTTTACCACTTCGGTGAAACCCACGAGCACGGGTATAGTGCTGACAAACCTAGAAACATAATCGGGGCGAACCGGGATTCGAACCCACAATCATAGGTTTCTGGCATGCCCAAGGGATGCAACTCTGCACAGCAAATCGAGGCACCTAAGATGACTGGGCTGCCCGTGCCCCCGAATTTGACAGAACTGTGATCCAAATCCTATGAATTCTACTGGAATATTTGACTAACTGTCCTGTGTTTCCGTGTGGGAACCTCCGCCTTAGATGGCTGGGCCACCCGTGCCCCCTCAGGTCTTATGACTAACATGTGCCATTCTGCCTAAGACTTCCCCAGGGGCTATGCCTGTTTGTTTCTTTGTTATTTTTGATGCAGTATTCAAGTTATGTGACGCTGGTCTGTGAATAAATCTGGACCGGTGAATGATATTGTGAGCAAGTCCATGCCGTCAGGGTACACAATCTCATTAAAATCAGATCTTAGTTCTCGCTACCGCCAAACAAAGATCTGAGGACATCCCATTACGGGTCACGTCAGACCGACCTTACACGAACTTTGACTGACCAATGGTATGACCAATCAGAAGGCAGTTTTCTCGTTCTTTACGGCACTAATTTCAAATTGGCGACTACGCTTCGAAACATATTTTGACAAATTTGAAACCTGGAATGGCTAATAGATGGTCTAGACTGTATGGATTCAGTCGTTAAACCTGTAACTATCGTTCGGTATACCCGTGTTAAAGTTTTCGAGGTTGTATGATTAGAAATCACATTCCGACTGTCACTTTCATGATCTGGTAAGCGACGCTCTGATTGGTCCGATGAAGGGTCGTTCTGACGTGACCCCTAATGGGATGTCTCCAGATCTTTGTTTAGCGGTAGCGAGAACTAAGGTCTGATTTTAATGAGATTGTCAGGGTACAACGACACGCAATTTACCAAGTTGTCGAGTCAGACCACTTGATCCATTTTGTCACCTCTTATGACAAGCCTAGGGAAGAGATTCACCATCTCACCTGTGTCATAAAGAAGGCGTCTTCACTGCTTGTGGTGGCCATCTTATCCTCTGTCCATGCATCGACTCGTGGTGACGGCTGTGGACATTCTTTGGAGACCCGGGGTGAGATGGGTGGCAGAGGTTTCTGCAGATCCAGTCCAGACAGAGTTCTCTCCCCTTGACCAGGGTGTTGCGGGGCTTGTTGAGGGGGAGCTTCTAACATCAGCCTGTCCTCTATGCTGGGTTTGGGCACCTTCGGCACAGTGCCAGACACCTAGAAAGATACATGCAGAGTACAGCCATTGAAGCCATGCTACGTTCAAGCTGTGTCCACACGATGATATATAGGCCCGTCAAAGAAATATTCTTGTCTCTCATATTTTCTTCAAAACAGAATGGGAGGATTGTATTGCCTTTATTCCATTTTTTAGTAGGTTACAAATCTATACTATGCTATAAATGTAACTTGATTCTAATGTATCATGTGATCTCTTACAACAGTAGAAACTAACATGTTTAGTCCGCTGATCCTTATAATAACATACAGCAAATGGCAAATTTCTAATAGTCCTATTGGGCAGTTTGGGAAGGTTGGTTGGTTTGTTGTTTAACGCCGCACTCAGCAATATTCCAGCTATATGATGGCGGTCTGTAAATAATCGAGTCTGGACCAGAAAATCCAGTGATTAATATCATGAGCATCGATCCACGCAATTGGGATTGATGACATGAATCAACCAAGTCAGAGACCCTGACCATCCGATCCCGTTAGTCGCCTTTTACGACATGCATAGTCACCTTTTACGGTAAGCATGGGTTTGCTGAAGACCTATTCTACCCCGGAATCTGCACGGGTCCAGTTTGGGAAGGACTACAGGACTAGTGCCAATTTCTAATGCTGTTTTTTTACCTCGCCCCCCATGTCCTGAAGTATGATTTGTTTGTATTTTATTTAACGCCACACTCAACAATATTCCAGCTATATGAAGGCGGTCTGATAACAATCGAAACTGGACCAGACAATCCAGTGATTGATATGGTTAGCTGGGTATGAGACACACAATCAACCAAGGTCTTGAGCCTGAACACCCAATCCATCGGTCACCTCTTACGTACTGCATCGGCTGCTGGGACCTGTTCTAACCCAGAAGTTCCCCAGGACTCTCCAGATATGAAAATACCATACAGATGTATTGGTCACACAGAAGCGCTGACACAGCTTCAATGGAAGGGGTCCATTTTATGATTGGGAGTAAACAAACAGTAGACTGTTGAGTTGCACTACGACTATCGTAGCCCCAGGGATTTATCTACGATTCCAAACTCAGTGTCCTTGGCAGGAAACTGGGAAAATATTGTGATATTTTTCAAAATGGAATTTTCATAATATCCTTAGTTTCATAAGATCTGAGGAATTGGGAAAATTGTACTTCAATTTGGGAAGTGTTACTGTCATTTTCTGCAGCAGTGGGGCCAAATATTGCCTCTGATTAGGTCAAGATAAATCCCAGGGCACCGTTCCACAAAGCGATCTTAGTGCTACTACTGTCATAAGTCTATGTTAAAGTATGGGAGTTATGATCATCTTAGTGCTACAACTGTCATAAGTCTATGTTAAAGTATGGGAGTTATGATCATCTTAGCGCTACAATCACTTTGTGGGGCCCTGAACTCTTATATTAAAGTGAGGAAGTTCAGCTATATGATCGTATCATGCCACCATTAATACAGGAAGTATGCTATATTTCATATAGTAACATAGAACATAAGTAAAATAATCTTTCATATTTTCTGATAAATGTACAACAAGAAAATTCTGTTCCCTGTACATGAAGCAAGATGAACTTACCAGTGCAGTCATACCTCTGAAGACTTGAACATTTTCTCTGGTGAAAATGAATTTGACAGAGTGAGCGAGTTGGGTTTAAAGACGCTTTTAACACTATTCCAGTTATATCACAGCGTGTCAGCTTAATGTGGGAGGAAAGCCAGAAGTGATGCAGGTCTTAGACGTTCACCACTTCAGTGAAACCCACGAGCACGGGTATGGTGCTGACAAACCTAGAAACATAATCGGGGCGAACCGTAATTAGGACCCACAATCATAGGTTTCTGGCGTGCCCAAAGGACGCAACTCTGCAAAGCGAATCACTGCACCTTAGACGACTGGGCCAACAGTGCCCCCGAATTTGACAGAAATGTGATCCAAATCCTATGAATTGTAATGGAATATTTGACTAACCGTCCTGTGTTTCCGTGTGTGAACCTCCAGATGCGGCTTCACTATTGATGGCTGCTCTTTCCTGAAATAACAAGATGGTTCAAATACAAAATTTGAACTAGCTCTTGACTCTTAAGAGTTTCTTGGCATTCAGTCCAACCCCACACGGGTTATTAAACGTCTGCTAATTTTGTTTGAAATAAGCATCTCTTCAACCTGCAGTGTATGGGTACCTGGTTGGATGAGATGGTAATGTGACTGGCAAACCTCCTAGTGCCTAAATGGCAGCTTTGTTGTATGTTCCCCAGGGAGCTGAGACTGTACTATGTATTACCTAACGACCTTGATGCCCAGCCTGTCTTTAAGGAAGCGCTTCAAGAGGGGTGGATTGCATGTTCCCCAGGGAGCTGAGAATGTACTATGTATTACTTGACGAGCTTGATGCCTAGCCTGTCCTGAAGGAAGTGCTTCAATAGGGGTGGGTTGCCGCTGTGGTTGGTGGTCAGTGTGTTTGTTGTATGTTCCCCAGGGAGCTGAGAATGTACTATGTATTACCTGACGAGCTTGATGCCTAGTCTGTCCTGAAGGAAGCGCTTCAAGAAGGGTGGGTTGCCGCTGTGGTTGGTGGTCAGTGTGTTTGTTGTATGTTCCCCAGGGAGCTGAGAATGTACTATGTATTACCTGACGAGCTTGATGCCTAGTCTGTCCTGAAGGAAGCGCTTCAAGAAGGGTGGGTTGCCGCTGTGGTTGGTGGTCAGTGTGTTTGTTGTATGTTCCCCAGGGAGCTGAGAATGTACTATGTATTACCTGACAAGCTTGATGCCTAGTCTGTCCTGAAGGAAGCGCTTCAAGAGGGGTGGGTTGCCACTGTGGTTGGTGGTCAGTGTGTTTGTTGTATGATCCCCAGGGAGCTGAGATTGTACTATGTATTACTTGACGAGCTTGATGCCTAGCCTGTCCTGAAGGAAGTGCTTCAATAGGGGTGGGTTGCTGCTGTTGTTGGTGGTCAGTGTGTTTGTTGTATGTTCCCCAGGGAGCTGAGAATGTACTTTGTATTACCTAACGAGCTTGATGCCTAGTCTGTCCTGAAGGAAGCGCTTTAAGAGGGGTGGGTTGCCGCTGTGGTTGGTGGTCAATGTGTTTGTTGTATGTTCCCCAGGGAGCTGAGATTGTACTATGTATTACTTGACGAGCTTGATGCCTAGCCTGTCCTGAAGGAAGTGCTTCAATAGGGGTGGGTTGCTGCTGTGGTTGGTGGTCAGTGTGTTTGTTGTATGTTCCCCAGGGAGCTGAGAATGTACTATGTATTACCTAACGAGCTTGATGCCTAGCCTGTCCTGAAGGAAGCGCTTCAAGAGGGGTGGGTTGCTGCTGTGGTTGGTGGTCAGTGTGTTTGTTGTATGTTCCCCAGGGAGCTGAGAATGTACTATGTATTACCTGACGAGCTTGATGCCTAGTCTGTCCTGAAGGAAGCGCTTCAAGAGGGGTGGGTTGCCGCTGTGGTTGGTTGTCAGGGGGTTGCTGTGTATCACCAGCTCCACCAGCATGGGCCACGCCGCCACGGCCAACAGAGCATCCTCGTCACTTATCTACACACAACACAAACAGCACAAGTGAGTTAGTAACAATGCTACTCTAAGCAACATCATAATGGGGGTTAAATTGTACATCAGAGCAGCCAGCCGCAGCAATCTGCAAAATGGGGGTGAACATGTGATTTGAACCCATAAATAAATTGCAATTGATTCTGGGGTGTTTGATTATCTAACTGAGCAATTTTTTTTCGTTAATGTTTCCATATACTGTAACAAGATTAGGCCACGTTTATTAATAAGAATTGAATTCAACAAGTACAATACACAGATTGACGTGAAGTATGTTCACAATTTTTCACCCTTATACCTCCATAAAGGCCAAAACTATTGAAGTCAATACTTTAATGAAAAAGAAATTACTTGTGGGTTCAGAGAAGAAAACTGCATTGACCGAAACCACATCAGATGGTGAAAGCTAAAATTGGCCCGTAGGGATTACAGGTAAGAATATTGGTCCCTTGTAACCCATGCTTGTCGTAAGAGGCAACTAATGGGATCGGTTGGTCAGACTCACTGACTTGGTTGATGCATGTCATCGTATCCCAATTGCTTAGATTGATGCTCATGTCAGACACTGGATTGTCTGGTTCCGACTTGATTATTTACAGAATGACGTCATATACCTGGAAAATTGCTCAGTGCTGTGTTAAACAACAAACAAACAAACAAACAAGAAGCTAAAATGTCCCTGAAGTGAGCATTACCTGGTTATGCGCCAGACTCAGATAGCGCAGTTCAGGGAAGGGGCACTGTGCTTGCTGGTCCTCCGCCTGGTGAGTTGTCTCCCCTGCATCATCATTCAACTCGTTCATCCGAGCGGTCAGGTCTCCAACGTTCAAACTGAGGTCATCATTTAACAGCTCTGGAGATGAACAATAAATTTCAATGCTGGCATTAAAACAATAGAAACTGACCTGAAAAGGTTTAGTCAAATCATGTGGTTGACACTGACCTTATATATTGACTTGTGATCAGTATTGACTAAGTGTGCTAGAAAATAACAAGGCATCAACCAACGGTTCACCCATCTTTCTAAAGAAGATCTTGTTCAAATGCTTGATAACAGGACCTGAGGTGAGGTGAAATGGGGTTTAATGTGTCCAAGAGTTTTGCACTTATATAGCGACGTGGATAGTGCAAACCCACTAAGATCCAAAGACGCAGTTTAACACTCCAATACTCCGCTTAGACACAGTATACTGTCTCCAAGCAGACCAGTCCTTGTTTTAGACCCTTAATGCCGAGCGCCAGGCAGGGTTACAGCAAGTTCCATCTTTGAACATCTTTTGGTATGACGCGGCCGGGGATTGAACCCTGGACATTCCTGTCTCAAGGCGGATGCTCAACCACTAGACCAAACAGGCGGATGCTCTACCACTAGACCACAGAGGCAGACACTCTACCACTAGGCCACGGAGGCTGACGCTCTACCACTAGACCACGGCGGCGGATGCTCTAACACTACACCACGGAGACGGACACTCTACCACTACACCACAGAGGCTGACACTCTACCACTACACCACGGAGGTGGACGCTCTACTACTAGACCACGGAGGCAGACACTCAACCACTAGACCACAGAGGCGGACACTCAACCACTAGACCACAGAGGCGGACACTCTGCCACTACACCACGGAGGTGGACGCTCTACTACTACACCACGGAGCCGGACACTCTGCCACCACACCACAGAAGCTGACGCTCTACCACTAGACCACGGAGGCTGAAGCACTACCACTAGACGACGGAGGTGGACACTCTACCACTAGACCACAGAGGTGGACGCTCTACCACTAGGCCACGGAGGCTGACGCTCTACCACTAGACCACGGAAACCCCATTGTTATGGGACTTCCCAAATAATGGAACAGTGGAACAATTATTGTTTGTTTGTTGTTTAACGCCACATTCAGCAATATTCCAGCTATATGACGGTGGTCTGTAAATAACTGAGTATGGACAAGGCAATCCAGTGATTGATATCATGAGCAACTACACAATTGGGATATGATGACATGCATCAACCAAGTCAGCGAGTCTGACCACCTGATCCCGTTAGTAGGCTCTTACGACAAGCGTAGTCACCTGTTACGGCAAGCATGGGTTGCTGAAGACCAATTTGAACCTGGATCTTCACGGATCTGGAACAATTGGAATGAACCAGCCAATCAGCATGAAGCAAAAATTACAATGTTAAAAAAACAAAAACAAAATCACCACCATCCGTACCATAACAGTACAATAATATGTCACGCCTAATGGTCCTTTCACAGTGTCAGGCAACTTTACCTTTCTCCTCTGTTGTCGTGTTATCCTGTACAGGATTCGCCTCCATTTTGGGTTTCTCAGTGTCCTCTACATTGACTGCCTCCTCTTCCTCCTCCACCTTGGTGAGATGAGATACCTCCTTCAGTGCTTCAGCCTTGACCTCAATCTGAACTTTGACCTCAGGAGAGGCGGCTCTCTGCACATCAGCATTACCTGAGTGTGCAGAGTTACTTGCCCTTGATTTTGAGCGTCGGCTACTTCTACCTCCCTTTGCACTTGACTTGCTCTTCTTTTCAGGGATTGTGATTTCCTGGGTCACGACCTTGCCCTCTACGGACTTTAGTTGTGGAACGTAAGCAATTTGATTCTTCTCCATATTGAGATGATGAAGTCTGAACAGAAAACAACTTCCACTTTATCAAGGTTTGAATGGTATTTAGAAGTTGGATATGAGGTGAGGTGAGGTGAGGTGAGGTGAGGTGAGGTGAGGTGAGGTGAGGTGAGGTGAGGTGAGGTGAGGTGAGGTGAAATGACGCTTAACATCATGTTCAAGAATATCGCACTTATATAGCGATGTTTATAGTGCTAGCCCACTGAGATACAATATTGCAGGTTAACACTCCAATACTCCACTCAGACACAGTATACTGCATGCATGTGTGTGTGGCTGCTTGTCCTAGTCCGAACTATGGCTGATCTTATTGTGCCGACCACTGAGACACCATACCGCATTTTAACAAGGACACCCCACTCAGACACAGTGCACTGACTATGAGCTGACCAGTCCTTGTTTTGGCCCCTTAATGCCGAGCGCCAGGCAGGGTAATAACAAGTACCATCTTTTAGCATCATTTGGAATGAAGCAGCTCTCCCAAACAAATGCTCTATCCACTAGACCATGGAGGAAGTCATTTATGAATCAAATAACATATCAGCAGTGTTAGAAACTACACAGAAATGTCGCTATATTTGTAATTACAGAATTTGACCATCCATCTTTTGAGTAAATCCTGCTTTCTATGACAAAGTTCCCTATCCATGTAGCTAGACCCTATTGAGTTGTGCAACATACAGAAAGCAGGGATTGAAATGCTGGGTTGTTTCAAAGGTGCCGCAGGGCACAAAAATACTTTCAGACATGCCCACTGAAATTTAGGCATGCCAAAAGAAATCACAGAGAACTTATCTAACTGTGCCATTATGATTTAAACAGTGCCATTGCCACTCTAATACAAGGAATTTCCAAACCTAGGAGTGTTTTCTATCTGTTTCTCATCACAGTTTGTTTGTGTGTTGTTTAACGCTGCACTCAGCAATAGTCCAGCTATATGACAGCGGTCTGTAAATAATCGAGCCTGGACCAGACAATTCAGTGATTGACATCATGAGCATCGATCCACGCAATTGGGATCGATGACATGTAATGGGTCAACCAAGTCAGCGAGCCTGACCACCCAATCCCGTTAGTCGCCTCTTATGACAAGCATAGTCGACTTTCACAGCAGGCATGGGTTGCTGAAGACCTATTCTACCCCGGATCTTCACCAGTCTCTCACTACAGAAATACACATATGTAACATTCTCCATGAATGACACACAACCATTGCTCCTTGTATATCTACCAAGCTGTTTGCTCAGATTCTGTATGCTGAATACCAATACAAGTCAGTCACCAAAACATGTTCTACCAAGGGGACCTCAAGATGGTACTTGTTGTTACCTTGTCTGGCACTCGACATTAAGGGGCTAAAAGAAGGACTGGTTAGCTAGGAGTCAGTATATTGTGTCTTAGTGGGGTATTCATGTTAAACTGTGTGACATGGTATCTCAGTAGGCTAGCACTATAAAATTGTCATTAGTCTGGACTTTAACATGCACGCACGCACGCACGCACGCACGCACGCAATTATCTTGGATGCGACGTTAAACCCCATTTCACCTCACCTCAGATTAATCTTTGTAACTTGGGTACCGGTAATGTCAATTGTGCTTATACAGTAAACTACGTTAATAACAAACTAAAAGGGACCACTAATTTAAGTTTGTTAAAACTGTAGTTCATAAGCATATATTCAGCCTATACACAGGAAATGAACAGGACCAAAAAACAGTTTGTTATATCCGTCATTTCGTTATAAGTGTGTTTGTTATAAAGTAGTTTACTGTATGGATGAAATTCGGTGGATATGTCAGTTTGCTAACTAGTGTTTCTTACTTTTGTAACCCAGCCAGTGCTGCGAACACGCTCACATCACCAAGTTTGTTGTCATCCAGCATGAGTACTTCCAGCTTTGTGAACCTTTGGTACCGTGTCTTTCTGATGGAAGCAGAACAGAGGGATGGAACAGTCAATATAGATTTAGTCAAATCTTAGTCAAATCGAAATATGTTTTACATTTGAATGCATTAAGGAGTACAGCAGGATAAGTGAAAAATATACATGATACTTGATTTATTTGAGATTTTGTTTTCCTCAAGATGCAAGAGGTGCCAAAATGGATAAAGTGACCGAGGAACAATGACAAATTAGAAAAATGAATAAGAATTGGACTTCTTGTAGATTGTATGTACATTTATATAAGGGTTTTAACTGCTCATTAAGGTTTAAAAAATCTATACAATAAATTGAAATCATGGTTGATGGGGGTTATTGCTACTCTTAAATCTTAAGTGAATGCAGGTCAGACTGACTGTTTTGGATCTGGGATATAGGGCAGCGACATGTCAGCAGGCAGTGTCTTGAAGTTGTTGCCGGTGAGGTGTAGGACCTTGAGATTCTGGAGTAACCCCAGTGCCAGGACGTCCTCAGAAGACAGGTTGTTGTAGGACAAGTCCAGTAACTGTAACACACAGTCAGAACTAGTAGCATGTGGTACTGTTGGTGAAGTCATAATAGTAGTAGCAATATCAGTAGTAGTAGTAGTAGTAGTAGTAGTAGTAACAGCAGCAGTAGAAGGTAGAAGTATCAAAGTAGTAGTAGTAGTAGTAGTAGTAGTAGTAGTAGTAGTAGTAGGAGCACATATTGTGTCAGGATCTCATGTGTCAACATGTCATTGGATATTGTCTTACCTCCAGAAATGGGTAGTCTGTGACATCTATCTTCAAACTGCGCAAACCATTCAAAGGCATCTCAAGTTCTCGTATGATAGGGAAGCCACGGAAGGCCTCTGAAATAAAACATGACAATACAACAGTGAAAGAATACATTTAAAAGTTCATTTCTGATATCAAGACACAAAAGGTAATTCATATACCATAGGCCATAGGTCTGCCTTGAGCCTGGAAGGATGGTGTTTTGTTCTCTGGATGCGTCAAACCAAAAGACGTAAGAAGATAGTACATGAGGTTTCCCTGCCTGGTGCTCGGCCTTAAGGAGATGAAACAAGGTGTGATTGGCTCTGAGTCAGTATACTGTGTTTGAGTGGGGTATCCATGTTAAACTGTGACATGGTATCTCAGTGGGCTAGCACTATAAAACAGACATTAAATCGGAGTAGTACAGACAGACAGACAATAATCTTGAATGGAACGTTAAACTTCATTTCACCCCCAATCATCACCATCTCACTGTGAAGCAACGTATGTGATAAACACTGTGTCGTGACTTGGGTGTATACATCTTTAGCCTCAGCCCCATTTATTTAGCAGTCTCACATGACATAGCTGCAATACTGTGAACTAACATAATAGCGTTAAACACAATTACTCTTCTAATTTCTAAATGTAATGCTTCCGTGGGGACTCCAGGCTTGAATTGGTCCCCAGCATCCGCTGCTGGTCGTAAGATGTGACTTAGTGGATCTGGTGGTCAGACTCTGTGACTTCGTTGATTGTACGACATCGTTCCCCGGCGGCGTTAATTGTTCCTCATAATATTAATTACTGGATTGCCTGGTCCAGATTTGATTATTTTCAGATCGCTATCATATAGCTGGAATATTGCTGAGAGCAGCAATAAACAAGCACACAGACACTCTTAACGCTATGCATTCGATTCCCTAGGAGGTACCTTTTATACTCACATTAGGAACCTATCAAATGTTCAGCTGTGCATAACAAAATGTTGAACAAATGAATCCAAAAATATAACAAATGTCTCACCAAAGGGGAGATAATTCTCTCCCGCATTGACATAAGCAACATTGTCAAAGAGGCTGAAGTCGTCCTCCTTGACCTCACTGAGCTCCTTGCCCGCGATGTTGATGGAGCACAGGTCCGAGGGATCCTCCACACAACACTGCTTCATCTAAAACAGTTAAACATCCAAACATTGCTTCATCTAAAACAGTTAAACATCCAAACATTGCTTCATCTAAAACAGTTAAACATCCCAACATTGCTTCATCTGTAACAGTTAACATCCCAACATTGCTTCATCTAAAACAGTTAAACATCCCAACACTGCTTCATCTAAAACAGTTAAGCATCCCAACATTGCTTCATCTAAAACAGTTAAACATCCCAACATTGCTTCATCTGTAACAGTTAAACATCCCAACATTGCTTCATCTAAAACAGTTAAACATCCCAACATTGCTTCATCTAAAACAGTTAAACATCCCAACATTGCTTCATCTAAAACACTTAAACATAACATCATTTTCTGTAACAGTTATACATAACATTTTTTTTTTCTGTAACATTCAAACATAATATTGTTATCTGTAACAGTTAATCACATTGTTATCTGTAACAGTTAAACATCACAACATTGCTTTCTGTAACAGTTAAACATAATATTGTTATCTGTAACAGCTAAACATCACATTGTTGTCTGTAACAGTTAAACATCCCAACATTGTTGTCTGTAACAGTTAAACATCCCAACACTGCTTCATCTGTAACAGTTAAACATCACAACGCTGTACTAAATGGTTCATATACATGATATAAGGTAGTCTAGTTTGAATTACATAGAAATCAGAATGACATCAACTGACGTCAAAGATACAGGAAGACAGTTATCCTTACAAGGAAGAATCCATCCAAGGTAGGGGCCTCCTCTTCTTCTTCCTCCTCATCTTCATCAAATTTCTGACCATCAAGGGTTGTACCAAGACGCTCAGTCTTTTTCCTTTCTTCTCTGATCCTTGAGTAAGTCCTTGGTTTAGTGCACAGGACAGCCTTAAATCTTCTCCTCTGCTCCGCTCTATGAGCTATGAGCCATGCTCCACCACCTGGAAACATAACCATCATTTATAGGCTTTCAGGTTGTTATTGTCATTCATTGCCCAGAAATATGTCATTTGGAACTGATGGTAAACGCCGGAGTTTCAAATGTAAAACACTTCGGTCCATCAAAAGCTCATTAACAGTGCAAAGCTGAAACACATATGTTCACTGATATTGTAAATACAGAAAAGGATTTCTGTAGTTTTCCATTGCAGTCCCATTGACATGTACTCAAACAAGAGTGACACATACATGACACTAATGCTATGATGTCAAGATACAATGGATGACGTCACGTGATGTATTGTTTATTGACAAAAATTATATAAATACACATATCAAAAATATGAATTGAACTGCATTGAAAAATGCACAAAAGCTCTACCACTGCCTATTGCATAACAGACATGTATCGCTGTAGTGGGATTAAACCACATGTCATGGCCCAAAGGCATTTTCAAAATAATTCTATTGCCTCAATGCTGCAGAAAAACCATACTATGTGCATATGTAACCATAGCAAAACCAGACTAGGCCTTCCACTTGCCTGAGGACATCATAGACACGGTTCTTACAAACTGTCTTGTCTCTAATTGAAGAGTTAGCTGTATTTTGCATGTTTTCCACAACTTGCCATGAGAATAATTACGTTTGAGTAAATACTTAATGGCATAAAATAGTTGTGAAAAAATAAAATGTTTTAGATTAAGTAGTCTAATGACTTGATGATTATGATGGTAAGTGGTTTATTATGGTATCTGGCGGTCTGACAAAAAAAATTGATCTGTTTGTAGCAGGGTGTGGAGTCATCCCACAGATGACATCCTTATCTTGTCAACTTGCTGACGGGGTAAACCTGTTTGGTCATGTGTCCCACCTCTGATCAGAGGGTCTGTGGTTCGAATCCCATCCTGGAACTCGGACATTTTATGACCGCTACTTTGGCGCCCAATGTGGGGCTGAGCGCATTCATATTAAATTTGAGCAAAATAAGTCTCAGTACGCTACTATGCCGCCCGGGACATGCCTTCTGTTGACTGGGAAGTATGTAGCAGGGCGTGGAGTCATCCCACATATGACATCCTTACCTTGTCACTTGCTGACGGGGTTAACCTCTTTGGTCATGTGGACAAGGAGTCCGACCTCTGATCAGAAGGCCCGTGGTTCGAATCCCATTATAGGACTCTAACATTTTATGGCCTCTACATGTTCATCATGATGATCCATGTGGAGACAATGTTCTCTACCGGCTCTGTGCAGTTTGATAAACAGCAGAGTTTGCACAGAGCATTGATGATGAGAGCCGTGTTTACATGCGTGTCGACTACTTTGAGCTTGCATGGGACCCAGACCAAATTATGTTAACTATACAAATACATTCCTGAACCTAATAAACTTCCTACAGAATAATCATTTAAAATGACAGTAAGTAGAAAGGGTTAGAAGTTAGTCTGAGAGTCGTATTCACTCCACGCGCACTTTGCTGCTTTCCAAATTGGCTACATTTCAATTTTAAAATCTGTGACATCAACCCAAAATCAAATACACAACAACCATTTTGATTTTATTAATTAACTGAGTACCGTCGTATCCATGGCCAAATATACTCCGGACCGGGAAACAATTTGAAGCAAAAACTCCAGATCCATCATCAAATCGTAACCCTTCCGTCGCCATTTTGAAACATCGCTAAGGCAACAGCGGTTACATCTAAAAGTTGTCATGAATCCTATTCGGAAAATAAAATGAACAAAATGCTTTCAGCTTTTAGTTACACGCTATAAAATATGGAGATATAGTTAAATAAAATTTTAGTCGATGCGTATATTCAATTTTATAATACATTAACAAGGAAATATTTTAGTACATTTTCCTTTAAGAAATCCTGAACATGTTTTACACTTATTCCAACTGGTACTGCTGCCAGAATGCGTGATCATTAGACGTTATCCCAGTTTAATGATTATATTAGATTATTCTTTTGGGAATATTCACTTCGGTTGGATAAAACTGACATAATGATATAAGACTATGTTTCACAAAAATAAAAATATATATATTCTTAACAAAAAAATCTCGTAAGTAGATCGCGATCGCGAGATCAGCCATATTGAATCACCAGGTACTTGTTTACGTTTTTACGAGCATAATGAGACTATTATTAAAGATGTTAACACTATCTTGATAAGAATTACCCATGTGCTTTTCATACCCCGAACCTACTTGATTGTCACTGTGCCTTTTGATAAGGATGGCAGAACGATGCATTGTCTTTTACACACAGTAAGTTCTGTGGTCCAATTTTCGATCATGTGGTCATTTAAAAACAGAACGAGTGCAGAACGTAAGTTTATTATGGAAGAGTCCACCCCTTTACGGGCGGTTTTCGGGTTTTAATTAGTTTGCGGGTATTGCGGAGGATCAAAAGTCGCGTTTCAGCGGGAAGTGAAGCTAAGCTGGGCAAGTGATTTAATAATCCGTCAACATTTAACCACGGGTCCATGGAAGCTATTACACGACGTGACGTATTTGCTTATTACTAACAGGGGCAGTGTCATTAACACACTAATAAAACAAATGCACCCAAACAAAAACGAATTTGTCAGGATTTATCTTTTTCATTCTGCCAAAAGAGGTGATATAGGTATAGATAACCCTAACATTAGCTGATAGGGTCGCTCTCGATCTGGGTACCATCGAAATGTACCCTGGGTACAAATCGATGTATTAAATTGTGCCCAGACTTAAGTAACCATGTCGTTTTGTACCCTGTCCATATCTAAAAAAAGAAACCATAATTTCTAATAGATTAATTAAAATGACTTATGATTGTATTTGTAACAGTTGTGTTATTTCTCTAAAATTTATATCAGTAAGCCTCCATGACCAGTGAATAATTTATGTTGTACGAATTTTAAACAAATAATAACAAAGAAATAAACTTTTATTTCAATCTGTCAAAATATCCCAGCAATGCACTGTTCTTCTCACATCCTTGTTCTCTTCTTTCTGACCTTGGGCGGTCGGGTAGCCTAGTGGTTAAAGCATTAACTCGTCACGCCGAAGACCCAGGTTCGATTCCTGACATGAGTACAATGTGTGAAGCCCATTTGTGGTGTCCCCTGCCGTGATATTGCTAGAATATTGCTAAAAGCGGCGTAAAACCTCACACTTTCTAACCTTGAAGGGGATGCTTCCATTCACAGAATTAGGATCAGGTAATTCATTTACTGGGTCCTGTCTCTTCATGGAAATGCTAAGATATTCAAAACATGGTTTAATGAGAACTTATATGAATTATATTGAAAGATTTTGCGTGAATGAAAACTATTGCAGACAATGATTATATTTTTATGGGGGAAAAAATATTAATACTCGAGTAATTTGCAATAATTTAGATATAGGCCTATTGCAAATGTTTGTGATTTTGACATTAAAAATATATCTAAAAATCTCTGACAAAATTTAATATCTAGGAAAGCAGACAACAATTTCTACCATATTGTACTTGGATTTAAATAATGGTATGATTTTGATCTGCACTAACCGAAATCAGATCACTGTCATATTTGTTTACACTGTGTCATGGCCGTCTTACGTGTCACATTTCAGCAATATCACCTTCTAAGTCAATGTCCGATATTGGAAAAAAAACGTAATTCAAAAATAATTTAATGTTACAAGCATTACTTTTCTTCATAACATATGTAAAATCGTAACTTGCTACTTGTCATTTACTCGTATTAAATATGCATAAGTGCAAAAGTGCAATTTCTTACTTTTGAGCCGATGTATGTCTTGTGGAAGATGGTGGTGTTCAAATTTTTGTACACTCTGAGGAATTTGAACTTTTTCATTCAATTTTGCTGACAGTTGGATCAGACTTGGGGCTGAATATCAGCCTCTGAGCACGTCTAGATCAAGCCCAGCAGTCCGGTCTATGGTTGATCTTACTAAGAACTGCTTGCAGTGTCGTTTTGGCAAAATATTATTATTATCATGCTCTAATAAGAGGGGTACAAAATGGATGTCATGAGTGACAAAAGCACAAACCATACATCACTTCACATGCATTGTTTGCCCCCGAAAGTAAGTCTGACAAGTCCACAAAACACGCCTGGCCATCTGATGGGCCCAAACTGAGGCATGCGCCAGTTTAGATTGACAGACTGGATTGGTCGATTATTGAACCCAGCTACAATTATACATTGGATGAATATATGCAGAAATGCTAACCAATAGGATTTTGGTGTGATAGGTTCAGTTTTAAGCCTAAAATACTCTTTTACACTTGTCCACCCCCAAGTTTCGTTTTTGTCATTTTCTTCACAAGTTATTTACATACATAAAATATCACAGAGAGCATATTGTAATGCATCAGTAACATGAAATGATGAATCATTCTACAGCAAGACCAATCCAACCATGGAGAATTATGCTTTCGATTCCAACTGTGTTAATATATGCATTACTCAATGATACAAGGTCTCTGATTGGTTGTTATCTTAAAAACCTCTTAAGTCATTTTATCAACCGATCTCTGTGAGTGCAAACAGGGAACTAGTCACATGTACACTGATATTACATTGTACTGAACCCTTGAAGATCCGGGGTAGAATAGGCCTTCAGCAACCCATTCTTGCCATAAAAGGCGACTATGCTTGTTGTAAGAGACGATTAAGGGGATCGGGTGGTCAGGCTCGCCGACTTGGTTGATAAATGTCATCGATCCCAATTGCGTGGATCGATGCTCATGTTGTCAATCACTGTATTGTTAGGTCCAGACTCGATTACTTACAGACTGCTGTCATATAGCTGGAATATTGCTGAGTGCGGCGTTAAACAACAGACAAAGAAACAAAGATTGTACTGTCAGTGTTACGACTTTCACATAAATTTACTTCTTGTTTTCACCCCACTGGTTACTCCAAAGCTTCAATTGGGGTTGTCATCTATGGGCTAAGGGTCAAGTCACCTGATTTCAGCTGCCATTTAACTACCACAAGGACTTGCTGATCCTCATTTGAACAGTTATGATTTGAGGAATTATTTCAAGTATTTCATTCACAGACTGCACTGAGGGATGATGGTTCGATCAAGTTCATCATCATCTAGGAGTCCCACTCCGGAAAAGCACAGACGTCGTGATGTTTCCCCACGCTACAGACGTCACTCCTCCAGTGACAGAGAGGACTCACGACACGGACGGAAAGATGACGTAAAAAGACACAGGAAAAAGAATGGTGACCATATGCATAGGGACAGATCACGGTCACCTTTTTCAAAGAGAAGTAGGTCAAGGTCGCCATTTACTAAGAGGATTAGGTCAAGGTCACCATATTCAAAGAGGAGCAGGTCAAGGTCACCTTACTCACGAAGAAAGAGGTCAAGGTCTAAATCACCTCATTATAAGAGGGAGCCTCGTGGTTCACCACAATATAATGATTACAGAATATCAAGATCAAACAAAAATGATGCACATTGGTCTCCTGGTTTGCGGAAATCAAGATCTAGGTCACCTGTTTCTCGGAGGGAGAGGTCAAGGTCACCTGAGAGGAATTACCCGTCATCAAGAGGACAAGACAGGTATATTGTAATGTTTGGAAGTATGTTTAACTCTAGTATATATATATATATGTTTAACTCTCAGGTCTTGCAGGACTCAAATCCATGGCATGAGCCATTAAGGTGGGGAACGGATGTTCGGACTCTGGGACTTGGCTGGGCGACCTAGGATGTTGATCATTCTATCAGCTACTTGTGTACCTGGTCTATGCTCAGTTGTGTACTGGCCATCGGGGTATAGCAGGAATAGTGCTGCCTGCAGAGTAAAACATCACACAAAACATACAGTCGTGGGATTTATCTACAATTACAGACAGAGTGGCAGGCAAACTGGGGAAAATCTTCATATTGTTTAACATTGGATTATTTTTTGTAGTGTTCAAATATTTGTACATTCTGAGGAATTGGAAATTTGTGAATTTTTGCTGTCATTTGCTGCAGACTTGGGGCCGAGTATCGGCCTCTGAGCAGGTCTAGAATAAACCCCAGCAATCCTGTCTATGGTAGATTTTTCTAAGAACTGATTGCAGTGTCGTTTTGCCTGAAATGAGATTTATGATGCTACCGTTGAAGACAAGCTATGGCAGAAAACATTGTGTAACCTATGTTTTGACTATGAACATAAAGTGATGTTTGGGCGAGAGATGGATGAGGATGCCTATCAGTAGTGTTGGTATATATATCTATGAAACCTTTTTTTTTTAGGGAAATGAGGCAGAATGGTTTTGGGGGCTACCATCACCAGAGTCGAGACCAACATAGCATGCATACAGGGCCGTCAGACTTCATGGAGAGGTACAGCCACTCTATCATTATTATCCCCCACTACAAAGTGGGCCGGGGGAGACTGGAACGGAGTTAGTCCATCTGTTCTTCCATCCGTCCTTCCGTCCATCCATCAGGTTCTCAAAGGGGACAAATTTTCTCAAAAACTACCGGTAATTAAGTCAGAGTATTGGAATTTTGCACACTGGTGTTACTGGTCATGATTTCAAATGAGTTTGAAAATTGATGTCATAAAATCCGTTTTTACAGAGTTATGGCCCTTGCTCTTTGACTTTCAAGTTAGTGCATACTACGTGAAATGGGGACAAGTTTTTCCCAGAAACTACTGAAGTTACATAAATGAAACTTTGCATGCTTGTCTAAGAGATACTTGTCGAGACTAAATTTGAAACTTGGTCCCATAAATTATTTGTTTACAGAGTTACAGCCCTTGATCCATGTTTTTTTACTTTGTGCATAGTGTGTGCAATGGGGACAAGTCTTCTCAGAAACTACTGATGCTACATGAATGAAAGTTGGTATGCTTATCTAAGAGACACTTGTCAAGACAGAGTTGAAAAATTGGTGCTGTCAATGAATTGTTTACAGAATTACAGCTTTCGATCCATGTTATTTGTGCAATGGGGGCAAGATTTATAAGCAAGTTAGCTTATCTAAGAGATACTTATCAAGAGTTATTTTTTCCAGAGAAAGGGCCTTTTGTGTGCAATAATTTCACATTTAATCATTATTTCTGATGACAAAAGCGGCCCAAGTGCCTATCTCTTCTTAAGACTTTACGGGGTTCTTTTTTTATAGTTTATATTCACTACCATATGAACAAAACAAACTTCTAATATGCCTCATGGTGGGGGATAGCGATAACACTGTTTTCTTGTTTGTATGTGGGACTGAAGTTGTTTTAGTACAGAAATTATTATCCATATTATCATTTTACAGATGATGCTCATGAGTGCGGCGTTCAACAACAACCAAACAATAACGCTTTAGTAACGCTGATAACGAGTCTAGTGGGATTAACATCAGACTGATAAGAATATCAATTATTATTGAAGAGTAGGGCATGTAAGTTTGTTGGCAAATGATGTAAAAATTAGGCCTTGTCAATCTGCCATGCTAGACACTTGGGACAATCTTTCAAGTCTTTTATTGCAGAAATTTGAAGTCTTATTTTATAAGGTCAAGTAATCTTTTGATTATCAGAAACAAGTTCCACTTCCCCTGTGATTTCTTAGTTCATTTCCACAATATACAAGAGGGAAGGAAATTAACAAAAAGTTCAGTCTTTACGGACTGTTGTACTTCATTGTATGGGGGTAGAACAGGTTCAGCAACCCATTCTTGTCCCCCGTGAAGATTCCGGGGTAGAATAGGTCTTCAGCAACCCATTCTTGCCGTAAAAGGTGACTATGCTTGTCGTAAGAAGCAATTAATGGGATCGGGTGGTCAAGCCCGCTGACTTGGTTGATGCATGTCATCAATCCCAATTGTGAGGATGGATGCTCATGATGTCAATCCCTTGATTGTCTGGTCCAGACTCGATTATTTTATGACAGCTGTCATATAGCTGGAGTATTGCTGAGTGTGGCGTTAAACAACAAACAAACAAACAAAAAATCATTGTATGTTGACCTTTGTACTTCATTGTATGCCCACTTTTGTACTTAAGACGGAGACAGGAGCGGGAACGTCTGGGAGAAGCTGGTGTTCCCGAAATATGGAACAGTTCCCCCCTACACATTGAAAAGTAAGTCTCCCACAATGATATCCTGTCAGTTTTCCGATAAAGCATCTTCTGAAAGATGGTTCACAGAACGGACCAACATACATGCAGTAAAAATGATTGATGTTCTAAGTATCTGGCCCAGTGAAGATCTGGGTTAGAATTGGTCTTCGACAACCCATGCTTGTGACAATATCGTATGACTAACAGGTGGTCAGGCTTGCTGACTTGGTTGATGCATGTCATCATATTCCAATTGTGAAGATCGATGCTGATGATTTCAATCACTTGATTGTCTGGTCCAGACTTGATTATTTACAGAGTTCAGTCATATATCTGGAATATTGCTGAGTGAAGGGTTAAACAGCAAACAAACATAAAAAACAAGAATTCACTGATTTAAAGACTCAACTCAATGTCCTTCAAAGGTAGAATTTGTTTGTTATTCATTAACATTATATTAATTTGGATGTTCAAATTGTTCCAAAAGATATCCACAACGATCGACATTGAATTTTGGGCCATAGATTTGGAAACTAATAGCAAAAAGCAGGCGTTACTACAGTAGGATCTATTTAGTTTTCTTTGTTGAAGAGGGGCGGTCAGGTAGCCTTCTGGTTAAAGCGTTTGCGCATCACGCTGAAGACCCAGGTTTCAATTCCCGACAATGTGTGAAACCCATTTCTGGTGACCCCCGCCTTGATATTGCTAACATATTGCTAAAAGCGGCGTAAAACCTCACTCACTCACTCACTCACTCACTCACTCACTCACTCACTCACTCTTTGCTGAAGATGACATGAGAACATGTGACTGAGAATAGGAGTTCTATTCAGTGGTGTCCTATGAAAGATAGTTATTCTGTTAAATAAATAGTCATATGTTAAGTCTGAAGGGATCACAATTGCTATTTAGAATTCCCTCACATGGCAGTTTTATTGGTGATCACTTTTAAATGTTATTCCTGCCTTCACAGTTTCACTCTGTAATATATGTACTTTAAGTTCTGACAGTGATGAAGTAGGACGGAGGAACAAGGCATCCTCGGACTCGGACTCGGATTCTGACAGCAGCTCAGAAGGTGGGTTGCTAGCTGATGGACTTGTAGCTCACTCTGAAAGTAGCTTACTAGATGATGGATATGAGCTCATCCAGAATAGAGGTTGCTACCTGATGTGCTCATACCTCTCTTGTCTTTTGTTCTGATTTTTCCAAAAAGTGCAAGTGTGTGAATTTGTTCTTGGTTTTCCCAGCACACATATTAGATATCTGGGTTATTGCTAAAAGCATCCTAAAAACAAACTCTTTGAATTTTTGGATTTCAGAAGATAGAAAGAAGAAGAAGAAGAAGAAAAAGAAGAAGTCCAGTAAGAGTAAAAAGCACAAGAAACACAGCAAGAAAAGGTGAGAGTCAATGGTTACCATGGCAATTGCCTGTAACTGAAACATCTGAAATTTGTCAGGCAGACCAGAAGCTTTTCTGAAATTTAATTTTTATCTCCTTTAGAAAGGTCTTCAAATTAAATCTTAATCTGCCTTGAAAAGGTCTTCAAGTTAAATATTATTTGTCAAAATTATTTTATTTGAATTTCTGATTCAGTATGCACAAAGTATATCCCAGTCACCCACAACACACTCTTCTACTTTCAGTAAGAAAGTGAAAAAAAGTAAATCGAAGAAGTCCGCGAAGAAAAAGGCGAAAGTGAAGAGTGAGAGTGAAGAGACTGAGGAGAGCGGAGAAGAAGAGGAAGATGTTGAGGCAGTCTGGACAGAAAGGAAAAGTACGTCCCATTACTGCTGTTTTGAAAAAAAACATAGCGACATTAAACCCAACTCGCTTACTCATCACCATTACCTGACCAAGATGTGATTGTGATTTACCATTTTGTCCGAACATGCTTTAGACGACGTGTTTCTTTGTGTTCCAGTGTCAGATGAAGAAGACGAAGACACATTGGGTCCCCAGCCATTTGTTGCTGGTGCTGGTGCTGGTGAGAAACTGAAGTGAGTTGATATCTGTATTTACCCTGATTTTGGAGAATTATCATTTCAGAGGTTTCAAATCACAATAACCACCTTTGATTGAAACAGCTGATTTTAAATCATGTTTGGTCAAAATTCAGATTAAATTTACATGTAACCTAGATCTACATTGATAAAACCATATATTTTTTTTCTAATCCGACAATGAAGTTAGAAAAAACTCATTTCAAATTGGTCAGTGAGAGGTTTCAAAATCACAACAACCACCTCTGATTGAAACAGCTGATTTTACATCATGTTTGGTCAAAATTCAGATTAAATTTACATGTAACCTAGATCTACATTGATAAAACCATATATTTGTTTTCTAATCCTAGAATGAAGTTAGAAAAAACTCATTTCAAATTGGTCAGTTAGAGGTTTCAAAATCACAATAACCACCTCTGATTGATTGATTGCTGTGCGTATCACATTAAAATAAGTGTGGTTAAATCTGCAGGTAGCCTACATTGAAAACACAGCATGTGTATCGCCTCTATGAATAATACATAGATAGGAGACCAGCGAGTAGCTAAGGCAGCTTACAAGTGCAGGCAACATGGGAGATATCCTTGCACATCTCTAAGGGTGGCAGTTTCCATATCTTCAATAAGCTATTCTAGCCATGGATAAGTTCCTCATAATAATACCTGCCAATGTCAAACAGGTGCAAAACTACGAAATTCATGAGACCTCAGGTTAAAAATTTGCAGAATTGTTCCGAGTTATCAAAATCTGATGGAGTAAGCATGTACTCCAAAACGTTTTCCTCATAATAAAAAAGGTGTCATCCATAAATTCTCTTCCTTCTCAAAATTTGGTTGTAGAATTTACAAAAATTGACCACAGGATTTTGATATTTTGGCTTTGGAATACAGCAGGGCGTGATAATTGCTTACAAACCCATACAGCATCATAATGCTCTGACTCCAGCTATGGCCGAGCTCTGCTGCCAGGAGAGGGTGCTGCCATGGCTGCCTACATTGCCGAGGGGAAGCGTATTCCCAGGAGAGGTGAGATCGGATTGACCAGCAACGAGATCGAAGGCTATGAGAAGTCCGGCTACGTCATGAGTGGCAGCAGGTGAGGCTCATGTGTATTATGTGTTTGCCTCGTTTTGGTGAAGTTTAATTATCCTTGGGGATGTTGGTTACATTAGATCCCCTCTTCTATTGCCCGTCGTAAAAGACTAAGTTGATTCGTGTCAGTCGGTCAGTTGTGTTGTTCGTTATATGGACCTCTTTGTACTGATGTGCCTGGCTGACTTGATTATTATTGACTGCTGTGATAAAGCCAAAAATATCAAACAACCAATTAAAAGGAAATTGTTTGCAGATGTTGTAATCAGTGTCAATAGTAGTGATGTTTAGAAAGAGAGGGGCCCGTGAAGATCCGGGGTAGAATAGGTCTTCAGCAACCCATGCTTGCCATGAAAGGCGACGATGCTTGTTGTAAGAGGCAACTAACGGGATCGGGTGATCAGACTTGGTGACTTGGTTGATGCATGTCATCAATCCCAATTGGGTGGATCGATGCTCATGATATTAATCCCTGGATTGTCTGGTCCAGACTCGATTATTTACAGACCGCCATCATATAGCTGGAATATTGCTGAGTGCAGCGTTAAACAACAAACAAACTGACTAGAAAGGGAGGCTGTAATTTGAAGAAATCAGATTGGTTTTGAATATTGTGACCATGTCAGCAAAGCCTCCAAACCGAAAAAGAGTGATCAAAAGCTGATTTGAAGGACTTGTTGCTAAATCAGTATAACTGGAGATCCAACATAATATTGTTATGTAATTTACTTTCAGACATCGGAGAATGGAGGCTGTCCGATTGCGTAAAGAAAACCAGATCTATAGTGCTGATGAGAAGCGAGCTTTAGCCAATTTCAACCATGAAGAGCGTGCTAAACGAGAAGTGAAGATTCTGTCTCAGTTCCGAGAGATGGTTCACAAGAAGATTGCAGAGAAACAATAGTGGCCAATCCTGCTTTACTGATGAGGCGTTCATTCATTAAACCCTAATGTTCAGGGTGCTGTTGTACAAAGCAATCTTAGTGATAAGGTGATTGTAGTGATTGCAGCTCCCTTAACTTAACATAGTCTTACGATAGTCGTAGCGCTAAGGTTGTTTTGTATAACGGCACCCAGGCCCCGGTTCATAAAGCAATCTTAGCGCTACGACCAATTTATGGTAAAGTATAGGAGTTATTATCATATCTTAGCGCTAAGATAGCTTTGTGGAAAGGGACATTGCACATGCTTGTGAAGACCGTTCTTCATGTGTACTGACATAGGTGAACAATTGTAAAGAACATAATCTGAGAGGGCGAACACCTTGTAAAGAACGTAATCTGAGAGGGTGAACATCTTGTAATGAATGTAATCTGAGAGGGCGAACACCTTGTAAAGAATGTAATCTGAGAGGGCGAACACCTTGTAAAGAACGTAATCTGAGAGGGTGAACATCTTGTAATGAATGTAATCTGAGAGGGCGAACACTTTGTAAAGAACATAATCTGAGAGGGTGAACACCTTGTAAAGAACATAATCTGAGAGGGTGAACACCTTGCACGTTCGTGAAAAACACTCTTCACGTCTACTGAGAGAGGTGAACAATTGTAACGAAGGTAATCTGAGGGGGCGAAAACCACATACAGTGAAACCCTTGTGAATTGTGAAAGTAGCAAATTTTGAAGAGGTCACTGAAGCATTAAGATATTAATGTTGATGGTATAGCTGAAAATAACAGATACGTACATAAATATAGGTAAAGGTGTTCATTGTGTACCATTAATACTTGCAGAGAAAGGCTAGGGATTTAGGTATTTCCTTCCTTGATTATCCAGTGTCTCCATTCTGTTCTGTAAATACCCTGGACTTGTTTGCCTCCTGGGAGTCATTTCAGAAGTGACGTGACCAATCACAAACTTAGCACAAGTTTTCTCTTGCCCAGGAGTTATTTAATTGGTTCATTATACATTGTGCCATTCAAATCTGGCTTAAAACAAGGGTACACAGAGAATGGGTCAAGGGTATTTGTCAGAATCAAATTGAGATATGATATACTAGATGAGTGAGGTATTTCCGATGTTTTGTTTTTACAAGTACAGGTGAACAACCTCAGTTCATACCTCTTTTTGATTAAAACTGGCAGAAAGGAAAGGTAGAAAGGTAGTTAGGGCATCACAAATCTTCATATCGAAGATAATCTTTGGTTTAAACTGTTTTAAAATTAGGATTGGGCGAGATAATCAGTATTATGCAAACTGCTTACTAAACACAAATTGTACGAAGTTATATGTATAATTCCTTGCACATTTATCAGCAGTGTGTGAGCCAAGCAGTACAAGTATACTAAGACCTCTACGGATGATCGGATGATTAGAATCTGACTACATTTCTAGATTTAATTTTCGTGTCCATTTGTACATATGGTTATGAATTATTTTTATGTATATGTTCCTTTTTGCAATGTAAATATGAGATCATGATCGTTAAACTGACAAAAATAAAGACTGCATCACTCGCTCTGCTTTTTATTTGTGTTCGGGGCAGTCGGGTAGCCTAGTGGTTAAAGCATTCGTTCTGCACGCCAAAAAGGGGTTCGATTCCCAACATGGGTACAATGTGTGAAACCCATTTCTGGTGTCCCCCTGCCGTGGTAATGCTGGAATATTGCTAAAAGTGGCGTAAAACCTCTCACCAGCTCTATTTGTGTTCATGAATTAGAGATGCCAGATTCTCCCAAACCATCCTCGCAGGTTTCACTTCAGGATTATCATCACTCTTAGAATGATTATCCATGATTGTTAGAATGGGCATATATAAACTGACAAAATAATTATTCCTCTTCCATGCCAACCCAGTATTTTGGCTTTGTACCCATATGGGGTGAGGTGAAATGGGGTTTAACATCGCGTCCAAGATTATTGCACTTATATAGCGACGTGTGTGTGTGTGTGTGTGTGTGTGTGTGTCATTAGACCACGGAGCGGTCGTACCCATATATATGGTTCATCAGTGTGATGAGCAAATGCTTCCACCAATAGTAGATCAGATAGCAGGTTCAAATGAAACAAGAACAGAAACATGCATGCTTCTTCAACTTGCGGTGGGGGGCACAGGTGGCCCAGTCATCTAAGGCGCAGCGATTCGCGTCCCTTGGGCACACTAGAAACCTATGATTGGGGATTCGAATCCCGGTTAGCCCGATTATTGTCAGCACCATGCCCGTGCTAGTGGGTTTCACCGAAGTAGTAAACGTCTGAGACCTGCATCACTTCGGGCTTTCCTCCCACATTAAGCTGGCACGCCATCATATAACTGGAATACTGTTAAAAGCGGCGTTAAACCCAACTCACTCACTCACTCACTCACTCACTCAACTTGCAGTAAAAGGGAAAAGGGCTGGCAAACCAAGATGAAAACCATTTTACCCAGAACTTTTATGTCCCATATACCAAGATAAGAATTCTTGCCACTGATTTTCAACTTGAAATTTGGCATCCTTCTTGGATTTCCAGGTGACCTTACTTCTCCGTGAAAACATACCAGGTGGAGGTCGTGTTTAAGAATATTGCACTTACATAGCGACGTGCATGCATGTGGATGTTTGTGGCTGCTTGTACTAGTCATGACAAATGCAGATTTATAGTACATGTACTAGCGAAATGAGATACCACGTCACAGACTGACATGAATACCCGTTCGGTTACACTTACTCCAAGCTGAGCAGTCCTTCGTTAGCTAATGCCGAGTGCAAGGCAGGGTAACAAGTACCACTTTAAACGTCTTGTGGTATGACGCGGGCGGTGATCAAACCCACGACCTTCCACTCCCCGGGCAGATGCTCTCGACCAAGGAGGAAGTCCAAAATAAATGTAGACGTAAATTTTATAATCTATTACAGAAATCCCCGACAGGTTGAACAAAAAACACAGACTCTGTATGGATGTTGATCAGACTTTTACTTTCACCAGTCGGCTTTAACAGTGTAAAAAAGCAAACCATAAATCATGGGGCCCATTAATACCGAGTGCCAACTGAGGGTGAAGGTCGGTCCTCTGGCCGCTCCTCGCGCCATCTCCTCACAATCGGTGTGTACACACATAAATACAGGTAGATCACGGTACAAGACAATACACTGTACAAACACCCAACAGGCATGAGGATCCCTCTTCTTCACAGGCTTAAATGTACACCTCTAAGTACAGCTGCCTTTCCTGACAGTTTATTGGCTTAAATATACACAACATTGTTTACATCCATTCAACATTGTTACACCTATACTTGCACTGAAAGACGATCAATACACACAAATCATGTATGTACAATAACATATTTTCAGTTTTCTCACCCATGGCAGTCTTGCATCTACTACTCCGCCATAGAGTTCTCAATACTTGTTTTACAGACCCTAGACTTGAAAATTTGCCATGAAAAATAGCCAAATGAAAATAAAATTAGTGACTAAATATCGCTGATTAATGATATAAAAAAATATGTTCACAGGAAATATCTCTCAAATTGGTTTGTCCTGAAAAAGAGGATTCATTAGAAAATACATAGCAAAATGTTTACCGCGATGTCAACCGATAAGTTATGCCCCTTCGATATAAAATACCTGGGTGTCGTACAAAGCAGTCTTAGCACTAACATACCTTAACTTACAGCAGTCTTAGGGCAAAGGTTTTGTACAGCGGCACCCTGGTCTTTTTAGCAGGAAATCATTGTGTCTTGAGAGTACAGTCGATGGGCATGAATTCAGAAAGCTAATTGATATTTTTGTTAAAATAAATTTCGACCACTGACATGTTTCAAAGTAGAGATAATTTTATGGATAACAACTTCTTTATTTACTGTAAAGACGACAACAGGGGGACACCAGAAATGGGCTTCACACATTGTACCCATGTCGGGAATCGAACCCGGGTCTTTGGCGTGACGAGCGAACACTTTAACCACTAGGCTACCCGACCGCCCCTGTCGTGAAGTGAAATAGGGTCTAATAAGGTTGGGTATTGTTATAGATCATAGAGATTGATTATCATTAACTAAATAACAAGCAATTATTGATAAATATCGCAGAAGTAACTTTGAACAAATATGCAAATAAGTCCAAAAGAAATCAACATACTTCACGCCACTGGTGGTACATTTAAGCATGGACTACTTTGAGGACATCTACCAATGAGAGAAAACAAAACGTCCATATACCAACGTCGAGCATTCATGCTCTCCCCAGTGACACGAGACTGGCTTGGAAGTTAATGGCTAAGAAATCAAGAACAACAGACAGGACTGTAGAATATGCTGCAAGATAAAATAAAACAGCAGTAAGAACAGAAGCAATACCCTGGTTTGAATGGCTACTATTGTCAGCCGATCTCGAGGGGTTTATGGTGAGATGTAACCTTTGTGTGAGCATAGTACCCCAAGCTGCCTGGTCCACACACCATAGGCCCCGAGAGATCAGTTGACAACAAACTTATCGTGCCAACATTCATTCATACAGGTCAGAAATATGTTTGTAGTTTCACTGCGAGATAAACTTGTTACCTAAGACCAGGACCCACTTGCACAAAGCAATCTTAGCGCTAAGACTATCTTAAGCCTATGTTAAAGAATGGGAGATACAATCATCTTAGCGCTAAGATCGCTTTGTGCAAGTGAGCCCTGTTCTGACTGATTTCGCAGCAGGCTACATGAGCAGGCTTGTGAACGGTTACATGGAAAATAACTGTCCACTTCTAAACCAATCTGAAGCTAGTATTTTAATGTAAGGTAAGATAAAGGTAAATGTTCACATTCTTATATGTGACTGTATTTGTCCGCTTAATGCCTACTTGTACAAATGATACCAGCTTCCGATGTTAATTTTCAAAAACCTATTGCAGCTGGGAATGAAGCTAAGACGACTCTTGCATCACGACAACCATCAACACTGACACAGCCATCAGAATACACTCTCTGCAACAGCACAGGGGAAATAAGTACTGACAACCACTACAACAAATGATCCATGAAAATAACACTCTATAAATAATTGAAATATACTGAACAAAAAAAGTTAAGGACCATGACTATTTGGGGGATTCTTTTTGTCCTGAAGACTGAGCACATAATTTCGTCAAAATATCCCCAAAAATATTCACAATCCCTTACTTTTTTTGTTCAGCATAGTTTCAAAAAGATGCAAAATATGAAGCACTTATCCATGTCAATATTCTAGCATGTTCATTTTTCTACCAGAAGTTGTGCTGTAGACACCAACTTTTGAGCACAACATTTGAAGCACTTGAAAGAATGGTTCCTGTTTGGAGACATTAATCTTTTTCCAAAAGTCATTCAAAAGTAAACATTTCCTAACGAAAATGACAACTGATCATTGAAAAAATACATAAAAAAGAATTTCCAAAGATCACTACAGCACTCTTATTGGGGATAGCTTTCTTTTTCCATGATTCACAAAACTGATCCCATAACTTGCCATGTTTATTTAAATATATATGATATATCTGACATAACTGAATATCCTTATCAAACATTGAGTACCCCATGCAACCCAATGCACCCTCCCACCATTACTCAACAGGCAATGGACGTCTAAAATAGTCCGTGACAGATTGGTACTCTCTGAAGTCTCTCAAGAATGTTGGTTAACGTTACTGGCCGACCTCATTTTCAGTCCCCCCAATTTCGATCTACAATACTCAGCCTACACCCCGACATAAAAACATATTATCAATATTATGTAATGCAAAGATTGGCTGAGTCGCAGTCAGGAGTCATTCAACAAAAATGCATAATGAACCACGTCAGGTCTAATAAGTAACGTATAGACTTGTTACTAAAAATAGAATGGGAATTACCTGGCAGTGGTATTCCCCGAACCTAAGTCAATCAGATTCTTTGTTTGTTTGAACGTTTATCTCTTTATTGTTAAAATAAAACAATAACAGTGTGTGAGTGAGTGAGTTGGGTTTTACGCCGCTTTTAACAGTATTCCAGTTATATCACGGCGTGTCAGCTTAATGTGGGAGGAAAGCCCGAAGTGATGCAGGTCTCAGACGTTTACCACTTCGGTGAAACCCACGAGCACGGGTATGGTGCTGACAAACCTAGAAACATAATCGGGGCGAACCGGGATTCGAACCCACAATCATAGGTTTCTGGCGTGCCCAAGGGACGCAACTCTGCACAGCGAATCGCGGCGCCTTAGACGACTGGGCCACCCGTGCCCCCCTAAAACAATAACAGACTTTATATCAGGTCAATACCTGTTTTTATGGACCCGACAAAAGCAATATTGATGGTAACGCTTTCCATAATGTTGAAATTCCAATTACATAGACTGCAAAAGAAACTGCTAGTTGGACAGACTGGTATTATCAAAGAAAAATCACTTGCATGATTGTTGTAAGCGATAGAAAATCGTAATGTTTTTCAAGTCTGGCTGTGGAAAGCTATTTATTTACCTTCATTCAATATCAGTATTCTTAATGTTTGAAATAAACATAAACAGTTAGCCATGTTAGCTATTATGTCGAAATATGTTTCGAAGGCAGAATCAGAACCTGCTTGCACGCAGGATAAGTCTGGCATGATTTTGCAACCTTTGACATCATTCATCAATGATTATCTGACCTTTGACACTGTTCTCTGACCTTTGACATAGTTCTCTGACCTTTGACATGGTTCTCTGATCATTGACATGATTATCTAACCTTTGACATGGTTCTCTGACCTTTGACATGATTCGGACTATAAAAATAATTAATACATGATTCTTTGCCTTTGACATAAAATATCTGACACTTACTGATTGCTCACTTTCTGTCTTGTAGGGGTCACCTACGTCGTGTGGTTTTACTGCAAATTGTTTTCAAAATGACATCCATCATCACACCAAGATAAGACAACTGATAGTGTTGGAAAGGCAGGGTCTTTGGACTAACGGAGCCTCTCTGTTGCCTTAAGCATCCCTCAATACATCATTAACCGTACTTGCAAATATTGTTCCACACGTTTCCAACAATGGTGAGTGAGTGAGATGGGTTTAACGCCGCTTTTAACAGTATTCCAGTTATATCACGGCATGTCAGCTTAATGTGGGAGGAAAGCCCAAGTGATGCAGGTCTCAGATGTTTACCACTTCGGTGAAACACACGAGTACGGGTATGGTGCTGACAAACCTAGAAAAATAATCAGGGCGAACCGGGATTCGAACCCACAATCATAGGTTTCTGGTGTGCTCAAGGGACGCAACTCTGCACAGCCAACCGTGCCCCCCCCCTCGTTTCGAACAAATCACAGGACATGAGAGCATGAAGGAATGAACTAGTATGACGATTAGTACACATCAATGTTCAGCATCACACTGATGTCGAGCCATAATGATATATTGAGACGTATCCCCCTACCTTGTGTCACATCACTCTTGTTGGTCGAAATGACCAATGGGTCAAGTTTGTCAGTGAGTTTAACACCGCTTTGAAAAGTATTTCAGTTATATCACAGCATATCAGCTTGATGAAGGAGTCAGTGATTGACTGACTTGGGTTTAACACCGCTTTTAACAGATTTCCAGTTAAATCATGGCGTGTCAGCTTGATGTGTGAGGAAAGCCCGAAGTGATGCAGGTCTCAGATGTTTACCACTTTGGTGAAACCAACAAGCATGGGTATGGTGCAGACAAACCTACAAACATAATCAGCATATGAACCCACAACCATAGGTCCTGGCACACCTAAAGGGACACAACTCTGCACAGCAAAATGGAGTGATGACTAGGCCACGTGTGACTCCTTCCCCTCCCCCCCCCAAGTCTAGTGATTCCTATGATTGTGAAACACATAGTTTAGTGTCCATATATCATGACAGCCCGACAACAAAAAGGAATTAAACAGCTTCTGATGCAGTATTACACATCGTCATGGTATGCATAGGAAGTATATCTGGGAAGGGTGTTCTCAGTATTCGAAAATATTTCTCCCCATGTGACAATACATAATTTGCAAACAGATTGCTATCAATTAGCCTCAAATTTGAGTTCACAGGGGTTAGACATGTCACTAGTCTGTACAAGGTTATAAGTCAAAACGGGGAGGTTTTAGTTGTTTATCCAAAATCACAGCTATGAAATTAATAGTCCCGAAGGATCCATTCACCAGTGCAATTTAATTCGTGGCATCTGATGTGAATCCTGATTGTTCATTGCACGATCACAATCAGCAAGATAACTGAGTGAATGATGAGGCAAAGTCATGGATTCTTAAAAAACGTTTGGTAAACACGATGGCGATCCGCTTTCAAAATCTTTACTAAAGTACTGTCGGAAATGCTAGAAAAATGCTTTTTGCCTGTTAAAAAAGGATATAATTTTTCACAAACTGTTGTTATTTAAATATCGAGTAACTTCCGATTGACCTTCCTGTGGTTTGAAGTATTTCAGTCACAAGGAGTCCTATCGACAGGAGACAAATCCGAATGAAAACACGAAATTCACATATATTCTAAGTCCAATGAAACAGACTATAGAAATATGCGCACGTCACTCCTTTATAATTGTAATAATGTAGCCTTCCTAAAACAGCTAATCCACACACCAAAATCATTAGGAGAAAATACTAGATCTGTATCTTCTAAAATGACAAAATGGCGCTGCATTTGTTTTGTCAACACTGCTCCCATGATGCATGTTACATTACACTTGCATAGCCATAGCCACGGTACACGACATGGAGTATGTACTTGGAAATGTATACAAGTTCTTTACACTTTAGAGAGATAGAGGGAAGCCATTAATTAATTTAGATCGGGTGAATTACCAAACTGCCCAAGCTATGGGTTTTTTAATTCATACCATCAAGTCCACGGTATGATAAATAAAACAAAACAAGTATAGGGGTGGTCTCAAAAACAAAACCAGGAAGAAAAAGGATATTAGACAGCTTTGATACAGGGGGATCAGGCGTATAGTGTACAAGCTTTATGAGCAGAAGGTAACCCTGACTTGTAGAAGAATTTGGGAGGAAATTAAAGATACAAATAATGTTTCGTGGACTGCACTAACTATTGCTCTCAATGAGATGGGATTTCGATACACTGTGCGTGGCAATGACTGAGCAGTTTTCAGGGGATAATATTCCATCCTGTCTATGAGGTCACATTATCTCCAACCATTCATAACTATCACAGTCAGGGCGTCCAGATAATGTACCTTTATGAATCATTCCACTGACTACATGTGGCTATCGGCAGATGGACAAAAAAAAACCATGGTACTAACAGGTAGAGGTAATCGTGACATTGTTTTGCACGCCGCAACCCATGATATGGGGCTTATCGATGGATGTGTGATAGTTTTCGAGGCGATAAAGTAAACTGGTGATTTTCATAAGGAAATTATAGGAGGTGACGTGTTCATAGACTTGTTGGAACTTCAGCAATTGCCCATTTTAAACAACGTCAGTGTCATTGTCGTATCTATTCCATCATGAAGTACATATCCTAAATTGTTACCCCTTCAAAGCAATGTCAATTAAGTACAATAACAGCAATATTTCGAGACCACCCCCACCCAACTCGGATGCCAATGAGAACGCACGGGACAGTGTGAGGTCATCACCTCGAAACAGGTGTTAGGTAATTACTTCAGGTTATCGGCCGTTTCATACATGCATGACAACACACGGATATTTTTTAAGTTTATCACCATTTACCCGTAAAAGTACTTTTTAAGGGTAATCAGTGTCAGTTAGGACAGGTTAGATTAGGTCAATTTGGGTTACATGCTCTTTTTATAGTCCTATGATTCGTATTTATTAAATGAAGCTAGAAATTAATTTTTCTAGCATTTCCGACCGTACTTGGTCTCCATCATTGGTTGTATAGTGTGGTCGGCTGGTTTCCGGATTTGAACAAAACGATGTACATATTTCATATAAGCTCATCTTATACCAGTGGATATGTATTGAATGTATTGAATGTCATGGTGACAGAAACATCTTCAAAATATGAGAATGGACTGAAGTGATTAATAATGCAGATTAAGAAACTAAGAATAGAAATCAAAGGTGCTGTCGGCTTCTGCCTGTTCTGCAGGTGGCTGAGTGATTGACATGGGACTGTCATCAGACTGTCCAATCATATCGTCCATTGCAGGTTGGGTGGAGTCCGATGGCCCCGCCCCCTCCTTCAGTGCTGTTTTGAGGGAGTCTTCAGGCTGGTTTGGCTTGAGGGGGTGAGTCTCAGAAGTGGAGGGTCCCCGGTGGACATCGACAACAAGAGGGGGCGGGGAGGTGTGGCGGGAGGGGGCGTCCAGGAGGTAGGGCAGAACAGCTGGGGGGTGGAACTTACTGGATGTACCTGGAGAGAAGCAAGAACAAAAACAGAACATAAATGATGGGAACCGCTACTAACTGCAATGTACCAAATTTCACTCCATTTTGAAAAAACAAAGGGCTGAATAATGGCCAAGAATAGGTTTTTTTCAATATGCGTGCGTGCGTGCATGCGGTGTGACCAAAGGGTGTAATGGCTTGTGCACCAGGTGTGCCCGAAGGATTTTATGGCTTGTGCACCGGGTGTCCCCGAAGGAAGTAATGGCTTGTGCACCGGGTGTGATCGAAGGGTGTAATGGCTTGTGCACCGGGTGTGCCCGAAGGGTGTAATGGCTTGTGCACCGGGTGTGCCCGAAGGGTGTAATGGCTTGTGCACCGGGTGTGCCCGAAGGGTGTAATGGCTTGTGCACCGGGTGTGATTGAAGGGTGTAATGGCTTGTTCACGGGTGTGCCCGAAGGGGGTAATGGCTTGTGCGCCGGGTACGCCCGAAGGGTGTAATGGCTTGTGTACTGGGTACGCCCGAAAGGTGTAATGGCTTTGGCACCAGGAGTTCTCGAAGGGTGTAATTGCTTGTGCACCAGGTGTGCCCGAAGGATGTAATGGCTTGTGCACCAGGTGTGCCAGAAGGGTGTAATGGCTTGTGCACCGGGTGTGCCCGAAGGGTGTAATGGCTTGTGCACCAGGTGTGCCCAAAGGGTGTAATGGCTTGTGCACCGGGTGTGCCCGAAGGAAGTAATGGCTTGTGCACCGGGTGTGACCAAAGGGTGTAATGGCTTGTGCACCGGGTGTGCCCGAAGGGTGTAATGGCTTGTGCACCAGGTGTGCCCGAAGGGTGTAATGGCTTGTGCACCAGGTGTGCCCGAAGGGTGTAATGGCTTGTGCACCGGGTGTGCCCGAAGGGTGTAATGGCTTGTGCACCAGGTGAGCCCGAAGGGTGTAATGGCTTGTGCACCGGGTGTGCCCGAAGGATGTAATGGCTTGTGCACCGGGTGTGCCCGAAGGGTGTAATGGCTTGTGCACCGGGTGTGCCCGAAGGGTGTAATGGCTTGTGCACCGGGTGTGCCCGAAGGATGTAATGGCTTGTGCACCAGGTGTGCCCGAAGGGTGTTATGGCTTGTGCACCGGGTGTGCCCGAAGGATGTAATGGCTTGTGCACCGGGTGTGCCCGAAGGGTGTAATGGCTTGTGCACCGGGTGTGCCCGAAGGGTGTAATGGCTTGTGCACCGGGTGTGCCCGAAGGGTGTAATGGCTTGTGCACCGGGTGTGCCCGAAGGGTGTAATGGCTTGTGCACCGGGTGTGACCGAAGGATGTAATGGCTTGTGCATCGGGTGACTCGAACCCGGCGTGACGAGGGAACGCTTTAACCATTAGGCTACCCGACCGCCCCAGGGAGATATAAAGAAGTACTATGGATTGGCAGTAACACAGATGCTCCATATGCTAGACTATACCCTGCTACTTGGGTATTCTCACCTTTCCTCTGGTAGAAGAGGACGTAGGCACTGCTGTAGTCATCATTGCGAGGCTCCTGTTTGCTGACTGTCTCATCATTGTAGTAGAACCACTCGGATGTCAGGGGGTGGTTGGTGTAGGATGTGTAGTGACCAGAATGAGAGCCTGCACATTACAGCAGTGAGTTAGTGAGTCCTTCAGGACAGATCCTTCCCATTGGCTGCATGTCATACTCAGCTACTCATATACATTTAATGACTGGTGAATATTAATTTGCACTTTTGTTAATGTATTTCCTAAACACACACCCATGAATTTGGGTGTGTTAGAATTTGTCTTCAGCATCCCATGCTTGTCATTAGAGGTGACTAACAGGATCGGGTGGTCAGGCTTGCTGACTTTGTTAATGCATGTCATCGTATCCCAAATGCATAGATTGATGCTCATGAGATCGATCACTGGATTGTCTGGTCCAGACTTGATCACTTACACGTCGACATCATAAAGCTGGATTATTGCTGACTGCGGCATTAAACAAAAAAACTAACAAACAAACCTTAACACTTTCAGTTCAAGTTTTAAGATTTTTTGTAAGGCATCAAGCTCAAATCAATCCTAAAAACATTTTTTTATTTTCCCTTTTCCTTTTGAGAAGGTAATTCCCCAGACAAGAAAATATGTTGTTCTTATCCTTCTGTTTTGTTTGTTTGTTGTTAAACGCCACACTCAGCAATATTACGTCATTATTTAATAATAATTTGATGAAAGGTATTTTATCCAAAAGTTAAACTCACCTCCGAAATGACACACTATGCTGTAGAGGTCGTATGAAAGGTCCTTGACCTTTGGTCCTGATACAAAGTGTTGAAGGTCAAGGTTCTTGTGAGGAAAGACTACTTGGTTGTCGACTTTAGTACTCGACAACTCATGAAAGACAAATCTGGAAGAAAACACAGAATATCAAAGTATGAGTAATTAAAACAAGGGCTCGATCTACGGAACTCACAATGGATGACATCATGCTGGAATGCTATGACATCATGACAATGGATGACATCATGCTGAAATACTGTGATGACATGACAATGTATGATGTCATGATTGAATGCTATGACATCATGACAATGGATGATGTCATGCTGGAATGCTGTTATGTCATGACAATGGATGATGTCATGCTGGAATGCTGTTATGTCATGACAATGGATGATGTCATGCTGGAATGCTGTGATGTCATGACAATGGATGATGTCATGCTGTAATGCTGTGATGTCACGACATTGGATGATGTCATGCTGGAATGCTGTTATGTCACGACAATGGATGCTGGAATGCTATTATGTCATGACAATGGATGATGTCATGCTGGAATGCTGTTATGTCACGGCAATGGATGACATCATGCTTGAATGCTGTTATGTCATGACAATTGATGATGTCATGCTGGAATGCTGTGATGTCATGACAATGGAGTGAGTGAGTGAGTGAGTTAGGTTTAACGCTGCTTTTAACAGTATTCCAGTTATATCACGGCGTATCAGCTTAATGTGGGAGGAAAGCCCGAAGTGATGCAGGTCTTAGACGTTTACCACTTCGGTGAAACACACGAGCACAGGTATGGTGCTGACAAACCTAGAAACATAATCAGGGCGAACCAGGATTCGAACCCACAATCATAGGTTTCTGGCGTGCCCAAGGGGCGCAACTCTGCACAGTGAATCTCAGTGCCTTCGACAACTGGGCCACCCGTGCCCCTGATGTGCCTTGAGGGTGTACAAGACACACTGGTTACTGTCTGCTTTGAATGTGCTCCCCTCTTCGGCAGTTTTTTTGTTTGTTGTTTAACGCCGCACTCAGCAATATTCCAGCTATATGACGACGATCTGTTAATAACATAGTCAAGTGATTGATATCATGAGCATCAATCTACACATCTGGGATACGATCATATGCATCAAGTCAGCAAACCTGACCATTCGACCCAGTAAGTCGCCTCTTACGACAAGCATAGTCACTTGTTACGGGTTGCTAAAGACTTATTCACTACCGGAATCTTCTCGGGTCTCACCTCTTGAGATGTACAATGAGGGTGTCAGGGTAGCGCCAGACTGTCATGGTTTTCTTGGCACACTGGTTCTGTTGACACGTGGGACAGTACCAGGGGTTGTGCTCATCCAGGATCTCACTGCAAGCATTCACAGCACCATGGCAACAGATTGCATACATTTGAAACAAGAATCTTTAGAATGTTGTACAAATGTCTGGAAATGTGACATGTCGTGAAGTGAGTGAGTGAGTGAGTGAATATGGTTTTACGCCGCTTTTAGCACTATTCCAGCAATATCACGGCAGGGGACACCAGAAATGGGCTTCACACATTGTACCCATGTCGGGAATCGAACCCGGGTCTTCGGCGTGATGAGTTAACGCTTTAACCACTAGGCTACCCGACCGCCCCTCTCGTGAAGTGAAATAGGGTCTAATAAGGTTGGGTATTGATATCGATCATAGAGATTGATAATAATTAACTAAATAACTTTCAATTATTGATAAATATTGCAGAAGTAACTTTGAACAAATATGCAAATAAGTCCAAAAGAAATGAACATACTTCACGCCCCTGGGGGTACATTTAAGCATGGACTACTTTGAGGACATCTAGCACATAACAAAAACAGTTGCTTTCCGTCTTCAGCAATTGGCATGGTTGACAATAAATAGTCTGTTTCGGTAAATTGAACCTTGATTTCATCACAATAGTTTATGTAAGATATTATTGATGACACAATGTTCATATTGATAATCTTCAATATTTCTTATATTGACAATACAGTGGAACATTGTTACCTCCAACCTAGCGGGACTGTGTTGTAACTTCGACATATCCGGACATTGAAGATAACGAGGCATGAACATTATATAGAAAGGCAGTCGGAACTGGAGAAAAGGTTCGAAATATCGCTACGTTTGACATAATGAGGCTTGAGGTAGCGAGGTTCAACTGTAATTCTGATTATCGATCTTTTTGTTCAGCTCTATGAGCAGATTTTATACAGCTAGCCCAGTACTCTATTTTACTAAGATACAAATTTCACAATCAGGGTGGTAACAAAACGAAGCTTTCATCAGAGAGACTCGAGACCCCATTCAGCCACTATTTAGACTGGGTGGTTAGATTGGAAGGGCTATATATCTATCTGGTAGCTAGCTTCAGAGACCCGTTTGATGTTGTGTTATTTTAACTTGATGTTTTTCTAATACAGTGATCGCTCGCTATTGCGCTCTTCGATAAAGTGCTACCTCGGTTATTACGCGCGGTAACGCATGGCTCCCAAAATTTATGTACACTTTTATTACTGAGAGTTTTACACAGACATAATTGTATTGTTGTTCGTTGTTCATTTGCACATAACGCTTCTCATTGCATAATCAACCGTTTATCGCTGAATGGAGTTTTAATAATCTGTTTGAAAACATCCGCGGCAAGTCCTGGAAATACGATTGTTCAACTAGTTAACTTTTGACACTATACATCCTTTGATCTTAGAAGCGCATGCATGCAATAAAAGAGAACCACAAGCGAAGTTTATATTCTTAATTAGTGGGCAATCCAATTTAAGGCTAAACTGTCACACACATGTAGTTGCTGTCACAACACGGCGATCATTCATTTCGTAATCGCGCTTTCGTAACATCGCCTGTTTTTTCCCCGTAGTTATAACAAGCGATTTCATTGGATTAAAATTTGTTTCTAATGACGCTTTCTTGCCGAAATCTGCTACAAGTTTCGTGATTGGTCAATTTTGAGCACGTGACCTCAGGCAGCCAATCAAGCTGTGATACCAAGCTCGTGTTTGATAAATTTCAGAAGTTAGCGAAAGATTTTTTGTTAAATCGTGTTATTCTGAACGTTTTAAGCAGGAAATCACGATATATATTAAAAATATGGAACTTCGCGAATGTATCGTGCTAGGTTACGAGCTGTGACAAAGATTTTTCATGCATATATTTTTGCATTAAACGTTGTGTCCGAGCCGAGAATTCAAGGCGACGAAAGCCGAGATGTCATTTCATTTGACTTACATTACACGCGATCGCACGAAACGATGGAAATAATAACTTAGATGTAAGTTTGAATACTTTTAGATATATTTTTGTTGATTTTATTTATCACTTTGTATAATATATTTAAAGATTTGCTTAAATTAGTCTTTATTTTGCTCTTTGACATGTTCGATGCGGACCTGTTGTCGAATATTTTCAATAACATCGCGGGAAATAGTGAATAATTTTTTAATTTATTGATAAAAAATGATAAATTAGAATGGAATACGTATTTCAGACACTGTGAAATATGACAGATTTAATAAATGAATGATATTACAGGTAGATCTAGGTCCATAAAAAAATATACTATTTTGACGTGACGTGAGATAAACACATAGGCCTATTGATGATTTGAGATTTGCCGAGCGCGCTCCCCCGCCTCGGCCTCGGTTAAACGGCTCATCGTCTATAACGCCCACCAATTATTTGGACCCCATTGGTAGCGCAATAGCGAGCGATCACTGTATTAGTAACTGGTTTGCCTGGCCCAGACTGGATAATTTATAGTTTGAGATGAAAAAGCTAGGAAATTGCAGACTTCTGAGGTAAACAAACAAACAAACAAACAAACAAAACCAACCTTTCAGTAAAGGCTCGAAAGCAGTCGTAGACAGTGATTGGGTCGTTGGGTCGGAGATCCTGCACGGAGCTGTGGTCGTGATACGCGGCTCCTTCAAGCTGCTGGTTATGTGACACGTCCATCAGGTGGATGGTCAGATTGTCCCCTGGCTGGAGAGTTACCTCCCCTTCCCGACACAGGACACAGCCTGTACAGTGGGCGGTGTACATACATCGAGAGCACCGTAGACCCTGCAACAAAGTGTAAAGTCAGTTACGTCCATTCACTGGAATAGAATAGCAGTAGTGTCTTGGCAAGTCAGTAACTTCCATTCACTGGAATAGAGTAGCAGTAGTGTCTTGGCAAGTCAGTAACTTCCATTCAGTGGAATAGAGTAACAGTAGTGTCTTAGCAAGTGAGTTACTTCCATTCACTGGAATAGAGAAGCAGTAGTGTCTCAGCAAGTCAGTTACTTCCATTCACTGGAATAGAGTAGCAGTAGTGACTTAGCAAGTCAGTTACTTCCATTCACTGGAATAGAGTAGCAGTAGTGTCTCAGCAAGTCAGTTACTTCCATTCACTGGAATAGAGTAGCAGTAGTGTCTCAGCAAGTGAGTTACTTCCAATCACTGGAATAGAGTAGCAGTAGTGTCTCAGCAAGTCAGTTACTTCCATTCACTGGAATAGAGTAGCAGTAGTGTCTTAGCAAGTCAGTTACTTCCATTCACTGGAATAGAGTAGCAGTAGTGTCTCAGCAAGTCAGTTACTTCCATTCACTGGAATAGAGTAGCAGTAGTGTCTCAGCAAGTCAGTTACTTCCATTCACTGGAATAGAGTAGCAGTAGTGTCTTAGCAAGTTAGTTACTTCCATTCACTGGAATAGAGTAGCAGTAGTGTCTCAGCAAGTGAGTTACTTCCATTCACTGGGATAGAGTAGCAGTAGTGTCTTAGCAAGTCAGTTACTTCCATTCACTGGAATAGAGTAGCAGTAGTGTCTTAGCAAGTCAGTTACTTCCATTCACTGGAATAGAGTAGCAGTAGTGTCTCAGAAAGTGAGTTACTTCCATTCACTGGAATAGAGTAGCAGTAGTGTCTTAGCAAGTCAGTTACTTCCATTCACTGGAATAGAGTAGCAGTAGTGTCTCAGAAAGTGAGTTACTTCCATTCACTGGAATAGAGTAGCAGTAGTGTCTTAGCAAGTCAGTTACTTCCATTCACTGGAATAGAGTAGCAGTAGTGTCTCAGCAAGTCAGTTACTTCCATTCACTGGAATAGAGTAGCAGTAGTGTCTCAGCAAGTCAGTAACTTCCATTCACTGGAATAGAGTAGCAGTAGTGTCTTAGCAAGTCAGTTACTTCCATTCACTGGAATAGAGTAGCAGTAGTGTCTCAGAAAGTGAGTTACTTCCATTCACTGGAATAGAGTAGCAGTAGTGTCTCAGCAAGTCAGTTACTTCCATTCACTGGAATAGAGTAGCAGTAGTGTCTCAGAAAGTGAGTTACTTCCATTCACTGGAATAGAGTAGCAGTAGTGTCTCAGCAAGTGAGTTACTTTCATTCACTGGAATAGAGTAGCAGTAGTGTCTCAGAAAGTGAGTTACTTCCATTCACTGGAATAGAGTAGCAGTAGTGTCTTAGCAAGTGAGTTTGGTTTAATGCTGATTTTCAAACTATATCTGTTTAAGTCATGGCAGCTACATGTGGAAGGAATGAGTGTCATTACAACTCACTTGTTCATCAGTTAGCACAACAGAGGACATCACAGGGAATGTCATCACGACTTACCTGTCCATCAGCACAACAGAGGACATCACAAGGCAACACGACTCACCTGTCCGTCAGATAGCACAACAGAGGACATCACAAGGCAACATGACTCACCTGTCCGTCAGTCAGCACAACAGAGTACATCGCTGGGAATGGCAGCACAGCATCGATCATATCATACAGACAGCCTCCAGGCAGTCTATTTGGCACATAGAGTATAGTAGGATGACCAAACAACTTTTCGGAGCAGCTGTTGTCTTCAATGTTCACATCACATCGGAATGCTATTGGTACGGCTATAACCCTGAAACATATACAGAACATCAATAATAAGGAAATTCCCAATATTGATGTTCAGTTGTACCCAGCTATACTCACAGATTGTGTTCTGGAAAATAATGAAGACAAATAAATTACAGTCTGTGCCCAAAACTTTGCCCGAACTTTTCAAGAAACTTAAGTGTTATTACATGGACCTCTACTACACTGTATCAGACGCGGGCAGTTTTACACGTAGATACAGCCACAGACAGCTAATACACTGTATCAGACTCGGGCAGTTTTACACGTAGATACAGCCACAGACAGCTAATACACTATATCAGACTCGGGCAGTTTTACACGTAGATACAGCCACAGACAGCTACTACACTATATCAGACTCGGTCAGTTTTACTAGTAGATACAGCCACAGACAGCTACTACACTATATCAGACGCGGGCAGTTTTACTAGTAGATACAGCCACAGACAGCTACTACACTATATCAGACTCGGGCAGTTTTACCAGTAGATACAGCCACAGACAGCTACTACACTATATCAGACTCGGGCAGTTTTACTGGTAGATACAGCCACAGACAGCTACTACACTATATCAGACTCGGGCAGTTTTACACGTAGATACAGCCACAGACAGCTACTACACTGTATCAGACTCGGGCAGTTTTACACGTAGATACAGCCACAGACAGCTACTACACTATATCAGACTCGGGCAGTTTTACTAGTAGATACAGCCACAGACAGCTACTACACTGTATCAGACGCGGGCAGTTTTACACGTAGATACAGCCACAGACAGCTACTACACTGTATCAGACTCGGGCAGTTTTACTAGTAGATACAGCCACAGACAGCTACTACACTATATCAGACTCGGGCAGTTTTACTAGTAGATACAGCCACAGACTGCTACTACACTGTATCAGACTCGGGCAGTTTTACACGTAGATACAGCCACAGACAGCTACTACACTATATCAGACGCGGGCAGTTTTACTGGTAGATACAGCCACAGACAGCTACTACACTATATCAGACTCGGGCAGTTTTACACGTAGATACAGCCACAGACAGCTACTACACTGTATCAGACTCGGGCAGTTTTACTACAGTGATCGCTCGCTATTGCGCTACCAATGGGGTCCAAATAATTGGTGGGCGTTATAGACGATGAGCCGTTTAACCGAGGCCGAGGCGGGGGAGCGCGCTCGGCAAATCTCAAATCATCAATAGGCCTATGTGTTTATCTCACGTCACGTCAAAATAGTATATATTTTTATGGACCTAGATCTACCTGTAATATCATTCATTTATTAAATCTGTCATATTTCACAATGTCTGAAATACGTATTCCATTCTAATTTATCATTTTTTATCAATAAATTAAAAAATTATTCACTATTTCCCGCGATGTTATTGAAAATAAAATTCTCGGACACACATTTCGACAACGGGTCCGCATCGAACATGTCAAAGAGCAAAATAAAGACTATTTTAAGCAAATCTTTAAATATATTATACAAAGTGATAAATAAAATCAACTAAAATATATCTAAAAGTAATCAAACTTACATCTAAGTTATTATTTCCATCGTTTCGTGCGATCGCGTGTAATGTAAGTCAAATGACATCTCGGCTTTCGTCGCCTTGAATTCTCGGCTCGGACACAACGTTTAATGCAAAAATATATGCATGAAAAATCTTTGTCACAGCTCGTAACCTAGCACGATACATTCGCGAAGTTCCATATTTTTAATATATATCGTGATTTCCTGCTTAAAACGTTCAGAATAACACGATTTAACAAAAAAATCTTTCGCTAACTTCTGAAATTTATCAAACACGAGCTTGGTATCACAGCTTGATTGGCTGCCTGAGGTCACGTGCTCAAAATTGACCAATCACGAAACTTGTAGCAGATTTCGGCAAGAAAGCGTCATTAGAAACAAATTTTAATCCAATGAAATGGCTTGTTATAACTACGGGGAAAAACAGGCGATGTTACGAAAGCGCGATTACGAAATGAATGACCGCCGTGTTGTGACAGCAACTACATGTGTGTGACAGTTTAGCCTTAAATTGGATTGCCCACTAATTAAGAATATAAACTTCGCTTGTGGTTCTCTTTTATTGCATGCATGCGCTTCTAAGATCAAAGGATGTATAGTGTGAAAAGTTAACTAGTTGAACAATCGTATTTCCGGGACTTGCCGCGGATGTTTTCAAACAGATTATTAGAACTCCATTCAGCGATAAACGGTTGATTATGCAATGAGAAGCGGTATGTGCAAATGAACAACGAACAACAATACAATTATGTCTGTGTAAAACTCTCAGTAATAAAAGTGTACATAAATTTTGGGAGCCATGCGTTACCGCGCGTAATAACCGAAGTAGCGCTTTATCGAAGAGCGCAATAGCGAGCGATCACTGTAGTAGATACAGCCACAGACAGCTACTACACTGTATCAGACTAGGGCAGTTTTACTAGTAGATACAGCCACAGACAGCTACTACACTGTATCAGACTCGGGCAGTTTTACTAGTAGATACAGCCACAGACAGCTACTACACTATATCAGACGCGGGCAGTTTTACTGGTAGATACAGCCACAGACAGCTACTACACTATATCAGACTCGGGCAGTTTTACACGTAGATACAGCCACAGACAGCTACTACACTGTATCAGACGCGGGCAGTTTTACCAGTAGATACAGCCACAGACAGCTACTACACTATATCAGACTCGAGCAGTTTTACTAGTAGATACAGCCACAGACAGCTACTACACTGTATCAGACTCGAGCAGTTTTACTAGTAGATACAGCCACAGACAGCTACTACACTGTATCAGACTCGGGCAGTTTTACTAGTAGATACAGCCACAGACAGCTACTACACTATATCAGACTCGGGCAGTTTTACTAGTAGATACAGCCACAGACAGCTACTACACTATATCAGACTCGGGCAGTTTTACTAGTAGATACAGCCACAGACAGCTACTACACTATATCAGACTCGGGCAGTTTTACTAGTAGATACAGCCACAGACAGCTACTACACTGTATCAGATGCGGGCAGTTTTACACGTAGATACAGCCACAGACAGCTACTACACTGTATCAGACGCGGGCAGTTTTACTAGTAGATACAGCCACAGACAGCTACTACACTGTATCAGACTCGGGCAGTTTTACTAGTAGATACAGCCACAGACAGCTACTACACTGTATCAGACGCGGGAAGTTTTATACGTAGATACAGCCACAGACAGCTACTACACTGTATCAGACGCGGGAAGTTTTATACGTAGATACAGCCACAGACAGCCACTACACTGTATCAGACGCGGGCAGTTTTACACGTAGATACAGCCACAGACAGCTACTACACTGTATCAGACGCAGGCAGTTTTTACTAGTAGATACAGCCACAGACAGCTACTACACTATATCAGACGCGGGTAGTTTTACACGTAGATACAGCCACAGACAGCCACTACACTGTATCAGATGCGGGCAGTTTTACACGTTGATACAGCCACAGACAGCTACTACACTGTATCAGACGCGGGCAGTTTTACACGTAGATACAGCCACAGGTCAAGTATGTTGGTTAAAGGACATCTGTCTACCTGAGTTTTGGCTTGTGACAGCTCGCACTCACAAGAGGGGAAAAGTCTTCCATCATGTTGGCGGGCATAAGGCAGATCTGGAACAAAGACAACACAGGTGCTGGTCAGGACGTCTTCCTGATGACTTTATGCTGCTGAACACACACAAGACAAGGACTTACACTAGCTAAGAAACAGAACTTTGCAAGCTGTTTGTTTGTTTGTTGTCTAACGCTGCACTTAGCAATATTCCAGCTATATGACGGTGGTCTGTAAAAAATAGAGTCCAGACAATCCACTGATTGATATCACAAGCATCCATCTATGCAATTGGGATACGATGACATGCATCAACTAAGTCAGCGAGGCTGACCAACCGATCCCTAAAGTCGCCTCTTACAACAAGGCTAGTCGCCTCCTACGGTGAAGGCCAATTCTAACCGGGATCTTCACGGGTGCTTTTCAGGCTGAATGGTCATCATGAGACAGGGGAAGAGTAGGTCTGGGGGTGAATGCAACAAAACCTTCAGCTTGCAAAATCCTGTACACCCCATTAATAACACTCGTAATGAATTTATCATGTGTTTACAACTTAGGCTGAAAAAAAAAATAGTCTTGGTTCTCAAGCTCAGCCCACATCATCAAAAGTAAATTGCACGTTTCATTTTTGTTTCCATTTTCAACTTTTTTTGTGCATTGTGTTTAAATATTAGGATTTTTATGTTTTTTTTCAAACGGATATAAAAGCAAAACGTGCGGCGGACTTTATGATGATGCGGGTGGTGCCTGAGAACCAAGACTATTATTTTAATTTTTTTTAATATTTGCGTGTGACAGGTACTTCTTGTGAAGACCACCAGTGTCATTTGTGACGTGACAAGCAAGTGACGTCAAACTATATGACATCAGCTAGGGTGTATCATGTGCATGGACTATTAACAACCAATCATGTTTGAGGATAACTTTTCCCCATTGCCAGTGCAAAATATACAGAGAGTTCCATTTGGAAAAAAACAAACAGAATTACCTGTATATAACTGAATAATGTTTCACTTCTTGTTTCTAGAAACATAATTAGGGCGAACAGGGATTCGTACCTAGTCACAGGTTCCTGGCATGCCCAAGGGACACAACTCTGCAGTGATTTGTGGCACCCCTAAGACTGGGCCACCCATGTCCCCACTCTGTGTTGAAGCTAGACGTATGTATTTGTGAGTCATGAGTTAGTCACACTTATTTCTTCCTGCAAAGTTATGTTTGTTTGTTTGTTGTTTAACGCCGCACTCACCAATATTACAATTATATGAAGGTGATCTGTAAATAATCAAGTCTGGACCAGTGGTTGACATCATGAGCATCGATCCGGACAATTGGGATACAATGACATCCATCATCAACCATGTCAGCAAGCCTGACCACCCGATCCAATTAGTCACCTCTTTAACGACAAGCACAGTCGCCTTTTACGGCAAGCATGGTTTGCTGTCCTTATAGATAAACACTAAAAATTTGTCTCTGTATGTAGACGTCTTCTTCGGTAATAAATAGAACATCATATTCGTGTTTATGTCATACTCTGTTTACGATACTTGTGGCTAAATTCTGGTATTTCTCGAGCGAGAGCGGAATTTAGACTCTCATATCGTAAACATAGTATGACATGAACACTCATATTATATCCTCTATTACCAAAGCCATCTCGTGTACACGTTACGTCTGCGACTGATTATTGGATCCTTGCACTACCAAGGGACACAACTCCACACAGTGAATTAACACCTTAGGAACTGCATCACTTCTACCCTTCTGTGGTGTGAACACCACAAGAACCATCTTTTAATGTCTTTGAGAATATGACTCGGACGGGATCGAACCAAGGACGTTCTGCTCTGTCCTCTGTACTAACCACTCCACTACGGTGGCAGTGCATCATGGGACACACGCATGTACTTACTGGACAACAGTACCCTGCTTCCGTCGTGTGTTTGGCAGACATCTGAAACACAGAAACACGCTGCAATTAAACACACCAAAATAATTCAAAAAGTAAATCTATTTGTTACATACAGTAATAATACGAAGGGGCAGGAATTAGTCATGAAGCACTGTTACAAATAAAGAATTTGTAATCCATAAAAGATTCATATCCTCAATATCATTAATATGTTGCCTATTCCAACATTGTCAAGAAAACGTTTCAACTATTATACACAGCATGGAGAGAAAGAAGTGACGTACTACACTTGACAACTATTTCCAGCCTCAGTAAAATGAAATATTTTACTCCGATGCGCTACCTGTTGGGTTTAACACCTCTTTGAACAGTATTCCAGTTATATCACGGCGTGTCAGCTAAATGTCCAAGGAAAGCCCGAAGTGATGCATGTCTCAGACGTTTACCTCTTCAGTGAAACCCACGAGCACGGGTATGGTGCTGACAAACCTTGAAACAATACAATTGCGCAGCTTTTCTTTGCACATTCAGAACTTGTTGTTTTAGTTTCTTTTCAAGATACAAAAATGAGTGAGTGAGTATGTTTTTACCCTGTTTTTAGCAATATTCCCGCAATATCACAGCAGGGGACACTGGAAATGAGCTTCACACAGACACAAAAATTACACACGCTGGTTTGAATGTTTCGCTCACTCGTATCGTTGGTTGACTTCCCTGTGGAGGGGCAGTCACTTCTTCACATAGAGAGGTATCATATCGGAGCATGAGGGTTGACTTTAATGAGATATATATGCAAATATTCCATCACTATTACAGTATGAAGCCCACACAATGGGGAATAGAACGAGCAAGACTATACTCGTTATCTTGAAATATTTTCTACATTAATGACCCAGTGAGTGAGTGAGTGAGTGAGTTGGGTTTAAAGCCGCTTTTAACAGTATTCCAGTTATATCATGGCGTGGAAGCTTAATGTGGGAGGAAAGCCCAAAGCCCGGGGATATTTTCCCCTGCTGAAAAATTTATTGATCTCCAAGGCGGGATATATAGTATTTCACCTAGACCACGAGAACCAATCAGATCTCATCATTCTGACGATAACACAGATTGGTAAAACTACAAATTACAACCAATCAAAACACATTTGTTATACACCGTGTTACAGTGACAACAGTCACTCAAATAAGATGACAGAAGATAACTCAACTTTGGCAACATCGATTCATTCTACCTTTGATAGTCGTAATGATCTACAGAAATGGGGAGAACTTTAAAAAAAATAAAATTAAAATTAATTTTTTTATAAAATTTCAGTAGCCAGTTGGCTTGAGACATTTCAGAACTTTTGGCCCAACCAAAATTTTGCTAGTCATAAGTGAACGGGCAGGTGGCTATTTCACTCACTGTTTTAGTATAACATAAGCTTGTAGCAGCTAAGGTCTTTAAGAACATCTTAGTGGGACATTCATATACTCTTTTTTGGAAGAAGATTTTTTTATGTCAGTGGACAGAGACTTGATGGCAACTGATGATGTCAAACGTTGTTATATTATATGCAAGCCCTACCTCCAAGCAGTTTTGGCAAAACGTTCCACTGCATGACTCGTGAGTGAGCAGGTCATTGTCGGACAGTTCCTCCAGGCAGATTGCACACGTCCGCCACTGACCCGCTATCCCAGGAATGCTGTTTATAACATCCTGGGGGATTGGCGGCGGATTAAAGTCTGACGAACTTGCCACATTGTCCCACGTGCTGTCACAGTCTGGGAAACCCACATGGGACCATTCCCATAGGCCCGTTCCTGCCAGATCTGGATTCTCTTTCCCTGTGTCTGTCTCAGTGAACGGAAGCTCTGGAGAAGTGGGGTGTGGAGTCTCCTTCTCTACCTTCGTTCTTGACCAACTCTTGGATTCGGGAAAGCCATCTCCCAGTTCGGTATCCACGGTTACTATGGATATGGGTGCAGCCCCACTGGAGTGGAATAAGCTGTTATTGGGCCGATTATTAAACGTATCCATGTTGCTGAATATATCCGTGGTGTCCGTCATGGCATCACTCGATGTGGCCGTTTCTGCGACTGACCTTGTCACAGAGCTTGGCACTGAGCTGGTTACACTTGATGGTTCAGGCTTTTCCTCTGGGGTTTCCTCAGGTGGGATGGAAGGCTGTACCATTTCGAATGCATAGATTTTCCTGGATGTGTCATTGACGTATCTCAACATTACATTGTCATCCTGCAATTGAAAAAGATTATCGAACAAGTTTGCTTTTGAACATCAGCAAATATGAGAGTGAGTGAGTGAGTGAGTGAGTAGGGTTTTTATGCCGCTTTTAGCAATATTCCAGCAATATCACGGCGGGGGACACCAGAAATGGGCTTCACACATTGTACCCATGTCGGGAATCGAGCCCGGGTCTTCAGTATGACAAGCGAACGCTTTAACCACTAGGCTAAGCGAACGCTTTAACCACTAGGCTAAGCGAACGCTTTTGACACTAGGCTACCCGACCGCCCCCAGCAAATATGTAGGATTCAGTGTTGAACTACGGCTTTGTTCTCATCTCATCACCATCTCAATGTATAATGATGTTATATTTCTTGTTTAACACCAAGCAACATTCCACATAAATGATGTGGCATGTGAATAATCGAATTTGGTTGGTTGGTTTGTTGTTTTTACGCTGCACTCAGCAATATTACAGCTATATTACGGCAGTCTGTAAATAATTGAATCTGGACCAGACAATCCAGTGATTAATATCATAAGCATCGATCCATGCAATTGGGATCGATCAACCAAGTCAGCGAGTCTGACCACCCGGTCGCCTCTTACGACAAGCATAGTCACCTTTCACGGCAAGCATGGGTTGCTGAAGACCTATTCTCCCCTGGATCTTCACGGGTCAATCGAAATTGGGCCTGACAATTCCGTGATTGATATTATGAGGAACAACCCACACCATTGGTGACAATGACCCGACAAACCAATCCATTTACATTTTATAATCCAATTCTATCCTGGAATCCAAGCATTTTGTTTTATATGTTTATGAGGAGGGCACTCACCAGGACACGAGACACATGTGAGTCGAGCACCTCGGCCAGGATGATATCACAGTCAGGTTGCTGGAGCAGGCGGAGGAGTTCCTGCTTCAACTTGTGCACCTTGTCAGTCTTGTGCATGTTCAGCACGTACCGTGTGGGGGGGACACCGCGATGCACAAATATCACACCTGCAAACAAAGGTAGTCGGTTGAGTCTAAATACGTCAGACTTTATTGTTGTTATTGTTTAATCCTGCATTCAGCATTATTCCAGCTACATGACAGCAAACACAGCTTGTCCATCTGTCCGTCCTATTCCAGCCATATGACAGCGAACTGAGTTTGTCTGTCCATCCTATTCCAGCTATATGACAGCGAACAGTTTGTCCATCCGTCCTAATCCAGCTATACGACAGCGAATAGAGTTTGTCCGTCAGTCCGTCCTATTCCAGCTATATGACGGCGAACAGAGTTTGTCCGCCCGTCCTATTCCAGCTATATGACAGCAAACAGAGTTTGTCCGTCTGTTCGCCCGCTTCTCAATAGGGACAAATCTTCACAGAAACAATTTAAGCTGAGAAATGAAATTTTACAAACTGATGTTACTGGTCATGATCTTGATGAGTTATGGCCCTTGCTCCATGCTCTACAACTTAGTGTATACATACTGTGTGAAAAGTTTTCACTGAAACGCATCAGATCTTCTAACGTGACTGCTCTAAGAATGATTGAGTGAGTGAGTATGGTTTTACGCCACTTTTAGCAATATTCCAGCAATATCATGGCGGGGGACACCAGAAATGGCCTTTACACATTGTACCTATGTCGGGAATCGAACCTGGATTTTCGGCGTGACGAGCGAACGCTTTAACCACTAGGCTACCCGACCGCCCCCTCTAAGAATGAGAATGAGGTGGCAGGGGTACCGGTAGTCAGGTGATCATGTCGTGTAAGATCACAACGCACAGGATTATAGTGCATGACCAATTTACTTAGTGACCATGTTTGGGATGTGGTTGGGAGAATTTAATTAAGAAGCTGGAAATTTTGTTCAAGCACGTTTCAACCTAAGGTTTGAAGGAAGAAGGGAGAAATTCAAAGTTTGAGATAAGATAAGTTTAAAAAATGTATTTTCTTGAGTGAAAATATCATTTATACTTATCCGGACTCATTATCATTCTCATTTGTACGAGTCAGGATAAGATAAAATTTGAAACAACCTGAATTCCTGAACTGATCTTATGTGGAAATACTGACGATTCCACGTAATTATAAACTATATGCTTGATTGTGATGGAAAAACTCACAGATTTGTCTCTCCATCGCCCTGGGGATCGGCAACGAGAGGTACATAAATGGCTCGTAAGTGACGGAGACGTGGCGGCACACGGAACAAACAACCTGTAGACAGAAAACATAATAAGTGCCCAACAACCATTTCTGTGTGGCAGCCAACAGGACAAGAACCACAGTCTCTTGTTTCAAATGACTTTAACCATTTGTTTCCACCCCTTCACGTATCAAAACTCTTCAGATAATTTCAGTGCAGCCATTCCTTTTCCCTCCTGAACACATGATAAAATCACCGTATGCTGTATTTTTGTTGTTGTAAGGTAAGCAGTGAATGCATTAGGGAGAATGCAGGATACGTAAAATATTCACCCGATATGCAAAAAGTTACTGGGATACATATCATACAATGAGTGAGTGAGTGAGTTGGGTTTAACACCGTTTTTAACTAAAGTCCAGTTATTTCACCCTGTGTAAGCTTAATGTGGGAGGAAATCCCAAAGTGAGGCAGGTCTCGGACGTTTATCACTTCGGTGAAACCCACGAGCACGGGTATGGTGCTGACATACCTAGAAACACAACCTGGGCGAACCGGGATTCGAACCCACAATCCTAGGTTTCTGGCGTGCCCAAGGAACGCAACTCTGCAGAGCGAATCGCAGCGCCTTAGACGATTGGGCCACCCGTGCCTCCCACATATCATAGAAAGAATAAACCCCAATTTACCGAAAGACCACCCTTTGTGGCAGATAATATAAAAGACCATTGGTAAGGTTGGACTTTTTAGTTATACTAAGCTGTACAGATGTACACACTGTCACTGTATTAGACTGGGACTTCCTTTGACAACATGCAGAACTGGCCCCTACTAAATTTACTTGTGTGTGGTGTCGACCACCATTTCAGCAATACAGGCTTTAGACAGCAGCCACCATCGGGACTTACCGTACTTGACCCGTGAAGGAGTAGAATAGATCTTCAGCAACCCATGCATGCAGTAAAAGGCGACTTTGCTTGTCGTAAAAGGCTACTAGCGGAATTGGGTGGTCAGACTCGCAGACGTGGTTGATGCATGTCATCGATCCCAATTGCGTGGATTGATGCTCATGTTGTCACTCACTGGACTTACAGACCGCCATCATATAGCTGGAATATTGCTGAGTGTGGCGTTAAACAAACAAACAAACAAACAAACAAACTTACCGTACTCTGAAACTGCCCCTGGAATTTGCCCACAACAACACTGTTATTCTCGCGGAGATAATCGTTCCAGGCACCATCTGCCTCCTCCTGGTATATCTCAGCTCGGTTATTTACAAAACTAGCGTCCAGTGAAAGGGCGTTAACAGAGCTGCTTCGCGAAGTTATCTCCCCTTCATCTTCTGAACTCTCCGCTTCTTCTGCATCCATACTCTCCGCCGAAGATTCACCATCCGACATTTCTTCCTGAAGAACTTTCCGAGTATTGAACTTTGACATTTCCTGCATCTGAACATTTTTCTCTGATTCATGCATAGCAACATGCTTACGAGGTTCTGTCGAGTCTATCTTGATTCGCTTGATGTTATTTAATTCATAAACATCTTGAGCCCTTTCGGAATCCAAAACATTAGGACAAGAATTGGACAGAAACCGGGACTTCTTTTCAACACGTAGGTTTGTATCTTTGATCCCATAATTCACTGAGTCAACTTCCTTGTCAGCTTTGGCTTCTTCCCTGAGTACTTCCTGCAGGACATTCACTTCCTCTTGCACAGGCCGCCGATTATCCTGTTTGGCGAACTTATCTGAATCGATTGCGATTTCACCATCAGTTGCTTCATTAACTAACACATTCGTATTAAGAGTCTTAGTTTCCTTGCCATAGTATTCAAGCAAGCTAGGTGGTAACTTAGAGGAACAAATATTATTTAACTGGGCAAAGTTGTCTGTCTTGGTAGAAACAACATTGTGGTCCGTCCTTGCGTCAACGTGAGCTGCTCTGGGCGTCATATTCAGCATGGAGGTATTTGCGTTGCATATGTTGATCTTTGTTCTGTGGTTGTTCTTATCCATGGAATCGGTCGATGAGGATACCGTTCCCATGGTAACATCTTCTTCTGATTTGCCTGAATCTCCCGTGGACTGGAGCTGTAACTTCTTGATATTGAGGCTTTGTTCGGAGTCTGTGCTGTGCAGGGATACTGTTGATTGGTTGCTGTCCTCGGAAGAAAACATGGAGGAGTTATTTACAGTGGTACTAGATATACACTCGCTGCCTGTCTTTGGGCCCGTTGCAATGTTTGGCTGTCCGAGGGACTTGTTCACAAACACGGAGGGCTTTGATTGACTATGAGAGCTAGTGACATGATCGTTATCACAAGACAAAGTTTCATCTGGGGCTTGATCATCACCCGCATCGGATGTTTCCATCAATGGACTAGAATCTTGGTTATTGAGCGAGTTGGACAGGGGCTCGAGGACATGTAAAGGCGAGCACCCAGGGATGGCCTCGTTGTTGGAGAGAGCGGCCAGGTTGGACCGCCCTGTGTTGAGCTGCTCGTGAAATGTGTCTAGCAGGAGTGCAAGAAACTCCTGACAGTCGTGCTGAAATATATAATACATGAGTGAGTGAGTGCAGGGTGAGTGCGGAGCGAGTGAGAGGAGTGAGTGAGTGTGGAGTGAGTGTGGAGTGAGTGTGGAATGAGGAGTGAGCGAGTAAGTATGGAGTGAGAGTGCAGAGTGAGTGAGTGCAGAGAGTGCGGAGTGAGTGAGTGTAGAGAGTGTGAAGTGAGTGCAGAGTGAGTGAGTGTGGAATGAAGAGTGAGCGAGTGCAGAGTGAGTGAGTGAGTGAGGACGTGGGTGAGTGAGTGGATGAGTGAGTGAGTGAGTGGATGAGTGAGTGAGTGAGTGAGGATTGAGTGAGTGGATGAGTGAGTGAGTGAGTGAGTGAGGACGTGGGTGAGTGAGTGGATGAGTGAGTGAGTGAGTGGATGAGTGAGTGAGTGAGTGAGTGAGTGAGTGAGTGAGGATTGAGTGAGGATTGAGTGAGTGGATGAGTGAGTGAGTGAGTGCAGATTGAGTGGGTGGATGAGTGATTGAGTGAGTGTGGATTGAGTGAGTGAGTGAGTGAGTGGATGAGTGAGTGAGTGAGTGGATGAGTGAGTGAGTGAGTGGATGAGTGAGTGAGTGAGTGCGGATTGAGTGAGTGGATGAGTGAGTGAGTGAGTGAGTGTGGATTGAGTGAGTGAGTGAGTGGATGAGTGAGTGAGTGAATGAGTGGATGAGTGAGTGAGTGAGTGAGTGAGTGAGTGGATGAGTGAGTGAGTGAGAGTGCGGATTGAGTGAGTGAGTGAGTGAGTGAGGTAAAGGAGTTTGGTGCTTCTGTCAGCAATATCACAGCACCTCAATAGTGGCAAAAAAGGACTGGGCAGGTCTGGGTGAATGAATGATTGAATATAGTTGTATACAATATTCCAGTTATGTAACAGAAGCCTATAAATAATCAAGAAAACAACCAAGATATTTTTCAACATAACCATTCAACAAAGATATACTTTTTCCAACAATGTTTGAGGGATTTTATCCAAGTTTTGTAGAAGTGCCTATTTTGTCTGTCCAAGTCAGCAAACCTGACCGCCTGATCCCGTTAGTCGCCTCTCATGACAAGCTTTGTAGCCCATAAGAATAAGCATTGCAGCCTCTGAGGACAAGCATTGTAGCCTCTTATGACAAGCACTGTCGCCTCTAAGGACAAGCATGGGTTGCTGAAGACATGTTTTCTACCCGTATCTTCATGGGTAGCATATTAGATAGAATTTCGCATACTTTCTGCAATTTCCTAGGAGTAGTTCTAGTGGTCCCCATCTCACCTGTCTGTAGTCCTGGAACTGGGAGTGGTACAGTCCAAGAGTGTCCTTAAACTCCTTAGGATGGACAACAGAAAACTGACCACACCACATCTTGCACAGCAGCTTGTAGAACTGCCCAAGGAGGGTGTTCTTGTTGGTCTCCTCCAGGACAAAGTCTTCCAGCAGAAACTTGACTAGCGAGGCGCTGGAGGCGAGACACTGAAGCCCCGCGTTCATGAAACACGTGTTTCCAAGGTTGTACAGGCCACAGCTGCCATGCACGGCACACGGGTCTGGAATATAATCACATATTTGTTGGTTGTTTAACACTGTGCTTTTGATTATGATGATGTTTATAGTGAGTGAGTGAGTGAGTATGGTTTTACACCGCTTTTAGCAATATTCCAGCAATATCACGGCGGGGGACACTAATATGGGCTTTACAAATTGTACCCATGTCGGGAATCGAACCCGGGTCTTTGACGTGACGGGCGAACGCCTTAACCACTAGGCTACCTGACCACCCCTATGATGATGTTTATAAGTTTCTCAAGTAGATGTTTTGAAATCTGATGTAGTCCCACCAGACACTGTTGAGTAGATACCTCTCATTTTAATTTGGAGTGAATGAGTATGGTCTTATGGCTCTTTTAGCAATATTCCAGCAATATCACGGCGGGGGACACCAGAAATGGGCTTCACACATTGGGAATTGAAACCGAGTCTTCGGCGTCACGAGCGAACGCTTTAACCACTAGGCTACCAAACCACCCCTCATTTTTATTTAGAACTGAGCGTTTTAGTAATATTTGATACATTTATAACTACATGTGATCATCTTTTCAGATTGTTCTAAGATAGCGGACCCTTTTCTGCTTGTGTAATTGCGCCTTCCAAGAGAGCAACATTTTTAAAGTGCTCATGGTAGAATGGAGATCACCTGCTATGTTTCTAAATTTGATGTAGTCCGACTGTAGCGTAGATACCTCTTTTTTATACAATCAAATATTTGTTTGTTGTTTAACGGTGCACTGTCGATAATGCTGATGTGTTCATAGTTACTCAATCTGATTAGCACATGTAACCAGTATTACACGAAAGATGTACTCAAGTGTTGATCGATTAGTAACTGGGTTTAATACCACTTTTAATAGTATTCCAGTAATATCACGGTGTGTCAGCTTAATGTGGGAGGAAAGCCTGAAGTGATGCAGGTCTCAGATATTTACCACTTTAGTGAAACCCACAAGCATGATTATGGTGCTGACAAACCTAGAAGCAAAATCGAGCCGCAACTGGGTTAGAAACCACAATAATAGGCTTGTGGGCAAGCTCCTCACAGCGATAGCCTGTTTGCAGAGCTCTCTACACAATAATAGGCTTGTGGGCAAGCTCCTCACAGCGATAGCCTGTTTGCAGAGCTCTCTACACAATAATAGGCTTGTGGGCAAGCTCCTCACAGCGATAGCCTGTTTGCAGAGCTCTCTACACAATAATAGGCTTGTGGGCAAGCTCCTCACAGCGATAGCCTGTTTGCAGAGCTCTCTACACTATTGCTCAAAGCTCCCCTCTGTGATAGGTGACCACAACCATGCTTGGGGTAGAACTCACAACGGAATGACCGTTATGTTTACTCAGTGTTACCAGTGCCCCCTAATTTTTGTCAGTCCCAACTTTCAACAAATGAAAAGACGTATGAGTGAGTGAGTGAGTGAGTGAGTGAGTGAGTGAGTGAGTGAGTGAGTGAGTGAGTGAGTGAGTGAGTGAGTGGGTGAGTGGGTGGGTGGGTGAGTGAGTGGGGTTTAACGTCGCTTTTAACAGTATTCCAGTTTTATCGCGGCGTGTCAGCTTAATGTGGGAGGAAAGCCCCAAGTGATGCAGGTCTCAGACGTTTACCACTTCGGTGAAACCCACAAGCACGGGTATGGTGCTGACAAACCTAGAAACATAATCGCGGCGAACCGGGATTCGAACCCACAATCATAGGTTTCTGGCGTGCCCAAGGACGCAACTCTGCACAGCGAATCACGGCGCCTTAGACGATTGGGCCACCCGTGCCCCCAAAAGACATATGAAAATTACCTGGTTTTAATTCTTACAACTCTCTTTTTGGGAGTATTTCGAGACTAAATCGCTGTAAATATATATATTTAACCTTGAAGCAAAGCAAAATCTTATTTAATAGCACTAAAAATAGACAAAGGGAACCAAAATGGCAACTGACAAGCTGACTTTGTTCGAAAACTATGCTTATATGAATATCGCCGATGTTTTGTTCAACAACAAAGATTTATAAGGTACTTTATTTCCAGGTCCACAGGGACTGGCAGTGCCATGAATTACCAGTCCACGCCTAATTTTACCGGTAAAAAACTGGAAATTACCGGTAAACGGGAAATTACAGTAAACGGGAAAATCCCAGTATAATTATTTTCTAAGGGAAAATAAGGGAGAAGTTTGTTGATGTTCCGTTCGTCTGTGATCTCGAACCAATCCGATCAAACAAACAAAAAGGTAAATTCATTTGGGAAATATGGTCGGTCGTAAACCTTTTCAAAAATAACTGTAATGGCTGCACCCACACTGGAAATGTTTCAGCCACAGGACTTCACAGGGAAGGATATGCATGAGATCAAACAATTTCTCGCATACCTCGAATATCTTTAGAACAGCACATGGAGGCATCTGTGAAAGACTTGGAGACAGGACTGGAGTGTCTCACTGCAACAGAAGAAGGACGTCAGTGATCATTTACGCATGGCAGAGCTAGAGTGAGTGAGTGAGTATGGTTTTACACCGCTTTTAGCAATATTCCAGCAATATCACGGCAGGGGACACCAGAAGCAGAGCTAGAAATTGGCACCAGTCCTGTAGTCCTTGCCAAACTACCCAACAGTAAAGGTACAAAAGGACTAGCAAAAATGTAGTAAAATCTAAATATTTTTTACATTTGTATACTTATCCTGCATTACTCCTTAAACGTACTACAGTGATCGCTTGCTATTGCGCTCTTCGATAAAGCGCTACTTCGGTTATTACGCGCGGTAACGCATGGCTCCCAAAATTTATGTACACTTTTAATACTGAGAGTTTTACACAGACATGATTGTATTGTTGTTCGTTGTTTATTTGCACATAACGCTTCTCATTGCATAATCAACCGTTTATCGCTGAATGGAGTTCTAATAATCTGTTTGAAAACATCCGCGGCAGGTCCCGGAAATACGATTGTTCTACTAGTTAACTTTTCACACTATACATCCTTTGATCTTAGAAGCGCATGCATGCAATAAAAGAGAACCACAAGTGAAGTTTATATTCTTAATTAGTGGGCAATCCAATTTAAGGCTAAACTGTCACACACATGTAGTTGCTGTCACAACACGGCGGTCATTCTTTTCGTAATCGCGCTTTCGTAACATCGCCTGTTTTTTTCCCCGTAGTTATAACAAGCGATTTCATTGGATTAAAATTTGTTTCTAATGACGCTTTCTTGCCGAAATCTGCTACAAGTTTCGTGATTGGTCAATTTTGAGCACGTGACCTCAGGCAGCCAATCAAGCTGTGATACAAAGCTCGTGTTTGATAAATTTCAGAAGTTAGCGAAAGATTTTTTGTTAAATCGTGTTATTCTGAACGTTTTAAGCAGGAAATCACGATATATATTAAAAATATGGAACTTTGCGAATGTATCGTGCTAGGTAACGAGCTGTGACAAAGATTTTTCATGCATATATTTTTGCATTAAACGTTGTGTCCGAGCCGAGAATTCAAGGCGACGAAAGCCGAGATGTCATTTGACTTACATTACACGCGATCGCACGAAACGATGGAAATAATAACTTAGATGTAAGTTTGATTACTTTTAGATATATTTTTGTTGATTTTATTTATCACTTTGTATAATATATTTAAAGATTTGCTTAAAATAGTCTTTATTTTTCTCTTTGACATGTTCGATGCGGACCCGTTGTCGAAATGTGTGTCCGAGAATTTTATTTTCAATAACATCGCGGGAAATAGTGAATAATTTTTTAATTTATTGATAAAAAATGATAAATTAGAATGGAATACGTATTTCAGACATTGTGAAATATGACAGATTTAATAAATGAATGATATTACAGGTAGATCTAGGTCCATAAAAATATATACTATTTTGACGTGACGTGAGATAAACACATAGGCCTATTGATGATTTGAGATTTGCCGAGCGCGCTCCCCCGCCTCGGCCTCGGTTAAACGGCTCATCGTCTATAACGCCCACCAATTATTTGGACCCCATTGGTAGCGCAATAGCGAGCGATCACTGTAATGCAGGATAAGTAAAAAATTTATTAAAATCTAAATATTTTTTACATTTGTATACTTATCCTGCATTACTCCTTAAACGTACTAATGCAGGATAAGTAAAAAATTTGCCTTTTTTAGGGGTTTTGCTAGTAGTGTTATCATTATAATATAAGGACAAGTGGGCTAAAACTGTTAGTTTCTATTGCTGCATGGTCAGCAATATTTCCTGGGTGCAGCCATATCATACCTGCCGCCCCTGGAATACTGTCATAATATACCTGGTTCTATCTGTAGGGTTTACAAGTCCATTCATCTCGAAAAGTCCTGTTCACACTATTAACGACATACGTAACCATGGTACCTGTTTGGACTTCCTGTCTGTCTGGCTGGTCTTTGGACACCATGCTAGTTAGGTCTTCATCTTGTACTGAGAATGCTGTGCTGCTTTGACCTGCAACCACAGAAAACAATACGGAGTGAGTGAGTGAGTGAGTGAGTGAGTGAGTGAGTGAGTGAGTGAGTGAGTACGGAGTGAGTGTGGAATGAGGAGTGGATGAGTGAGTGAGTGAGTGAGTGAGTGAGTGAGTGAGTGAGTGAGTGAGTGAGTGAGTGAGTGAGTGAGTGTGGAATGAGGAGTGGATGAGTGAGTGAGTGAGTGAGTGAGTGAGTGAGTGAGTGAGTGAGTGAGTGAGTGAGGTTTAACACCCCTTTGAACATTATTCCATCACATGTCTGCTTGACGTGGGAAGAAAACCTGAATTGATGCAGTTTCAGATCATTACAAGCAAGGTATGGGGCTGACACACCTTGAAACATAATCTGGCAAACCAGGATTCGAACCCACATTGGATTCTGGTGTGTCTAAGGGAGGCAACTCTGCACAGGGACGATAGTGACTTATATATAACCAATATGAAGCACTTGTGTAAAAATGATTTACCAGGCCTTCAGCCCTCTAAGTAGTGACCATTTTGGTGCCCAAGTATGACTTACATCTATAATTGGCGACCTAAATGTATCTACGGTTCACCACTTGGTTACCTGAAGGTAAACATAACTGGAGACAATATCTGTTTAAGATATATGTTGGCTCCTAAAAACTTAGATTTGGCTCCCAAGATATTCATGTTTGTTTTTTTAAAAACAGTTAATCTACACTGACTTTCAAAGCAAATACAAGAAAACAGCGTTATCACTATCCCCTGCCATGGGGCAAATTAGAATTTTGTTTGTTCATATAGTAGTGAGTATAAACTATTAAAATAAGAGTCCTATAAAGCCTTAAGAAGAGATAGGCACTTGGGCCACTATATGTCATCAGAAAAAATGATTAAATGTCAAATTAATACACACAAAAGAAATAACTCAGTCTTGATAATTATCTCATAGATAAGTAAACTTCAGTAGTACCGGTATCTGAGAAAACTTGTCCCCATTGGCCACACTATGCACTAAGTCGACAATCACGGAGCAAGGGCCGTAACAATAAACAAATAAATGATGGGACCAAGTTTCGTACTCAGTCTTGACAAGTATCTCATAGATAAGCATGCAAACTTTCATTCAAGTAACTTCAGTAGTTTCTGAGAAAACTTGTCCCCATTGGCCACACTATGCACTAAGTCGACAATCACGGAGCAAGGGCCGTAACAATAAATGATGGGACCAAGTTTCGTACTCAGTCTTGACAAGTATCTCATAGATAAGCATGCAAACTTTCATTCAAGTAACTTCAGTAGTTTCTGAGAAAACTTGTCCCCATTGGCCACACTATGCACTAAGTCGACAATCACGGAGCAAGGGCCGTAACAATAAATGATGGGACCAAGTTTCGTACTCAGTCTTGACAAGTATCTCATAGATAAGCATGCAAACTTTCATTCAAGTAACTTCAGTAGTTTCTGAGAAAACTTGTCCCCATTGGCCACACTATGCACTAAGTCGACAATCACGGAGCAAGGGCCGTAACAATAAATGATGGGACCAAGTTTCGTACTCAGTCTTGACAAGTATCTCATAGATAAGCATGCAAACTTTCATTCAAGTAACTTCAGTAGTTTCTGAGAAAACTTGTCCCCATTGGCCACACTATGCACTAAGTCGACAATCACGGAGCAAGGGCCGTAACAATAAATGATGGGACCAAGTTTCGTACTCAGTCTTGACAAGTATCTCATAGATAAGCATGCAAACTTTCATTCAAGTAACTTCAGTAGTTTCTGAGAAAACTTGTCCCCATTGGCCACACTATGCACTAAGTCGACAATCACGGAGCAAGGGCCGTAACAATAAATGATGGGACCAAGTTTCGTACTCAGTCTTGACAAGTATCTCATAGATAAGCATGCAAACTTTCATTCAAGTAACTTCAGTAGTTTCTGAGAAAACTTGTCCCCATTGGCCACACTATGCACTAAGTCGACAATCACGGAGCAAGGGCCGTAACAATAAACAAATAAATGATGGGACCAAGTTTCGTACTCAGTCTTGACAAGTATCTCATAGATAAGCATGCAAACTTTCATTCAAGTAACTTCAGTAGTTTCTGAGAAAACTTGTCCCCATTGGCCACACTATGCACTAAGTCGACAATCACGGAGCAAGGGCCGTAACAATAAATGATGGGACCAAGTTTCGTACTCAGTCTTGACAAGTATCTCATAGATAAGCATGCAAACTTTCATTCAAGTAACTTCAGTAGTTTCTGAGAAAACTTGTCCCCATTGGCCACACTATGCACTAAGTCGACAATCACGGAGCAAGGGCCGTAACAATAAATGATGGGACCAAGTTTCGTACTCAGTCTTGACAAGTATCTCATAGATAAGCATGCAAACTTTCATTCAAGTAACTTCAGTAGTTTCTGAGAAAACTTGTCCCCATTGGCCACACTATGCACTAAGTCGACAATCACGGAGCAAGGGCCGTAACAATAAATGATGGGACCAAGTTTCGTACTCAGTCTTGACAAGTATCTCATAGATAAGCATGCAAACTTTCATTCAAGTAACTTCAGTAGTTTCTGAGAAAACTTGTCCCCATTGGCCACACTATGCACTAAGTCGACAATCACGGAGCAAGGGCCGTAACAATAAATGATGGGACCAAGTTTCGTACTCAGTCTTGACAAGTATCTCATAGATAAGCATGCAAACTTTCATTCAAGTAACTTCAGTAGTTTCTGAGAAAACTTGTCCCCATTGGCCACACTATGCACTAAGTCGACAATCACGGAGCAAGGGCCGTAACAATAAATGATGGGACCAAGTTTCGTACTCAGTCTTGACAAGTATCTCATAGATAAGCATGCAAACTTTCATTCAAGTAACTTCAGTAGTTTCTGAGAAAACTTGTCCCCATTGGCCACACTATGCACTAAGTCGACAATCACGGAGCAAGGGCCGTAACAATAAATGATGGGACCAAGTTTCGTACTCAGTCTTGACAAGTATCTCATAGATAAGCATGCAAACTTTCATTCAAGTAACTTCAGTAGTTTCTGAGAAAACTTGTCCCCATTGGCCACACTATGCACTAAGTCGACAATCACGGAGCAAGGGCCGTAACAATAAATGATGGGACCAAGTTTCGTACTCAGTCTTGACAAGTATCTCATAGATAAGCATGCAAACTTTCATTCAAGTAACTTCAGTAGTTTCTGAGAAAACTTGTCCCCATTGGCCACACTATGCACTAAGTCGACAATCACGGAGCAAGGGCCGTAACAATAAATGATGGGACCAAGTTTCGTACTCAGTCTTGACAAGTATCTCATAGATAAGCATGCAAACTTTCATTCAAGTAACTTCAGTAGTTTCTGAGAAAACTTGTCCCCATTGGCCACACTATGCACTAAGTCGACAATCACGGAGCAAGGGCCGTAACAATAAATGATGGGACCAAGTTTCGTACTCAGTCTTGACAAGTATCTCATAGATAAGCATGCAAACTTTCATTCAAGTAACTTCAGTAGTTTCTGAGAAAACTTGTCCCCATTGGCCACACTATGCACTAAGTCGACAATCACGGAGCAAGGGCCGTAACAATAAATGATGGGACCAAGTTTCGTACTCAGTCTTGACAAGTATCTCATAGATAAGCATGCAAACTTTCATTCAAGTAACTTCAGTAGTTTCTGAGAAAACTTGTCCCCATTGGCCACACTATGCACTAAGTCGACAATCACGGAGCAAGGGCCGTAACAATAAATGATGGGACCAAGTTTCGTACTCAGTCTTGACAAGTATCTCATAGATAAGCATGCAAACTTTCATTCAAGTAACTTCAGTAGTTTCTGAGAAAACTTGTCCCCATTGGCCACACTATGCACTAAGTCGACAATCACGGAGCAAGGGCCGTAACAATAAATGATGGGACCAAGTTTCGTACTCAGTCTTGACAAGTATCTCATAGATAAGCATGCAAACTTTCATTCAAGTAACTTCAGTAGTTTCTGAGAAAACTTGTCCCCATTGGCCACACTATGCACTAAGTCGACAATCACGGAGCAAGGGCCGTAACAATAAATGATGGGACCAAGTTTCGTACTCAGTCTTGACAAGTATCTCATAGATAAGCATGCAAACTTTCATTCAAGTAACTTCAGTAGTTTCTGAGAAAACTTGTCCCCATTGGCCACACTATGCACTAAGTCGACAATCACGGAGCAAGGGCCGTAACAATAAATGATGGGACCAAGTTTCGTACTCAGTCTTGACAAGTATCTCATAGATAAGCATGCAAACTTTCATTCAAGTAACTTCAGTAGTTTCTGAGAAAACTTGTCCCCATTGGCCACACTATGCACTAAGTCGACAATCACGGAGCAAGGGCCGTAACAATAAATGATGGGACCAAGTTTCGTACTCAGTCTTGACAAGTATCTCATAGATAAGCATGCAAACTTTCATTCAAGTAACTTCAGTAGTTTCTGAGAAAACTTGTCCCCATTGGCCACACTATGCACTAAGTCGACAATCACGGAGCAAGGGCCATAACAATAAATGATGGGACCAAGTTTCGTACTCAGTCTTGACAAGTATCTCATAGATAAGCATGCAAACTTTCATTCAAGTAACTTCAGTAGTTTCTGAGAAAACTTGTCCCCATTGGCCACACTATGCACTAAGTCGACAATCACGGAGCAAGGGCCGTAACAATAAATGATGGGACCAAGTTTCGTACTCAGTCTTGACAAGTATCTCATAGATAAGCATGCAAACTTTCATTCAAGTAACTTCAGTAGTTTCTGAGAAAACTTGTCCCCATTGGCCACACTATGCACTAAGTCGACAATCACGGAGCAAGGGCCGTAACAATAAATGATGGGACCAAGTTTCGTACTCAGTCTTGACAAGTATCTCATAGATAAGCATGCAAACTTTCATTCAAGTAACTTCAGTAGTTTCTGAGAAAACTTGTCCCCATTGGCCACACTATGCACTAAGTCGACAATCACGGAGCAAGGGCCGTAACAATAAATGATGGGACCAAGTTTCGTACTCAGTCTTGACAAGTATCTCATAGATAAGCATGCAAACTTTCATTCAAGTAACTTCAGTAGTTTCTGAGAAAACTTGTCCCCATTGGCCACACTATGCACTAAGTCGACAATCACGGAGCAAGGGCCATAACACTAAACAAATAAATGATGGGACCAAGTTTCGTACTCAGTCTTGACAAGTATCTCTTAGATCATGTAGATAAGCATGCAAACTTTCATTCAAGTAACTTCAGTAGTACCGGTATCTGAGAAAACTTGTCCCCATTGGCCACACTATGCACTAAGTCGACAATCACGGAGCAAGGGCCGTAACAATAAATGATGGGACCAAGTTTCGTACTCAGTCTTGACAAGTATCTCATAGATAAGCATGCAAACTTTCATTCAAGTAACTTCAGTAGTTTCTGAGAAAACTTGTCCCCATTGGCCACACTATGCACTAAGTCGACAATCACGGAGCAAGGGCCATAACAATAAATGATGGGACCAAGTTTCGTACTCAGTCTTGACAAGTATCTCATAGATAAGCATGCAAACTTTCATTCAAGTAACTTCAGTAGTTTCTGAGAAAACTTGTCCCCATTGGCCACACTATGCACTAAGTCGACAATCACGGAGCAAGGGCCGTAACAATAAATGATGGGACCAAGTTTCGTACTCAGTCTTGACAAGTATCTCATAGATAAGCATGCAAACTTTCATTCAAGTAACTTCAGTAGTTTCTGAGAAAACTTGTCCCCATTGGCCACACTATGCACTAAGTCGACAATCACGGAGCAAGGGCCGTAACAATAAATGATGGGACCAAGTTTCGTACTCAGTCTTGACAAGTATCTCTTAGATCATGTAGATAAGCATGCAAACTTTCACTCAAGTAACTTCAGTAGTTTCTGAGAAAAATAAGCCCTAAAATTTGATACAAGATTTTCGGGGAGGTATCTATAAATATTCTGACTGAGTCTTGATCATGTTAACATGTGAATGTATTTTATAAATATTACATGAAAGACATTTTATAAGAGTGAGTGAGTGAGTATGGTTTTACGCCGCTTTTAGCAATATTCCAGCAATATCACGGCGGGGGACACCAGAAATGGGCTTCACAAATTGTACCCATGTTGGGAATCGAACCCGGGTCTTCGGCGTGACGAGCTAACGCATTAACCACTAGGCTACCCGACCGCCCACATTTTATAAGAACGAGTACAGTAGTAGCCTTTTGCAGGGCAAGCAGAAAGAAATACCACAAGCCCTGTGGACTTGTTTGAGGTTTTACTTTATGGCCAACCATGAGCTTCACACAAAGCAACTGCTGTGTGTATGCCTCACGTTTACAGGAGCATACACTTAATGAAACTTCTTTTTGATCAGACAAGCAGAACCAAATGCTTTAGAAATGAAAGTGGGAGTTTGGTACCCATGACATACTGTGAAATTAATGCATTTGTATTGTTTAACATAAAATCTATTCAGAAATTCATTCACAAATGATGTTTCCCTTCAAAATGGATTGACAAAATGGCTGAAACGAGGAAGTGATTAATTTCTCACATTGTTATCTCCCCTGTATCCATTCAAAATGGCGGCAACTGACCATGTGTAATATTTACTGTTCTCTCAATTCACCCAACTCAACATTTTAGAATGTCAATCAGGTAGACTTTGCATTTTAGTTTTTCAGGATGTAAAATATTTTCTCAAATAAAGAAATGAAGTATCTACTGTAAAATGTGAAATTAATGCGTCTCCAAAAGAATGCGACCCCTGACCCCTAGCCAAAAATGCGACTCAATATGAATGTGACACCCCTTCCTCTCAAGCATCAGTGGATTTATATCTAAACAAAATGTCCTCTGTCAGGTTTACAGTAGAATCCTTACATTAATCCAATCACACACCAAATAGCACTGCTTATTAGCGCTGAGTAGAGTACTTCAGCTAAAACAATACGTGCATGCTGGCTCGTGTCGGCCTTTGATGCAGTCGCAAAGACACTGTGTTGGGTGGCGTCTGTCTGGACTTGCAGGTGTGATCAGTGATGACATGAGTGAGTAGAACGCTTGTCTTGACCCCAGCAGTGGCAATTCACAGGATGTAATTAGTGTTTGAATGACATTGTTTATATACTTGTAACAAGTGCTGCTCAATAAACAGTGATGTGGAATACATAGTTGTTTTTTTCAGTGTATGTCTAAGTTGGTATTTCTGCTATCCAAAATCAATGTCTTATTGTTGATATAAACGCGATATTTAATAATGCGAGCAAAGACCACTCGCATTTTTCGCATTTAATTCACGCTCATGTTAATATCAAGATTTACAGTACACAAATTTATTTACAACTAGGTATGTAAAAACAACATGCTCTAATTCAACACAGGCAAATATTTATGTCCAATGGGTGGTCACGATTTTAGTCAAGAGGAGTACATTTATATGTTGATAAAGTACAATAAGGTATACAGTTTATTAAGGCGTGAAACGCTCATGCTTCGTAAAATTTGAATATTTTAGACTGACAGGCCTGAAACAAACACTTGACTGCAAGAACCTAGGGCTGGGACAAGTCCATATTTACTACCTGGGTACCTGCCCCCTATTACCCTACCCTACCCGGGTACCCACTGTAGGTCTCAGGAGATGTCTCAAAATGTCCGATTAGTAACTTTTTTAGCATAACCCTGGCAAAACGTATTTAGATACATGTATTAACAATCTGGTCATGCATACACTGAAGTTGACTTAAGTTATATCTTTTTTCAACCATATGAAAATTCGGACGGAATGGGTGCATAGTCAGATAGAAAAGCGAACATTAATGACTTATAGTGTAACTATAGTGTTCCAGTTAGTTTTAGTCATTAGACAATATATCACGTGACTAACCACAAGTCTGGGTAGTCCTGTGGGTACCCGGGACCTACTCAATACCCACCCGACCCGGGTACCCGAGTTACATGTCCCAGCATTACAAGAACCACACAGCTCATATGAAATCGTGTAATCTACTTCGAATGTGCATGATTGAGTTGGTGCAATCTGCACTGAATAGTTCGTGGAACTCAAGTATTTGCCAGTGCTCTCACAGACAGTTGTACTGGCACTCGTCCTCTATCTATTACTTAAAGCACAGTCAAATACTCCAGTTCCATGAAAAGTGTGCCCACGTACAGTTCATGGCAATGTCACTTTTGACTTTCTATGCCAACCCATGGCCATACCTTTGAAGGTCTTTGCAGCCATGGCAGCACAGCTGCATATTTGTTTGTTATTATATGCTATTTAACGCTGCACTCAGCAATATTCCAGCTATATGACAGCGGTCTGTAAATAATTGTGTCTGGACCAGACAATCCAGACATGTATCAACCAAGTCAGCGAGCTTGACCACACAATCCTGATAGTCACCTCTTACGACAAGCATTGGTTGCTGAAGACCTATTCCAACCCGGATCTTCACAGGTCACTGTAGCATAAAGTGTATTGGTTGAATTATATTATTGCACTACACATGCCCAAAATGATGAGTGCCCATTTGTTCAGTCGTAAGCAGTACTCTAACTTTACAGGGCCTGACAAAAATCTGAGCATCTTACCTCCACTGCCAACATCACTAGGGGAGGTAACTCCTTCGTTTCCATCACGGCCATCTTCAGTATGATACGCTGGTTCCTGTCCTAGAGAATCAACAGCCTCAGAGGGCTTCACACAGCCTTCCATGGCCCCCTGTTCAACAGCCAACGTTGAAGATTTCACATGCACCCTCTGCTCGTCTTCACTTGTGCTGCTTGGCTCAGCGCCGACCGACGTCATGTTAAAGTTGACTGAAGCAGATAAACAACTTGTGTTTGTTGGTTTGTTTTTTAATGCCGCACTCAGCAATATAACAGCTATATGACGGCGGTCTGTAAAGAATCAAGTCTGGACCAGACAATCCAGTGATTAATATCATGAGCATCGATCCACTCACTTGGGATTGATGACATGCATCAACCAAGTCAGCGAGTCTGGCCACCTGATCCCGTTAGGCGACTAACGTAAAAGGCGACTAACGGGATCCACAACCATGTGAGAACACGACTCTTCATTGTTAATGGCAATTTGAATGGCGTATGTTACCGGGACGACATTGTCTGAGATCATGTTCTACCCTTTGTGCAAATGCAGGCATGTGACGCAACATTGCAGCAGTATAATGCCAAACCACATGTTACATGTGTTGTTTTGTTTGTTTGTTGTTTAACGCCACACTCAGCAATATTCCAGATATATGATGGCTATCTGTAAATAATTAAGTCTGGAGTAGACAATCCAGTGATTGACATCATGAGCATCGATTCACTCAATTGGGATCGATGACATGCATCAACTAAGTCAGCGAGCCTGACCACCCGATCCCGTTAGTCACCTCTAGCGACAAGCATAGTCACCTTTTACGGCAAGCATAGTCACCTTTTACGGCAAGCATGGGTTGCTGAAGACCTATTCTACCCCGGATCTTCATGGGTCCACTACCTTAGGAAGAGTTGGAGTTGGAGATGGACTTGGAAACCATGTGACATAGAGACATTCCAGAATATCCTATCAATAGGTAAACTAAATGTCAAAACAATAAATAAACTAAGTCAATACAGATTTGTCAGTCTTGTTTCTCTAATATTCTGGTACATTTTCTCCAAATTGTCTGAGGCCATTTTCTCCTGCACCGCCATGAGAGTTATCACAAATAATGAATGCTTATTTACCAAGCTATCAGCACCTGATTGTTTACCTTGATGCGCATGATTGAAAAAGGGATCAACAGGCTATAAAAGATAGAGGGCCTACATTTAGAATACAGTACCACAAACTTTTCAAACATGTGATAATGCCCTATGACGTAATTTGTAGTATTTTGTTACCAGTCACACTGGCGAAACAATGCCCTGTGACGTCAGGGGTCATTGAGCGTGCATATGCTCCTCCCAGGGATCTATCATCTCTACATGCAATGTCATTGAATACGCCTAGCAATGTTGAGAGTTTAGAATATTTGTTTACTAGATATAGCCTGCGGTGGCGCATTTTATAGCAAGCGCTAGTTTACGACAGCACTTTTATTTACAATATATTTTTTATTTCATTTTTTTTTCGGAATTCAAGTGGCTAAAATGATGATAAATTGGAACTAATATACATATATTATTTTTTCAATTCATTAAGTTTCATTATTTTGCACAGGAATGCAGTTTATTAGGTAAAATTATAATGGGGCTGAACACATCCAGATGATTTAGGTACCCATTTAATGGATATCATTGAAGGGTTAGGGTTAGGTACCCATTTAGTGGCTATGAGATTACCCTGAACTCTATCCTTAACTCTTGGGTCCCCTTTACGATCAATCATCCCTTTACGATCATTAGGGTTAGGTACCCGTTTAGTGGCTATTATTGATTCTATAGCTGCTCCTAATATTCTTCACACAAAAATGTTGAGAAAAAAAAGGATGAAATGGTTTTGTGTCAAATATTTTGGCTATTGGAAACTGTCCTGGCACATTCACACAAGCCACTTTCACCCACTACATTTATTTAGTACTGATTCAACAGCAAACTCACCCTTGTGTCGTCACTAGCCATACTCATCATCATCATGCCTCCCTAGTTCCTTACCATTATTCACATTATCCTTACAGTGTTCCCTACCACACATTTCTGTCACAAAAATGACCAGACGAGTTATTAAATCCCATGTCATTCGTGCGTACCCGCAAGTTCTCAAGTTCGCATCTGACGGATTCTCACAAAAACTGGTTGCTTGTCTTCGAGAGACATGACCAACGACAGAGATCGTGCACACAAGAAGTTGTGGAACTGTATTCTAAAGGTGCTCCGGATAGAGTTGGTGGGTAACCTAACCTAATACAATGTACCACTAATCCTAAGGATTAAAAAGGCATATGAGTGAGTGTGTGTGGTTTTAGGCCGCTTTTAGCAATATTCAGCAATATCATGGCAGGTATATCAGAAATGGGATTCACACACTGTACACAAGTGGGGAATAGAACCCAGGCCTTCAGCATGACAAGCTAACGCTTTAACCACAAGGCTACCCCACCACCCCCGAAGGCATATTACATAATAAAATGCTGCACCAGATAAAGTGCCATCTTGACAAATATCACAAATGTTCAAGATAAATAGAATTACCAAAAATGGAGGTTATTACTTTGAATTGGTTGTAGATCTATGCCTATTAGCCTAATACATTTTTTGTTGTTGTTCAGCATGTTCAGAGTCACAGTATTTACCCTTACAAAGTATTTCCTGCAAGGGGGGCACAAGTCAGAATTCAGACATCTTCTAACACACATTACTCATGGGAAGAACGTTTTGCAATTAGGAAAATACACGTATATATACATTAACATAGCAACGTTCGCCTTGGACCAGAGAATTTTCACAGCACAAACAGGTAAAGTTACTGCATACTTGGGCCGTTTAGTACTTATCAATAGCATAACATATTTTATTATTTATGGAATTATATTACGCAGCTGCAGTAAATATTTCAAACCGAAAGTACAAATTAAACAAAGTGTTTCAGAAATGAAAATATTTGACAGACTGGTATTCTCCGTGAGATGGAAAATTCCCCAGGATGTTGAATCATTGACTTTTAGAAACACTGTTTGACGAACAGGGCACGTACTTGATAACGGTCATATAGATGATCACTCACAATTTATGAAACACCTTCACAGGGAATTCAGTGACAGACAATCAAACGAGCACCTGCAACTTTCCGAGGTTCATTCATGGCTGACATTTTTATTGAATGGAGTGCGCATGCGTTGGGGAAACTTCCGATACCAACTTCCTCTGAACATATGCAAGAGAGAAGTGTTTACATGTCAGTAGGACAAAACAGAACTAAATATCACAACCTTCGTTAGTGCAGAACATTATATTCATAATTCGAGTCAGCGTTATGGACGTGCTTCGGCCGCAGATTGTTATGGTTGCAAACAGATGTTACAGAAAAAATCCAATTCAGAAAAACGAAATCAACACGGCAGAAGAGGACATTTACACAGGTGAGTTACTGTTATAGGTCTATGGAAGCTTGATGTCATCCGTTAAACAGTTGGATTCTGTTTGATTGGGGGTAGTGCACTTTACCGGGCGCACTTTTTCAGTTCCAATTAGCGCCGTGGGGCTATTAGGGGCTCGAACGCGTTTCGCCGGCTCACCGGCTTGGCTAATTAGCCTAATGCGTTAAGAAGCCGACGCTGTACCACTGGACCACGAGCGCTATCACATGTAATCAGTGCTCGTTTAACGAGTCATTAGCACCCCATTAACAAGCATGCGTAATTCAGTAAACAATGAATTGCGCATGCGTATGACGTCACAGTCCGCTCTCCCATTCATTTTTTCTTGAAACCACACCTGCCATTGTTTATGTCAACATGACCGACCAATCGGATTAACCGACCAATCGGATTAACTGGATGTACGCTTGAAAAGGTAAGAATTTATGGCCAACCCTTGCCCAAAGCAAGCTAACCCTAAGGACCGAAAAGGGGTGTTGGATCGTAAAGACGTGTAAGTTTCCCTAAGACCGAAGGCGGGTGTTAGATCATAAAGACGTGTAAGTTTCCCTAAGACCGAAAACGTGTGTTGGATCGTAAAGACGTGTAAGTTTCCCTAAGACCGAAAACGGGTGTTAGATCATAAAGACGTGTAAGTTTCCCTAAGACCGAAGGCGGGTGTTAGATCATAAAGACGTGTAAGTTTCCCTAAGACCGAAAACGGGTGTTAGTTCATAAAGACGTGTAAGTTTCCCTAAGACCGAAGGCGGGTGTTAGATCATAAAGACGTAAAGTTTCCCTAAGACCGAAGGCGGGTGTTGGATCGTAAAGACGTGTAAGTTTCCCTAAGACCGAAGGCGGGTGTTGGATCGTAAAGACGTGTAAGTTTCCCTGACCGAAGGCGGGTGTTGGATCGTAAAGACGTGTAAGTTTCCCTAAGACCGAAAACGGGTGTTGGATCGTAAAGACGTGTAAGTTTCCCTAAGACCGAAAACGGGTGTTGGATCGTAAAGACGTGTAAGTTTCCCTAAGACCGAAAACGGGTGTTGGATCGTAAAGACGTGTAAGTTTCCCTAAGACCGAAAAGGGGTGTTGGATCGTAAAGACGTGTAAGTTTCCCTAAGACCGAAAACGGGTGTTGGATCGTAAAGACGTGTAAGTTTCCCTAAGACCGAAAACGGGTGTTGGATCGTAAAGACGTGTAAGTTTCCCTAAGACCGAAAACGGGTGTTGGATCATAAAGACGTGTAAGTTTCCCTAAGACCGAAGGCGGGTGTTAGTTGTGCCCGGTGAACTGCATTGTTGCCGTTTGATTGTTGTATAAAGCCTCACTCAGCAATATTCCAGCTGTATGATGTTGGACCAGACGAATACATTGATTGACATGGGGTTATAGCTAAAACAGGACAGGTCTCACCAAAAAGTCCCCGAGTGAAAACAGCAACGATTTGGCAAAAACGCCACCTCGCCTGAAGCGAAAATGGCTACTACTTCCTGGCACCTTATTTTTTTCATTTACCTTTAAAAATTGGACTGAAAATGCATGAGGTTAAAATCACATGGTCACATGCAAACACAAATAATTGTAAAATGTTAATCACCCAAAAGGGGCACTAATCTCTGGCTGTCTGACACTGGCCGCTGGGGCTCACTAGCTGCCGTTAGTCAATTTGCTCGCTAACGCAATTGAGCGTAACAAGAGATTGGGCTACTGTCTGTAAAGACAGCGTAAATAAATTTGGAGGCAATAATTGTTTTGCACATTTTTAACACTGATTGGTTACCTGTGATCTATAAAGATTTTGACAAAGGGCGCATGTTAATTAATTTCTTCAGCCTAAACAAACAGACAAAAAGAATGGCGGAAGCTCATCGGATGTAGTCATTTGGAAATACCCCTGATGGTTATAGTTAAATAATAAAAAAAAGTATCCCTGCAGTGAAAGCATTTTCAGATTTCGGATTCCGTGAATAATACGATTACTACTCTCTTGTTGTCATCCATGTTTTCTGGTATATCCCTACATTTGTGTGTTTGTCGCCATTCACTTGATGCTCAGTGCATGAATTTATTACAGGTGTAATTAGTGGTAGCACCGGTCAGATTACTTGATAAAGGTTCCTTTTGGCATTTCTTGTGTCTGGGGTAATTATTGAATTTAAATCCAGGTTTGAAGCGAGGTGAAATGTGTGTTATGTAATATGCACGTGGCAGCCCAGCAAGAAATGAATGATCAGTTGATTTATTTTTTTGGGATACGATGGCATGCATCAACCAAGTCAGCGAGTCTGACCACCCGATCCCGATCTTACGACAAGCATAGTCGCCTTTCACAGCTAGCATGGGTTGCTGAAGACCTAAGTCTGGGAAGTGACGGGACTCCCAGGCTGCTTGAATGTTCTCCATCCCTGGAATGTAAACTGCTGTTAATGACAGCTGAATTATTGGGCAGAAGTCCCATCGTTCCTTGGTGATCTGAATCAAGGTCTGAGATTTTGACCCTCCCACATGGTTCACATAGGCCATAGCCGTCTGGTTGACCAATCTCATTAAAATCAGATCTTAGTTCTCGCTATTGCTAAACAAAGATCTGAGGACATCCGATTACGAGTCACGTCAGACCAACCTTGCGCGAATTTAGACCAACCAATGGAAGAACTGACAAGAAGTAGACATTAGCCAATCAGAAGGCAGCTTTCTCGTGCTTTACAGCACTAAATTCAAATTGGCGACTACACTTCGAAACATATTTTGACAAATTCTCAATTAAAAATTTGAAACCTGAACAAAAGAACATTCTGGAAATGCAAATATATGGTCTAGATTGTATGGATTCAGTCGTTAAACCCGTAACTATCGTTTGGAATACCCCGTGTTAAGGTTTTCGAGTTTGCATTATTAGAAATCACATTCCGACCGTCACTTTCATGATCTGGTAAGCGACGCCTTGATTGGTTGGATGAAAGGTCATTTTGACGTGACCCCTAATGGGATGTCCTCAGATCTTTGTTTAGCGGTAGCGAGAACTAAGATATGATTTAATGAGATTGTCTGGTTGACCAAAATAGATCTGTAGTTGCTGGCTCTGCAAAGTGATAGGAGGGCCAGGTGAATAACTTTGAGCTCCAAGACATTTATGTACAATTTTCGTCTCCTCTAGAGACCAGAGGCCGCCTGTCGTCATTTGCCCACGTATCACACCCTCCCTAGCCGTGACTCAGCTTTTTGTAGAATCAGGTCTGGGTACGCTGCCATGATTGGCTTGCCGTTGGAGTTTCAACTATCACTTCTGTTCTTTCAAATAGTCTTGAGACGAGAAATCTTCATCCCGTAATTAACCGCCTCCGTGGTCTAATGGTAGAGCGTCCGCCCGGAGAGCGGAAGGTCCGGGGTTCGATCCCAGCCGCGTCATACCAAAAGACGTTAAAAGATGGTACTTGTTGTTACCCTGTCTGGCGCTCGGCATTAAGGGGCTAAAACAAGGACTGGTCGGCTCGGAGTCAGTATACTATGTCTGAGTGGGGTATTTATGTTAAACTGCGGCATGGTATCTCAGTGTGCTAGCACTCTAAATCGGCATCAGTCCGGACTAGAACAAGCAGCCATACACACACATACACGTGCATGCACGTCGCTATATAAGTGCAATAATCTTGGACGCGACGTTAAACCCCATTTCACCTCACCTCATCCCGTAATTATGGTGATGCAGAAGCTACTTGCTTGCTTGCATTTGGAGGTATCGGCAGTGGAGCTGAGCTGAATGAGACTGCCAGATTTTTTATTTTTGCATTCTTTCCCTTCTGTATATGTTGAAGGATGTCGGCATATTGTCTACCTTCTCCTGGGGTAGAATACAATTCCGATCCATTGAGTTGAATTGTTTGATAGGCATTACTTAGAAGTTTACGGATGACAAAGTAGACACAATGTATGGATAACAATACTGTAAAGACAACGTTTCGGTATAGATCCTTATACCATTGTCAAGCAAAACTGAATGAGGAACATTGTACAGAATATATATAATTTTGAGTTTGGAATTTGAAAACTTGGGGGTCTAAGGTTTGGGGACTAAGGGTCTGGGAGGGTGTGGATGTGTGGTTTTTGGAGTTGTGTTTTATTAGTTTGGATTGGTGGTGGTATAATTTTTGTTGGTGATTATATGTGGCCTAGTAGATTGGTTTGTCTGGTCCAGACTCATTTATTTACAGGCCGTTATCATGTAGATGGATTATTGCTGAGTGTGGCATTAAATAGCCAACAACAAAGAAACATGAATGCAAAATGCCATTTAGAAAGTGGTCAAATGTAACAAATGTTATATTTGGGATAACACTTTCTTAGTAAAGTACAGATTCTCGTACTTTTTTTGGTTGAGTCCCGTCCCAAATATAACATTTGTTACATTTGACCACTTTCTAAATGGCATTGTGTATTCATAGCTTTCGGCCATGGGAGCCGTGCCAATTTACACTTGTCAGAGGGGTACTCAAAGTACGTGATCTAGACTACCAGTTGTCAGACTTTCATTTTGTGGAAGCCTCGGTGGCTGAGTGGGTTAGATCGCTGACTTTGTGTGCTGGCGATTAGGTGCCTCACTCTGGCAAGTGTGGGTTTGAATCCCAGATGGGACTCAACCCAAAACAGTTTGAGAATCTGTACTTTACTAAGAAAGTGCTATCCCAAATATAACATTTGTTAAACAAAGAAACAGATCAATCCTAGGGTTCTGTATTGACCTAAAGCTTGCATTGCAATATATTGGAAGATAAAGTGTTTGACACTGATTGTACATGCAGACCTAGTTTTACATACTACAGTAAAGTATTACTCTGCATAGTAAGTTGCCGCCATTTTGTAGTCATGGTTACAGGGGAGATAACATCAATGTTTCCTCCATTTTGTCAATGAATTTTGAAAAGAAACCTCTTTTAGTAATGAATTTCTATAGAATTTAGGTTAAGTGATACAAATAAAAAAAACAATTGTTATATTTTCTTACCCTATGTACCAGAACACAGGAAGAATATTACATATAGTTTGAAAAGTGAATTGCAGTATCCCAATAATACCATGCAGTTCTATTATAAGACCTAATCCAGGTGACTCACTGCTACAGATGATGTCAGCAGCTGTGTGTACAACGACGAGGTATGCGATGCCTTCAGCAATATTGAAGAGACAGACAGTGGCTACCGGGTAGCGATGAACATACCCAGTGCATACTTCAAGTTCATCATCGGGAAGAAGGCAGAGAGCAAGAAGAGGCTAGAGATGGAGACGCGGACACAGATCCGGATCCCCAAGGCAGGACAGGAGGGAGAAATTGGTACGTAGACAATCTCATTAAAATATGATCTTACTTCTCACTACCACTTAACAGAGATCTGAGGACAGCCCACTACAGGTCATGTCAGGACAACCTTTCCCCATATTTCCCAAACTTTGACCGACTATTGAAATGACTAACAAGAAGTCGATCAGATAATAGCGCTTTCTTGCTTTACGGCAAAAGTTCCAGCCTTTATTGAAAAGTATTTTGACAAAGTTGATTCAAAATTTGAAAAAAACAAAAGAAAATTCTGGAATGAATGGCCATGTTCAGAAGGTGTTCTCGGACAGGTTACCGGGACATCTTTTGAACGCACCAGCTTCGCGGATTCGACCAAACGTAACCTACTTCGCGGAATTCGTATGTCTCCTTGGCGGGTTGAATGTAACACGTGACTCTTTGAACGTGGCAGATGAGATTTAGGGCTGATAGGAGTAGGACGCATCGCGAGATGCTCCTACTCATAGCTTGCGTGTTTTCAGAGCCCTACTAGGGCTATACTTCCAAGTGCATACTTCCATACCAGGGAAGTTCAGTTTGTACATAATGTGTTTATTGTAAATATCTTGTGGGTTTATTAAGAGGGTTGAATTTCCGTTTTCAGTTATAGTTTTCATTTGAGGGGTTTCTTCTCCTCAGTCCGAGATTGTATGGCAGTACAACCCAAGGGCTATTGAAAGTCTTTTCCGTTTCAACTGTTTTTCCCATTTTAAAGCAAGAAATAGATGAAGATGTTGACGGAATCATCTGTACAGAACCTTATTAGCTGTACGTAACCGTTGTTTGGAATACCTTGTGTTAACACTTTCAAGGTGGCATGGTTAGAAAACTCATTCAGACTTTCACTCTCCTGATCTCACTGTGATTAGTCACGTGGAAATTCGTTCTGATGGGACCTGTAATAGGATGTTCTCAGATCTTTGTTTTGCGGTAGCGAGAACTAAGATCTGATTTTTATAATGTTGCTTCATAGTGTAAAGGTTTTATACAATGAAACCCTATTAATTTGCACCATTGAAGGTCCCATGCATGTCAGAAGAGGTGACTAACAGGATCCAGGGGTCAGGCTCGCTGACTTGGTGGATGCATGTCATCGTATCCCAATTGCATGGTTGGATGCTCATGATGTCAATCACAGGATTGTCTGGTCCAGACACGATTAATTATCGACCGCCGCCATTTAGCAGGAATATTGCTGAGTGAGGAGTTAAACAAAAAACAAACAAAAAAACACTCTCACTGAGCAGGTAGTTGGCTAGGATTCCATGCTTAGCTCTCGGCAAGCTAATTTGGACATCAAATCCTCTTCCTCTTTGGGGTGCACGGGTGGCCCAGTCGTCTAAGGCGCCGCAATTCGCTGTGCAGCGTAGCGTCCCTTGGGCATGCCAGAAACCTATGATTGTGGGTTCGAATCCCGGTTCGCCCCAATTATGTTTCTAGGTTTGTCAGCACCTTACCCGTGCTCGTGGGTTTCACCGAAGTGGTAAACGTCTAAGACCTGCATCACTTGGGGCTTTCCTCCCACATTTAGTTGACACGCCATGATATGACTGGAATACTGTTAAAAGCGGCGTTAACCCCAACTCACTCACTCACTCTTCCTCTTTGATGGCCCTGCTGTCAGTTGCGTCCCTTGGGCATGCCAGAAACCTATGATTGTGGGTTCGAATCCCGGTTCGCCCCAATTATGTTTCTAGGTTTGTCAGCACCTTACCCGTGCTCGTGGGTTTCACCGAAGTGGTAAACGTCTAAGACCTGCATCACTTGGGGCTTTCCTCCCACATTTAGTTGACACGCCATGATATGACTGGAATACTGTTAAAAGCGGCGTTAACCCCAACTCACTCACTCACTCTTCCTCTTTGATGGCCCTGCTGTCAGTATGATACAGCTCTACCAAATGACCACATTCCTTGTCAGGATTCTAACTTTGTTATCATGAATTTGGCAATTCGTGTTCCTGTATGGGTGACACTTTATGGGGACTGGGGGCAGAGTATTGGCCTGAGAGTCATTGCTCACGTTCGAAATTAGGATATATATTCTAGTCTGAGGCTGGTGAAATTCAGTAAAGACCAGTGACAACTTCCTTTACATCAGGTAGATGACAACTTCCTTTACATCAGGTAGATGGTAACTACATTTACATCAGGTAGATGGCAACAACATTTACATCAGGTAGATGACAACTTCCTTTACATCAGGTAGATGACAACTTCCTTTACATCAGGTAGATGGTAACTACATTTACATCAGGTAGATGGCAACAACATTTACATCAGGTAGATGGCAACTACATTTACATCAGGTAGATGACAACTACATTTACATCAGGTAGATGACAACTACATTTACATCAGGCAGATGACAACTACATTTACATCAGGTAGATGACAACTACATTTACATCAGGTAGATGACAACTACATTTACATCAGGTAGATGACAACTACATTTACATCTGGTACATGACAACAACATTTACATCAGGTAGATGACAACTACATTTACATCAGGTAGATGACAACTACATTTACATCTGGTAGATGACAACTACATTTACATCAGGTAGATGACAACATTTACATCAGGTAGATGACAACAGCAATTACATCAGGTAGATGACAACTTCATTTACATCAGGTAGATGACAACTACATTTACATCAGGTAGATGACAACTACATTTACATCAGGTAGATGACAACTACATTTACATCAGGTAGATGACAACTACATTTTCATCAGGTAGATGACAACTACATTTACATCAGGTAGATGACAACTACATTTACATCAGGTTGATGATAACTACATTTACATCAGGTAGATGATAACTACATTTACATTAGGTAGATGACAACTACATTTACATCAGGTAGATGACAACTACATTTACATCAGGTAGATGACAACTACATTTACATCAGGTAGATGACAACTACATTTTCATCAGGTACATGACAACAACATTTACATCAGGTAGATGACAACTACATTTACATCAGGTAGATGACAACTACATTTACATCTGGTACATGACAACAACATTTACATCAGGTAGATGACAACTACATTTACATCAGGTAGATGACAACTACATTTACATCAGGTAGATGACAACTACATTTACATCAGGTAGATGACAACAACATTTACATCAGGTAGATGACAACTACATTTACATCAGGTACATGACAACTACATTTACATCAGGTAGATGACAACTACATTTACATCTGGTAGATGACAACTACATTTACATCAGGTAGATGACAACTACATTTACATCAGGTAGATGACAACTACATTAACATCAGGTAGATGACAACTACATTTACATCAGGTAGATGACAACTACATTTACATCAGGTAGATGACAACTACATTTACATCAGGTAGATGACAACAGCAATTACATCAGGTACATGACAACTACATTTACATCAGGTAGATGACAACTACATTTACATCAGGTAGATGACAACTACATTTACATCAGGTAGATGACAACTACATTTACATCAGGTAGATGACAACTACATTTACATCAGGTAGATGATAACTACATTTACATCAGGTAGATGACAACTTCATTTACATCAGGTAGATGACAACTACATTAACATCAGGTAGATGACAACTACATTAACATCAGGTAGATGGCAATTACATTTACATCAGGTAGATGACAACTACATTTACATCAGGTAGATGACAACTTCATTTACATCAGGTAGATGGTAACTACATTTACATCAGGTAGATGACAACTACATTTACATCAGGTAGATGACAACTACATTTACATCAGGTAGATGACAACAACATTTACATCAGGGAGATGACAACAAAATTTACATCAGGTAGATGACAACTACATTTACATCAGGTAGATGACAACTACATTAACATCAGGTAGATGACAACTACATTAACATCAGGTAGATGACAACAACATTTAACATCAGGTAGATGACAACTACATTTACATCAGGTAGATGACAACTACATTTACATCAGGTAGATGACAACTTCATTTACATCAGGTAGATGACAACTTCATTTACATCAGGTAGATGACAACTTCATTTACATCAGGGAGATGACAACTACATTTACATCAGGTAGATGACAACAACATTTACATCAGGGAGATGACAACTACATTTACACAGGTAGATGACTACTTCATTTACATCAGGTAGATGACAACTTCATTTACATCAGGGAGATGACAACTACATTTACATCAGGTAGATGGCAACTACATTTACATCAGGTAGATGACAACTACATTTACATCAGGTAGATGACAACTACATTAACATCAGGTAGATGACAACTACATTTACATCAGGTAGATGAAAACTAAATTTACATCAGGTAGATGACAACATTTTACATCAGGTAGATGACAACAACATTTTACATCAGGTAGATGAAAACTACATTTACATCAGGTAGATGACAAACCATATTTGTGGATTATGAAAAAGAGAATTTGTTATTTGATAGAGTGTGAAACCTACAATCATGTCGTGTATTTAGAAAATATCATGTTCTTGTGAATGCTTATTGCAGTTATCCTTGGACATGACAGGAAGGGTGTGAGTTCTGCCAAGACACGGATTGACTTGATCGTGGAGTCTGCCCGCCAGAAGCAACCATTCACCCACTTCCTCTCTATCTGCGTCAACGGCATTGAGCACTCTTTTGTTGACTTCAAAACTGATGTCCTCCGCGAGTGTGATGGAGTGAGTGGTCACATTTACATGTTATATTGAGAAGACATCAATACTTGATGTCACATTTACATGTTATATTCAGACACCACAAATACTTGATGTCACATTTACATGTTATGTTGAGACACCACAAAACTTGATGTCACATTTACATGTTATATTCAGACAACACCAATACTTGATGTCACATTTACATGTTATATTCAGACAACATCAATACTTGATGTCACATTTACATGTTATGTTGAGTTGCCACAAATACTTGATGTCACATTTACATGTTATATTCAGACAATACCAATGCTTGATGTCACATTTACATGTTATATTCAGACAACACCAATACTTGATGTCACATTTACATGTTATATTCAGACAACATCAATACTTGATGTCACATTTACATGTTATGTTGAGTTGCCACAAATACTTGATGTCACATTTACATGTTATATTGAGACACCATAAATACTTGATGTCACATATTTACATGTTAGATTGAGACACCAAAAATACTTGATGTCACATTTACATGTTATATTCAGACAACATCAATACTTGATGTCACATCTACATGTTATATTCAGACAACATCAATACTTGATGTCACATTTACATGTTATGTTGAGTTGCCACAAATACTTGATGTCACATTTACATGTCATGTTGAGACACCACAAATACTTGATGTCACATTTACATGTTATATTGAGAAGACACAAATACTTGATGTTACATTTACATGTTATGTTGAGACACCACCAATACTTGATGTCACATTTACATGTTAGATTGGGGGCGGTCGGGTAGCCTAGTGGTTAAAGCGTTCGCTCGTCACGCCGAAGCCCCGGGTTCGATTCCCAACATGGGTAAAATGTGTGAAGCCCATTTCTGGTGACCCCCGCCGTGATATTGCTGGAATATTGCTAAAAGCGGCGTAAAACCATACTCACTCACTCACTCACTACATGTTAGATTGAGACACCACAAATACTTGATGTCACATTTACATGTTATATTGAGACAACACCAATGCTTGATGTCACATTTACATGTTATATTCAGACAACACCAATACTTGATGTCACATTTACATGTTATATTGAGACACCACAAATACTTGATGTCACATTTACATGTTATGTTGAGACACCACAAATACTTGATCATGTTGATGTCACATTTACATGTTATATTTAGACAACATCAATACTTGATGTCACATTTACATGTTATATTGAGACACCACAAATACTTGATGTCACATTTACATGTTATATTGAGACACCACAAATACTTGATGTCACATTTACATGTTAGATTGAGACACCAAAAATACTTGATGTCACATTTACATGTTAGATTGAGACACCAAAAATACTTGATGTCACATTTACATGTTAGATTGAGACACCAAAAATACTTGATGTCACATTTACATGTTATATTCAGACGCCACCATTACTTGATGTCACATTTACATGTTATATTCAGACAACATCAATACTTGATGTCACATTTACATGTTATATTCAGACGCCACAAATACTTGATGTCACATTTACATGTTATATTCAGACAACACCAATACTTGATGTCACACTTACATGTTATATCCAGACACCACCAATACTTGATGTCACATTTACATGTTATATTGAGACGACATCAATACTTGATGTCACATTTACATGTTATATTCAGACGCCACAAATCCTTGATGTCACATTTACATGTTATATTCAGACAACACCAATACTTGATGTCACACTTACATGTTATATCCAGACAACACCAATACTTGATGTCACATTTACATGTTATATCCAGACAACACCAATACTTGAGGCCTGACAGAAAAAGTGCTGTGGTGTCGTTACCCTGGTAACCGGACTAACCCTATTTTAAGATGCTGACCTAGGTTGTTTTTTTAAGTGATTCGTAACATAATAATAAAAAGCAGACTTGAAAATGTGTAAAATTGAACAGTTCTCATGGATGTATCCAGGGTATGAAAAAGATAAGATAAGAAAATATATAAAAGCCTACCAACCTTCCCACCCTATTTTGAATTTAAACGTGATCAATTTCTTAGGCCAAATGAGACTGAATAACTGAATTCATATGAGCCAAAATGTTGATCAGTATTTTTTTGGTGGCGATTTGATATCCAGATAGTAAAAGCCATATGTGAAAGAACACAGAATAAAGTCTGTGTTGTGTATCATTGATTTATAATGACAGTGATATGATGAATCGTGTTAGTATCTTGCTGTAGGAGGACCAAGATAGTAGTGTAACACCCTTCTGACTCTGCAGGATCGAGGCCTGGATGCCAGCCTCTTCCAGAATCCAAAGAAGCTTCACTTGACCCTGGGGACACTGGCTCTTCTCAACGATGCCGAGATTAGGATGGCTACAGAGCTGCTGCAACAGTGCAAGGAGGACCTCGTCCAGTGAGTTGATGCTTCTGGTCTCGACCCAGGTGCCAGATAATCTCTTCAGCCATTCAGTGATGATGATGATGATGATGATGATGATGATGATGATGATGATGATTTATTACTTGCCCGTGAAGAGATCACCTGTTTGATAAACATACAGCTGTATTACACATTGTGCAATACCAAAGCGTATGCTAATGTACTGCGGGACCAAGTTACACTAACAAACATTGAAAGCTCTCAGCATCTCTTCGCTCATTCAATGGCATTGCATGAGGAGATGATAGATCACTGAGAGGAGCTTATGCACACTCAATAACCCCAGCAACCCTGTTGCTAAGCTGATGTCACATGGCATTGTTTAGCCGGTGGATCTTGCAACAAAATTCCACATATCACGTCATAGATGTGTTTCGTTTCACCTCACCTCACCTCACCTCACCTCACCTCAAATATTTGAAAAATATTATCAGCTTTTTTGACAAATGTTATCCATTTAGTGTTGTCATAAGTGCCCAACTGTTGAAAGTCTTGTCCTCATTGAATACATCTGATAACTTTCACTACCATCTATGAACGTTTTGCTCATTTCTTAAAGAAGGCGATCCTGTAGGTGAAGAAAGCCCTGGTCATACTTGTCCTTTCAGAAAACCTAACATTTCTCTCCACTCACTTCAGGCCAATACTGAAGGGACAGAAGTTAATGGCTCGGGTTCAGGATCTGGAATACATGAATGACGATCCCAACGCTGTCGATGTCCTGTATGCTCAGATACAGGTGACTGATGGCTCCGATGTGTAAGTCATATCTTCGTTAGTCGTTAGTAAAATATTTTTTTTTATTCTTATAATAGTCAATTAGTTGGAAAAGTACGACAGATTTGTGACAAGAAAAGTAACTTTTTTGTAGAATTCTTCTGGAAACATCCCCTTATTCGTACGTGACCAAGTTGTTAATCCATGCTGAATTTTTTCGGAGAGTGTATAGGTAAATATGCAAAGGTGGTGAACCCCATATTTTTCACAGATTTGGTCTTGCTTATATTTCTTGTGGAATACAGAAAGTAGACCATTTTTTCAAATTTGAACTGTATTTTATCCTGTGATCAATACTAACAACTAGTTATCAGTAAAATGAACATGCTGAACAACTTTCATGACTGTATTGGGGGTATGGGTGGCCCAGTCGTCTAAGGCGCAGCGATTCTCTGCACAGAGTTGCGTCCCTTGGGCACGCCAGAAACCTGTGATTGTGGGTTCGAATCCCGGTTCGCCCTGATTATGTTTCTAGGTTTGTCAGCCCCATACCGTGCTCGTGGGTTTCACCGAAGTGATAAACGTCTGAGACCTGCATCACTTCAGGCTTTCCTCCCACATTATGCTGACATGCCACGATATAACTAGAATAATGTTAAAAGCGGTGTTAAACCCAACTCACTCACTCATGACTGTATTTCATTTGTTCGGCACAAATTAAGATTTGTCTTTTCAGTTTGTTCAAAATGTCCCTTATCATACCTTTGAGTTTACAAAGTGGGCTTGGAATTACAAATTTCCTCGAGCCTCGTCTCCCTTTGATTGGTGTGATGTATCCCCCAATGGGTATTAATGGTACTTGGATGAGTATCATGTAATGGTTGGCCCCAATCAGTATCAAAATAAATGACTGTCTGAAGATAAGTGATCACTCATCAATCACTGGTTGGGTTCAAAATCCATATTGACCTGTGTCCCTCATATACAGTAAACTACGGTTATAACGAACTCAAAGGGACCACTAATTTTAATTTGTTATATCTGTTGTTTGGTATATGCATTTTATATAGACATCTTTTATCACGTCATGTGACCCGGTATTCAAACAGGGACAACTGACTCTGCAACCTGCATTTGGGGTAGAAAACACCATAGAAACTGACTAAGAGAGGGTATTCAAGTTTCAGATACAACAGAACTGAAAATTTGGTGCTTTTCCATATATGACCATGACATACCTTTTATGTTACAATGAGTGGTATGCCGCATAATAGAGATGTGCAGTTAGGTTCCAAAGTCAGTTTATGGTGGTTAAATCTACAGTTAACCCAGATCTAAACTGAAACCTGTTTATCTCTGATCTTGCTCTCAGTCTTCAGATTCTGTGCGACCGACTGGTGGAAAAGTTCAGTGCAGCTGGCTTGATGCCTCGACAGTTTGAGAGAGTCAAGCTCCATGTGACGGTCATGAACACGCTGTTCCGGAAAGACCCGAGTGGGACCGCCAAGGCCGAAGTGATGGAGTCCGGGAGGAATGTCAGGGAGCGGGAATCGTTTGATGCTGCAGGGGTTTTAAGGGTGAGATATTCTTTGCCAGCTATAGATACGTAAATTGCCATACATCATAGTACAAGAAAATCCATTTCACCTGACCTAGCCACGGACAGAAGCCCGTCTGGATTCTGGGTTAGAATAGTTCCCAGGAACCGATGCTTGTCCTGTGAGACGACTAAACCAATCAGGTGGTCAGCCTCGGTGACTTTCACATCATAGTTCTGTTTGTCCAGGAACCGATGCTTGTCCTGTGAGACGACTAAGCCAATCAGGTGGTCAGGCTCAGTGACTTTCACATCATAGTTTTGTTTGTCCAGGAACCGATGCTTGTCCTGTGAGACGACTAAGCCAATCAGGTGGTGAGGCTCAGTGACTTTCACATCATAGTTCTGTTTGTCCAGGAATCGATGCTTGTCCTGTGAGACGACTAAGCCAATCAGGTGGTCAGCCTCGGTGACTTTCACATCATAGTTCTGTTTGTCCAGGAATCGATGCTTGTCCTGTGAGACGACTAAACCAATCAGGTGGTCAGCCTCGGTGACTTTCACATCATAGTTCTGTTTGTCCAGGAACCGATGCTTGTCCTGTGAGACGACTAAACCAATCAGGTGGTCAGGCTCAGTGACTTTCACATCATAGTTTTGTTTGTCCAGGAACCGATGCTTGTCCTGTGAGACGACTAAGCCAATCAGGTGGTCAGGTTCGGTGACTTTCACATCATAGTTCTGTTTGTTTCTCTGTGTTGTTTAACACTGCACTCAGCAATATTCCAGTATAACACTGGACGTTGCTCATAATACCATACCTAATTATTAACATGCTGCCATCATACAGCTGGAATAATGTAGAGTGCGATGTGAACAAACGCTGAAAGCCGTATCCTTAGAGATGCATCAGGCTCCACAACTTGCGGTTGCCTGACAACGTTACCCAACATTGTGGCAGTTTATATAGCCAAGTCTTGATTATTAAAAAGCATTTGTAATAAAGCATAACTATTGCTGTCTGTTTGAAAATCTACATTCACTGATGTCAATTTGCACCTGATCTCAATGCCAAGAGAATTTTAACTGAATCTACTGCTAAAATATGGTAATTGTTAACTGTACTGTTTTGCGATTTATCTCATGTTGTTTAATTCTTTTTGTATCTTCAGAAATTTGGAAAGTATGACTTTGGTCCTCAGGAAATTGCCACCATTCATCTTTCACAGCGCTACTCAACTGGTCGAGACGGCTACTACGACTCTGTGGGGTCTATCTCTTTACTCTAGTGTAAAGTGAGACTACTCCATAGTCTGAAGACCCGTGAAGATCCGGGGTAGAATGGGTCTTCAGCAACCCATGCTTGCCATGAAAGTCGACTATGCTTGTCGTAAAAGGCGACAAACGGTATCGGATGGTCAGGCTTGCTGATTTGGTTGATACATGTCATCCATCCCAATTGCATGGATAGATGCTCATGATATTAATCACTGGATTGTCTGGTCAAGACTCGATTATTTACAGACCGCCGTCATATAGCTGGAATATTGCTGAGTGCGGCGTTAAACAACAAACCAACCATAGTCTGAACAGCTTGGGGTCCATGATAGTGACTCAATTAAATGCAACAGCAATTATATAAAATATGAATTACTTTTAACAACCTGATGAGCACACATCCTTGGGTATAAGGTAGTGAACCTTTCCAAAATGCAGGTCCAATATCCAGGGAGAGGTGAATGCAGCATTTCTACTGTCCATATTGTGCATATGTACATAAGTTTGTAAATAAAAGTACCAACACTTGTTTGAAGTCTGATTTATTGTGAGAAGCGAAGATAGCAGGAGGCAGAGAAAGTGATTTGACAGTACGACAGCAGATGGTTTTACGCCGCTTTTAGTAATATTCCAGCAATATCACGGCAGGGGACTTCACACATTGTACCCATGTCGGGAATCAAACCCGGGTCTTTGGCATGACGAGCGATCGCTTTAACCACTGGGCTACCCGACCACCCCTCGACAGCAGATGTGTACAAGTGAATGAACAGTGCTACGACTGTTTAAGTAGGTGTTCAAATATTCAAGTTGAAATTGTCATTGAGATAAGATGGTAGATATAACTGAGTGTGGGTACGAGGAATAAATAGGTTTCACGCAATGTACCCCCCATCAGAATTGAACCCAGTGCCCTATAACAAATTGTTCTTAGTGCTAAGACTGTTGTAAGTTAGTGTGAACGTATTTGACTTGAAGTTGTCATTGAGACCTTGTGCATACCTAGTAAGAAATGCTTGAACACTGAGGACATCCTACAGACCCAAACATACCATACTTCCTGTACAAAGTGCCACCTCTGTTCCAGCAACAAATACAATGTGAAGTATTTCTCAAGCCTTCCTGTAATTATATGTGGGAATTTTCTTGTTTGAAACAAGCTTAGTGAAGGTGGTTGGACAATGAGAGAGGTAGTCTATGTAAGACCCTTGTATATTTAATTTTACAGTAAAATATACATGCGAATGATTCAAACAATTTTTTGTGGATCCCATGGGACAAGCAGAGCCAATTATGTGTTTCCATTTGTAACTTGTATACAGAAATATTGTGATTGCGGTAAAACACTGTATGGGTTTGGTGGCCTAACAAGAAAGCTGAATACAGGTATGACATCTCAGTGTCGCAATGAAAAAGAGAGAGAGAGAGAATGGTTTATTGAATGTAATAAAGGTAGTACATCTCAAATGTCTATAACAGATTGGGGAGAAGCTTGGTCTAACAGTTGACTAAATGTCATTTAGGTATCACTCGGAGGAAACATGGTATGGTTGTCTTTGATTCTTGAAGAATGGTGGCAGCATTTAAATTTCAACAACCTGGTAGCACATGTTACCAAGACAGTTTTTAAGTAGACTGACATTATGAACATATGCTTCTTGTTTACAGATGAGTTGTGAAGTCAGTGAATGAACTATTTACAAATACCATATAAAAGTAAACCTTCATCTGGATATTGCCCCCTAATTTTCCACCAATAAGTCCTTGTGTTTTCATTGAACCATCATCCTAGATGTTTCCACCAATCAGCATTGGCGTTTCATTGTGACAGTCATCCTTTGTGTTTCCACCAGTCAGCATTGCTGTTTGATTGAACCATCATCCTAGATGTTTCCACCAATCAGCATCGGCGTTTCATTGTGACATTCATCCTTGGTGTTTCCACCAGTCAGCATTGCTGTTTGATTGAACCATCATCCTAGATGTTTCCACCAATTAGCATCGGCGTTTCATGTGACAGTTATCCTTGGTGTTTCCACCAGTCAGCATTGCTGTTTCATTGAACCATCATCCTAGATGTTTCCACCAATCAGCATTGGCGTTTCATTGTGACAGTCATCCTTGGTGTTTCCACCAGTCAGCATTGCTGTTTGATTGAACCATCATCCTAAATGTTTCCACCAATTAGCATCGGCGTTTCATGTGACAGTTATCCTTGGTGTTTCTACCAGTCAGCATTGCTGTTTCATTGAACCATCATCCTAGATGTTTCCACCAATCAGCATTGGCGTTTCATGTGACAGTCATCCTTGGTGTTTCCTCCAGTCAGCATTGGTGATTCAAAGTGACAGTCATCCTTGGTGTTTCTACCAATCAGCATAGCTGTTTCATTAAACCATCATCCTAGATGTTTCCACCAATCAGCATTCGATTGGTCCGGGGGTAGAATAGGTCTTCAGCAACCAGTGCTTGCCGTAAAAGGCGAGAAACGTTATCAGGTGGTTAAACAAACCAGCCAACCATATTCTGAACAGCTTGGGGTCCATGATAGTGACTCAATTTCATGCAACAGCAAATATATAAAATATGAATTACTTTTAACAAGGTGATGAGCCCTCATCCTTGGGTATAAGGTAGTGAACCTTTCCAAAATGCAGGTCCAATATCCAGGGAGAGGTAAACGCAGCATTTCTACTGTCCATATTGTGCATATGTACATAAGTTTGTAAATAAAAGTACCAACACTTGTTTGAAGTCTGATTTATTGTGAGGTGCGAAGACAGCAGGAGGCAGAGAAAGTGAGTTGACAGTACGACAGCAGATGTGTGTGAGTGAGTGAGTATGGGTTTGCGCCGCTTTTAGCAATATTCCAGCAATATCACGGCAGGGGACTTCACACATTGTACCCATGTCGGGAATCGAACCCGGGTCTTTGGCATGATGAGCGAACGCTTTAACCACTAGGCTACCCGACCGCCCCTCGACAGCAGATGTGTACAAGTGAATGAACAGTGCTACGACTGTTTAAGTAGGTGTTCAAATATTCAAGTTGAAATTGTCATTGAGATAAGATGGTAGATATAACAGTGTGGGTACGAGGAATAAATAGGTTTCATGCAATGTACCCCCATCAGAATTGAACCCAGTGCCCTATAACAAATCGTTCTTAGTGCTAGGACTGTTGTAAGTTAGTGTGAACGTATTTGACTTGAAGTTGTCATTGAGACCTTGTGCATACCTAGTAAGAAATGCTTGAACACTGAAGCCATCCTGCAGACCCAAACATACCATATTTCCTGTACAAAGTGCCACCTCTGTTCCAGCCACAAATACAATGTGAAGTATTTCTCAAGCCTTCCTGTAATTATATGTGGGAATTTTCTTGTTTGAAACAAGCTTAGTGAAGTTGGTTGGACAATGAGAGAGGTAGTCTATGTAAGACCCTTGTATATTTAATTTTACAGTAAAATGTACATGCGAATGATTCAAACAATTTTTTGTGGATCCCATGGGACAAGCAGAGCCAATCATGTGTTTCCATTTGTAACTTGTATACAGAAATATTGTGATTGCGGTAAAACACTGTATGGGTTTGGTGGCCTAACAAGAAAGCTGAATACAGGTACGACATCTCAGTGTCGCAATGAAAAAGAGAGAGAGAGAGAGAGAATGGTTTATTGAATGTAATAAAGGTAGTACATCTCAAATATCTATAACAGATTGGGGAGAAGCTTGGTCTAACAGTTGACTAAATGTCATTTAGGTATCACTCGGAGGAAACATGGTATGGTTGTCTTTGATTCTTGAAGAGTGAGTGAGGGAGTGAGTTGGGTTTAACGCCGCTTTTAACATTATTCCAGTTATATCACGGCGTGTCAGCTTAATGTGGGAGGAAAGCCCGAAGTGATGCAGGTCTCAGACGTTTACCACTTCGGTGAAACCCACGAGCACGGGTATGGTGCTGACAAACCCAGAAACATAATCGGGGTGAACCGGTATTCGAACCCACAATCATAGGTTTCTGGCGTGTCCAGGGGATGCCACTCTGCTCAGCGAAGCGCTGCGCCTTAGACGACTGGGCCACCCGTGCCCCCCTGATTCTTGAAGAATGGTCGCAGCATTTAAATTTCAACAACCCGGTAGCACTTGTTCACAAGACAGTTTTTAAGTGGACTGACGTTATGAACATATGCTTCTTGTTTACAGATGAGTTGTGAAGTCAGTGAATGAACTATTTACAAATACCAAATAAAAGTAAACCGTCATCTGGATATTGTCCCCTAATTTTCCATCAATAAGTCCTTGTGTTTTCATTGTAAACATCCATCTTATACTTTTCCACCAATTAGCATCGGCGTTTCATTGTGACAGTAATCCTTGGTGTTTCCACCAGTCAGCATTGCTGATTCATTGAACCATTATCCTAGATGTTTCCACCAATCAGCATTGGTGTTTCATTGTAACAGTCATCCTTGGTGTTTCCACCAATCAGCATTGGTGATTCAAAGTGACAGTCATCCTTGGTGTTTCTACCAAATCAGCATTGGTGATTCAAAGTGACAGTCATCCTTGGTGTTTCTACCAAATCAGCATAGCTGTTTCATTAAACCATCATCCTAGATGCTTCCACCAATCAGCATTCGATTGGTCCGGGGGTAGAATAGGTCTTCAGGAACCCATGCTTGCCGTAAAAGGCGACAAACGTTATCAGGTGGTCAGGCTTGCTGACTTGGTTGATGCATGTCATTGATCCCAATTGCGTGGATAGATGCTCATGATATTAATCACTGGATTGTCTGTACCAGATTCGATTATTTACAGACCGCCACCATATAGCTGGAATATTGCTGAGTGCGGCATTAAACAAACCAACCAACCATAGTCTGAACAGCTTGGGGTCCATGATAGTGACTCAATTAAATGCAACAGCAAATGGTTTTACGCCACTGTTAGCAATATTCCAGCAATATCACGGCAGGGGACTTTACACATTGTACCCATGTCGGGAATTGACCCCGGGTCTTCGGCATGACGAGCGAACGCTTTAACCACTAGGCTACCCGACCGCCCCTCGACAGCAGATTTGTACAAGTGAATGAACAGTGCTACGACTGTTTAAGTAGGTGTTCAAATATTCAAGTTGAAATTGAAATTGAATTAAAGGGGTGGTGGGCTAGCCTAGTGGTTAAAGTGTTCGCTCGTCACGCCGAATACCTGGGTTTGATTCCCGACATGGGTACAATGTGTGAAGCCCATTTCTGGTGTCCCCAAAAGTGATATTGCTGGAAGATTGCTAAAAAAGCGGCGTAAAACCATACTCACTCACTCATTGAGATAAAATGGTAGATACAAATGAGTACGAGGAATAAATAGGTTTCACGCAATGTACCCCATCAGAATTGAACCCAGTGCCCTATAACAAATTGTTCTTAGTGATTAGACTGTTGTAAGTTAGTGTAACGTATTTGTCTTGAAGTTGTCATTGAGACCTTGTGCATACCTAGTAAGAAATGCTTGAACACTGAAGCCATCCTACAGACCCAAACATACCATACTTCCTGTACAAAGTGCCACCTCTGTTCCAGCCACAAATACAATGTGAAGTATTTCTCAAGCCTTCCTGTAATTATATGTGGGAATTTTCTTGTTTGAAACAAGCTTAGTGAAGTTGGTTGGACAATGAGAGAGGTAGTCTATGTAAGACCCTTGTATATTTAATTTTACAGTAAAATGTACATGCGAATGATTCAAACAATTTTTTGTGGATCCCATGGGACAAGCAGAGCCAATCATGTGTTTCCATTTGTAACTTGAATACAGAATATTTAAATATTGTGATAGCGGTAAAACCTTGTATGGGTTTGGTGGCCTAACAAGAAAGCTGAATACAGGTATGACATCTCAGTCTCGCTATCAGATGGGGAAAGGGTGGGGCGGGACGGAGAGAGAGAGAGAGAGAGAGAGAGAGAGAGAGAGGAGAAACGGGGGAAGAAGGGAGGGAGAGAGAGAGAGAGAGAGAAAAGAAAAAGCTTGGTCTAATGGTATATTGAATGTAATAAAGGTAGTACATCACAAATGTCTATAACAGATTGGGGAGGGGGGAGAAGCTTGGTCTAACAGTTGACTAAATTTCATTTAGGTATCACTCTGGAGGAAGCATGGTAGGAGTGGATCACAGTTTGTACTGAAGCTGTTCTGCTACATCTCAATGTCTATTACAAATTCCTTGATAACCCTATTTACATCCTACATGGGATTTACCAATTGTCAGACGGTTGACTTTCCTTCCATGACAGAAACATTTTAGCTTGAACAACGTACTGTTAGTCTTTGATTCTTGAAGAATGGTGGCAGCATTTAAATTTCAACAACCTGGTAGCACATGTCACCAAGACAGTTTTTAAGTAGACTGACGTTATGAACATATGCTTCTTGTTTACAGATGAGTTGTGAAGTCAGTGAATGAACTATTTACAAATACCAAATAAAAGTAAATCTTCATCTGGATATTGTCCCCTAATACTCCACAAATAAGTCCTTGTGTTTTCATTGTAAACATACATCTTATACTTTTCCATCGGCGTTTCATTGTGACAGTCATCCTTGGTGTTTCTTCCAATCAGCATAGCTGTTTCATTGAACTAGCATCCTAGATGCTTCCACCAATCAGCATTGGTGTTTCATTGTAACAGTCTTCCTAGATATTTCCACCAATCAGCATTGGTGTTTCATTGTAACAGTCCTAGATATTTCCACCAATCAGCATTGGTGTTTCATTGTAACAGTCATCCTTGGTGTTTCCACCAATCAGCATAGCTGTTTCATTAAACTATCATCCTAGATGTTTCCACCAATCAGCATTGGTGATTCAAAGTGACAGTCATCCTTAGTGTTTCAAACCAGTCAGCATTGCTGTTTCATTAAACAGTCTTCCTAGATATTTCCACCAATCAGCACTGGTGTTTCATTGTAACGGTCCTAGATATTTCCACCAATCAGCACTGGTGTTTCATTGTAACAGTCCTAGGTATTTCCACCAGTCAGCACTGGTGTATGTGCAGACATCAGGTCTCAGGCATTGATCTCCTGCAGTGGTATAGAGAGCTTCTTGGGGTTGATGGTGACCGACTTTGTGCAGTTATCTGTCTTATAGATCCCCACCAATCGATCAGCTAACTCGAACATGTTGTTTCTCAGCGATATGATAATGAATTGTGCATTCTTCGTTCTCTCCTAAAAGAAAAGAATCAGTTGTAAGAAATAGTGTATAGTGTATAAATAATCATGCTCAAATGTCTCATACATTTGATTGAAAAGAAACAAGGTTGTGAAATTATTCCTTAAAAATAGTCAAGGAGGGTCTTTGAGTTAGGTTTAACACCTCGTTGAATTGTATCGCTGATATGTTACAATATCAATCTTTTCATGCGTTAGCTGATAGCCCCGTGAAGATTCGGGTTAGAATTTGTCTTCACAACCCATGCTTGTTGTAAGAGGCAACTAACAGGATCGGGTGCTCAGGCTTGCTGACACGGTTGATGTATGTCATCTTTCACCAATGATTGATCCCAGCGTAGATCGATGCTCATGATGTCCATCACCAGATTGACTGGTCCAGACAATTATTTACTGTCGCAAGCTGGAATATTGCTGAGTGTGATGATAAGTAACAATATTACTGTGTGTGATGTTAAACACCAAACAAACAAACATTAGCTGATGACAGAAATATCCAAAATTACAAATATGTGTAGTTGCCAGCAATATTCCAGTGGCCTGTGAATAATCAAGTCAATCCAGTGATGAGCAATGATCCATGTCGTCACAGTATGATGACACGTAACCAACAAAGTCACCGAGTCTGACCACGTGCTCCATTAAGTCACCGAGTCTGACCATGTGATCCATTTAGTCACCGAGTCTGACCACATGATCCACTAAGTCACCGAGTCTGACCACGTGATCCACTAAGTCACCGAGTCTGACCACGTGGTCAATTAAGTCACCGAGTCTGACCACGTGATTCATTAAGTCACCGGGTCTGAACACGTGATCCATTAAGTCACCGAGTCTGACCACGTGATCCATTAAGTCACCGAGTCTGACCATATGATCCACTAAGTCTAGGTCTGACAATGTGATACATTAAGTCACCGAGTCTGACCACGTGATCCATTAAGTCACCGGGTCTGACAATGTGATCCATTAAGTCACCGATTCTGACCACGTGATCCATTAAGTCACCGAGTCTGACCATGTGATCCATTAAGTCACCGAGTCTGACCACGTGATCCATTAAGTCACCGAGACTGACCACATGATCCATTAAGTCACCGAGTCTGACCATGTGATCCACTAAGTCACCGAGTCTGACCATGTGATCCACTAAGTCACCGGGTCTGACCATGTGTTCAATTAAGTCACCGAGACTGACCACGTGATTCATTAAGTCACCGAGACTGACCACGTGATTCATTAAGTCACCGAGACTGACCACGTGATCCATTAAGTCACCGAGACTGACCACGTGATCCATTAAGTCACCGAGTCTGACCATGTGATCCACTAAGTCACAGAGTCTGACCACGTGATCCACTAAGTCACCGAGTCTGACCATGTGATCTATTAAGTCACTGAGTCTGACCCCGTGATCTGAGTCTGACCACGTGATCCATTAAGTCACTGAGTCTGACCATGTGATCCATTAAGTCACTGAGTCTGACCACGTGATCTGAGTCTGACCACGTGATCCATTAAGTCACCAAGTCTGACCACGTGTTCCATTAAGTTGCCTCTTACATTAATCCTGATAGGGAGACAAAGCCAGGTATAGTATGACATACCTTGATGTAGTCTGACCACGTGATCCACTAAGTCACCAAGTCTGACCACGTGTTCCATTAAGTTGCCTCTTACATTAATCCTGATAGGGAGACCAAAGCCAGGCATAGTATGACGTACCTTGATGTAGTTGGCAACAATGGAGACATTCTTGAAATCGAGAGCAGCATCAATCTCGTCCATGACGTACAGGGGGGTGGGCTTGTAATGGTGCAGGGCAAACACCAGAGCTAGAGAACTGAGAGTCTTCTCCCCTCCAGACAGATTGGAGATGTTCTTCCATGACTTCTTGGGCGGCCGCACACTGCAACATGAAAGCATTTTAATGTGAGCAATCGGTGAGCTTTATGTCGCTCCAAGCAGACCCCTTCCACATGATCCACACCCATCATTAAGATCAGACCTTTTTCTGTGATGCAATACCTCTCTGCATGACGACCTCACAAGCCCTCCATGGGAGGTCAGGTGAGCAAAGCATTCAGACCAGCATATCTCATTTCTGTATCTTAAAAACAAACTTAAACAGCCACTTCCGAATGTAAATAGTGAAGGCTGCACTTTTGTATTGTTCTGGTTAGATAACACACCCCGCTCATGGTAAGTGAAATGGCATGTAATCCCAAGAGAGAGTACCATCAAGATTTGGCGTTCAAAGATTGTTCAAGGTTCGCCGGATGTGACTTCCTATGGACATGTTGTCAAATCTTCACTCAGAGAGGTAATGTGTTTGAGTAACCAGTCTGGGTCAGACAATCAAGTGATTGTTGTTGTTGTTTGTTTGTTGTTTAACGCCACACTCAGCAATATTCCAGCTATATGACGGCGGTCTGTAAATTATCGAGTCTGGACAAGAAAATCAAGTGATTGACATCATGAGCATCAATCCACGCAATTGGGATCGATGACATGTATTAACCAAGTCAGCGAGCCTGACCACCTGATCCCGTTAGATGCCTCTTACGACAAGCATAGTCGCCTGTTACAGCAATCCAGTGATTGATATCATCGGTATCTATCCATGCAGTTGGGATATGAGTTGCTGAAGACCATTTCTACCCCTGATCTTTACGTGTCACCATCATAAGCAAGAAACATTGTTATGTCAATCAACTCAGTAGACTGATTAAATGGAACTTTAAGTTGGCCCCCAAGCAAACACACAAGCACCTGGCCCCAAAGCAAACACACAAGCACCTGGCCCACAAGCAAACACACAAGCACCTGGAGCACAAACAAACACACAAGAACCTGGCCCCCATGCAAAGACACAAGCACCTGGCCCCCAAGCAAACACACAAGCACCTGGCCCACAAGCAAACACACAAGCACCTGGCCCACAAGCAAACACACAAGCACCTGGCCAACAAGCAAACACACAAGCACCTGGAGCACAAACAAACACACAAGGACCTGGCCCCCAAACAAACACACAAGCACCTGGCCCCCATGCAAAGACACAAGCACCTGGCCCACAAGCAAACACACAAGCACCTGGCCCACAAGCAAACACACAAGCACCTGGCCCAAGCAAACACACAAGCACCTGGCCCAAGCAAACACACAAGCACCTGGCCCACAAACAAACACACAAGCACCTGGCCCACAAGCAAACACACAAGCACCTGGAGCACAAACAAACACACAAGGACCTGGCCCCCAAACAAACACACAATCACCTGGCCCCCATGCAAAGACACAAGCACCTGGCCCACAAGCAAACACACAAGCACCTGGCCCACAAGCAAACACACAAGCACCTGGCCCAAGCAAACACACAAGCACCTGGCCCAAGCAAACACACAAGCACCTGGCCCACAAACAAACACACAAGCACCTGGCCCACAAACAAACACACAAGCACCTGGCCCACAAGCAAACACACAAGCACCTGGCCCACAAGCAAACACACAAGCACCTGGCCCACATGTAAACACACAAGGACCTGGCCCCCAAACAAACACACAAGCACCTGGAGCACAAACAAACACACAAGCACCTGGCCCCCATGCAAACACACAAGCACCTGGCCCAAGCAAACACACAAGCACCTGGCCCACAAGCAAACACACAAGCACCTGGCCCACAAGCAAACACACAAGCACCTGGAGCACAAACAAACACACAAGCACCTGGCCCCCATGCAAAGACACAAGCACCTGGCCCACAAACAAACACACAAGCACCTGGCCCACAAGCAAACACACAAGCACCTGGCCCACAAGCAAACACACAAGCACCTGGCCCACAAGTAAACACACAAGGACCTGGCCCCCAAACAAACACACAAGCACCTGGAGCACAAACAAACACACAAGCACCTGGCCCCCATGCAAACACACAAGCACCTGGCCCAAGCAAACACACAAGCACCTGGCCCACAAGCAAACACACAAGCACCTGGCCCACAAGCAAACACACAAGCACCTGGAGCACAAACAAACACACAAGCACCTGGCCCCCATGCAAAGACACAAGCACCTGGCCCAAGCAAACACAAGCATCTGGCCCACAAGCAAACACACAAGCACCTGTTCCCCAAGCAAACACACAGGCACCTGGGGCCTCTTGCACAAAGCAATCTTAGCGCTAAAACTAGCGTAAGCCTATGTTAAAGTATGGGATTTACGATCATCTTAGCGCCAAGATCGCTTTGTGCAAGTGGGCCCTGGTCCCAAAGCAAACACAAGCATCTGGCCCCCAAGCAAACACAAGCATCTGGCCCCCAAGCAAACACAAGCACCTGGCCCCCAAGCAAACAAACAAGCACCTGGCCCCCAAGCAAGCACACAAGCACCTGGCCCCCAAGCAAACACAAGCATCTGGCCCCCAAGCAAACACAAGCACCTGGCCCCCAAGCAAACAAACAAGCACCTGGCCCCCAAGCAAGCACACAAGCACCTGGCCACCAAACAAGCAAACCTTCCACCCCTGCTGCTGTTACTGACTGCAGATTATTCAAAGCAGCATTATTTTACACAGGCTTGTTCAACAGCATTACTAATTTTCAAAACTTGGAAACGATGTGCTTGGTTTCAGAAGTATCTGGTAAGGGAACCCATGCTGACCGAATTGTTATGTGTAACACTAGTTACATCTGTCCTCACCTGAACACAATTCCTTCCGAGAATGGGTCGAGTGAGTCGACCAGCTCCAGCTCTGCATCTCCCCCGAGAGTGATCATCTGGTACATCTCCTTCAGCTTGTTGGTGATGGCGCTGAATCCTGTCATGAACTCATCCAATCGCTGCTTGCGGAGATCCTCGTGGTACTTCCGCTGCTGGTCTCGTACCTCGGTGATGGAGTCGAGTTCCGACACTCTCTGGAGGTACAGCTCCTCCTGCAAGTGAAGAGTGAATGTGAGGAATGGACCCCACAGAGCACGTGGTTTTCCCTACAGACCAAGTGTGACGTGAATGCAAGCGAAATGGGGACTAGTTGTAATAATTCAGGCAGCAATGCTTTTTCTCATCCCAGGTTGGCCATAAACTCCATATGTCCAGAAAAATGTGTTGATTTATAATTGTGAGCAAGGGACACTCGCATTCATTGCATCGATTTCATGATTTACATGAATTATGATTCATCAGATTAGAAAAACCTCACCTTCTTCCTGTACTCAGCAATGGCAGCCATGTTGGGCTTCATCTGTGCGAGCTTCTCCTCCAGGACCGTGATCTCATACTGGACCTCCTCCTTGTTGATGCCGGTGAGCTGCTCCGTCGCTACGGTCACCATCTCCTCATTCTCAACACCATCCACCTTGTTCAGGCTAAGATGACCAAGCTACAACACAGAGCAAATGGGTTGACTTCACTAAGAGACTCCTCCATTAAACGGGTTGACTTCACTAAGAGTCTCCTCCATTAAATGGGTCGACTTCACTAAGAGACTCCACCTGTAAACAGGTTGATTCACTAAGAGTCTCCACCAGCAAACAGGTTAACTACAGTAAGTCTCTTCCAGTAAACGGACTGACTACAGTAACAGTCTCTTCCAGTAAACAGGTTCACTACAGTAACAGTCTCTTCAAGTAAACAGGCTGACTACAGTAAGTCTCTTCCAGAAAACAGGTTGACTACAGTAACAGTCTCTTCAAGTAAACAGGTTGACTACATTAACAGTCTCTTCCAGTAAATAGGCTGACTACACTAACAGTCTCTTCCAGTAAACGGACTGACTACACTTACAGTCTCTTCCAGTAAACAGGTTGACTACACTAACAGTCTCTTCCAGTAAATAGGCTGACTACACTAACAGTCTCTTCCAGTAAACAGGCTGACTACAGTAACTGTCTCCTTCACTATACCACCTTTGCAATGCTCACCTCACTTTACCGTCTCTGCAATGCTCACCTCACTATACCGTCTCTGCAATGTCCACCTCACTATACCGTCTCTGCAATGTCCACCTCACTATACCGTCTCTGCAATGTCCACCTCACTATACCGTCTCTGCAATGCTCACCTCACTATACCGTCTCTGCAATGTCCAACTCACTATACCGTCTCTGCAATGTCCACCTCACTATACCGTCTCTGCAATGTCCACCTCACTATACCGTCTCTGCAATGTCCACCTCACTATACCGTCTCTGCAATGTCCACCTCACTATACCGTCTCTGCAATGTCCACCTCACTATACCGTCTCTGCAATGTCCACCTCACTATACCGTCTCTGCAATGTCCACCTCACTATACCGTCTCTGCAATGCTCACCTCACTATACCGTCTCTGCAATGTCCACCTCACTATACCGTCTCTGCAATGTCCACCTCACTATACCGTCTCTGCAATGTCCACCTCACTATTCTGTCTCTGCAATGTCCACCTCACTATACCGTCTCTGCAATGCTCACCTCACTATTCCGTCTCTGCAATGTCCACCTCACTATACCGTCTCTGCAAATGTCCACCTCACTATACCGTCTCTGCAATGTCCACCTCACTATACCGTCTCTGCAATGTCCACCTCACTATACCGTCTCTGCAATGTCCACCTCACTTTTCCGTCTCTGCAATGTCCACCTCACTATACCGTCTCTGCAATGTCCACCTCACTATACCGTCTCTGCAATGTCCACCTCACTATACCGTCTCTGCAATGTCCACCTCACTATACTGTCTCTGCAATGTCCACCTCACTATACCGTCTCTGCAACGCTCACCTCTTTCTTCCAGTGCTTGATCTTGGCTTGGTTAGTCTTGATGATGCCATCGTACTTCTCCAGCTCATGGCGCACCTCAATGGTCTCCTTCTGGAGTGTGTTCTCCTCTTCCTCCAACTTGCCCAGCTCTGTCTTGATCTCATTCAGGGAGCTCTCCACATCCCCCATCTTCTCCTAGAATAATAATGCCAAGACATCAGATTTTGAGTGAGTGAGTGAGTGAGTGAGTGAGTGAGTTTGATTTTACGCCGCTTTTAGCAATATCACGGCGGGGGACACTAGAAATGGGCTTCACACATTGTACCCATGTCGGGAATCGAACCCGGGTCTTCGGCATGACAAGCGAACGCTTTAACCACTAGGCTACCCGACCGCCCCCATCAGATTTTGAAAAAATGTGAATACTCACATATCAAGTGAAAGGTATCAGGCACATAGAGGCAGGCTGATATATCTTTGCAATTAAAGGTGATATGTTGGTTTTAGTGTTTGGTAACAACCAACCTGAAACTGTTGGCAGACCACCATGACGGTGTCACAACAACCTACCTGAGACTGTTGGCAGACCACCATGAACTGTCACAACAACCTACCTGAGACTGTTGGCAGACCACCATGAACTGTCACAACAACCTACCTGAGACTGTTGGCAGACCACCATGACAGTGTCACAACAACCTACCTGAGACTGTTGGCAGACCACCATGAACTGTCACAACAACCTACCTGAGACTGTTGGCAGACCACCATGACGGTGTCACAACAACCTACCTGAGACTGTTGGCAGACCACCATGAACTGTCACAACAACCTACCTGAGACTGTTGGCAGACCACCATGAACTGTCACAACAACCTACCTGAGACTGTTGGCAGACCACCATGACGGTGTCACAACAACCTACCTGAGACTGTTGGCAGACCACCATGACAGTGTCACAACAACCTACCTGAGACTGTTGGCAGACCACCATGACAGTGTCACAACAACCTACCTGAGACTGTTGGCAGTCCACAATTACTGTTACAACAACCTCCCTGAGACTGTTGGCAGACCACCATGACAGTGTCACAACAACCTACCTGAGACTGTTGGTAGACCACCATGACAGTGTCACAACAACCTACCTGAGACTGTTGGCAGTCCACAATTACTGTTACAACAACCTCCCTGAGACTGTTGGCAGACCACCATGACAGTGTCACAACAACCTACCTGAGACTGTTGGCAGACCACCATGACAGTGTCACAACAACCTACCTGAGACTGTTGGCAGTCCACAATTACTGTTACAACAACCTCCCTGAGACTGTTGGCAGACCACCATGACAGTGTCACAACAACCTACCTGAGACTGTTGGCAGTCCACAATTACTGTCACAACAACCTACCTGAGACTGTTGGCAGACCACCATGACAGTGTCACAACAACCTACCTGAGACTGTTGGTAGACCACCATGACAGTGTCACAACAACCTACCTGAGACTGTTGGCAGACCACCATGACAGTGTCACAACAACCTACCTGAGTCTGTTGGCAGACCACCATGACAGTGTCACAACAACCTACCTGAGACTGTTGGCAGACCACCATGACAGTGTCACAACAACCTACCTGAGACTGTTGGCAGTCCACAATTACTGTTACAACAACCTCCCTGAGACTGTTGGCAGACCACCATGACAGTGTCACAACAACCTACCTGAGACTGTTGGTAGACCACCATGACAGTGTCACAACAACCTACCTGAGACTGTTGGCAGACCACAATTACTGTTACAACAACCTCCCTGAGACTGTTGGCAGACCACAATTACTGTTACAACAACCTCCCTGAGACTGTTGGCAGACCACCATGACAGTGTCACAACAACCTACCTGAGACTGTTGGCAGACCACAATTACTGTTACAACAACCTACCTGAGACTGTTGGCAGACCACAATTACTGTCACAACAACCTACCTGAGACTGTTGGCAGACCACAATTACTGTCACAACAACCTACCTGAGACTGTTGGCAGACCACCATGACAGTGTCACAACAACCTCCCTGAGACTGTTGGCAGACCACCATGACAGTGTCACAACAACCTACCTGAGACTGTTGGCAGTCCACAATTACTGTCACAACAACCTACCTGAGACTGTTGGCAGACCACCATGACAGTGTCACAACAACCTACCTGAGACTGTTGGCAGACCACCATGACAGTGTCACAACAACCTCCCTGAGACTGTTGGCAGACCACCATGACAGTGTCACAACAACCTACCTGAGACTGTTGGCAGTCCACAATTACTGTCACAACAACCTACCTGAGACTGTTGGCAGACCACCATGACAGTGTCACAACAACCTCCCTGAGACTGTTGGCAGACCACCATGACAGTGTCACAACAACCTACCTGAGACTGTTGGCAGTCCACAATTACTGTCACAACAACCTCCCTGAGACTGTTGGCAGACCATCATGACAGTGTCACAACAACCTACCTGAGACTGTTGGCAGACCACAATTACTGTCACAACAACCTACCTGAGACTGTTGGCAGACCACAATTACTGTCACAACAACCTACCTGAGACTGTTGGCAGACCACCATGACAGTGTCACAACAACCTCCCTGAGACTGTTGGCAGACCACCATGACAGTGTCACAACAACCTCCCTGAGACTGTTGGCAGACCACCATGACAGTGTCACAACAACCTACCTGAGACTGTTGGCAGACCACAATTACTGTCACAACAACCTACCTGAGACTGTTGGCAGACCACAATTACTGTCACAACAACCTACCTGAGACTGTTGGCAGACCACCATGACAGTGTCACAACAACCTCCCTGAGACTGTTGGCAGACCACCATGACAGTGTCACAACAACCTACCTGAGACTGTTGGCAGACCACAATTACTGTCACAACAACCTACCTGAGACTGTTGGCAGACCACCATGACAGTGTCACAACAACCTACCTGAGTCTGTTGGCAGACCACCATGACAGTGTCACAACAACCTACCTGAGACTGTTGGCAGACCACCATGACAGTGTCACAACAACCTACCTGAGACTGTTGGCAGACCACCATGACAGTGTCACAACAACCTACCTGAGACTGTTGGCAGACCACCATGAACTGTCACAACAACCTACCTGAGACTGTTGGCAGACCACCATGAACTGTCACAACAACCTACCTGAGACTGTTGGCAGACCACCATGACAGTGTCACAACAATCTACCTGAGACTGTTGGCAGACAACCATGACAGTGTCACAACAACCTACCTGAGACTGTTGGCAGACAACCATGACAGTGTCACAACAACCTACCTGAGACTGTTGGTAGGCCTCTAGAACTTTGCTGGCATCTTCTTCCAGTTGTTTAAACTGTGCCTCCAGTTCACCCATTTTCTGTTTGTTCTCCTCAATCTCCTCCTCCACAGATTTCACCTTGTCCTCTGCCTTCTTCAAGTTTCTGCACAAACATCATTACATTAATCTAAAATTAGACCACACAGGCATTCCCACGAGTAGAGTGAGTGAGCGAGTATGGTTTTACGCTGCTTTTAGCAATATTCCAGCAATATCACGGCGGGGGACACCAGAAATGGGCTTCACACATGTACCCATGTACCCAAGTTTTACACCGTTTGACATAATCAGAACTGAACTGACATCAACCTGATAAGTGGCCAGAGTAGAAACTTTAAGATCTTTTGTGCTTCTAAGTAATGACACAAGTAATCAGCTACTTGTGGAGAAGTGACCTTAGCTGCAGTAATCCCTTTGGATCTTGCGAACTGGTCAAAACTCTTCCATTTATCATCGAATAAATACCTCGCTTATCGACGAAGACCTAGGCTCTAAAGTGAGTGAGTGAGTGAGTATGGTTTTACGCCGCTTTTAGCAATATTCCAGCAATATCACGGCGGGGGACACCAGAAATGGGCTTCACACATTGTACCCATGTACCCAAGTTTTACACCGTTTGACATAATCAGAACTGAACTGACATCAACCTGATAAGTGGCCAGAGTAGAAACTTTAAGATCTTTTGTGCTTCTAAGTAATGACACAAGTAATCAGCTACTTGTGGAGAAGTGACCTTAGCTGCAGTAATCCCTTTGGATCTTGCGAACTGGTCAAAACTCTTCCATTTATCATCGAATAAATACCTCGCTTATCGACGAAGACCTAGGCTCTAAAGGAAAATCCTCGTCTGATGGAGGGAATGCATATGCGTGAAGTCCCTCCCATGACACAGCGACAGGGAGGAAAATGGCCGTCTTTGAGATTGTCAGGTATACTTTATTCATTTCTACTTATCAATAGCCCCAGTAGTCACAATTACAGGTCAGGTTCCTACCTCTCTGATGTCTTCACTCCTACATTGGCCTTGGTCATCTGTCCGGTGACCTGATCTATCTGCTGTGAAACTGCATCCACACGGCTCTGAACAGCTTTCAACTTCGAGCCTCCAATGTCCATGATTTGCTGGTGGAGGCTTAAAGAAAAAAGACCAAAAGAAAATTACACTTCAAACAGTAAATCAACATGTCGGGTAATTTTTTATCTCAAATTTCAAATTTGTGCTGACCAAGTTACTTATCACCCGTTCGTTTACCAGAATTCGCTGAAGGGGTACGGTGTATAATATTCAAATTTATTTTTTTTCCAAAATACTGCATCCGCTAGAGGGGGCTGGGCATTATACTTGGGTGCGCACTACACTCAAGAAAATAAGGTATTCGTCCACATATCCACCACAGTGTGTTGATACTCAGAATCTTATAACTGTCATATAGGCTTCGGTAGGGGTGTAACCATCCATGGACACATAGAGGCATTTACCCCTGAATTTAACATTCAGTTACCCATATATCCACTGCAGTGTGTTATAACTATCACATAAGCTTCGGTAGGGGTGTAACCATCCATGGACACATAGAGGCATTTACCCCTGAATTTAACATTCAGTTACCCATATATCCACTGCAGTGTGTTATAACTATCACATAAGCTTCGGTAGGGGTGTAACCATCCATGGACACATAGAGGCATTTACCCCTGAATTTAACATTCAGTTACCCATATATCCACTGCAGTGTGTTATAACTATCACATAAGCTTCGGTAGGGGTGTAACCATCCATGGACACATAGAAGCATTTACCCCTGAATTTAACATTCAGTTACCCATATATCCACTGCAGTGGGTTAATTTTTACACCTGTTGACATGATACACCATGTATCAATTCACGTTGTAATTTTGTAGTGTTTTCAAAAAAAGATTACCTAACAAAGTTTTGCTACTAACAGCTTCATAACTACTCAGGCAACATTAGCTTACTGTATATAATCACTGATCACAAAACAGAATGCATTATCTTGTAGTTATTGCCTAGTAATATTTTTAGAAAGTGCCTAAATTAAGAAGCCAAGCCAGAAAATCACAAACCGGATGAAAATAACAAAGTGTCAGTCTGGCAAACTGTACAACGGATTATTTTGTCTAAAAACCTAAAATAATTATCGTGACATACCATATCCCGACTCGCAAGTATCGTGATATGTACCATATCGTGTCTCAAGTATCGCAATATGTATCGATACATATAGACGTATCATGATGCCACAAAGATGTAGTGAGGATGGCATTGAAGGGTAACTCAACTCAACATTTCAGAACAACTTACCTTTCCTTCATAAAAATACCATAACAAGGCAAGAACTTTCTGGAAATTCACGGAAGTGCAAAACATTCCTCTACTATCAGTTTGCCCCAGTAACAGTATGTATATCAGAGGCTTGTAAACATCATTTTAAAAATGCAGAATAACCAGAATATTTGTGATTTCTGGTCAGACAACATGTTTCTCTTGTGACCTGAGAACCATGAATTGTCCCCTTGTGAAGATCCCGGTTAGAATTCTCTTCAGCAACACATGCTTGTTGTGAGAGGCGACAAGACTTGTCGTAAGAGGCGACTAATGGGATCTGGTGGTCAGGCTCGCTGACTTGGTTAATGCATGTCATTGTATCCCAATTTGTGTACATTGATGCTCATGATGTCAATAACTGGATTGTCTGGTCCAGACTCAATTATTTACAGACCGCCTTCTTACAGCTAGAATAGGGGCGGTCGGGTAGCCTAGTGGTCAAAGCGTTCACTCGTCACGCCAAAGACCCGGGTTCGAATCCCGACATGGGTACAATGTGTGAAGCCCATTTCTGGTGTCCCCCGCCGTGATATTGCTGGAATATTGCTAAAAGCGGCGTAAAACAATATTCACTCACTCACTACAGCTGGAATATTGCTGAGTTCGGCGTTAAACAACAAACAAAACCAACTACTACTACAAAAGTGTCATGTCACTTGATGAGATAAACATGTTATTTGACAAGAAAACAGAAATATTCTCTACACAGTTGCACTCTGCTTCCTGACATCAAAATTAACACATACCACTTCTCCTCTTGGTTGCTAAGCGCAAAGTTTCATGATGATATTTGAAACTATTTGTGAGTTTATGAAACAAAATGTAGCTCGAAAAAACAAAGATATTATCGGTAAACCAGTTTCTGCATCAATTCCACACAGACAATATAACTTCTGTCCAGACTGGTTCTATTATCAACTGATTTATAAAACATCCCATTTACCTCTGTACCTCAGCTTCTATTTTGGATGCAGCACCACTGGCTTTGTCAAAATCTGGAAATGGAACAATTCCCTTATCAAAACACAAATCAGCAATAAAAGATGCCCTTTTAATAATCATTAACATCATCCGTGTGCATCACTTTGGCACAGTGCCCTACAAACATTCTTTCCAAGATATGGGGGAAGCAGGTGGCCCATTCATTTAAGGGCACCACAATTTCCTCAGCAGAGTGAGTGAGTGAGTTGGGTTTAACACCGCTTTTAACAGTATTCCAGTTATATCACGGCGTGTCAGCTTAACGTGGGAGGAATGCCCGAAGTGATGCAGGTCTAAGACGTTTACCACTTTGGTGAAACCCCTGAGCACCCGTATGGTGCTGACAAACCTAGAAACATAATCGGGGCGAACCGGGATTCGAAACCCACAATCATAGGTTTCTGGCGTGACCAAGGGACGCAACTCTGTACAGCGAATCGCGGCGCCTTAGACGACTGGGCCACTCCTCTGCAGAGCTGCATCCCTTAGCAATGGAAGTAGTTACTCATTCTATGGAATTACTCAATCCGCAGATTACAAAGTTCTTTCTTTAAGCAGTAAACAACGAGAGGGAGGATAAATCATGGATAAATAGAATCCAACCTTTGAAATGTCGGAGCAGTCCATTTTACAAAAAGGCGGGTTAAGTTTGGTATTTCCCACATATTCTCACATCGATTATCTGTACTTTTTTCTCCTAATACCGATTGTCATATCTCTTCCACTTTTGGATGCGATCATTCAGCAACTTCATTTATCTGCGTAGCCCAGCTACATTTATGGGGAACAACTTACTAGACACTTCACTCCAAAAAAGATAATGTCGTCCAATGTATGACGTCATCAAGTTGTGAGCGCATATTCAAATCTCCAGAAATGACGTCATAACAGAACAATATTTAATGTGAAATAAACCATGGTTCGTTTTTCATTGTTCTTTGCGGTTTATGGTGCAGCTATCTTATATTATCAAATAACTGTCACAAATTGTGGTCAATAGTAGCAGAATAATTCATCTTCCAGGAATATAGACTGAACCAAGTAAAGAAATTCTATTTGGAAAATCGTTTATGCAACTGTTGAATCCTAAATTAGAGAAGAGCTTCAATGTATCACAAAACAACATCATCTTCACAAATTGCAATATTGGTTATAAGGAACCCTAGGCAATAAGACTAGTGAGGTGAAATGGGCCTTAATGTCGTGTTCAGTATTATTGTACAAATAAAGTGACATGCTTGCTTGCGTGTGTGTACAAAGTACACTGACTCGGAGCCGACCAGTCCTTGTTTAGGCCTTTTAATGCCGAGCGCCAGGCAGGGTAACAACAAGTACCATTTTTGAACGCCTTTTGGTATGCCGCAGCACAGGATCAAACCCCCGACCTTCTGCTTCCTGAGTGGACACTACCACTGGACCACGCAGAGTGTCCCCAATCAGACTCGCGGGACTATCAAAGACTATTGTAAAAACTTCCTTATACTGCTGGACAAAAAGACAGAGGGGATTTCTAATCTTGCTGATTTATCAAACCTTTCTTGTATTCATTGACTTTCTTCTCCAACTCCTTCAGCTGTTTCTGATCGGGGGCTGCGGCCTTGACCTTCTCCTGCTGCTCCACAATCTGTGCCTTCAGTGTCGTGGTCTGGTCTGACAGAGCCTGCACATACAACATCAGCAACAGGCAATATTTAGTGAATGCCAAACTCTAAAGTATTGAAACAATCCAGTAGAAATCAGTTGATCATGAAAAAACCCTTAAGAGTGAGTGAGTATTGTTTTACGCCGCTTTTAGCAATATTCCAGCAATATCACGGCGGGGGACACCAGAAATGGGCTTCACACATTGTACCCATGTCGGGAATCGAACCCGGGTCTTTGGCGTGACGATTGAACGCTTTAACCACTAGGCTACCTGACCGCCCCTAACCCCTTAAGAGAAATAAGCCCCAAGATTATCATGAAATAAGCAGTCTGTGACAGTGAGTGAGTGAGTGAGTATGATTTTACGTCGCTTTAAGCAATATCACGGTGGGGGGACACCAGAAATGGGCTACACACATTGTACCCATGTGGGCAGTTTGTGACAAAAGCTTTAAAGTCTGCAAGTTCAATTAACTTGTCGTATGGCACCATTTCAGTTGATATTACTATTAATATTGGAAGTGAGTGAGTTATGTATGGGTTTTAACACTGCTTTGAACAGTAGTCCTGTTAAATCATGGTGAGTCAGCTTAAAGTGGGAGGAAAGCCGAAGTGATGTAGATCTCAAACGTTTACCACTCCGGTGAAACCCAGGAGCACCAGTAAGGTGGTGACAAACCTAGAAACATCTCTCAAAGGGTTCTGGTGTGCCCAAGGGACATAACTCTGCATAGTCAAATGCAGTGCCTCAGACAACTGATCCATGTGCCCCCTCTAGACTGCAAGTAGTTTTTACTGGCATCTGACCAGTGGCGGAACTCATCGACTGCTGATGTCGGACACAATAATTAAATGGAGGTGACCACATTCTTTCCTTTGACAGGTTTGAAAGTGACAGCCATCCAACAAGACTGTCATCCAAGATGATATGTCAAAGGTCTTACCTTGATCTCCATCTTGAACTTCTGCAGACTGTGTTTCATGTTGGTAAGATCCTTCTCATTGTGTCCGATCTTGTCCTCCAGGTCCTCCTTCCGTCCTCTCGCTTCCCGGGACTCTGACATCAACTGTCAACACAGGAAAACTATTAGTCAATTTCAATATATATCATAGTCAGTGACAGAGGGGTGGGAGTGCATATTTTTTGCCAAAAAACAATGTCCTAGAAAAATAATTTGTCTTCAGGTTTAGTTTCCTATCTGATTTTATTGAGACTGATGTATGTGTGATTTAGTTTGTTTGTTTAATGCAGCACCCTGCAATATTCCAGCTATATGACGGCAGTCTGTAAATAATCGAGTCTGTACCAGAGAATCAAGTGATTGATATCATGAGCATCGAACTATGCAATTGGGATACGATAACATGCATCAACCAAGTCAGCAAGCCTGACCACCCGATCCCGTTAGTTGCCTCTTACGACAAGCATGGGTTGCTGAAGACCTATTCTAACCCAGTCATGTGTGATTTGGAAGCACATTGATGTTTGACCTGCACTTATCGTTATTAAAAGAAAGACAATGATTTGAAGCCAACATCGAACTGACAACTTTATTACCATTAATATTATACCAAGCACGGTGGAAAATCACTTTTACACACAAAATTTGTTTATTTGTTTATTATTGAACAAGACAAGACCCTCTCCAACAGGAGTAAGTGACTGACCAATAGTGACAATAGTCACAACCGGTCAAGTGAACATAGTGATCAGGGCTGGAATGATATTTCTGAAGGAGATCGGTCTTAAAGCGTGGATGTCAATGTGAGTTCCACATTGTTGCCAACGTAGTTGTATGTATGTATAAATATGATACTTTTTCCTATGATGTTTTTCCTATTTTAAGTATGTTACAGGGGGATTCACAAGAGGTACTCCGGAATATTGGTTGTTTGGTTGTGTTACGCCACACTCAGCAATATTCCATCAACATTATAGCAGTCTGTAAATAATCCAGTTCAGACAATCCAGTGATTAACATCTAGAATACCTATGTATGTTATGCCATCAACCGAGTCCCCGAGCCTGACCACCTGATCCATTCATCACCTATTACAAGCATGACTTGCTGGGGACCTATATTCTTACCCAGAATATCAAAAGATTCTTATGGTTGTTCTTTTTACACTGAGACAGAAGGGCAAAAAATTGTAGAATTTTCCTATTCGGAATATTCCATAAGTAATACGTTACCACTGTTATACCGAGGCTGTTGTCTCCCACAACTGCTGCTATAGCGAAATCTACCACAGAGATCTCAATTACCTCATGCAGCACGTGCGTAGCCACCTAGCTGCCATGTGACACCCTTCACTCTTGTCTCCTGCGAGAGCAAGTGCTCGGGGGACGGACGGGCGGGCAGCAGCCCAGTGGTAACGTATTACTTATAGAATATCCGAATAGGAAAATTCTACAAATTACATTAAGTAATACGTTACCACTGTTATACCGAGGCTGACTACCACAGTAGGCGGTGGGGAGCACCTACAACCCGAATCCTGACTGCTAGCGTTCCTTCCGACCAGCGGAAGTAAACACCAAGGCGGAAGCACTCGATGCGCATGCACCTAGCTAGGCGTTACCCTATAGGAATACCAAAGCACTGTCAAGCGCATACCGTAAGGCTCAATCGTCATTGCCAAAACGATTGGTGACTCCAAACGGCCCCACTGGATAGGTATTTCATCGCCGCAGCGGATGAGAACACTGTATCCGCGTGAGCTTAATCTTAGATCAGGTTAAACAGTCGAAAAGAGGGAAATTAATTTCATTCAGACCGTATATCCCAGAGCAAGCCTACTTAAAGTATGCATTAGGCGCGTGACCTAATTCCAGTATTTGTAAGCATGCATCACAAGGTTGGGATACACGACAGACAATTAAAGACATAATTGTCAAAATACAAATAAGGACAAAGCACACAAAAAGCCGCCCTCACCTGTGGTGTGAGTGCGCTGGTTTGCGGGACCCCAACTCCTGTACCCACGGCAGTGGGAACATTGGAGTCGACCCAGATTGACCACCGTGCAAGGTCAGACGCCTGAGGAGTTCGGAATTGCGCTGGGCACACCCCTTAGGTGCCCGCTTGCGCCGCGTTCCGCGGGCCAAGACGGTGCACACTCTCCTCGACGGCATCAGCGACCTGTTTGAGGTAATGATTGGCAAAAACCGAGTCAGAACGCCAGTAACAACCTCGTAATATTCTGCGAACAGAGATATTCGAGTGTAGGGCAAATGTTGCCGCTAGCGCCCTGATCTCGTGCGGGTTTGACCCCGCTACCGGTAACCCCCGAAACCGGTACGCCAGATTGATGACAGAACGAAGCCACAACGCAATCGAGTTGCGAGTTATGTCAACCGTGCGATTAGGGTTACACGATATGAACAGACGGTCACGCCCTTGTCTACGTTCATTCGAAGCCTTAAGATAATACTTAAGGGCCCTAACCGGACACAGCGCTCTGTCCTCAGTATCAGCAGGATGTAAGATTTCTTTGAGTGATCTTACAGTGAATTCTCTCTCCGTATGCCCGACCCTCTGATTCTTGGCGACGAAGCCCATGAGCAGGCCCAGGCGGACCGCTCCTTCGTCACCCCTATCGAATCGTACCTTGGCGACATCGAGTGCATGAATTTCGGATACACGTGCCGCCGTGGCAAAGGAGAGGAGAAATGCTGTTTTCCAAGTCACATGCCGGAACGAAGCACTATGCAAGGGTTCATACGGAGCTTCCGTAAGTGATTGCAACACTAGGGAAAGATCCCAGGCCGGTGCCCGAAGGCGGCCCTTCTTAAGATCGTGCTGTTTGAAACCCTTGATAATACCCCGTATCACCGGCTCTTTGGAGAGACTGGTACCCATAGCAACGCCCCGTACCGTAGCAACGGACGAGACATAGTTGGCAATGGAACCCCCGGAGAGTTTCCGGGTCTCTCGCAAGTGAGACATGAAACGAGCAATATCCTGCACAGATACCTTATCTGGTGAATGAATGTGATGTTTACAACACCACTTCGTGAAAATAACCCAACGTGTATTATACACCTTCTGGGTAGAATCACGATGCATACTAACGTATGCCCGAGACGCCCGGCGAGAAAAAACTTTACTCCTCAGACTCTCGGTGACAACATCCACGCGTGCAGATTGAACTGCCCTGCGTTTGGATGAAGCTGACGGGTGTGAGGGTGGATCAAGAGATCCGGTCAGCTTGGAGTCCACAAGTTATGCAAGTAATGCAGCGACGGAATCCCCGGACAGCACACGGGCCGCCAAGAGATCCGCCGCTTTACCGGTGGACCCCGCGGCCACCGAAGAGGCCGGGGACGGAACAGCCAGCGGCCTATCTTGCGATAAGGCCGCCAGCTTGGAGTCCACAAGTTTCGACAACAATGCGGCGACGGAATCCCCAGACAGCCCGAGGGCCGCAATGGGCATCCGCCGCAGCCGAGGAGGTGGTACCCGCACGGGGACCCCGACCGGACGAACCGGCCACCACAGGGGTGGAGACGGACTGTACGTACAGCCGGTACCGCTCAAAGTCCGCAGGCCCCAGATCTTCGCACAGGATGCACCGGGTGTCCCCGCAAGGAACCCTGCACCGCGGGCAACGATCGTGGGGATCCCGGGACGACAAAAACTTTCTGCACACCCCACAACTCCGAGGAGCAGGGGTAGAGGGGGTGGATACTGGGGACATATCCATGTCAGACATTGATTGTTTGCTATAAACAAAGAACAAAACATGGTTACAACGCACGCACCACAATGATTCACAAACGAACATTTTCACAAGAAAATAAACGAGCAATGTGAACATATAACATACACATATAACTTTTATTAAAGAAATAAGTGATGTTAACCCCCAAAACATACAAGAACAGGGGAAACGTAAAACACAACGTGCATACGCGAACCCCGCAACTATATAGAAAAAAGGGCGGGAAAATTTTTCCGTTTGGCGGGAAAATTATAACCAAGCGTAGCTACCGCAACGCCCCATAAAAGCACAGTTTATTAGAGAATAAACTATAATAAATATCACCAAATCTTCAAGGAACGCTTCAGCAGGAGAAAACACGTCTTGCTAAGCAGACGAAGGAGACAAGAGTGAAGGGTGTCACATGGCAGCTAGGTGGCTACGCACGTGCTGCATGAGGTAATTGAGATCTCTGTGGTAGATTTCGCTATAGCAGCAGTTGTGGGAGACAACAGCCTCGGTATAACAGTGGTAACGTATTACTTAATGTAATTCAAAATGTGTGTGTCGTGTGTGTTTTAACGTCTTTCGGTAAGGCAGAGCCGGGGACTCTCCATTCAGACAGAGGCTCTATCCATTTAACCACAGAGGCGGACTTTGAGTGCCTGGATAGTATCAACAACCTTGCTTGTTTGTTTGCTTGTTGTTTAACGCCGCACTCAGCAATATTCAAGCCATGTGACGGCAGTCTGTAAATAACTGAGTCTGGTCCAGACAATCCAGTGATTGATATCATGAGCATCGATCCACGCAATTGGGATCGATGACATGCATCAACCAAGTCACCAAGCCTGACTACACGATCCCGTCAGTCACCTCTTACGACAAACAGTCACCTTTTACAGCAAGCATGGGTTGCTGAAGACCTATTCTACCCCGGATCACATCTGCCCTCATCTGTCTCACCTTTTCGAGTGTGTTCTCCATGTTGGCCAGTTGTTTGGGGTCCACAGCATCCGAGGCAAGGGACGATCCCATTCTTCCTCTGCTCACTGACGTACCACCACCACTCATGGTACCTGACACAAGGCAAAACGTCACTTTCAGTAGGTGCCACACCAAACATGCTAAAAGCAAGTCCGCAGAACAGAATGATTTTCTGCTTTAAATTTAAGAAAAGTTCATTTGTAAAGATTTACTTTTCAGTTTTTTTTCTCTGATGAGCCAGCAATTACTTGAAAAAAGCCGAAATGATCAATTGAAAATTCAATAAATTAGTATGTTTATATTAGTTTTCCAAACGTATTGTGATACATATTCATTAGCATTTCAACTCATGGCATTCAATTTATACAGGGCACAAAGTAGACACAATTCATGGATAACAACTTCTTTAATACTGTAAAAGGCGACGTTTCGGTATAGATCCTTATACCGTTGTCAAGCAAGACAACGGTATAAGGATCTATACCGAAACGTTGCTTTTTACAGTATTAAAGAAGTTGTTATCCATGAATTGTGTCTACTTTTTCATCCGTCAACTTCTAAGTAATGCCTATCAAACAATTAATACATTGCACCTTTAATATTAATACAGAGTATAGTGCAAACAGTCTATTATCTTCAATCCTTCAACACAACCCAAACGTGTCTCTCCTCCAAATCAAAAGTTACCTCCCATCCCTTAGCCCCCACTCTTTAGTGTTCTTATTTCAAATGTAAATTCAAGAGCTCTTTGGGGAAACCTCACAACTTTTTTTCCCACTTTGTCTCCTGCATCATGGCGCACTGGTTGAAAAAAATTGAAAACGCAAACAAATCTGGTTTGGCCTTATGTCATTTCATTATGCCCATAATCCCTTATTTCACCGCACATTAAAATACTAGCTTCTGATTTTTTGGTTAAGAAGGTGTGTAATGATTTTCCATGTAGCCCACTCATGTAGCCCGCTGAGAAATCAATCAGAACATCCCTTAGGTAACTTGCTTATCTCACATAGGTATTGCTGAGTTGAAATCAATCGATGCTTATCCAAATGCATTGGGTAAAGGGACGTAACTCAGTTTGTTTGATTCGTCTGCCAGCTGTCAAAATGGCTGCCTACTTCAGTATCTGTTGTGTTGTTTTTTAACCCAAAACAAGTGGAGTGAGTTTTGCGAACTCCGTGAAACTTTGCACATATATTCAGGGTCTGTATGAATGAATGTTGGTAAGAGAAATTTGTTGTCAACCGATCCCTCAGGGCATATGATATGATGTAATCTGGGTGTGAGCCGTTACCATATACCCCTCGACATCAGTTGACAACTTATGTCCCAGAAGAATGTTGTAGAGCCTCTAGATCCTGTTACCTGATGTGTCAATCAGCTGCCCCGTCAGTGTGACAACCCGGTACCGCGTCTTCCCGTAGGCTATCCGAGTAGCCTGATCCAAGTCTTTAGCCACAAGAGTGTCTCTCAGTGCAAAGTAAAATGCTGGCAAAATTGCAGCATCCTTTGTTTTAACAAGATCAAACAGCCGCGGTACATTCTCTGGTCTGAAAATAAATAAATAAAATTCAAACACTAGGCCACAAAAAAAATAAAAATAAATAATATTATTTCTTGTTTGTTTGTTTGTTTGTTGTTTAACGCCGCACTCAGCAATATTTCTGGAAATAATGCCCAGTAATAAAAATTTCTAAAATTCCTAAATAGCAAAAGGCACCAGTTCAGCATGAGTCTGATAGACATGCAAAGTTTCATAGAGAAATATTTAACGGTTTCTGAGTTATGCTCCGGAAACGATTTCGGGACACACACACAGATGGACGGAACCCATTGCATCAATTTCACATTTAAAAAATGGCAAGGTGACCAGGCTTTTCTTCTTTGTTTGCTTAACCACATTTTTGCTGCAAAATTTAGACAACAACTCAAGCTAATTGGTTTATAAAATAAATAGGAAAACCATAAAATATACAAAATAGGTAAATGAAAGCTTCTTCAGCTTGAAAGAGTACCACTACCAGATTCACATTTCTCACAACAGGGAAATTGAGAATAATGACTTCCTTTGAAAATTTCCCTTAGATATAAAGGGGATCATTTGCAGGAATATTTCCAGGCTATGAGACTGGTGCCAGTGTCTGTGATAGCTTACGTTGTGATCTTCCTCTTGGTGTGTTCCACCCATCGCTGCATCTTGTCCAAGCCAATGAAGGTGGCTGAACCCACGCTGTTCTTCTTGAGGAACTCCACACACTTCTGTGCCGTGTTGATGCTGTCCACAACGATGTGGTCCAGGGCCCCGCAAGCCGTTGACACGGCAACATCATACTTCTCATCTATTGCCCCCAGGTTTCCCTGTGCACACATCATACAGAATACAATCAGTGAGTTGGGTGTAACGCTGCTCTCAACAGACGCTATGATAGGAAGAGGTGAGGTGAAACGGCGTTTAACGTCGCGTCCAAGATTATTGCTCTTATGTGTGTGTTTGTGTGTGTTTGTGTGTGTGTGTGTGTGTGTGTGTGTGTGTGTGTTGTGTGTGTGTGTGTGTGTGTGTGTGTGTGTGTGTGTGTGTGTGTGTGTGTGTGTTGCGTGTGTGTGGCTGCTTGTACTAGTCCGGACTGATGCCAATTTATAAGTGCTAGCTCACTGAGATACCATGCCACAGTTTAACATGAGTGAGTGAGTGAGTACAGTTTTACACCACTTTTAGCAATATTCCAGCAATATCACGGTGGGGGACACCAGAAATGGGCTTCACACATTGTACCCATGTCGGGAATCGAACCCGGGTCTTCGGAGTGACGAGCGAACGCTTTAACCACTAGGCTACCCGACCGCCCCTAATATATCATAACATAGTAGTAGTTTCTGCAGCAATGTACTACAAGCCACCATACCAATCTGCCTTGTATGCCTGGTAGTTTGCCTGACTTCTTCTGGTCCATCAGTGCCTCGATCACCCTGCCCTGTCTCTTGGCCGACTGCATTGAGTTGCGGGCGTCCTCGACCTTGGCTCTCAGACTGCGAACCTTCGGATAAAAGTAGATGATCAACATGGATGGCAAGACATAACAATCACTGAAATCTCAGGACATGGTGAAAAATGTGTGTAGTTGTCTATTGGATCCTAACAAGACCAATCATTTCTTGTCATATGATATATTTAGATAGAAATAGAAAAGGAAAGTAGTAGTAGTAGTAGTAGTAGTAGTAGTAGTAGTAGTAGTAGTAGTAGTAGTAGTAGTAGTTTAACGCCGCACTCAGCAATATTCAAGCCATATGACAGTGGTCTGTAAATAATTGAGTCTGAACCAGACAATCCAGTGATTCAATTGGGATCGATGACATGCATCAACCAAGTCAGCAAGTCTGACCACCCGATCCTGTTAGTCACCTCTTACGACAAGCATAGTCGCCTTTTACAGCAAGCATGGGTTGCTGAAGACCTATTCTACCCCAGATCTTCATGGGTCAAATCAGGGATAGACACGGCCACTAGCCTGTTAGTCCGAGACTAAATTGAAACACAATGCTCTCTCCCACGATCTAGTTATTTTACATATCCACTGGTACGAAATGAGATGCAGACTAGATGGACATATCCAGTGATGTCTACCCCTGTAAAATCTTACCGACGATGGTGATTAGTTGACACCCCTTTCACACATAGTTTCACAGCCGACATACCTCTTCGGTCGACCTAGATTCAACACTGACAGCTGACTCTAGCTCCTTCTTGCACTTGGCCACCAGTTGCTCTACTTCAGGGATGGTTTTCTCTAGCTCGGCAATTCCACTAAAAGACAAACCATGGATTTATTCCTCAGTCATTAGCCATATCACCTGGCCAAAACAAGAGTGAGTGAGTGAGTTGGGTTGGGTTTAACGCCGCTTTTAACAGTATTCCAGTTATATCGCGGCGTGTCAGCTTAATGTGGGAGGAAAGCCCGAGGTGATGCAGGTCTCAGACGTTTACCACGTTTCTGGCGTGCCCAAGGGACCCAACTCTGTACAGCGCATCGCAGCGCCTTAGACAACTGGGCCAACCGGCCAAAACAAGAAGCAACAAAAATTAAACAACGTCAGTATAACCGAATTCTACCATACAGTTTTCAGGGGACACATAAATGTATTGAGGTGTGTCCTCAGATCTTCGTGTAGCAGTAGCAAGCACTAAGATCTGATTTTGATGAGATTGATGACAATTCTGGGGGCATATTGGTACCAGTTCAGGTCGAGATGGTTTTATTATTCCAGTAAGAATCTGAGGTATACCTTTTTCTATCCTTCATGTTGGTTTCAGCCTTGTCCAGGTTCTTCTGCATCTCCTCCAGCTTGGTGGTCGCCGTCTGCTGGTTGCTAAGATACAGGTCCAGCTCAGACTGAGCTACTTGAAGCTGAGGGGGAGAGATTATTATTACTACCGGTATTGTTATTATTATTTATATCCCACACTCATCAGATACAATTATCTGCTCAAATGCGGTTTATTTGTTCCCTGACCAGTGGATCCAGTTATCATTCTCAACTCCCTGGGGAGTATACAACCCAACCTGGCAACCGAGGGTTTTCACATCCACCTCGTATGGCGGTTACCCATTCCCTGCTGGGTGAACCGAGGCACATTTGAACCAAGTCACTTGCCCAGGGTGACATCACACGTTTTGACACCTGTGTTTCAGGTGTATGTACATATTCGTGTCTCTATTGGTCTACTTAATACTCAGCATTATCACCTCTGAAATCCAAACCTTGTATCATTTCCATTTCCCCCTGACAAGACTGAGCTGGTTCAGGTTAAAATCAGCTTGTGCAGCCTAGCTTATAAGCAGTCAGTAAAATATTCCACAAACAGGCTAATAAGTATCACTTGCTTCAGAATTTTACCCTGTATATATGATCTAAACAATCAGAAAAAAAATTACTTTGGCCCGTGAAGATTCCGGGGTCTTCAGCAACCAATACTTGCCGTAAAATGTGACTATGCTTGTCGTAAAAGGCGACTAACGGGATCGGGTGGTCAGGCTTGCTGACTTGGTTGATGCATGCCATCGATCCCAATTGCGTGGATTGATACTCATGATATCAATCACTGGATTGTCTGGAGTCGATTATTTACATTCCGCCGTCATACAGCTGGAATATTGCTGAGTGCAGCGTTACACAACAAACCAACCAACCAACCAACCAACTTTCAATTCACACAACGTTCACGCTTTCATCTATATATGTAAACTACGTATCGCCTATCTTCGCTATATATACCTTAGCCAAATATATGTTTGAATTGTAATATGACAACAATTTTCAGAAACCAATCAAACTGAATGTGAAAGAGATCGAAATATGGCAATCAGAAGCCAGTTCCCGATGATAGTGTACATCATCTCTTACCGGGGCAAGAGAGTCCACTAGCCGTTATTTCTACCCATGCCACTTCAAGTCTCCTTTTCGTGGCTCAATGCCAGTGCCACCCCTGTGTCCCTTGTGTATCAACCAAGTCAGCGAGCGTGACCCCCCGATTCTGTTAGTCGCCTTTTACGACAAGCATAGTCGCCTTTTCTGGGCTCAATGCCAGTGCGACCCCGTGTGTCCCTTGTGTTTTAAATACGTTATCCAATTAGATCGCGGTTCAAATGGCTTCACAAAGATGACTACCAAAGCAGACAATCTGGTCAATCAGACAACAAATAGATTTGAGATTTCATCCCTGAGAAACAAAATGACAGATTACCAAAGTAAATATACTTATTACTGCTGAATTTTTGCTCTAACAATAACAGTTGGTTGGTTTGTTGTTTAAAGCCGCACTACAGCTATATGATGGCGGTCTGTAAAATAATCGAGTCTGGACCAGGCAATCCAGTGATTAATATCGTGAGCATCGATCCACTCAATTGGGACCGATGATATGTATCAACTAAGTCAGCAAGCCTGACCAATCGATCCCGTTAGTCGCCTTTTACGACAAGCATAGTCGCCTTTTACGGCAACATGGTTTGCTGAAGACCTATTCTACCCCGGATCTTCACAGGTCCTTACAATAACAGAGGCTAACAGATTACAGAGTATCAAGTATAACTGCATTTCCCGTGGTAACCTGAAACGTACAGCGGGGGATCATCTAAAAATAGCACTCCATCTGTCACTACAATAAGCTTTAGGTCGTTTGAGTTAAAAAACAATGAAGTTTGCACTCGATTATATAAAAGTACTTGAAAACTTTGAAACAGTTCGAAAATATTTGTCTCAGCTAAACTTTTGAAATAGTTTCAGCGCAAATTCGAAAGATGATGGCAGTGGCGAAAACAGCAACCTCGTTTTCAAGAAACACGGATGTTGATATTATAAAACATTCTCTGATTGGACTATAGATATACGCAATTGACCACTCCTATTTTAGTACAGAAAAGGAGGCTTGAAAAGGCAAGGGTGGAAACTAGACTTTGATATTGGCCAGTGGACAATCTTGCCTCCAGAAGATATGTCAAGCCCATGAAGTATTGACGCTGGGAATTCAGCCAAGGTCTTTGGCAGGTCATTAAATGCCTTAACCACAAATATAACATAGAGATAAATCACAAAGAACAATGAAGAATGAGGCATGGCTTATTTCACAATGAAACATTGTTTTATTATGATGTCATTTCTGTCGTTTATTGTAAATGTTATTAACATCCTAAAGAGGCTGTACGTAATGTTGATATCTGATAAAAGAATAAACGACTTGTCTTGTTTATTTTTTAAAGACAAATATGCACATGACACCAGGATGGGCAGAACCTAAACGCATCATGGGTGTCCTAACTCTTCAAATCCTTTGTTGATGCCTACCTTTGATTTGGTTTCATTGACACCTTTCTGTAAATCCAACAGCTTCTCTTCCTTCCCATCTTTCTCCTCTTGTAGGCCCTGGAACATGTATTCGTAGGTTCAATTTATCTTTCTTACATGATCAAATCACAGCCAAAATATAAAAATGTTTTTTTAGGTGCTGAAACAGATACTTATTACAAATACCACGGCACAGTCAGTGACTTGACTGGCTGAGTTGAGGAATTTTTTTTACACTAATAATAGTCTATATTAAGACTAGTCTGCTGAAAAAAACCCCTCTTAATATTAATATGTCAACATGAATCACAAAAAGGTTAAAATATGAGGCTTGCTGAGGAGTTTTAAAATATACTAATGAGTCGCCTCTGCCTTGAGACTCACCATAACCCACCTTTGTCTTGAGACTCACCATAACCAACCTTTGTCTGCCTTGAGACTCTCCATAACTCACCTTTGTCTTGAGACTCACCATAACCCACCTTTGTCTTGAGACTCACCATAACCAACCTTTGTCTGCCTTGAGACTCACCATAACCAACCTTTGTCTGCCTTGAGACTCTCCATAACTCACCTTTGTCTCCGTCTTGAGACTTTCCATGACATCCTTCAGTTTTTCTTCTTCCTTGGCTTTGTCAGCTTCTAGCTTTTCCAGTTTTCTCTTCATATCTGCTATTGCTTTCTCGCTTTCTTCTGGCACAGCTCTCAGTTCCTCAATCTATAAACAAACAGATTTGAACGATAAGAGTTCTGACTAATTGAAACAAGCATGAAATAGTCATATCCCCCGCCAATATGTCCGGTTGTGTGCAAGGCATTAGCCCCTGTGAACTATGTTCACTGGGCCTTTTTGTAAATGGCCTAATTGCAAGCACTAAAAAAGTTATTACTGGTGTTGTTTTGCCATCTGCAGTTAATGATAGAATATGTAACTGAATTTGTAATGAGTTGTGTTTTTACGTAAACAATAATCGGAGAAGTAACGGAGTTCTTACTTTACTTAGAGATCATTTAAAGTGAATGAGTATGGTTTTACGCCGCTTTTAGCAATATTCCAGTAATATCACGGCGAGGGACACCAGAATTGGGCTTCACACATTGTACCCATGTCGGGAATCGAACCAGGGTCTTCGGCATGACGAGCGACCTCTTAAACCACTAGGTTACCCGACCGCCCCAGATCATTTAAAGCAGGGGTGATCATAAGATATACTGAGAAGTACAGCACGAATCATCTATGATCTGAGTAGTAGACTGGAGCCACCTTGAGTCCATCGCCATGAATGTTCTCTACAGGGTGTGTCCAGGTGAACGGTCTTTCATTCCGCAATCTAGTCATCTCATCCAATGCTATTTTGTTTACTACAAGTTTGTGTTCATCAAAATCTACAAGTTTTAGACCTTTCCTTGATATTTACCCAACTGAGCATTGTATACACTTGACCGGGCTGGGCTTTAAATTTACTTCCTTGTGTAATTATATATACCTTGTCCAAGTTCCTTTGTCAAGTGGTATACATCTCAATAAGGTAATTATGGTAACGGTTCTCAGACAACCCTGCGTAGGTGTGTTTGAAGAATGTGTAAACAGTTTCAGAGTTATGCTCTTGCTAAGGAAACATTCGTAAAAACTCCCAACCAACAAAAGGCACCAGTTTACCACGAGACCTATTTAAATGCCAAGTTTGGTGAAGAAATATTGTACGGTTTTCAAGATCTGTGCCAAGTTTGGTGATTTTCAGTCAAAGTCAAAGTCATTGCCAGGAAAATTCGAAAAATAATATTTCTTAAATTCCCAAACTATCAAAAGGCACCAGTTCACCACAAGACCTATCTATGTGCCAAGTTTGGTTAAGATATCTCATGGTTTTTGAGTTCTGCTCCCGAAACGAACCTCACCCATTCCTATATCCCCCTTCCACTTCCACATGGCGGGGGATAATAATCGAAGACTGAAGGGAAGATCCAAACTACCAGTCAATCGAACAGAATTTTCCATAATCAAACACAAATGATTTTGCCCTGTCTCTCAACTGTCTTTAAAAAAATAGACGAACAAAACCCAGAGTTATGTTTCCCGAGAATGTTTATTACTTACAGTTAAGTACGGTTATAACGAACTCAAAGGGACTACTAATTTCAGTTCGTTATAACCGTAGTTCGCTATAAGCATATATACAGCATAACTACAGCAAATAGTCGGGACCAAAAAAGTAAGTTCGTTATATCCATCAGTTCGTTAGATGTGATCTGGTTCCACTGAACGTCAACTTGAAAAACAGCAAAACAGGGCTCGATTGAAAGAACTTGATTTAACTTGCACCAGGTGTATGTTGATATGAAAATTTAGTTGCACCAGACAAAACCAGGTTGTGATGTGGAAAAGTAAGGCCTAATCACAAATTTGAATTTTTGTAACATGCTCACAGTGCAGGTAGATATAAATATTAGGTTACATTTTTTAATAACACGCTGCACTGCATGTTTACAGTTAAATCAAGCCCTGCAAAATGAAGCTAACCGATAAGTTTTGAGTGAGCGAATGAGTATGGTTTTACGCCGCTTTTAGCAATATTCCAGCAATGTCATGGCGGGGGACACCAGAAATGGGCTTCACACATTGTACCCATGTCGGGAATCGAACGAACGCTTTAACCACTAGGCTACCAAACCACCCCTGATAAGTTAAAGATTGGGATGAGGGAAACATCAATCATGATTGTACAACCAATTCCTAGCACCATTTAATGAATGTCTAATCAATCAAACTAGCAGTCCCTGCACAAGGCATTATTAAGGATCTTGCTGTACCGTCAACTCGGCATCAACAGATTTTTTCCAAATCCTTTCATATTTGTAATCTAGGTGCTCAGGTGATTTGATGCACTTCGCGAAGTAAGACCTGTCTTTTTACAATATAGATCTTGAGTTTCAATCAGATCGTTTCGACTGAGCGCCGCCATTTTGTTTGAAGCAAATGAAAGAGATGTGTGAGGTGGGACCTGAGGTCAATAGGAGGGACACAGAAGGGACACAACTTGTAATAGTGACAGGTGGCCCTACGAATGAGCCTGGAAATTCAAGCCTAGTGCGGCAAGGTTGGAAACTGTACTGTTACAATCAGTTAACTCCCTTGCCTTGGGAAGATGCTTTCGAAAATATCAAGAATGAGTGAGTTGGGTTTATTGCCGCTTTGAACAGTATTCCAGTTATATCACAGCAGGTCAGCTTGATGTTGGAGGACTGCCTAAACTAATGCAGGTCTCAGACATTTACCACTTTAGTGAAACCTACAACCCACGGGTATGGTGCTGACAAACCTTGAAACATAATCAGGGCGAATTGGGATTCGAACCCATGATCAAAGGTTTGGGCGTGACCAAGGGACGTAACTCTGCATAGTGAAGTGTCCCATCTTAGACTAACATCTGGCATGCAAATTTTAATAATCATTATGTTTATGTTGGTAAGCATCAATATTGATGGCCATGCCCATATTGTCAATGTTGATTTGTCAATATAACATTATCGTGGTTTACATTTTTGGGAACTTATTAATTTAACTGCAACATCGTGCTACCTTTCTCTTCTCCTGATCCAGGGTCTTGTCCAGCTTCTTGGTCTTGGCCTTCGAGTGTTTCAGATCTTCTCGACACTTCACGTCCTGGCGCTCAAACTCCTTGAACTCATTCTTGGTCTCCTCACACTGCTTCACCAGGGTCTCGTACTCCCTGAAACATACAAGAGCAACCCCATTACACCAGGGTCTTGTACTCCCTGAAACATACAGGAGCAACTCCATCTACACCAGGGTCTTGTACTCCCTGAAACATACAGGAGCAACCCCATGTACACAAGGGTCTCATACTCCCTGAAACATACAGGAGCAACCCCATCTACACCAGGGTCTCGTACTCCCTGAAACATACAGAAGCAACTCCATCTACACCAGGTCTCGTACTCCCTGAAACATACAGGAGCAACCCTTATCTACACCAGGGTCTCGTACACCCTGAAACATAAAGGAGCAACTCAATCTACACCAGGGTCTCATACTCCCTGAAACATACAGGAGCAACCCCATCTACACCAGGGTCTCGTACTCCCTGAAACATACAGGAGCAACCCCATCTACACCAGGTCTCGTACTCCCTGAAACATACAGGAGCAACTCCATCTACACCAGGTCTCGTACTCCCTGAAACATACAGGTGCAGCCCCATCTACACCAGGGTCTCATACTGCCTGAAACATACAGGGAAGCAGCCCCATCTACACCAGGGTCTCGTACTCCCTGAAACATACAGGGAAGCAGCCCCATCTACACCAGGGTCTCGTACTCCCTGAAACATACAGGAGCAACCCCATGTACACAAGGGTCTCGTACTCCCTGAAACATACTGGAGCAACTCCATCTACACCAGGGTCTCGTACTCTCTGAAACATACAGGAGCAGCCCCATCTACACCAGGTCTCGTACTCCCTGAAACATACAGGTGCAGCCCCATGTACACCAGGGTCTCGTACTCCCTGAAACATACAGGAGCAGCCCCATGTACACCAGGGTCTCGTACTCCCTGAAACATACAGGAGCAGCCCCATGTACACCAGGGTCTTGTACTCCCTGAAACATACAGGAGCAGCCCCATCTACACCAGGGTCTCGTACTCCCTGAAACATACAGGAGCAGCCCCATCTACACCAGGGTCTTGTACTCCCTGAAACATACAGGAGCAACCCCATCTACACCAGGGTCTCGTACTCCCTGAAACATACTGGAGCAACTCCATCTACACCAGGGTCTCATACTCCCTGAAACATACAGGAGCAGCCCCATCTACACCAGGGTCTCGTACTCCCTGAAACATACAGGAGCAGCCCCATGTACACCAGGGTCTCGTACTCCCTGAAACATACAGGAGCAACACCATCTACACCAGGGTCTCGTACTCCCTGAAACATACAGGAGCAACTCCATCTACACCAGGGTCTCGTACTCCCTGAAACATACAGGAGCAGCCCCATCTACACCAGGGTCTCGTACTACCTGAAACATACAGGAGCAGCCCCATGTACACCAGGGTCTCGTACTCCCTGAAACATACAGGAGCAACTCCATCTACACCAGGGTCTCGTACTCCCTGAAACATACAGGAGCAACCCCATCTACACCAGGGTCTCGTACTCCCTGAAACATACAGGAGCAACCCCATGTACAGCAGGGTCTTGTACTCCCTGAAACATACAAGAGCAGCCCCATCTACACCAGGGTCTCGTACTCCCTGAAACATACAGGAGCAACCCCATGTACAGCAGGGTCTCGTACTCCCTGAAACATACAGGAGCAGCCCCATCTACACCAGGGTCTCGTACTCCCTGAAACATACAGGAGCAGCCCCATCTACACCAGGGTCTCGTACTCCCTGAAACATACAGGAGCAGCCCCATCTACACCAGGTCTCGTACTCCCTGAAACATACAGCCCACCTGGCTAGCAAAAGTTTGAGACAGTTTCACACACTGATCTGGGGTCTGGGATTCAAACGATTGAGGCACACACCTCAAATTATTAATATGACATCAGTCAACACATTTAGATCTTACTTGTATATTTTCTTGTGATCTTTTCCCTTCTCCTTCTTGGCTGTATTGATTTCCTGGAGTTTTGAGTTCACCTCTTTCATACTATCGTTGATCTTGTCATACTCTTTGGTAGCCTTTTCTTCGTTCACAGCACACTCTCCTCTGGAAAATAACACAGCAGTGTTTAAAATTCAGGTAAATCCCAGCCAGACAGTCGGACTGGCAGGTCTAACAAACTCCCATTCCAATCAACTGCTAGGCTTTGTTTTGTTTGTTTGTTGTTTAACGCCGTTCTCAGCAATATTCCAGCTATATGTGGGCGGTCTGTAAATAACTGAGACTGGACCAGACAATCCAGTGATTGACATCATGAGCATCGATCCACACAATTGGGATATGATGACATGCATCAACCAAGTCAGCAAGCCTGACCACCCGATCCTATAAGTCGACTCTTACGATAAGCATAGTCGCCTTTTACGGCAAGCATGGGTTGCTGAAGACCTATTCTATACCCCAGATCTTCACTGGTCTGCACAAGTATGGTGCTGTCAAACCCAGAAACACAATCAGTGCAAACTAACATTTGACCCCCCAAAAATGAAGAAAGGACCCAACACAGCAAACTGACACCTCAGACACCCGGGCTACCAGTTCCCCAACATTGCCTTTGAAGTTGTTACTTACATGTATTTTTGGTAGAGCTTGTTCTTCAGCTTGACAATACTGTTCTCCATGGAGAGGAATTCCACGGCTTCATTCTTGGGGGCCTCCAGGTCGTCCTTCTCTTTCTCTACCGCCTTTACACGATTCAGCTGCAGAGGAACACAGGAAATGTCTTGGAGACCAATTTTTTCATTTGTATTTTTTCATCATGTATTGCAACATCACCTACAGACAGCCTCTGACTCTGCACTGACAAATAAACAGCATGAACTCGACGTGCATGGCACCACAAACCACCACTGAACATGTTTAATGAAAATAGACTGTCCCATTGCATGTGGATCGCCTCTGTCCAATATCCAGTGTTTACACTTATCTGTTTTAAGTTTGTTCAGCAGTAGGGGGCATGGTCGTCTAAGGTGCCGTGATTCGCTGTGCAGAGTTGCATCCCTTGGGCAAGCCAGAAACCTATGATTGTGGGTTCAAATCCTGGTTCGCCTGGATTATATTTCTAGGTTTGTCAGCACTATACCCGTGCTCGTGGGTTTCACTTAAGTGGTAAACGTCTAAGACCTGCATCACTTCGTGCTTTCCTCCCACATTAAGCTGACACGCCGTGATATAACTGGAACACTGTTAAAAGCGGCGTTATACCCAACTCACTCACTTGTTCAGCGGTATTCACTGCATCACCACCAATCATTTTCAGCCTACCTTCTCTGCTCTCATCTCGCTGAGAGACTCGACTCTCTTCGACAATACTTCAATGGGCTCCTTGAAACGGTTACTGCCGATGATGTCCTCCAGAAATTCCAGCATTCCGTCCTCATGTTCAGTGAGCGCTTTTGGCTTCATCATGGCTATCTGCTCTACCTCACCCTGCAGACAAACAGAACGAAGAAGTGCACCAATACGTTGACCTTTATACGTAAGACTTGTTCAGATAAAATACTTGTCATTGTTCCAATCAAGGGGGTAACTGCTAGGTAGTACTGAAATACTGCAATATACTTTTCAAACATTGTTCCAGTGTATTGGGGTAAAATATATATCAAGTTTCATTATCATCTGTATTGTTTAACATAAAATCTATTCAGAAATTCATTCACAAATGATGATTCCCTTCAAAATGGATTGACAAAATGGCTGAAACGAGGATGTGATTAATTTCTCACATTGTTATCTCCCCTGTATCCATTCAAAATGGCGGCAACTGACCATGGGTAATAATTACTGTTCTCTCAATTCACCCAACTCAACATATTAGGTGTCAATCACGTAGACTTTGCATTTTAGTTTTTCAGGATGTAAAAGAGTCTGTCAAATACAGAAATGAAGTCTCTATCTCTTGGTATTTAGACAGACTACATTGTAACTAAGACTGCACAATCTTACAAGTAGACTATGATACAAGAGTGCAACACATTTGTGAGTCGTGGGAACTGGGGGCTATAGGATTATTATTGAGTCCCGGGGTGACCACAGCAAAGTATGTGAGATGCCTTATGCTTATTAGGCTGAAAAAAAGAGAAAAATCTTGGTTCTCAGGCACTGCCTGCATTATCATAAAGTCTGCCACACGTTTCATTTTCATGTCCTTTTTTAAATTTTCTTGAACACGGTAGTCACATATTGTATTCTAAGCAATACATGTATGCTGTTTATTTGGTTACATACTACTTTAATTATGTTTCTAGGTTTGTCAGCACCATACCCGTGCTCGTGGGTTTTACCGAACTGAGACCTGCATCACTTCGGGCTTTCCTCCCGCATGAAGCTGACACGCCGTGATATAACTGGAATACTGTTAAAAGCGGTGTTAAACCTCACTCACTCACTCACATACTACTTTAAACAACCAAATAAACAAAACAAAAACAAAAACCACCGCCCACCAACATACCTGTAGAATAAGGAACCGATTGTGGTCAAGGTCTATTCCACATGATCTGAGAAACCTGGCAACTTCCTTGTACGTTGCTCGCTTCCCATCCACAGAGTAGCTGGAGGTGTTGTCCTTAGACGCCGTACGAGACACCACGAACTTGGAGTTGGGGACTATTGTATATTCATCATCCCCTGGCTGGAAAAAATAACTCAAAGTCAGTTTCCCCCCAAAAAGGAAATAAGATGCAAGAATAATCTCCCTAGGGTTATGGTCTTCCTTGGTTGAAGCTATTCCAATAATTAGTATTTAGTGGAATATTTTAGATATTTGATACAAACAGACAGTACTGGAGCAGAGAGACAGTTGAAACAGACTATACTATAGCCCATGCCCTGATACCCCCGAGTAATCCACCTTGGCCTGTACTCCCTAAAATTCTTCACTGTTGGACAGCAGGCACAGCATAGAGAGTGGTGCCATAACGGTAAGGTGGAGTAGGCGGAGGAGGCTGCTGAAGTCCAGGTGGGCCTAATGGTGTAGCGTCAGGTAAGTATAAAAACATTACATTTATCCCTAAATGCTAACGTTTTACCTTACCTGATGCAACACAGTGTTTTATTGGACTGAAATGGAAGGCGGGCTAACTGATAAGCTGACTGATAAGCACCAGTCATGTTGAGGAAGCACTGCGACTGTGGCAGCGAGTTAGCAGCCCCATCCTCATCTGACTAGGATATGACAGGTCAAGCCCATCTCGGGACAGAATGATGGTCTGAACGTAGAGAGAAACAGAGCTTGACAATGATCAACAGCAAGGTATACCACATCTTGCTTGAGAGAGGGGGAATATGGTACCTGTATTGTCCTGGGTACTGACAGAACAGTACCCAGCATCATAAAATGTTCACAAGGGAACAAGACATCGGAGCCGTTGAGCCAAAGGGTGACTTCATTCCTCAGGCAAGGCGCTGTTACAGATGTCGGGGGTTGGCCAGATGCTAAGCTAGGACAAGCGTCCAAAGCTGTGAGTTTCCTCGACGTCCTCAATGGAGACGTAGCAGAGATAGAGACAGGCAAAGAAAGTTGTAGATGACCAAAAACACCTCTCCATGATAGTCAGTCTGGATGTGTTAGCGTGGAGGGACATCGTTGATTACAGGGCTTGTATCTCATGTGGGTTGTGGGCCGATAGAAGCTGCAGGCCCAAACGACAATACGCATAAAGGACACCGATCTGGGCCAAAGGAGACACGACTTGAGACAGGGAGGAATAACTGCTGATGCTGATGCTGGTGTCGGCGCTGCATGGACACCTGCAGATAGTGGCGAAGGGCCCGAAGAGGGCAGAGCGCAAGTTCCAGGCCGACAATCTCCGAATGTAGTGGAATGTGGAACTGATGATCAGGTTGACCCTGCAGTGAGTTTTTCCAGGAGAGACAAAGATGGACATGGCCATGTGGCCGCTGACCGAACTAGACCAAGGTGTAGCAACGGCATGAAGCCCACTAACTCTGGCCACCGTGGCAAGGGCCAGGAGAAGGCAAGTCTTGATAAAGAGACCTTGAAGCAGGCAGACGTCAGCAGTTGACGTAAGTCCTGTAAAACCACATTGAGATCCCAAGCTGGACGACAAGACTTCTTTGTCTGACCTTCCAAATTGAAAATACCGGACATTGGCGTAGAGCTCTGGCACTGAGGCAAGACAGGTGGTAGAGCCAGCGAGGTGATGGGACGGGCGCGGATATAACAAGAAATCAGCCACCTGAGGGACGGTGACATCTAATGAAATGATGTGTCAGGATGAGCGAAAGGCGTGAAAAGAATGCAACTTGTCATCATGGAGGGAGCAAGTGGAGGAGCAATGAGCCTTGGAAACCTCTTCAGCGTTGTGGGCAGAGAACCCCTTGGCCCTCAGGGACCTCTGGAGACTGGGAAACCATACTCTTGCCAGTCAGAAAGCTGTGACCAAAAGCAGACTCAGAGGCCTGGTCTTAGCTGCCTTGTGAATCACCTGGGGAAGGAGAACAGGGGTTGAAAAGCTGTTCCACTTTCCATTAAAAGTGCTGGCCCCGAAAAAAAACGAACCGGAGGAAGCAACGATAAGCTGCATGGATGGGTATGTGCAGGTAAGCGTCTTGCAGGTCCAGATTGATGAGATGGTCCATCAGGAGAGAGGTAATTTGGACTGAAGAAAGCAAGGTTGTGAATCATCTTTGAGGAACCTTTCCTAGAAACCAGGAATGAGGGGGAGAGGAAGCTATAATGGTGTTGACGTCCTGGGCTTTCACTGCATTCTTGGCCATCAGAATGTGGACATTGGCCTGCAATAATGAGGTTCCAATAGTCTGGAAGTGAGGGGAGGAAGGCCACGGAGCTCCGGGCGGAGGATCCGAGTGACGAGCAGATCCAGCATTAACTGCCAAGTCCTTCAGTAAGTCTCAAGTCTCCCTCCTTCTGGGGACAGCTGGGCAGGGACAACTGGTGGAGGCTGAGAAGGTGAAACTGCTCCAACATAACAACTCTGTTGTTGGCAGACAGAGAAGAATATGAGAGAGTCTGGGCAAAGGCTGATAACTCGTGGGTATCGGGGCATGGGCTATAGTCTGTTTCAACTGTCACTGTTCTAGTCCTGTCTGTTTGTATAACTATAAGGTAGGGAAGCTAAAGCACTGTGTCAGGCAGGGAAATCTAAGTACAAGAAGTTTTGGAAAATGCTGAATGACAGGTGCTTGGCAAATTAATTATTATCAGATAAAGAAAACTTGCATTCTTTGCCTGGCAGACATTGGCCTGGAAGAGAGAGGGGTGAAATAGTGTGGGAAGGGATGACTGGAGACAGGGAAATAATACCAGACTGTGTCTTTCAACCTGTTCATGGATTATACCCAAACCCACCTGGTATTGAATACATGGGACACAAAAAGCACATTTCAACGAGTGGGTTTCATAAGCAAGTAATTGTTTACTCATTACTTCCCAGCTTATTGCGACCACTGTACCTCCATATACTTGAAATGTTAAACTATAAAGAAGGGGAGAGAACCTGGCCTGGGATTTCGGCACAGATTCCCGCCATATTCTACAAGGGGAAAGCCCCAGCTTGTACACATGAACTCTGACACATGAACTCTGACACATGAACTCTGACACATGAACTCTGACCCTGTCATTCTCAACAACTGTAAACATTCGAAGAGAACAGTTGAACTATTTATCAAAGCAACAAAACTGTGTGTCTGTTATCATCAAAAGATTGCATGCTTCATCACACTGTCACCACTACATCTGCGACAAAAACAAGCATCCACATTCAGAGATCGATTTCTCTATAGCCCAGCTGCACCAGTGCAGGTAAAACATTGCTAATACGGGTCACTTTAATTGCCAGGATGCACCCAGTGCAGGTAACATTTCCCACCACAGGTGCACGGCAACAGTTATATTTGATAAAAGTGGAAAGCTGAATTCTTTTAGAACTGCAAATCTTTTTGACTCCAGGAAACAAAAGCTCATGAAATTAGTGAAATATATATATGTGGTATGAATACAGTGAACTTGCTGAACTCGTTCTTCACAATTACCACTAGAACAGTCACTCATGAAGTTACAATCACATCAAACAGACACTTTGAAACTTCTGTTTACTGGATATCATGATGTGAAAAAGCTATAAACAGATTTACCCCCCCCAAAAATACTGGAGCACATTCTCAAGTTTATTTTCTCTTTGAATTTATTTAATATTCAAAATAACCTGATATATTTACTTGGTTGCACCTGGTGCAGGTGGTAAATCAGAATGAAGCTAGAAGCTTTGCTTTGTCCCAAGTGGAGAGGTGACTGGTTTGACATTGCCAATCAATATTCTACTCACCCCTGTGTCTACTATCCTCTCAAAGTATAGCTCTACTCACCCCTGTGTCTACTATCCTCTGAAAGTGCACTGCCACGGTACATGTGGTGATGTTCTTGTGGTTCTCACTGTTGTGGATGAGAACGCTGATCTTCTTAGATCGTATCTTGTTTGCCCGATATCCAAACACGAACAACATGGAATCAATGACATTTGATTTTCCACTGCCATTAGGTCCAACAATTGAGGTGAAACTCTGCAAAATAAAAACAGACATTGAAAAAATAAACCCCAAAAATAAACACCAATGCAATACACTTATGACATAAGCAGAGCGAAGTAGCGTGAAATGAAAATAGTTACAAAATCATATCACATAAATTTCTTGTTTGATGGCATCTGTGAACATTAAACATTGACAGATGTGATTCATATGAAGAATGAATGCGTGGCAGGACGATGTATGCAGTGCATTTTACGGCAAGTATGGGTTGCTGAAGACCTATTCTACCCCGGATCTTCACGGGTACAGAAGAAGATGGACAATGAGAATCCAATAAATTCGTAGGACTGGTTATCGATATAGATCATAGAAATCTATAATTGTTAACTATTTATCAATAAATATCGGAGAAGTAACTTTGAGCAAGTAAAGACATTTCATGCCACTGGTGAGTGTTGACACATTTATGCACGGATTACTTCGTGGACATTTAAATTACAACAAAAATGGTTGCTAACCGTCTTTGGCAATTGACATGATTGATAATAAGTCTGTTTGGTAAATTTAAACTTTATTTCATTACAGTTGTTCCTGTAAGATATTATCCATGACACAGTTTTCATATCATTCATCATTAATATTTCTTCCCAGCAATGATAATTCTGATTATCAATCTTTTTAGCCAGTCCTATAAATCAGTTCGAAGTAGTTTTTGAATAAACAGTGGTTAGAAGTGTAAAACTGCGATATATTATGCAAACACAACCAGTTTCACACTTTGTGGTTGGTTGGTTTGTTGTTTTACGCCGCACTTAGCAATATTCCAGCTATATGACGCCAGTCTGTAAATAATTGAGTCTGGACCAGACAATCCAGTGTTTGACATCATGAACCAGACAATCCAGTGATTGATATCATGAACATCGATCCACGCATTTGGGATCGATGACATGCATCAACCAAGTCAGCGAGCCTTACCACCCAATCACATTAGTCGCCTGTTACGACAAGCATGGGTTTCTGAAGACCAATTCTACCCCGGATCTTCACACCTTGTGGAAAGGCCCCAACGTCTGCACCCCCGCATAGGACTTGAAGTTTTCATTCACAATGTGTGTGATCATCAGGCGGGGGCCATTAGTGTCGTATGTCGCGACTGACTCCGGTGCATTCGGAATCTCAATAGCTCCAAAATCTGAAGAACAAGAGGGTAGTGGTGAGTGTCTTAATGAATATAATATAACAGTATTTCACTAATATCATTTCACCACCCACGCAAATTAAGAAGGGTCGTGGGGCCCTGGAGGTCTTCCCCTTTATCAGTGTTCCCGCTGGCTTTTGAAACTGCCAGTCCTTGTGGACTGGTAACTCTAAAAATTACCAGTCTCCCCTAATTTTGGCCAGTCCCAACTTTCAACAAATAAGGAAACGTATGCAAATTATTTGGTTTTAATTCTTTCAACTTCATGTTCAGTGCAAAGATGTCATCTCTGAAGTAACTTAGTTAGATCTATACGGCAATCACAAAAACTTCAGTCACAATTTTCTCTTTGTTTTTTAATATTTCGAGACAATGTCGCTACAAATGGATATTTAACCTAGAAATAGACAAGGGGGAACCCTTATGGTAACAGACAAGCTGACTTTGTTCGAAAAATGTACTTACCGTATTCGACGTAATAAGCGCCCCGCTCTAATAAGCGCCCACTGCGATATTTGCTGAGTTATTGACTAGTGAATCAGCCAAATTTGCATCCCTTCCGATTGATCAATGTACAAAAGACTTACTTATTCGGTATAATACGCACTCGTGTGTTCTGTGCACCCTTATTTATGGGCAATTTAATTCTGGATAAATATATCAGTCGTACATAAACATTTCAGGCTGTCAGCACAAACCACGAAATATATCTTTCAACTATGTTTTTTTCCCACCAAAATAATATTCTAATAAGAGCCCCCTATTTCTTTTTTTGAGAGCGCCCTGAGCGCTTATTACGTCGAATACGGTATATGAATATCACTGATGTTTTGTTCAACAACAAAGATTTATAAGGTATGTTATTTGCCCCTCCACAGGGACTGGCAGTCACATGAATTACCGGTCCAAGCCAAATTTTACCGGTAAAAAACTGGTAATTACCGGTAAACGGGAACACTGTTTAGTACTTGAATCTGGGGACCCCTATACGCTAACACTCAACAATGGGGTCCTCTTGACCTTTATGCTTTAATTTGAACACTAGACACCAGTCGTATGGATAAGACACAGCCATTAGTTGTTTTCTTCTGAATCCAAGTCATGTTACTTTAGTTCCCAGACCTAAATAACCTGTACACCAGCTGGTAGGATCTAGCCTGTAGGATCTAGCCTGTAGTATCTAGCCTGTAGTATCTGTTTCTGCTGTTGGTTTCTCAATAGGGAAACCAGATCACAAGATACAGGAACCGATGTTGTTGATATTTATTTTAATGGTAGCCATGACTCGATTCCACTGAAGTTTGTTGCAGCAAGAGCGGTGAAGTACCTCTCACTTTTACAAGTAATGGAACAGGGTCTACAATTGTGGAGTTTTACCACTTTGATGAGATTCAAAAGCACAAATTTGTCATGCAGTGATTTATAGAGGATTAAATAAACTGTGATACTGTTCAAAATTGGGGGTTCTTCTTTTTGTAAATTCTGAGGAATTGGTTTTTTGATTACATATTCAATTTGGGAATATTTACTGTCATTTGCAGCAGAATTTGGACAAATAAAGGTCTCTGAGCAGGTCTTGTTAAATCCCTGTCACATGTTTATACTTGTGTCAGTAAGAGCAGAGCTACAGATAAACTGTGTATTTGCGTAAAATACCAAAAAAAACCCATTCAAAACCCAATTACTTTCAATTAACTTACGTACAGAAAAGCATGCATTATATGAAAAGCTCAAATGTATAAGCACAGCACACGTTAATACCCGATGAAGCTTTCTCAGCATGCGTACAAAGGAGCTAATTTCCGAAACACAATTACAAGCTAATTGACTTTCTGAGTCAAGCCTATATATTTAGAGCAGTTATATACATCTAAAACATTATTTCATTTTTTTTAAATCTTAGAGTGTTCACTAATTTTCAGAAAAACCCAACAGCGTGATGGATAGATGAGTGAAAAAATATTGGTTACCCAATGAAAACTGTAATAACCCAATTAAAATAGAAACCCTAGAGTAAAAACTCAATTGCTCAAAACATTATCTGTAGGAGGCATGTCATTGTTATGGTTTCTATTGTGAAGAAGAGACATATTTATCACATTTTTCAAAGCTACAAACCAGCTGGATTGAAGATGCGAGAAGCACTTGGAGTTGGTGGAACACCCTGGTCCACTTCCATTGCGTCTTGCTCTTCTGCCATGTCTGAAATCACATTTTCAATCATCACATGAATAAACCTCACCTTTCATAAACAAAAACAGTTACAAAGTAATATCCAACTCTGCAATTAAAATATTCAAAGAGGTGCAAAACAAGGCACAGTTCAACTGATGTGACACCTTCCCTAGGCAAGAGAGTTAACTGGCTGTAAAAGTCCAGTTTCCACCCTGGCCCAACAAGGCTGGTATCATGGAGCTCCATTTTGGCTTGACTAACGAGTCTATGCATCATCCAATCAAAATCGCGCAACAAAATCGACATCCGGTTTGTAAACTTGTGCAGATTTCGATCAATTGCAGGAGTTGCATAGCATGTGCACTGCCAACTCGTTGTCAACAGATATTTTCCAAATCTTTTCATGTTTTTAATCAAGGTGCTCACATGATTTGATGCATTTCGCGATGTAAGACCTGTTTCGTCACAACATAGATCTTGATTATCAATCAGATCGTCCCGACTGGGCACCACCATTTTGTTTGAAGCAAATGCGAGTGATACGAGAGGTGGAATCTGATTGGTCCATAAGAACTAGAGGCTTAGAAGGGACATAACTGGTAATAGCCACTGGTGGCGCTATGATCATGCCCAGTAATTCCAGCCTAGTTTGGCAAGGTACGTGAATAAAAATTTAAATTAAAAATATGGCAAGTATTAGTATATCTTTTACAGGATCCCTTGTGAATACTGTCATAAATAATAAATCTGGGAAGTATATCCAAGCTGAGGAGGACAAGAGTATAATTTGATAAGCGTGAGTGAGCAGAGGATTACTGTACTTTACCATGTGTATTGTTTATTATCATCATGTCAGGTCTTGATGCAACGCATACTTATTTCATTTAAATTTTAAGATTTGAACAAATAAATTTGCCGCACGTTATAATAATTCAACATGTATAGAATCAATATAAGAAATCAATATTAAAGGTCACTTGAATTTAGTCCACGAGTTGTTCATGTCTACAAATTCTCCATGGCGACCAATTAGGGGAGTAGTGCACTTAACCGGGCACACTTTTTTAGATCCAATTAGCACTGTGGAAGCTCAACCGCGCTTCATCGAGTTGGCTAATTAATACGTTATTCAGCCGACGCTCTACCACTGGACCATGTAATCAGTGCTCGTTGAATGGGTCATAAGCACCCCTTTAACATGCATGCAATAAACAATGAATTGCGCATGACGTCACATCATGATGAACCAATCAAGCAACGCTAAGGTGTATGACGATGTGTTTCGAATGACGGCCAATGTGATTACTCTAATCGTTTTTACCCGGATTAATGCTTGAAAAGGTCAGAATTTATGGATAAAAAAGAGGTGTTGGATCGTAAAGGCGTATCAGTTCCCTAAGACCGAAAAGGGGCCTTGGGTCGGGAGTGGAAGCCCTGGTAACGGTTTTGCCAGACAGCGGTTGCGCTACAGGTTCTACTACACCATATCAGAACCAGTTTGGACAGTGCGGTTTTCGTAGGGAGCCTTCAGTGCAGATCGAGATATATCTGCAGGCTGTGATTGGAGGATATTCTGTAAGATTTATATGTCTTTCAAATGTACATCAAACCAGTTATTAAAACTGACCATGTTTTTCTATATTTAGTACTGTCTTTTTCAACATGATGACTTATGCTGAATGTGACCACAGCTATTTTCAAGTAGGTGACATTTGGTGCGAAACTGGGGGTGGTGTGTTTAGCTTCCTGTACTCGGAAAAGGAGCTGGCTAAGCTAGTCATTTTTTATTATTTTTATTGCTGCTCTAAGGCCAAACTGTGCACACATGTACAGGTAATAGCTGTTGAATGCTTAGTTATTTAAAAAAATAAATAAAACGTTACTATAGAAGTCTATGGGAAAACATTTGGTTGTATGTAACCTGTAGCCTAGTATGGTAATTGAGCCTGGTAAACTGCATTGTTGATCGAATTAGTTTCGTTGCGAATTCACCTTGGTACTGTTTGTTTGTTTTTTGTTTAACGCCGCACTCAGCAATATTCCAGCTATATGTCGACCTGTAAGTGATCAAGTCTGGACCAGAAAATCCAGTGATTGATCTCATGAGCATCAATCAATGCATTTGGGATACGATGACATGCATTAACCATGTGAGCAAGCCTGACCACCCGATCCTGTTAGTCGCCTCTTACAACAAGCATACATGGCATAGTCGCCTGTTTCGACAAGCATGGGTTGCTGGAGACCTATTCTACCCCTGATCTTCACGGGTCCTTAGTATTACACCTTTAAAATGGGCTTATGGTAATGTTTCCAATAAAAGGAAAGATTTCCACACATAACACTTAATTGCTTCAAATTTTGCATGGGTTTGGGAAACAATAAGCCTACATAAATATGAGGAAGAGAATTTATGCATATCAACTTCTTTATTATGAGGAACACCACGTTTGAGAGCATATGCTTACTCCTTCATTGGCTGAATGGTACATAAATATATTTATTAATACTTCTAGCCAGGGATTAAGGTTTTTAAAAATTCGAGGCAGATGTGGAAGGTCCACCCAGTAAAGGTACTATATAATATTTACCTCAAAATGATCAATGGGTGTTCAACATGTTAGAGAAAATTATTGCAATTTGCAAGTTTGGCAATACTTTGATTGACTTGTGTTGCTAAGACATTCATTCCGTTCAAATACAGTTACCATCATTAATGAGGCTATCTGGTGTAGGGTTAAAAAGATAATGTACATAACCAGTGATGGACGCTTAAACATTTCTTTCAACACAGCGGAGTGGAACCTATCGATATATCGGCCTATGTCTATCTGGTGAAACGTAAACAGTGGGGTTTCTCGAAGTTTTAACCAATCTGAGACATTCAAAAGAAGTTACCACTTCCTAAAATAACTGATGTGGAGGTCATGATTTGTACCCTGGGATACCTAGACCAAAATATATTAATATGATAAATACGTTTTGGACGTTTTACCTATCGTCTTTTTCCTGTGTGTTGTCAAAACTGGCGCTCAAACGTTTGTCGTCGGGCCGAAGAAAATACTGAAAGACGATTGGTCCAAAATATTCATTATTCTCCATTTTCCAAAGCACCTTCGTAACCCGGAAGTAAATTCTAGGGTCAAATCGGATTTGCAGGTGTTCCCAATCTACTGGATGATAGTATGTGTTGATAAGATTTTCATCGACGAACGGCTGCATTTGGTGTGACTGTCGACTGCTGGTCGCATAAACGAAAACATGTAACGATGTGAAGAGACGTACGATGTTTGAGCTAAACAACGGGCAGATGAGACTACCTACGAAGAAAATGCGACAACTTGTGATCATTATTCTTGTTATTATTATCGTTGCGGGTAAGTTGTAATCTGAGCTGCATGATACGTATGATTGATTGTATTGAAGTAGTTTCGTAGTGCGTTCAAACAGTTGCAGATCTAACGCAACTGAATGTATGTCACTGACTTCCATGTGATTGTATGAAGACGTTCGTTCTTGTGTTGGACATGTCTATTTTGAGATACTTCCCAAGTAGGCCTGCAGTTCTCATACATTTTAACGTCACATGATGACATGATGTGAAATGCACATGTGGCGGTTTTGTCAATTAGTTTGTAAGCAGACTTTCAGAAAATTTGTGTTTTACGTGATTGTTAAGAATAATGTAACAAATACGTTGGGAACAATCCTGATATAATAGTGGCCATTAATAATAAAAATAAAAATAATAGGTTCACTTATATTGAGCTGCTGTCCCCCCGAGGTATGCTTTAAGCATACAATACAGTATAGTTCAGGGGATGTCATATTGGCAGGTCTTGAGTCATGGTTTAAAGCAATAATGATAATAATAAGAAGAAGAAGATAAAAAGTTGAGTCCTTTTCTAGTGATACTGGCATGTCCTTTGGGCTCAACAAATGCAACATTCATGTAAAACTGAGAGACGTTTAGTCAATTTACTTGGGGGAAGAGTTATTGACCATTTTTGGGAAGGTCAGGCCTTTACGTACTAAGGTTAGGGACAAACTTCAGAATGTCAAGAAAATCTGGAGTTGAGAGCTGAATGCTCGCAATAAAGTTAAAGCCACAAATACTTATGCTGTACCTGTCCTTTCATATTCTTTGGTAGTGTTGATTGGACGAAACAAGAAATTCAGGGTATTGACACCCTCACACGAAGATTCATGTCAGACAGTAGATCCCACCACCCTTGCTCTTCCCAATTATAATGGGATGGCGTGGTTTGATTAACATGGAGCCTCTTCATGATAGAATTGAATTGTGCACTTTTGCACACATTTATTTGTCTGATGATCCTCTTGTAAAGCATGTCAAGACTCACGATGAAAACAAGGCATTCCACAGTTTTCTAAACAAGCCAAGTATGCGGGACATACTCTCAATGTCAATGTTGATTTAGTTGAAGGTTCTGTACTGCTGGACGATGCAGAAATGAATGTCAACCAAGCAAATTGCCATGTCAAAACGGCCCAGACTCAGTTTTTCAAGGAGAGGCTGTCTGAACAACCGCTGCATTGAGTTTATGTGCAGTGTGTTTGGAAGATCAGCAGCCCTGCAAAGTCCTTCGCTTGGATGAAGTCGGCTGGCCTGAAAAGTAAAACTGAAGCCTCTCTGTTTGTTACTCAGGACCAGTCACTTCCCACTCAAAACCATGAATGTCTGGTTTTGTATCAAAATGTAAATATGAAATGTAGATTATGCAATGAATTTAATGAGACTGTCCAACACATTGTCAGTGGATATCCAGTTTTGGCACAAACACAGTATCTTAAGCGACATGATGGTATAGCTCCATCATTCTATTACCGTCTTCTAAATGCTTGTGGTTTTGACACAGAGGTCCATCCAGGGTATGGCCCGGAATATGTAGAGGGCATCATGAAAAATGATAAATTCAAACTTCTTTGGAATAGGCCCATTTACAGCCTCAGACGGATCCAGGCCAACAAACCTGATCTTGTCCTTTTTGATAAATCCAGTGAAATCATTTATACCATTGAATATTCTGTCCCTTTTGACACTAATGTGATTGACAAGATTCAGGAAAAACATGGCAATTTTGCGGACCTCAGTTTTGAAATGTCACGCTTGCATCCCAAGTTGTCCGACTCCCCATGGTTCTCCCAATCTGTTGACTGACATTGGGGGAGAACCCAGGTTTTTTCCAAGGACTCTACTTCTTCTTCTACATCCTCCACATCTTTTTCCAAGGACTCCAATTCTTCTTTCTCCTTTGCAATAGTGTTTCGTATATCCAACAATACTCTATATATATGTTCCAATACATCGTCGCGAGACACATATTCTATAGAGTTGTCTGGTTCGACTTGTGTCTCACTTTCTATAGGGTTCCCTGTTTTTTCTAGGTTCTCGCGCGCATCTGACTTTTTCCATATTATTTACAAGAAAACATTGACGCAGAGCATCAAAGTTCCCCGCCATTGTGATGCCTCACAATTATGATGTTACTGAAAGGCATGAAGGAGCATAACTATATTAACCACAAATAACACAACGCGGTTGTGGAAATATTATTTTTATTTGTTTTGAGTATTGGGCAATACAGTTGTCGCCTCTTACGACAAGCCTAGTCGTCGCCTGATATACTGTAGTTGTAAGATGTAACATAACAATTCATCCATAATACTAAACAGAAGTAAAACTGCTTGTCCATTCGGATCAGTCTGATCCAAATCATTCCGCTGATGAGAGTCAAATAATGCATACGAATCAAAATCCGTAAAAATTGCAATAGAGACATCATTAGAAGTTACCATAAGTGACTGGGATATCAATATTGCTTGTTGAAATGATTCTATGAATTTGTTTTCCCTGCATCAATATTTGGAGCACATGTGACGGGGCCATAAAACTGATCTGTTATGTAGACAATATCGCTTGAGGCAGTGGCTGCTGGGAGCTGATTATGACCTTAATACCCCTTCGGTGTTAACTATGTGACTGTAGGGAGCTGTGCCTTCATCCAAAAGATTATCGAGGTCGGTGGAACACGGTACAGACGCAAATAGATGTGAGGCATGGGACACAAAATATATGATAGCGATCAGAGCTACGGCTGTACATTGAATTCCATTAAACGGTTGAAAAATACGACAGCCTTGATGCAAATTCGCCGACACGCTACTCCGATTTTGCTTTGACTTTGCTACCAAACGTTTCACATGTGGCCATGTGGGGTGCACTGATAAAAAACACGGGGACTGGGTTAATTCCAAATACGGAATATAACTATTCCAAATTTTTCCAGTGAACGTGAGCATCCAAACAATCGAAAGTTTAGTATGTAGAATGTGGAATTCAGCCATATTACATTTAAATTGAGATGTCGTCGTTGCATATTCAGAACATATTTTATATTATGCTGATATTTACGATCTCTGGAGTACAGTTCTTCTTTTGTATGCACCGTGAAAATCAGAAAATTAGTCCTTGAGGAAAAAAGGACATCGGATTACACATAAATGGTTTAATAATGTCAGCTAATGACCAGAAACGGTCAGATGCATCAATTAACTACATAAAGACGATTTTGAAGTATCTCTTATTGCTGGAAAAGAATAGCATCAACATTCCACCCACATGATTTGTATGTTTTCTTTCAGTTATTGCGTGGCTTGAAATTTCAAATAAACCAACATGTCGACATACATGCTACAAAATTAACGTTTCCCGTATACTTCCCCGCCTTAAGGGCGGGGAAGAATAACCTCCCGGTTCCAATACCATATCTTTTTTTCGCATCCTCTGCTGAGATGTTTTCACGCAGGGCATGAATTTCTTCCACCTCTTCTTCGGATAGTTTTTTTTTCCGTGGCATTGTATACATATTCTACAATATTTGTCTCCGATAGGAAATTTCCTAGGAATCCTGTACATGGGAATTCCCATACCAGGAAACCTCTGAAGAATCCTATACCCAGGAAAAAGCAAGCAAGTTGTTGTGTTTGCTATAGGGTTTGCTAGGAGGAGGACCAATCTTTTTGGTTTCGATATCCCAGGATAGCCCATACAGAATTTCTACCTGGAATATTAGGCAGTTTCGGAAACCAAAATTTCCTGTAGCCCATCGTGTAGCCCTATTCCATTTTCTGTCGTCTTCTATAGACATTGTTGTTGGACAAATTCGTACTCCAGCTATTCTTCCAGTCGTTGTATGCGCATACCAAGCTACAAATATAGTTCCTTGTGGGCAATCTGCTAGCACAAAGCAACGATCTAGGCAACTAGCAAGATTTTCCCATTGTTTTGTAGGTGGTTGTACTGCAAACAAAGGGTTGTTTCCTTGGGAAACTATCCGTAGAGCATCTTCTACCAAATAGTCTGCTGTTTCTGTACCTCGCAATTCGTCGTTGCAGGCATACAAAGAAACTTCTATACGTGTGCAGCCTCTAGCTTGTGGGTGTAGAAATGTCTTGCCCAAATGTTTGTTTGGACAGTCTACATAGTCTCCTGCTTCAAAATTGGACACGACATTGTTGTACAACTTCGTTCTTGTTGTATAGCCATTGTAGGTGTGTACCCATGTAAACGTGTTTTCCAACGCTATCTGTATTTGCAAGAATAGTTGGAATATTTTTTTGCATAGCTGCTACGAGGTCACCTTGTTCTTGGAAACCATGTTCTTTGCAGAGATGTTCGACAAGAGCTTCTCTATCTAGTGTACCCGAAAAGTGTAGTCTATAGAATACAAACCATAGCCGTGTGCTAGTAGTTGTCTTTCGAAAGCTGGCAAAGCAGCGTGCAATTCGTCTATAGGTATTTCGGAAACATCTATCTTTGCTACAAACAAGCCATGTACCTCTTCTGGATATAGTTCTTTCCACTTCTTTTTCGCTTTCTGCTCTGTATCTTGCTCTATTCTTGCAATTGTACTCCGTATGGCACTATTTTTTGTTTCGGTATGTGCAGAAATGGTATGCAAAATTGTTGTGTGGATATGTCCTCATTTTTCTCTATCTGGAGTTTCTCCCATACTTGTTCGTACTGCTGTAGAGATTCTCGATACAATATATTGTGCAGAACTATCTTCTCCTGTTGTACATAGCAATTTTCCCCTTCTGTATGCACATTCTTTGCGATGTAGATAGCCAAACATGTACAATCGTCTACAAATGTTGGTAGGCCTTCTAGCGATTGTAGGTTTGTTATACCAAGATTTCCTACCAAATAGTCGACATTGGCTATATCTGTTACTAGATTGCTTTGGTACGCATTCTCTAGCAATAGGTGGGGTGCTACAGATTTTGCGGCTCGTAGGCCCATACTTTGGTATGTTGTCTCCACTGTTTTTTGCTCCATTGTGTGTGCTCGAAA